TTAAATCATTTTTAATTAACGTGCTACGGTTTAATGAATTTATGATTAAACATTTAAAATTGCAATCTGTCAGTGTTACGGTGACTTAACAGGAAAACAGGATTTAAAATTTAGAATATATTTAAAAATAACAATCACATAAACGCAATACAGATAATGAAAGAAAATCTAATAATATAATTAAGCCAGCTACTGGTTTGCAATTTTTTTTATACCAATTACTAATAGTATATATATATATATATATTCAAATACATTTAAGTAGTAAAACAATAATACGAATGTTAATACAACTAATTTAAATCATTAGTAGTAAACAATTACTTTTTACTGTTAAAAAAATACTGTAAGATTTATGTATAATATTTTTACATAAATACTGTGGGATTTTATAATTATAACAGCAAAATATATAAAGAAGACAAGGAACTTTGAGCGGTATCAGAGTGTTACCAGAAATTATTTTTAGGAAAGGCTTTATGAGGGTTATAATGTTGTCTGTTAAATTACATTTAAAGTTACGGTTAAAGACTATCTAAAAGAGTTTTAGTTTAAATATACATCTGTCATCGTTATTGTTATAGTAATTTGTATAAATCTATCTATTATAAATTCAATATTAGCATACAAAATATTTTTACAGCCGTTTTATAATTTATTATTAGTTTTCCCGTAAAATGACCGTTAAAACTTTTTTCGTGTAGTCTTTAATTTTAATTTTTATCTCACCATATAACCTCATACCTCATATTCAATAATTACTCCACAAAACTGATGAATTCTTTTTTTTTTTGTTACACTAACCAATAAACAATTATGAATCTCCATATTTTTTTGAAAGATTATTAAAAAAAACGTTTTAATTAATACGTAATAGTTTAGTTGCATAGAAATAAAACGATTGAAACGTACGAAAGTACGTAGAAGTGTGTTATATAATTATTTATATAATACATGTGGTGTATATATAGGTATTTACTTACGGTTATTTTTTTTAGTTACCGTGTTTCTTCGGTAAAAAAACACATCTCATATTGTGACAAAATCGAATGATGTCAAATAAATTAATTCAGATAACATATTTTCAATGTTTTAAAGCTAATTATTTTATTTTATATATTCCCCGAGTAATATACGAATTATTGACGCTATAATTAGCGTCAATAATTAATATACTTTTATAATAGATCATCCGTGTCATTTAAATTTATAAATAAACGTACGTGGTCATTTGTATACATACAAACATGCATAAAGAGACTTAAGTTACTTAAAGAGTACTTTAATGGGTCAGAATTAGAATTAGTTAACTTCTTCAACGCCAAAACCGGGAAACCCTAAAAAATGTGTCCAACCTGCAAACTAGGTTGTACCCCACTTTCAATTTAATAATTTCATACTGAGTTATTTAGATTAATATCTTGATTTAGACTGCTAGTTTTTTTTTTAATAAAAATATCAATTTGTATGATGTAGGTATAATTATGTATCAAATTGTTAATAATAGATAAATTTTTGTCCGAGTTTATATTGTCAGTTATTGTAACAGAATATCCTTTTCCGCCGATTAAACTAAAATAATGTGATGTGTTCAAAATATGGCGACAAATGTTTGAAAGGTAAACTTTCGAGTCTTCAGAATTTGTTATGTTTTTGACTTTTGTTATTCTTCATCATCTACAGTTTACTGCAGTTTGTCAATGAGATATAAGATATTGATAAGTACTAAAGTACATACATGGACTCTACGCTACCTTAAATATTACTCTACTATAAAATATATTACGTGTTTGAAATTAATATTTTTAACAGTTTTGACGCGTTTTTTTAACAATAAAAATGTTTTGTTCATAGAAATAACAATATCGTTTACATTCAAGACGCTATTACATGGGGTGTATTTCTTATACACTTTTGAGCTAGGTTAAGTGGTCGAGCTGCAACCTGGTTAAACCGTTAGTGTACTTTTGGGTCGGCCGAACAAATGTATTTCAACTACTTGCGTGCGCTCATTACCGGCATAAGTTATGACGTATTGTGGTTCATTTATCTCCACCCCGTATAGCCAAGGATTTATAACGGTGTGCCTGGTTCCACTCGAAAGAATTTGAACTCATAGCGTGAATACAATTGTACGTCTCAAACAGCCATAATCGTGGAAAACGCATATTTTCTCTAGGTACTTCGTTTTATTTTTTTTTAATGTAGGCTTATATTGTTTGTACATAGGCTTAAGTGGTTAAATCTTCAATGCGCTGCAATACATCAACTCTCTAAATAACATTTCAAAACTTATCGACTTTTTTTAACTTTGACGCGTGAAAGCGACCCTTTCGATTACGAAACCACTTGTGTTCACACGTTTTTCGTGCGCTTTCTTTTGTCAGGAGACGCCATATTACTTTCAAAAGCTTTTAGTTAGTCACCGATATTAAATATGCACTACTACTGGAAAACATATTGATTTTTATTAAATACTCACGTGTAAAATTTACGTTCAGACTTTTAACTCAATACGTATCACTAATTGCAGAAAAGGCTCAAATCCTAATGGAAAAGTCAACCGGTGTTTTGTATAAAAAGAAGACAGGTCCAGCACATATCCGCCTCTGCACTAAATTTCTCAATACATTATGTTAAAGGTCAACATTTTGTTAAAATACGAGTTAATAATTTAAATAAACGTTCCTATAAGTTCTAAACACTTTAACTTAAAATTATATATTGCACTCTAGTTATCCCGGTTTTATTAAAATATATATATATTTTTTTTTTTATTAGCCTTTATTAGGTAATATGATGGCTCATTAATTACATAATATTATTTATACAAAAACAATAATTATAAAAACGTTAAAATAAGGTAAATATCGACTTACACAAGTATAAATGTATTTCAGTTACGTTTAAAACAGTAAAGTGTAGAAAAGAGACATGTCCGCCAACACAAAATTAGATGATAAATATTAATGTTTTAATAGCGCAGTTAAGTTTTTAACGTTTTCAATGAATGATTTATACGTTGATTGCATTATTATCATGTAGTTGAACAAACCTTGAATGCTCAATGCTGCGCTGCCATTATGAGAACCAGTCCATCGCCTTTTAAGAAGTGAAATTTTTGACCAAATAAGTAAAAACTATTTTTATTATTATTATTATTATTAAAAATATAGAAATAAAGTTTTAACTGATGAGACTACTAAAAATATTTACTAAGAAAAAAACCAATACTGAAATACTAAATTCAAATTTATAATTAAATCTATAGTTTAAAAAAAAATAATAATAATAATTAATGTATAGTTCAACTCAATGGTCTATGATCATACTTCAGAAATAAAACCGTGAGTTAAATTATTTTATACTATTTTTTAAATCAAACATTTGATTTTCGATTAAACAAACATAATCACTTCGCTGTAAAAACCAATACTTTTTCGACTGCAGCTTGACAGCTAAAGTAAAGTTACTGAAATCTGTGTAGGGATGTAGGTAGCTCGGTTAGTAAATGATGCTCGGCATGTGGGTTGATGGCATTTTCTTTGCACGACTATATACTATAATGTTTAACATAAAATGGGTTCGATCGAAGCAGGGCAAGTTTGTTTTTCTATAGCCGTCGAGTATGAACCCAAAGTATTTTTTGGCATTTGAACGCATTCGGCTGGAATTAAATGAGATAGGTACCGAGATAGTAATACAATATTCCGCTTTCAATAATAGTACTCATAATATGTCGGACTTTGACGTACCTTCGGTTGGCTTGGAGTTTAAATAAATAATAGTAGTGAACAAATTCATACAAACTGATAAAAACTACTAAAACACAAGTTTACGAGAAAACGTTGAGCCATAAAACAAGAACTCAGTCCTCAAGATGAAAAATTAATCTTTTTGGTGAACACAATTACACTGTTAGGTGTTCCACGTCACATAGTATATGCTAATACATTTTCGGTTTTTTAATTATACTAGTTATATATATATATATATATACACCATCATTAAAAAGTCTTAACGCCATTAGAACGACCGATCAAAATGTTTCAAGCTGTTCGATTTTGGACTTGCGAATTTGAATAATTATAAAAGCTGTAACATTGTGTAGGTAATGCGATCTGTAAGTAATTCTATTCAATTTACATGCTTTTGAATACACACCTACATAAATAATGTCGATCCGCACTTTCTTGACTGCTCTCGTTTGTCCTTATTTACATTTATCACAAAATAAGTGCTTTTGAATGACTCATTAAGATGGAAGTTTAAAGGAAAAAATTATACCCAAAAAGAAACACTACATAAAGTTCTATTTAAAATTAGTACAGGAATAATTTTTCACTCCGTTCCAAACGTTTTTTTTTTTTATGGTTTAGATTTTAAAATAGAATATTTATTTAAAATAGTATTATATATAATTAATAAACATTTATCCTAGTATATACGACTGTACGTAATGCTGAAACAAATTATCGGTGTTAACAGAGACACCTAGCGGATTTTCCTCTTCTTAATTTGCCCTTATTCCGTCAAAATTAAATTGTAATTAATTGAAAATAATGTTGTACGCACAAAATTGCAAGTTGTTAATATTATTTATTGTTAACTATACAAGAATCTTTTATTTGATTCCTTGAATTCATTCTACATAGACTTTGTTAAATATGCAAGCGTTAAATTTTAATTAAGTATTACATTTAAACATTTATCTACTTTAAAGATGGGTATCGTTTGGTAATTGCATTATTTGTGTTATTAATTTAATAAGAACGATCTGTTTAATCTCGAGACGCCATAATATTATTATATTATAATATTGTACAATAATAATAAAAAAAGGTCTAACTAAATTAGTTATGTAACTGTTTTTTTCCGATCTAGATTGCGATGAAGTTCAAATGGCAAGTATGACTAGTATACATTAGCAGTGTATTCTAATTTATTTCGTAAATAATCTTATTTGTACCAATATAAATAATATGCGTGTACAATGCAAATTTCGTGTTTTTGAGAAAAAATATTTTATTACAACAAATAACAGACATAACATCTCTAAAACTGTAACACAATATTACAGAAATGTATCATACACGTGTGTGCATGCATCAAATCACAGTCGAACCCCGTAGGTAACAATTAATATTAGTTATTCATTCGGTATAAAAATAAGATTTCTGCCTATTTACACGTACTGCCGTTCGATCATGTGTCCTACGATGGACGCGAGCAGGTGGTCCGCTTTGGGTCCACCCGATTCGTTGATCAGTTCGATGCGTTCGTCGTCCGTGCACGTGGTCAACTTCTCTACGTCGGGTGGCGTCGGGTGCACCATTGCTGGCAGGAAGAATGAACAGTGTGCGTATCCGTAGAGGGCGCGAGGTCGCATCTCTTGGTGTACGTCGATCGCGGCCATGCCGGGAAACGCTTTAGCCATGCCGGCCACGTAGGCGGCTATGTACGAATCCCAGTGCAGCCGGCGGTCTTCCTCGGTTGTGTTCAAATACAAGAAAAAGGACAAGTCGACCGCTGGCGACGCGTACCTCGCTTGCGCCGTGTCGAACAACAACACGTCCACGGGCCGACCGGTCTCGTCGTACTTGTAGAGCAGGTTGTTGCGACAAAAGTCGCCGTGGCATAGAACCGCGTTCGGTTCCACTGGTCGTAACAATTCCGCCATGGTTTCACTGTTGCCATCCAACAACGACCGCATCCCGTCCAACCGTTCGGACGGTGTTTCGCTGTTGAGTACATGCGCGCTCAATCCTCTGTGGCCGGTTCCTGCGTGACGCAACACATAATATACAATAACATAATACAATATAGCGACTATAATTAGGCACAATCGGCTTATGACCCGTGGTATATTATGTACAACAGTACACATGACTAGGTTTGGACCGATTTGGACTAGAAAATTTTAAATAGAATACAGTAACCAGCCCTATAAATGCACACTTTAACGATAAAAATAACATTTTGCTACCTCTTCTCTGCCTATACTAGAAATGCTCAAAAAGTATTTATACAAAACTGATTATCGACTACCTAGTCATTGTTTTCATTATTTTACTCTGCTTTTGATTAGTAAATCAAATATGCTGGTCTCCTTTTTTAAAATTAAAAATTACCCTTTACAAAAATATTTTACAACACTAACAATATTAAATTATTGTTGATAATTTGATGAAATAATTATTGTGAACGCAACTTTTTGGATAAAACAATTTATTATTAAATAGAAAAAATGACTGTGATATAAAATACTTAACACCCTGTGCATAATTTTAATGCAGTAGTGAAATAGTAGCATACTATCTGATGATCTACCACGCAATGGTCCGAAACACCAGCCAACAACGGTGAATTACTATAACGTAACATTTAAAATGATAAATATTGTGCACAATATAAAAATCCATAATAGCTTCAAAACAATTATTCCATTTTTTAATTAAGTCTTTATTGGTTGGGTCTGGTTAAGAACTATTGTATTAATTTTTTACATGCATACTTTGATTGTTTCGCATTAAATTAACTAATATTTATTATGTGAAAGCTATTTTGTGAAAACTGCTTAGACTGTTTTAACTTCAAGTGGAATTACTGACGAGTTAAAATATTTTAAGTTTATCTTAAACCGTGGATCCTTATGACTATGTAGCCGAAGCGATTTGCACATTGAAATGCTCATATTCCATTGAAAATTATTATTAGGATATTTCAATAAAATTGATTAATATTGTAACCCGATTATGTTTCGCGCTACAATGAGTTTTTGAGAGAAAGTAATATACGTAAAACTATACATTAAGTTTCCTATTAACATTATTCATTTGCAAAAGTTTTTCAACTGACAATAGCAGGTAACAAGATTATGTTTATAAACGTTTGCCTTGACTTTCGCTTAAATAAGTTCAACGGTTTAAGGTAAGGCAGTTTGACATTATCTTTTGTTGATTAATATTATTGAACACTCTGACGTCCGAGATAAACCTTTTTTATCTAAGCCGCAATGCAATAACGATATATTTTATCTTTATGTACTATGAACTTTATATTATACGTAATATTAATAGGTAAACATATATAACAAATATTGTGATTACACAACAAACATTATATAAATAAATTGAATCATATTATGAACTTTAGTGTAAATCAGATGCTGTAAATATAGAATCAAACGAAAAATAAGTAGTTTTTTCAGTGGTATATTAGACCTAAAAGCCTGACAAAATTACACCTACTTAGGATAGTTCGATCTCAATTCTGTAAGAAAATTCTAATTCATTGACTACTGGGTTATGTAGAACATAGATTTTCATTTAAAATAGCATTGTTGTTCCGCATCGAAGCAGTTTACTGTAATCAATTAATACTTATAATTTGACAATTTTTCTATAATAAAAAAACATTTTTTACATAAAAACACAAAATTTTATACATAATTGAAATTGGACCATTTTAAGTAGTCGAAATTTTGTCAGGGTTTTTTTCTAAGACGTCAAAAAAAAAAATACACCGCATTCGATGCCCTTAAGCCAAATTAAAGACCAACATCACAACCAAAGTAACCTATTTTTCTAAATATTAAAATTGGCATATTTTTACACTCAAATACAGTACAATCTGTCCAAAACAGACTCCAAATTAGGTAAACTTTACTAAATAAGATAAAAAAGTAAAAACGGGTTTGCTCGGTCTCGTTAGGAGAGAAAAAATGTTGTATCAGCTAGAGTTTAGGTGCGTCTGTGACAACCTGATTTTGTAGTTGTAACCACTAAATATAAAAAAAATACTATTCGGTAAAGTAGTTGTTCTTTTAACGTAATCATTAATTAGTCCAAAAATATTATAAAGTAGCCCTAACTTAAATTGGAGAGTTCGACTACAAGAACTGGTTGTCACGGATACGTAACCAAAGTACTCTTAAAGAAACACATTTTTGCCTTTGCTTGAGATTCCATTCTAGACAGAACCAACTGTAAAGTTATTAATTGATAAAACAGAAAATTTACCTTTAAAAACAAAACACGTATTTTTAAAAATATTAGAACAATAATCGTTTGAAACTATCAAAAATATTTCGTTACACAAATCATAATTTATAAACCAAATTTTAATTTTAATCAATGATAAAAAAAAAGTAATCTTTCTGGTTGCATTTTTTTTATTCAAGTACATGAGAAAACTAAAATTCTCCAATAATATTTTTTTACGTCTTTGGATTATAACGTTAGGCTGTAGAAATTTTAAATTATTTCATTTTGTAACAAGCCCTCGCTGTTTGTTGTAGTAAATATTTATATAATATTGTATTAAATAAAATCAACTTGTCGTTTAAAGTAATAAATAAAGGAAGGAACCGATTTTATTAAAATTTTAACACCTAGAGAGTGAAAAAAAAATCATTTGGTTATTATTGTTATTGCAAATAAAGACTAAAGCTACGTTTTTTCTTGCCCACTAAATAAACGCGTTTTATTTGTTCAAACAATTTACGCTTTTAACGTAAAGTATTGTTTGTTTATAATATTGTCTTGTGGTAGAACGACGACTAAATGCTAGGTATTAAGCAACATTTTTCTATTAATACAAATGCTAAACATTCTATGTATAGTAGAAGAGAAAAATAAAAACTACGACAAAGGTAAACAGCGTAAACTATAACGTAATATTGAACTATACACTTAAACATCTCCCCTCATTGGTTTCTTTAAATATTAGTAAAACAAAACAAAATAAAAAAACTATTCAGTATTCAATTACGGGCTACAGACGATGATTATAAAACTATTACTTTTATCTTATTTTATATTGTACATTGAACTAGTTAAATCAGTTATTATATGTATAACCCAGCACATAAGTTCGGCGTACCGAACTTTAATGTCTATAAATGTTAGACATTTAAGTATAATATGTTTAAGATTTAAATTGGCTTATATTTTCTTAATAATTTAAAAAATGTATATTACATGGGAAGCGACTGAGCTATAAAGAGTACGCCTTTGATAAAAAAAATCCATTAGCACTCGAAATGTTAATGAACTACCACAAAGAAAAGATATTTTTTTCAAATGATCTTGCGGTCGTAATTATTTTATTTCTTCTCATTTTATGCGTGTAATAAAAGCGTAAATGTTTCTTACATTTTCAATTTATACAGATTAACATTCAATTGCTTTTCTTACTGATGATTGATTTGACTTTAAAATATAATATCAACTACTCCAAGTCATCAATTAATCCAACCCCACGATAAACTTTCAATTTTTACCTATTGCCATAATAATTGTGTTTCAATTATTGGTAATTTTGAAGATCGGCTATTATTAAAAATACTATCAAAAATCTTTAGTTCATACTCTCTAGTCTCACAATTGTCAAAAAAAAAAAACAATTAATTTAACAGTTTCTAATGTTTTATTCTCCAACGAGATTTCCCAATATACTACATTTGTAGTCTTTATACCTTAATTTTACTTATACATGGTATAAACAACTTGAAGTTATAAAGTACTTAAAAAATATTATGTTGAACTCGTTTTATTTTTGTCCTAGAGAAATGTATTCCCCTCCCTCTCGCTATTGTCAGCTCGGTGGTTTGAAAGTTATTTAATGCGAACAAATAAAAAAAATCATTATTGTAAAGCCAACACGTTCTCAGTTTAATCACGTCTAAGCTTATCTGACTTAAAAAGAATCTCGGGGAATTCAGAACTCATACTTCAAGACCAAAATAACTCGATTACCGTATACGATGCGAGTTTTAAAAAAAAAGTGAATACATAGAAACTACCTTCGACTGTTTCATAAAGTTAATAAATATTTATGTTACATTCGAGTTATTATCATAGCCTTTTAAAACAAAAAAAACGTGTACAAATGGAATTGATATATCTGACCGTAAAAATGTATTGTGCATAGTTAATATAGTATTTTTTATTTGTGCTAACAAATCTGTGCATTACAAATTTTACTACATAATTCCAGTTCGGAGTTGATTAGACAAAATCGAGGTATTAAGTTCAAATAATAAGGTAAGTGTATTGTTTTTTTTTTATCAGAATCTCAGAATGGCTGACAATCAGCATCTTTATTAAAAACTATCGACAAACCGAGCACGAGGACTTTATTTAAAATATTAAACGTGGTATACCGGCCTTTGGTAATCCACTCCAATGCCGTACGCGCAAAATGCTAATATCTTAAATCGTTGTACGTACTCGGGATGCTGGACTAATTGTATTTCCAATTCTAGGTACTCGAATATAATATATACCTACCGTATACTGATCGTCAATTTCTCATACCGTTTTACCGTCTTATTATATGCAAAAATTATACTGCAATGATTGACTATACAAACGTCCCTTGCACATGTTATGTGTACGTACATAACCGTATTATGTGGTAAGCTTAATATATCACGTTCATTTACCAATATTTAATGAATACACAGCTGATGTACAGTAAATATTTATAAACACAGCTTAAATAGATTATGCTTATGGAATTAATATAACTCCGGGCGTCTGCAGTATTATCAAAAGTCCATTTATCTGTAAAAACGGTTCAACGGCTGTCTCTAATTATTTAGTGTAAACGTATTTCTCTTTTTTTGCACAGCGAAAAAGTGGCGTATGCACCTGATTAAAGAGTGATGCACTAGTTAAAAAAATACACTAGCAAAGCCTTTGTCATCTGTGTGTACCCATTTGAAAAACTCTTTTCTCCGTCATATATTATACATTTTGTCACAGTCTAGAAATAATGAACCATGTAAATAATTAAAAAAAAAAAAAAATTTAATAATAATTGTTTGATAAAATGGTGTGTGCCAGTATGTATTTTAAGATTTTGAAACCGCATTTTCATGTAAATACATTTTTTTAAGCATAATAATTCGTTCATACTTATATTCCGTGTACAATCATTATTCTATCAGTGCATTAAAACTGAAAATTGTATTACATTTATAAAATAATTTTAATAATTATCAAACAAAATTTGTTGTAATTTTAGTATAATATATACTAAAACTACAATACATTTTGTATTTTTTAACAATTATATACAGTTCAAAACTGGAAAATGCTAAAGAGCCCTGCTTTTGCCTATTTATTATTGCAAAATAGTATAGAATATATTTAACCAAAAAAATGTAGATTTTTTCCGGAAGTTACATATCTTTTGGTATATTCGGTTTTTACTCAATTCACACGGTTCAATGTCTTTCCTACGAGGGAAATAAAGTATATGAAATACGAAGTGGATAGGGTGATCAATGATACCGAAAACGAAAATAACGTAGTCCGATTGATGGATAGAAGTGCGTAATATACATAATCAAACATCTCTCTCACAATAGAGAGAATGTACAAGTTTGAAAAAATAAATTTATTCGAGCTTGGTAATAATAATACTGATCCTTTACGCTCGGCTTCGGATTTAGGTACCGATTTCAAATTTTCCAGCCCACTACTGATTACAAAAGGTCAAACGTATAAAACAAGGAGTATAATACAGGACGATGTACGAAACTATACTGTGTACGGAAGATACGATTTCACTGGTTTAGTAATTATATTTATCAATATATATATATATATATATATAACATTTAATCGTGTTGCTTATAGGCCGTTGGTAACTATGGAAACAATAGGACACTAAATGTAACATGACGCTAATTTTTGATAGACGTCCAGCCAAAAGATCTGGATTAATCTTACATTAGCAAATAACTATAATTTATAACGTTCAAAATTGTTTGTATAAATCGCAGTAACTAATTTTTATAGTGAAAAAAAACTTCTTACGGGAATAGATTTGACATCTCATAATAATAATAGAATTGTGATGATTTTTTGTGTCATTTAAAAAAGAAAACTACTTATGGCCTAAATGTTGGCATATTTTTCTTTATAAATTAATTTTTAATTACAGTTTTAATCTTGCTTAGCGAGTGGAAGTCTTAAGGACGTTCCTGAAAAATTGGAAAAAAATCATAAGTCTGGATAGGATTTACGTTTGTTGTACTTGGAATAATTTTCTTTAGAATCGGCATTGTTTTAAAATAAAACTACTCTCTTAAGCACAAAGCCTGAATAACTAAAGATCATTACATTTTTGCGAGAAACTGAAAATGTTCATTTCATTTTTTATTCTTATTAATACGTCCATATTGTAAGCTAGCAATTATCCTTCGAGTAACCTAATATAAGTGATGAGTATGATGATGTACAGTAATGATATTAAAATGGCAGAAGGAAATCGTTCCTAAAAGCTCTCAGACGTAATAACGACTTAATATTATTAAAAACGAATTGGAAATGCTTAAATGAGCATTTACATGTTGCAAACGATTAGTGTGACTTAATGTCATAGTATATAGGACATACCGGCAAAGTAAAAGCCGATAGTATAATAGGTAATTGTTTACGGTCTAACCATGTATAATGTGTGTATTACTTGTATAACCTAATTAATTGAATAGCATATATATGTCTAGCATCTATATTTCTTGTCATTTTTCTTACAACAAAGATTTTCGTGAAAAGTCACTCAGTTGATGTCAAGTGAATATATACATTTTTTTTGTATTGCCTTGCAGCAGAAAATAACTTAATGAATTTTAACGGTGTCGTGTGTACCATAAATTCATATCGACTAAAATTTCAAGATTTCTAACCAGAATGGGTTTTACTAGAGTTCATCCTTAAAAGGGAAAAATATCTAATGCCTTTAATTAGAACCGCGAATGGAAATTTCATTTTATTTTATTTTTTAACGAGAGAATGTGTTTTTCATCCTATCCATCATTTACAATTACTAGGCTTTGTGAGTTATATTTTTTTTGTCGAACTTAAGTTAATCCGTTGTTTGTTTTTTTTATTATTACATTTATTATATTTTTGTCATAGCAGATTTTCAAGACCTTATCTATAATGTTGACAATTATAACACTCATACTGTGTTGAAACTATATGGATCACACACTTCAAAATTATTGATCAAATGACAAATTTAAAAATTATAATACAACTATGTGGCAATTTTTTATTTAATATCAATAGATTTGTTGTAATGTAGTTAAGTACTTATTGCAAAAGTATTTTGTAATAAGTACTTAACAGTAGTGTACTAAAATAATGAATATTATTTTATAACTCGGGATATAATTAATGCTATTTTTTCCCCTTAGAGATATTTAAAAAAAATAATATGTTACTGTTGGAAGCATGTATGTTACCATACATTTTCGGTGATAATTGGTTTACCAATTTAAATTTAATCATTTTGGTTTTCTTTTAGTTTAAAAGCCGTGATAAGAGTGAATTTAGTCGCTTTATTACATTGTTTATTAAAATATTTATGACTTCTGATATTGGTTATGACCATATTGTGATAGTAGCCAACTGTACACTATTTAAGTAAAGTCGTTATCTAACCAAGGCTATTAAATGTACACCATACATAATTTATAAATAATTAATACTCAAATGATGATGATATTATTCCACCTTAGCAAACAACTACAAAAATATTTACTTGTTTATCTCTAAATTTTACAACGCCGACTTATCTCGTGTGTTGTTTCTAGTTCTAACAGTGTATAATTAATAACATTTCACTATAACTTTGCTTTAACCAGCAATTCAACCGATACGACGATATTTATAAATTATTTATTTTTTGTACTGTATAGTTCAAAGTCAACAAAATTTAGAATAATTATGTTTCATTTATTCAATTTAAAAAGGTGTTTTAAGAATTCTAATGGCTCAGCTTAACAGTTATTTTTTTTAAATAAATTAAAATAATAACAAGAATAATTTTGATTTCAAAACTACGAGTGTGTGTGGAAATATCACTGAATATATTTGACAAATTTCCAAAAAATCCATTTAAAAAGTATTTTTTTAAACTATTCTATGTATAAATTACTTCTTATATACATAAAATAAATATGTATTACAGTTTGACATTTAGTTATGATATGAAGCTGAGAATATATTAGTTTTACAACGATTTATTTATTGTAAAGCAATTTTATAAAACCTTGTTACTCAGAAATATGCCTAACTAATGACTATATTATCAATCTAAAATGGGTTGCCAGTTTGTTCGGAAAATCGAATGTAATAGCAAACCCGACCACACAGAGTTGACTTTTGGTTACATTAGAAAATATATTTTAATTCAAATTTCAAATATTTTATATGTTAAGTTAGAATGTCAAATTGTTCGTTATATAACAGCGTTTTTAAAATTCTAGCTGAATCTCATAAAAAAATTCGTTTTTATTCATTATTAACTCAGAAGGTTTTAAACTTTAGAAAGTGTATACATTTTAGCTATATTTAATAACATATTAAATCCTAATTATTTATTAATATTTTGAATTAATAAAGTGACAAAACAAATGTTTTGAATTTTTAAATGTGTTTTAATAAGCGTGAAATAACATACAGTGGAATATAATATATTGAGAATAGATGTTAGACTTCATTCTAAACATGTTGTATATTTATTTTCATGAGACCAGAGTATTGTTTCTTTTTTTCGATCTATAAAGTTAACAAGTATCCGAATATCTAATGTAAATTTCTCAAAAGTTTAGAATTGTTTTCAAACTAAAGTGTACCCTTATCGTGTAAAAGACAAGTCATAATATACCACAGAGCCAAACCTAAAGCTAAAAAGCCAAAGCTAAACGAAGTTTGTACAATTGGAAAGAAGGCCGGAAATTGGAGCAGTTAAAGCATAGATTAGATAAAACTGTTTTATCTAATTTGTGGTTAAAGTTCAAATAATTTAGATACCTGCCAAGAACCGCGGACTCTTGTACCAGTAGCCTTCGAACCATTCGGTCTCGGCTAGCAGACCGACAAGATCGAGGAACTTCTGACGCCCGGTTTCGCTGGCCTTGGCCGCGTAAGAGTACCCGTGAAAAGCGCCCAACTTGCGCAACGCCAGTTCCACGTGATGCTTGTCCAAAAATAATCGTTCGTCAGACAATCGGTACCCGGTCGGAGTCATGTTCTGGACAACGATTACCTGGTATTCGTTGACGTCGCCGTTTGCGCCGGAATTACCGTCAAATGTGACATTGGAATAGACGAATCTAGGAAACAGCGCAGACAACGGAACGGCGCCGGACGCCCGGGCTAGTTCCGGCAACAGTTTGGCGTAGAAGACGTACTCGTTGTAGAATTTTTGATGCATGTTCATCATGGCAGACAGCTGAGCGTTACTGTTTTTGAACTTGATCACCACGGCATGCCGGTCGCCGGTTTTCGTTGTGACCGTGCCGAACAGTATGTCTGACGCGAAGTGATCGGCGGCCACCGAATTCGCGTCTACATCAAAATCTTCGTATTCCACATTGACACCGAACGCCCCCTCGGCGGCGGCTCTAGGGAATAGTTTGGTTTTTAAAAAATGCACGCGACCCGACATGACACGTTCGGACACTCACTATAGACACTTCGGCGAGCGTGAGCAGTTGAACACTGCAAGCGGCGGGCCGTCGGTCTTTCCATCGCAGTCGTCGACAACCGGTTACATAATAATATCAAGGGCCATATTATCAAGCAACGCTCTACCGACGGGACGTCCAATGGTTCCCAACCTATCATGAAAATCCTACCGCACTGCGCGTACGCTCGTAGTTACCAGCAGGCTTACGCGCTCGCCGTTCGTTTAGAATTTATTGCGAAAACCGCAATAATATAATAATGTGGTTTATTATTTATTAACATATATCAGACATCCGTAGCAGTATATATATATATATATATATATATATAATACACACAACACAACGACACGAGAAGGTACATAACGGTTTAATAAACACGGCACCTACGCGCGATCGACGTTCAAACGTTTAACGCCGTTGTAAATTATAACTAGCGCCCTCGCTCTTTTTACCCCAAAAACGACACTTCGCTTACGTTTGAGTTATGGTTACTGTGGTAGGATTTGTTCTCCGTCTGTGCACCGTTTGTATTACAAGTTACAACCGAGCTCGTAAAATATTACTATTTATTTGTATAATATACATATTATACATACAAGCACTTTTATTTTAATTTTTTTTTTACTCATTATTTGTTATATAACGTCTATAAAATTAATGTACATAACAAGCGTATTGCTAAAGGATTTGTATTTACAAAAGCGAATGTGTCATGAGATAAGAAACCGCACACCGACGACATTTCACGGTAATTTTTTTTTTTTTATTATGTATTTTTTTAGTTTATGTTTACTATTGCAATATGTCTCGGCACTATTTACGTTTTAATGTTTTAGGATGGTTTCCTAGCATGTTAGGTAAAGCAGGATTTCTTACCAGAATATTTTTCAACATTTCCATTGATGGGGAAAATACGATAACCTTAAGGTTGCGTTGGAAATATAATATCATCAGCCTAGTTAGCAAAGTGCATTAACTCCAGAAAAATCAATTTTCGGTACATTACACTATTTAAAGGAAAAATTAAAAATTGACTCAAAACTAGTTTAGAGGTCAACCAGTCAAAATTTCCAAAATTGTATGTATACATTAGTCGTTACCATTTATATTTCAAAAGTACCCCCTACCCTAAATCTAGCTTCTGACTTGAATAAATACAAAAACTTTAAATTATTATTATTTAATAAAAATCAAAATGCTTTTACACATGTAATTTTATACAAATTTAGTATATCATCAAAAAATCATGTGGGCCATAAAATTCTGAAGACTCCTGTAAAAGTATTGGCAAAATAAATGGTTTGTTGGACAATATAGATCTATTTCATTAAATTAATCATATCTATCAGTATACCTTAGTTTACTGATTTATGATAGTTGTATACAAAATTAAAATGATTCCGAAGATGGAATCTATATACATAGACCTGACATAATGACAACTACATATATGAAAGATTTATTGATTCATCAAATATTAATGAATCTTTACTAACTTATCAAATAACTGATCGACTAGTTGTTTGTCATAAGGCACGATAAAAGTTAGGACTGTGTCGCTGTATAATTTATTATCGAATGACATTGTAACTTTTTTTTATAATATTATACGGGATATTGAAAAATATTTATAGTAATTGATAAGTACAAAGAATAAGCAACATTAAAATGCATAGATAATCGGGATCCAGTAAAATTAATTTATAATGTATTATATCTCGTTTACATTCAGCCATTGCCATTGCTCCTCGTGCTGCTTAATTTACCTCCCAAAATACTTCGAAGGCAGTGAGTGTTGACATTGCCCATTGTTTACATTAACCGGTTAGGTTGCTGCACGCACTGCTGAAAAACCCGCCGTTGGAGGGAGCGTCGGGCAGGAACATGGCCAGCGCGAGTGACGTGTTTACATACTCGCGCTGCCAATTTTCATGCTCACTTCCTTGCTCATTGCCACGGAAGTGGGCTGAATGCAAACGAAGTATTAATTTTCAACCAAAATTTTGTAAATTTTAAATAGTCAGACAAATTGGACTCATCTGGACCGCTTCGTTACTATTTAATTTTACCGAAATGCAAATTTCATACGTACATAGGATAATACCAATAATAACAGTGTCGCGATATCAATACGGTAGTTATTTACTAAATCTATTACTGATATCTATGTTTTACTAAAGAAATTAAAAACACAAAATTTCACTCACTTAAGTTTTACAATTGCATACGTAATAAAACAACGTATATAATATTAATCGCCCGAGAACGATATTTTGACCAAGGCTAAATTTCACAAGCATAGAGCGTTCTAAATAATTTGTTAACACATGCAAAATACATGATGATATTACAGTAAATTACCCCGGGACCCGCGCTATATTATATATTCAAAGCGCTCACGCTCTCAAAGTATAGACACATACATTAAATTATAAGTAATCAGAATCTTGCGCAGTATGTATTTGTTGGCAATTAACAGAAGGTCTAACCGGATTTAACAATTAATGATCAAACTAATGCAGAATGCTTATACATGTATCATACAAAATTAAAACTATTATATAGGATTTAATGACCAATAATAATAATAATACTGTATGTCATAAGATTGTGAAATATTTCACATAGAAAATAAAAAACCTGTGTAAATCATATAGGCAAAAAGCGTTTATAATGACTTTTTTCCATTATCTACTTTTCGAACCGGAACCGCTATAAGAACTACAAGAGAATAAGCCGGTGCTTGGGGTGCAATTAAATTGTACGGTGCGTAGGCATCTTTTGTTGACATAGTTCGGTGTTGTGTTTACTAAGTTTTAAGAGAACAGAAGGTTGTTTAAGGAAAATCTTGGATACGGAGCTAGACGAAACATATACCGACACAATGACAGATAAATACCGTTAGGTCTAGTATTTAACCTAATGAAAACCAGAAAAAACTCAAGAATACATAGCATAATAATTAATCTTGATCTTTGTATTAATGTCAACATCATTTTTGTTTAATAAATATTTTCGAGGCCGTTTACAAAATGTTAACTATTGATTTTACACTAAAAATTCGTTATTTTTTGTCCTCTTAAGATAATTTTATAACAGTTTTCAGAATTTAAGGTTATGCTATTGATTTGTATGCTAACCAATAATTACATAAATAAAATGATAACTGTTATACTAATGAATGAATGAAAATGAATGCTTAATAAAAAAAGTTAATAATTTCGTTTCATTGAAGAATAAATTTGAGACAATAATTGCTGTTATAGTAAAACATTACGATTTTTAGTAAAGAATAAAAGAGTAGTCAGTAAAGTATTTTTAAAAAAAAATACATTAGTCTATACGATTATTTTGGTAGCAATACTATCATATCAACGCTCACGAGTCACGACAGAATAAGACCAATTACAAAATTTTGGTTCGCTTCAAGCAATTTAAAAAAAACTTAAAATTTCCCATGCTAATCAAATATAAAAAAAAAATCCAAAGAAGAACTTATTGTTAAGCTAGTAATCTAAAATATTTAATATGCTACAAATTTCTGTTTAAAAGTTTGCCCAGACCTTTGAACAGAAAAATGTGATGGATCGTACTCAGTTTTCTTATATCAACATAATTATTCCTATTTACTTATTAACTGAATTTACTTATTTTGTATTTATCAGTTACCTGCAATAGTGACATAATTAGAGATTGTCGATGAGAAGGTGTTAACATTTATCTGTTTTTAATTACAGTAATCAAAAAGAAAAACTTAAGTTAAATAATAAATTAGGGTACATAATATGTTTCAATCATTGGTTTTCAAATATTTTATCGTTGGTTTAGTGTTTAAATTGAAGTGGCCTAAAATTAAAACGGTCGTTATTCGTTTTGGTCAAAAACTATGCGGGTCAAAAAGGTGTAAGTATATTTTAGCCGATCTAATTCCGCATTATACTTTTTTATGCTACTCTTGAAAAGTTGGCATAATAGCTTACGTATTGACTGGTTCTGAGGTATAGATATGTTGACACTCGTTACCGATAATATAATGTGTGTGAAAATCACGTCAACCGGTGCAGCACTCACTTAGTAAAAATCAATAATATTGCAGACATATTGTCTTTATATAATATTCTTTATGGCTGGGTCAAATAGATTCTGGAAACAAAAGTAACAAACATGTTTTGGACGTACGAATTGAACAACCATCCAATTGTAAATACAACAATATGTTTGGAACAGGAGTACACCTAGCTGGTTCGTTTACAAGAACTAATGGCCTTGCCTCTCTGTTAGATTTGGCAAGTGCCCAGAAAAAAACCCAAACACTGTTAATCGAAACATCAAAGCTCGTCCATGTCAGTTATCATTAAAGTAGCAACCATATATCTATACCGACATACCTTTAACGTTGTATTAACATGGGAATTATAAATATAGTATGAAAGATATAGATCAGAAATGGATCTAAAGTTTGGGTTATAACATACAATATATATATATGTTGTATTCACAACGTTCAAAATATAAATGAATAATAAGTTATTCATATATACATTATTTTTATATATATATATATATATATATATATATATATAGAAAAGTTACAACGGCAACCAACTATTATAGACAGACGATCAACCTTAATAATATTAAGTTAAGTTATTATTTTTTTTGTAAAAAATGTACGTTTTTATGTGAGCTTAATACCTGTACACTTATGCATTTTACCAAAAACATTATAAGTTTTAAAGTATCACTTTGTCGTTCTTGAATAAAAAATTCCCAAATTTCCATAAAACTAACTTTAGTATATGGAGGAAATGTGACAAAATGGAATTTATACAAGTATAATACATTGAATAAATACGAATATAAAATACATACAAAAACTACGGCATTGTAAAAATCGACACAAAATAATCGCCAACAAAAATCGATGTAAAAAAAGTCACAGAAGAAGTACAGAAGAGAAAAAAAGCAAAAACCTATTTACAGTATACGTATCTCAACAGTTCCATAACCTACCAAGTTGTTAAAACTTAAGAGCTTAAAAAAAATTGACTACTTTGATAATACTCATGTTATTGGTCCTTTTTTTCCTTTTAAATCGTACTTATACTTACACTTGAATTATGCAATATACAGGTTATAAGTTTAACCAATGGATATCGAGCCAATAAAACTAGGGGTTAGAGGTGGAACCATTGCTTTTCTTAACTAGTTGGTCATTATTGTCCTCGCTTTGGGTTGTGATAAAACAATTCAGGTAGAAGTTACGGCATATCTAGATAAATTGGCACAGTTCTCTTTTAGCGTTAAAAAACAAAGGGTTATATTCACAAGTCTAATTTTCAGACCTTAAGCTCTCAAACTACACGTAAGAAGCGAAATAAATTCGTACTTTCACTGGGGGAAGGGCTTTTGATACTTTTTTGGATAGTCAATAGACAAACAATACACATTGATAATACTTTCTAAATCTTGTTCTATACAAATTTGGTACTAATTCGATTATTTCAAAAAAAGTTATAGTGCGTCATAGTCTTAAGTTGAAAATGATGTACATTTTTTTGGTGTTTTTCTTGATTTTGAAAGGGATGGGATGATTTTTTTTAATTTTTGGGCTAAGTATCTTTCCAGTACGATTTCTGATGTGTGTTGTTGGTAACATGAAACTAATACATTTAAATGTTTAACATATATATGTTAAATCAGTATTTGAAAAAATAGATTTTTTTACTATATGCTGTAAATAAGAAGTCGACAAATCAAAGTATCAGCTCGCAAATTAATAGCTCAACATAAACCAAAAAATGAATGACTATAATCACTAAAGAGTAAAAAATAATTAAGGTACTTACTTATTTGCTGAAATTCTGTGACTTCATAAAACCTAAAAAAATAATAATAAATTGATAAAAATATGTTTACTTCTAGTTCAATACTGAAATTAAATTTAGTAGTACAAAAACTAAACAGGCAATTAATATGCGTGTACATATTATACATATTTATTGTAATGGTAATACCAATTTTTGGCAAAAATGAGATAGACACCTAAACATATAAATTAAAACACCCTTTATATTTTATATTGTATGAAAAACATATAAAAATTGTATACATTAATGGCATATTTTAAGTCCTCCAACGTCAAAACAATACATATCTGACTTCCAATATTTGTAGGTACACTATGTGTATAATAAGCTTTAAGGTATTTATTTTAATACACATAACTAACATTTTCAATAATATACACTTTTGTGATATGACACCTGTGGACTTTTTTTTTAATAGAAAAATATTGACAATTTTTAGAAGGGTTTTTGTGGTTTTCCAAAACGTTCAAATTGACAACTTTTTTTGTAAACCGCCATTTTTAACGACCGTTTTCTAACCATAAGTAATATATAGGTATAATTCTTCTTCTAAACGTGTCCAAGCTATAATATTAAGTATAATAAAATGACGAAATACTGATAATTGATTTATAAGCCGCTTAAAACAAAAAATGTTTTCGAATTTTTTAAAATTTACCATACCGTGGCATAATTTTCATAATAGGCGTTCTACAACGGTTTAAGCTGAATTCATTAGTATAACAGTGATAAACGACACTGTTTCGGTCACTGGAACGTTGCTCCCGAGACCAGCGGTAACCGTGTTTTATTTATTAACAGTAACACAAAGCGGTCGTGGGGCTGTAAATCACGGGTCGCGCGCATACACACCCCCAACGGCGACCTCTGTGCACGAGGGATCTTGTTTCATCTTTTTCTTCGTCTCTTTTACTAGATGTGTGCTTCTTCCGCCCCTTATTTTCCTTTGCTTCTCTTTTGCGTTTGTCGCCATGACCTGCCCTGACTCGATTTCGATGATAATAATGTACTGTGGCGACACTTACACACGTTAGCTACTCCCGGTTCAGTATACCCACTTGGTTTGTCGCACAAATGAGACGGAACGCGTTGCTCATGGTTTATTGCTGCGCCTTCTAGGTACACCACACCTGCACCCCTCGAATGTATTCATATATACTCAAGAGATTTCCCCACCGGGCCACGCAGCAACATTATTAAAAGACAATTTTTACTTCCCCCTCTTGGATCTAACCCCGACGAGATTTCCAAAAGAATATTTGTGTGCCTCCTTCTTTTTTATAAATACCTGTGATTACGCTATTCTCGCCTAGGCTTAACACAACATTTAGTTGATTATATAAATACTTTGGGAATTTCCAAAACTACAAACATCGGTTCAATCAATTCAATAACAATATACAAAATGTGACCTACAATTTAATATACTTTATTTTTGTCTTGGGAATTTTGAAAAATAACGGCATTGATAAAACGTTACCAAGCCATTCAAAATAATAATTCAAAATAAGCGGCAATGTATTATTTTATTGAAAAAGAAATGCATTAATTTAACAGCAGAATTGTATGCATGAAATATTAAACATTATAAGTAAAAAGAGACAATATTGGTGAAAATAACATCTTAAAAATAAAAAAATTAATTTAGATAGTTGTTGTGACCAATAAAAAATGACAGAAAATTACTTTTAACCCATCAGACCTAACATTTGTTTTTCGGGTAAAAATTTTTTTTTACTAAAGTTAAGTTGTAGGTCATTAAAAAGTCAAATTTGAATTTTTTTGTTTTTTTATTCAATGATATATTGCATTGTCCATGTACAGGAGAGCTGGGGTATTGAAGGAGTCTTTATGTTGCCCAATAGACGTGGGGTATGGGTTTATATGGTAGCTAAAAATAATTTACAAGCAGTTCCAACACTTTTTATAAAAATGTATTAGAGAAGATGAATAACAGTAATAAACAAAATTATCCTTTGTATATTCACAAATTTAACTAATTAAGAACAAAATATTAATATATTTAATAACAATATAATATGTTAACAACGTACGTGGGGGCTGGGACTCAACTGTTTCTTTATTACTGGAAACTATTATGCGTATTTGGTAGTGATAAAGAAACAGTTGGGTCCCAGTCACTTCGTTACACCAGGGTATAAATCATACGGATTTCCGCACAACTGGAAAAAAATAAGGAACTATTGACAGTTTTTATAGTTTTGCTAACTAATATATCACCAAAAAAAAAAAAATCCCAGATTTTACTGTTAAAAATTGAATACATCATGGGTGGATATATAAAATTGTTGTTGGTCAATTCTTCCATTAGCCAGTTGCTTCCAAAAAAGATTAAATATTTTGTTATCAGCTGATTAATATTAGGATAGGATAGGTGACCACCCGGGATTTTTAACGGTGCCCCTTGTCATGTCCCCACCGCACGTGCTCCACATCTACATAAACCCAACCAAAAACTCAAGACCAATCAACCCACAGTTATTACAAAAGTGGCCAAAGTTTAGGAAAAAAACAAATTTGCTTATGTATGTTCAATGTATCGATTGATAAACAAAATTTAAATTAACACTTTTCGACTAAATCTATGAGTCCATTTAATCTTTTCTCGTATACAATAATAATTATTGATATTGATTCGAGGTCAAATTAATTACGCCCCTTCTAACAACGTGAAGTTAGTTTCATTAAGCTCCATTAGTTTTAAACGGTTGAGTATGAACAGGAAGGATGCCATGCCTGAAGAGAATGATGGCAATAAACTAATGAATATTTAGGGTAGGTAGCTAATAAAACGAGAAAAAAACGCAGTAAGTATTGCTAATAAACTCAGTAGATAGTAACGACACCATAAAATTTAAAACTAGAACAAACGTTCATTTTTAACAAGGCAATCGCATTAAGTAATGCAAGTTGTGAATGGTTCCGATTTTTTAATTCGATAAATAACAAAATAAAAATAATTAAGAAAAGCTAATCGTAAAAACGTTAATCGATTTAAAACATTTTTCGAAAAACTGCACATAAACGATCGTTGACAACAATTATTTTTTAAAATATCTACATGCACATAATAACGGAAATCAATCACAGCGTTGTTCTGATTTATCGTTCTATGAAAAAACTAGACTATAAATCATTTTACGTGGCATGTAAATTGTTCCGTGAATTGAAATGTTCATAAAATATAGGGTGGTGTTAACACGTTACATAAACGTAACATATCGAAAAATTTGAGTGATGTCGCGACATTATAAAATATTTAGCGTTAAATGTAATACTTAGCGGTAAATAACTGAAATTAGTACGTTAAATGTAATTTATATAAAATAATAATAATAATAATTTTTTAAAACTTTATATTGATTATAATTATAATTAAATACGGTGTTTTTCCTGTATTTTATTATTTGAGGATCTGGTTTCAAAGCATATTATTCATACTCTTAACTCTAACACGATCAATGAGCAACATAGTTTTCGAAATTCAAGATATGCAGCTACTAATTTCACAGACATTTCTAAGGACTTTAATACTGTCAGTCATACTATCCTTAAAGATAAACTAAGATTTTTTGGTATTTACAACCCGCTCTTATCATGACTTTCTTCATATTTTTCTAAGCGTTCACAAATAGTTAAGAAAAAAATTATTATTCTTCTTCATTTCAACAAACTAGTAATGAACCTCAAGGTTGCCATTCGGTACCTATCTACTTTCTTATTTATACTAATGACATTTCCTTTTCATAATAAAAATGTTCCTATTCGCTGATGAATGATAATCTTCGTATCGTCAAATGTTCAATCCGCGAATTATAAAAAAAGGTAAATTTATATCTTTTAGTCAATCCCGTTCTAATACATATTTTATCTGAAACATAAATAACGCCTTCTTAGAGTGTGTTTTCAGTTATTGTCCCGAATTCCTTAATCGCTTGTCCATTTTAGTTCCTCAACTATCCAACCGTTCACCGAACAACTTTTATTATAATCTTATTCAGTGAGCCAACTACTCGATGAACAGTTCGATATGCCGTGTTATGTATCTTTCAAATAAATATCATATGTACATTTTCTCGCTTTTAAATCATTGCCCTGTTTTAAGTAATATTTAAATTTGGCACGTGTGCCCCCCTTCCTAAAAATGGAGAAAAAGGCGATGTAATGACATCCGGAAGAATAGCTCTTAGTTAAGTACGCCAGAGTTATTCTACATTATTTTTTTAGGGAAGCACCTCAGAGGAAATTTAGTTATATACACTATATTTCACATTGCCACATTATAATTGATTGAAACCGTCCAACAGAAAATAACATTCAATAAAACAAAGGTTTTAAACATAATGTAGACATAATGTATAATGTAGACAAATATATTGAAAATATAAGTTCAAATTAAGAAGAAAATGTTTTAATTATAAGCAAAACCCTTACCGTTGATTATGAAACTCAAAATTAGTTTCCTTAATATATTTTTTTTTTTTTGTAAAAGGTTTCGGTAATATATACAACCTCATATTTTACAAGAAATGCTAATATTTCAAAGTAATAGGTTTTATCGATTTTTTAATTCCTTAACTTTGGATGACAAATGAGTTTAAAGCCTTCAAAACCTCTATCTGTTGATGAAGTTTTTCCGGTTTTTTGCCTGCCTATGGGTAAGCACACTGATAACGTATAACGCTAATCACCGGATATAAGGCTTTTCAAGCGTGAAAGGGTACTAAGAAGATACGAAACGTGTAGGTTTTTTTTAATCACATGACACTGTACTTTTTTGTTTTTTAATATTAATCCTTTTACAATTAAATGCCGTTTAAATCCATTTTTCAAATTAGATGAATTAATTTTCTGTTTTTTTTTAATTTATTATTATTACACGATGACATTTTTTTAATAGATCATCTTGTTTTTTAAGTTCATTACGAAAATATCTAATAAATGTCATTAATTTGTATTTATACAACTTAATTTAATATAACTTGTTACTTATATCAGAATACTGACTCTCACTGAGAAAACTCGTATGAAAGACCATAAACTTTTTCTATACCATAATTTGAGTTAATATGTCAAATCTTCAAATGATAATATTTTGAGTAATAATCTCAAGTATTTTGTATAATACTTATATTAAGTAACTAGTCAACTTATTAAATTAAATAATAAATTCATTTTTTAGACACACCCTGCACAAACGCAGTACCATCATTCTTACTATTTTTTGGGCAAAGTCAATTTATTATTCAGTCTCCAATTGTAGATGCATTTAATTATTATTAATTATTTTTTTTTATTCTTATAAATCAAAATTCATTATTAATATAATTTAAGATACATTTAATTAATTATTAAGTACAATTTAGAAGTGATAACTAAGAGCAATACATATTTTAAATGTAAAAACCAAAATTGTATTATTGAAGTATAATGGGATACATTTAGATACTTAAACCAGCGTTGTTGGTAGATTTGAGAGAAAATACGTTTGTAGCTGCTTACAAAATTATGTTTTTTTTTTTTTAATTTCTCCGCATAAATGTCAGACAATAGAGAATAAAACCGTTATGTAAATTGTGGATAACAATTAAGAAGCCAGCAAATTTTTTGAGGATGAAATCATTGGTCATATTCATAGTCATTAAAATAATCGTCAATGTAGCTTGAATAAAGTTGCTAGTTAATTATGGTAAAAAAGTAGAATAGTAAGGATTTTATGAAATGTTGGAATAATACTATGATGGAAATAGCTGTTAATATATTATAAATAAGTTAATGAAAATGTTAAAAATAATAGGTTTACAAAAATAAAGGTGCAAGTGTTGTAATTTTGAGGTTAAAATTTTAGTTACCTGTATTGAAATAACAGGACCTAGGAAATAATTTTGTCCGAGGACACATAACGCTATAAGATGTAGGGAAAAAATTATTTTTAAAAAAGAATATCTAATGTTGAGAAAAGGACAATTCGATTGTGTTTCGGAAAAACTAGTCAAGTCTAAAATTTGTGAAAATAAGTTTATATCATACCTAGATTCAGAAAAATTATACGGTGTTATGGGTAAAACGATCTAACAACGATTTTATCAGTCGTTATACGTTTATAAAAATAGGACATCTTTAGAATATAATCAAAATAAGTTAATTAATTATTTATGTAGCTAATATTTACTTATTCCATTATAATACAAATTTGTCGTTTTCCAAAGTTTATGGAAAAGATCATTCCACGTTTTAAATATAAAAAATTACTTTATTTGTTTTTTTACTTTTAATTTTTGAATACTGAAAATTCCAAATTTTAGACTTAGTCAAATTTCCCGAGTACCATAGATTTCCACCTACATATTATATTCAGAGTCTTATGTTGATATGAAATCATGTAGTTTCAGTCCATAGCAGACGCTAAATTAAAAACAATTTAAACTTTTAATGAAGTGTTATACTTGGTTAATAGTTATTATATGAAATGAAATTGTCGTTGATAGTTTTATTAAGTAGGTTTGGATAAAGTTGTCGGATAAAGAAAACTATTTTCTATACTTCATAAACAGCAGAAACTAGTGTTAGATAAAAAGAAAAGTTATCTTAAAATACCACGCATAGAAATGAACTACAACCAAACCCTATAAATAAATCCAAATTAATAATTATAGATAACTATATTAATTATATGACATGTTAATCTGCGGAGAGTAAGAATCTAACTCAATTCAAACCATTTACAGTCTGATTTAGCACAGTAAGAAAGTACTAAGTGTCCACAAATTCACATCGAAGCGTTTTTTAACAGTGGTTTTATCACTTTCAGTTATAATAATTTTTTTTTAATATTTCCTATAAAGCTGTGATCTTCCCGACCTCACTGTACTAGCTTTATTTTATTAGATTGGAAAATAAAAATAAAAAATACTTCATCGCATACGTTTAAATGCTGATAACTTCATAAGTGAATATACGTTATACATTATGCTTAAATTAACCTGTATGTACTAATGGTATTGGCAGTGACTGACAATGGGGATGATACAGAACCCAATAATTTCCAAGCACTCATCATCGGCATTGTTCAAACCTCTGACATCAAAGCATTTTCAATTATTAATTATAACGTGTATATGGTAAGTGCAGTTAAAGCAACTTTAAATTTAGTTGACCTATCTATTATTTAGTTATTCTATCTATAAAATATGTGTTGTGTACATACATATATAACCATAATTATGGTAGAGTCAATTATAAATATTTTTCTGTGTATGAATAAATAAAGATATAATAACACAATAACGTAGAACTTATTGATCTCTTTTACAAAGATCCCAATTCCATGAATATATATACATTAAATATTTTTGATACCTTAATTACATACAATAAAATGTAGAATTAGACTTTTCAAAAAATATTCGTAGAAAATATTTTATAGGAATTTAAATTGTTTAAAATATTAAAACTAGACCAAAACAATTGATAATATAACCTTATAGTTTACTCGTCTGTCTTTCTAAATATTAACTGTCCAAAAAATATTTTTTTCTACATTTTATTTCGTGCTCGTCTTACTGGGGTCAAATCTTTCTTTGTTTTGTATTTTGTTAACATTTTATTAAGCTTCTGAGTTGTGCGTTAATTTACAATTATTTAAAAAAATAAGATTATTAGGACGTTGTCCTGTCCAAATTTCAATAAATTAGTTTGTTATCATTTTTTGAATTTGTAAAAAGCTATTGAGAATGTGTAAACAAAGTAAAAATGAGAGGAAAATGTATTTCTGGGTGATCATTGTATCTAATAATGATCGTGACCATGGATATTCAATTTAAGGAGGAGTACATTTCGAAATGTGTCAATGGGATATTTTACATGCAAGATGAATCAACAAATGTAATTTTATTTTAATGTTCAATTTTATAGTTTTCCAAATTTTTCTACTTTCCCGATTTTTATTTTGCTTACGAACAAAATAAAAAAAGAATTACGCAAATTTACACATATGGTCGGGAGTTCATACAAAAATCCCATGGAAAATAGCACTCAGTTTTTCCCAAATTTTCCAATTTTCCGAGCAACTTTTCCAATTTTGTTTAATTTTTAAAATCTTATTTGGACTATTACGATCATTTAAAAAGATGAGCCAAATCGGTCCAGACATTCTCATATGATGCGCATACCAACGAACAGCATTTCATTTTTAAATTCTTAATTAATAATTATTTATTATTTATTTAATAATTAATAATTATTTATTATTTATTTAATAATTATAAATAATTAATAAACCAATACATACACAATAACAAGAAACTCGTACAAACTACAATCGCTAAAACAAATTAAAAATAGTAAAAATGTGGTATTAATGACACGGGAGTATAATTTATTTAAAGAGCAGCTTAAAAACACAACACTTGAAATAAAAACGTGATGTAATGTTCAATATTAGTTTTATAATAAGACCTTCAATAAACGTTTATGATTTACTATAGTTATTAAGCACACAAACTTATACCTATACATGAGCTTTGTACAAACTTTTATAAAGTCAAAGACCTGTATGAGAAATATTGTTTAATGCATTTTTTTTAAAACTACACGATAAGCTTTCCAGTAGGTAAGTTTTATAAGTTTAGTAATGGCAAACACTTTCGGTGTTTCCGGACCATTAAAGACATTTGTGAGAAAATGGCGATACACATAATATTATATTTCTATACATGTACGTATGGTCGTCTAATATTCGTATCGAAGTTATACATATTTAGTATATATAATGTACAGTTGGATTTTCTTCTTTCACCGAGGGACCCGTTAGGTATAAAATGTTAACTGTCTCTTTATGTGTCTATCTTTATCGCATTTCTTTATATCGTCATTTTTCGTTTTTAGTACTTATTTCTAAAATATAACCAAACTCTACTAAGCAATGCTACAAAAATGTTCATACCGCAATTATCGAATAAGTAACAGGAATAATACTAAATGTAGATGCGATACAAAATGGTGCTCCCCTGTGTGAAACCACATCTATCAAAGACATGCAAAGATCAATAGAAAAAAAATGCAAGAGACTCCTTCCAATCCCTCTGGGAAAAAGAAACCACTAACAAACTTCACCAGTTTAACCCTATAATAACATACAATGGCATGTCTAGGAGGGAACAAACTACGTTGGCAAGACTAAGAATAGGACACTCCCGGATTACTCATCTCTACCTTGTCAACAAAGAACCACAACCTAGATGTGAAGTATGTGACATGGAGCTAACAATTAAGCATATAATTATCGACTGTCGTCGGTGGTCTGACGAAAGAAATATTTTTGGTAACGACAAAAGCCATATTGAGTATCGAGTAAGTTCCCAAATTGTTCAATTATTTTAAAAAAATCAACATGTATAACAATTTGTAAATGTATTGTATTATAAAAGCTCAATTTTATTGTAATTAATTAACCAATGTCTGGCTAATAGCCTAGCTGCTGAAGCCATAATAATAAACAAACAAAAAAAATACTAAATGTATAGGGTGTTCCAAAAAGCAGCAACATTTTTAAAGTTCTATAACTTTTTTAATATTCGTCCAAAATAAAAATAACACATACCATTGTGTTCAGGAGGTCCTGAGGTTTATGCTTAAAACATAACATCGGGCATATGACCGCCTCCGCATGCCCTACAGGCCATCAATTCAACGACCGTGAAATTGCGGATGACGCGTTCGCAGATTTCGACGTCTAGATCACCCATCACTCGCCTGATTTCCGTGGCCACCACGGTCTGGTGACCTGACCCCCTGTGACTTTTTTTATGGGGATACGTAAAGTCGCGAAAAATTGATGAAAATCGAAATTTCATGGACGTTGAATTGATGGCCTGTAGGGCGAGCAGGGGCGGTCATATGCCCGATGTTATGTTCCACACATAAACCTCAGGACCTCCTGAACACAATGGTATGTGTTATTTTTATTTTGGACGAATATTAAAAAAGTTATAGAATTTTCAAAATGTGGCTGCTTTTTGGAACACCCTATATTTATCATATCAGTTGTTTCTTAGCTGTTATTATCTTAATCTAAATTTTTTATAGTCTGAGCGTGCACGTAAATGATTACATTGATGTGCGTTATTTAAATAAATGTGCGATACGCATGTATACAGTATTTACACGAGAAATAAATGGAGTAGAAAATGTGGGAGTTTAGGCGTGATTTATGATGTTATATACAGTGTTTCAAAATAAACGTGTAAACAAAACAAAAATTAAATTACAGAACAAAATCATTTGTTTAAACTTTAAAATATCATTTTAGGTATGAAGATTGTTCCCACCAACCTAAAATTTGTTTGAACGCCCATGTGACCGTGCGCTGTGCTGTCATGTTATCTTTACGACTTTCACTGCGCCACACATTTTTACGGAAATGTAATTTTAAAGCAAACAATAACTTTAACAAACTACTACGAACGTTAAGCAGAATTGAAGACCTTAAGAAACGAGATTTACGGTAACTAAGAAACCGTCTTAGAAATTCGCTAAATAACAAAAATGCCGCACTTTCTACTTTTGTTAAGTAAGTTAAATTTTTGACATAATATTGTAGAAGTGTTGTTTTTGAAACAAATGTTTTAGTAAGGAAAAAATAAATTAGCCCCAAAAGTATGCAAATACGTCGTTCAGAAGCTGACTATAAATGTCAGTAAAAAAATAACAAGGAACTCAATTGTAATCGAATAAACTTTTCTCAAGTCCACCAACTGTTCTCTCGCTTCGTGAACTTTTCAGTATTTTTATACATCTTCTTTTCTATTTGTTCTGTCCATTATACTGATGTTATTTCGGTGACGTTACCATGTCTAATTCTTTTTTTAAACCCCATTTTGCCATTGTTTCCCTCGTTGTCGGCGAGTCGACTCCGGAAATCCGTACTTACTTAAACATAACGTCTGCTCGAAATTTATAAATAGTCATAATCACGCTAATCAATCCGGATATAATCATAAAATCTAAGATACAATAATAAAAATTATTAGGTTTAGGTAATATTTTTTAATTTATGGTAAATTCTACTTATAAATTATGAATGTATGCTAAAATATACAGTTTTAATTAAAAATATTTTTTTAATTAAATTGTATTACACGTTTGAGTACAGATAATATTAAAAGTTGTCTCCTATTTTCATCCAATAAATTAGACGTTTAAGCAATATAACTTGATAATTTTTTTTTGTAATGTCTAGGCATATTGTGATACACCAAAATATTTAGGAATAATATTAGACAGAACTTTAAGCTAAGGAAACATTGCGAGGACACAACCAAAAAGTTAATACGAGAAACGGAATTATAAGAAAATTTATAGAATCTAAAAGGAGAGCAGACCCGAGCACATTACGCACATCTGCCATATCACTTTGGTTTTCGGCAGCATAATATGCGTGTCATGCATGCCCTGCGTAAAAGAACTCTACCTACAAAATAGATATTACAACAAATAAAACAAGATGGATTATTACAGATTGCCTTAAACCCACGACAATAGACGATTTATATATAATTAGTGCGATAGCAGATCAGAAGAGATGTGGCGGCCGATAAAGAGAGACCAAAAATAGAAAACGATGTCAGACAACCACTTGCATGGAATAAAAGTTTTATAAAACCGACAAAACACTGTTTTAAAATCAAGGAAGAGTTTTATGATAACAAGTACACTGATTGTCATTTCAACAAGTGAAGGAAGAGTTAAGTGATGGGAACAAATGATACTGAACATAAAGCAAAATGAAAGAGTGTAAAGAGTCAAGGGAAAAATGTCATAAAGGCAAAACTCTCCCATGGAACTTATGGAGAACCATAAACCGAATAAAAGTGTCACGTGGCCATACTAAAAAGATTATATATAAATTGGGTTTAGCCGAAGATGACAAGTGTAAGGGTAGAGAAGTCCGAAATAAAAGGTGGGTGTACAGCGAGGGATATTGACGACATGAATGGCAATCTCATGCGGTTGGCGGAATACTGGGATGGAAAATTATAGCTACTACTATGTGTAAAACGTTACTATAACCGGCCTTGAAGAGAAAAAAAACTTATCAGTTATAATTTTAAATAACGTGTAATGAAGATTGGCTAAAAAAATAAAACAAAAATATTATTAGCATATTACATCCAATTTTTAAGAAAACTACTATAATATATAATTTTTGTTATTATAGAGCTAAGACAATAAATGACGTATAATAAATATTAAAAAAAAAAATTGTTTTTATATCAAAATAAATATATAAAAGAAGAATACTGTACTAGTTGACTCTAATATTAAAATCCCTCACAGAGCATTAATTCAAAAACAAACTACTGAGTTACAGTAACTTAACTAATAACAATGTTATTTTAATTTATACACATTAAATAATTTATCATACTTAACTACCAACATTTTTAAAAGTAAATTTAATGAAACAATTTTAAAACGAAAACCAATAATTTCTATCATACAACAGCTGCCACATTAGCGTGGATTGTTATTTACAATATTTAAACGTATTAAGACTAATAGAAAATCAAAGTGCAGTTTATTTTTAAAACTTGTTAATCATACAAAAGTACTTGGAACAATTAGTACAAGCCTATTGAAAAATGTATACGCAAATTAAGGCATTTTAATTATTCAATCACTATAAAATAGAGTATTGTTTATTCTTATTTATACTTACTCTTGAACTTAGAACCCGCCGAATTTTTGAATACTCTATAGAAATACAGGAAAAATGAGTAGTCTCCTTCGTATAGAAATGGAAGGCGATAAATTAGTTTTGCTTGGAAATTTCAATTGTGTATGCGAGAACACAAAGTCAGTAGAATCGCTGGGAACGGGTATAATGCCTATTCTAAAATGTAATACAAAAAAGGACCGGGAACCGAAGCACTGTAAAAACTTTTAAATAACTTTAATGTCCTTTCCCACCCTCCACACCACTAGATCGAGCAAAATAATTATTATTATTAGTCGTGTTCTTTTCATTTTTTGCACAAAGTATTATCGTAACAAAATAAAAACGATTTCAGTTATATTAGTCGTAAAATATACGTTTTACGTACTACGTAAAACGTAACAGGCGGTTTTTATTGCTGGCCAACTTAAAATAATAAGACGTTTATTATTCCCGATAAAAACCTATTAGAGTTTCAACCATTGGTGATTTGTGACTAGATATAAAGATCTTTAATGAAAAACCTTATTTAAACTTTAAAAGTAGTACATAACTTTCTTAAGAACATGCTTACATAACAGCAGTTAAATCAACATTCAATCAACTTCTTCTTTTGTTATTGAAATTTTAAAAAGACATGATTATAAAATATAAATTAATCGACATAAACACCTATTTATAGTCTATGGAACTAAACGTGTACTTCATTTTTATTTTTTATTATAATGTAGCCTATATTATACTAACATAACACATATATTATAGGTTCAATACCATTCTACATTAGTGATTACTACATACATACATTTATTTGATTTAACGTGCATTAACAATAATATTGTTTAATAATAACATTAATGTTACTATACAGTACACATTATTCAGATTGTTCTTACACAATTTACGTAGATACTAATTATTGATTATTAACTCATTTTCTGTTAATCGTAATTTTTATTGACATATTTAATATTGACTTTAAAACAAACTTAATAATTTTTATCTGAAAATAAAATGTTGGTTCTGCTAAAATTTAAGAACGTCGTTAAATTACATTTTAACTGAAACGCATTTTTAATTGTTTTCTCAGAACTGCTAGGTTCAATAATTTTGGTACCTAAAACCTTAGTATAAAACAAAATATTGTCATTCGTCTGTATGGTAACTAAAGATCGAGAGAGAGGTAAGCGGGGTTTCTCGAATTCCCAAGTCAATAAGCAACTGAGAAAGTCATAAAACGTATTCGACACGTTTATCTTTCCTAGTAAAGTCATTGTTTTAACCTTAACAAAACTTTCAGTCGGTTCTAAAACAAATATACTTCCGAAGACATACCTGGGATCGAAAAGTTTTTTCAATCGATTTTCTACGTCATGCCACCAGTATGTTCAACTTTAAAATTAATTTAAGTATATATTTTATGATAAACATTCGGCCCCCGCCATTTAATATCAGTATAAAGTATTTAAAATGTTTGTTAGCTATAAATAACTTATTGTTCATATAAAATAATGAAAAATAACTTAACAATAAAATCTTACATGAACATATTTAAAATATGCCGTTTGTTGATAAAATTGTAAGAATTAAATTTTTTGGTTATGTATTAATAAAAAATTAAAAAATGTTAGTAATCATTTATATTTATCAACGGATGGCGAAGTAATTACAGTTTGTGAATCGTGGCCGTACAATATACAGCAATAAACTAACAGTAAACTAAAAATAAAAAGTATTGCAGGTTAGGGTATAACACGTATAGTCGTTATATAGGGAGTATGGGGTAAGTAAGATAGATACAAAAGAAAATCAACCGCTTCAGACATTTTTTTTACCTTCAGGAAGAATTTTTTTCTAAAACAAAACATTTCTCTTCACATAAAACTTTTATGACAATATGACAATATTTTTTGAAAAATGTTAGACAAACATAGTCGAACAATGACAAAAAAATTTCGATAACGCATTTTCAAATAATAACATCCAAGCTAAAATAATAATACACAGTTTATTTTTCATTTGATAACTTAACACAAAAATACACATTTTATACAACAGGAAAAAATGTTGTCTTTAAAATCATATAAACAATATATCTCATAATAGAATATCTAGATATACTTCAGAGTGTTAACTTGTTAGAGAAAAATTATCAAAATATAATTAATAAAGATTTGTAATACATAATTGTACACACCTATATTTTACAAAACTACATGTTAGTAATTTTGTTTTCGTGTTATTTCGTGTTATATCGTACGTTTATTTATTTGTATACTATTTAATTTTACTTTTAACTGTTCCGCTCCTTTACAAGTTACAACGTATAGTTTTAGTTTAATTCTTTATTTGAAGTATAAGATTGTAAGTATACATACTGTTTACATTTTTAACAGTGGCTAGAACCTAAATTTAAAAGGGGAGTAATAATAGCTGACAAAAATTCTATCACAGCTGTCCTACTATAAACAAAATGATCAACGTAAACGTCTAGCTCATAAAACGAAAAAATACAAATTGTTGTCTAGGTTATTCTGTTTGGTTAAATATTTTCAAAAAGTACATCTAATTTATTTTTTAAGTAATTAATTAATAGTTAAATAATATTTTTAGTAAAAATAATAGATTTCTGTTTTCTAAAATGAGCTAACAGCTACATTAAAACTAAATCTTATTAAGAATATAAGTTAGAAAAAAATATTTTAAGTAAGTTAAATCTCGGCAAGTACATTTTCACATATTTAGAACGCACTTGTTTTTTGGATAACACTAAAGCAAGATTATAAATTATCCCTACTATACAATGTATGTACAGCTTACATAATAGCTTTATAAGGAACACCATTATTACATTAAACGTCAAAAGCATACATTCACGTGCCCCTTATCACTATTAACTGTTGCCAAGTTTTCAGTACATTTAAGTTTGATGATAGACGTGGTCCAGCGAAGTTACCTATGTGTATTAGAATTTCATAGACACGTGAATATAACTCCTCAAACAACTTCAGATGAGCACTGAAATTGACATAACACTAAGTTATTACTATATTAATTTACTAAACAGGAGGAAACTATATGGACTAAGTAGCATATAATTTGTATCTATTGTACTCATTTGACTCTAATTTACCGTTGATTTTGAGTTAACTTGATAGCTCCATGTATTCTTTTTTTTTTTAATAAAACATTTCTTTGTATAAATACTAGCTGCGTTGGGGTTATGCAATATGCCAATTTTAGCTTCGATGCGGAGCTGAGAAGGTATTGTTTTTACAATGATGTGGTTTTTTTTTTTTTTTGTGTCTGGACCCACGATATCTTGTAAACCACTAAGCCGGTTTCTTTAAGTAGTAACTCTGTAGATCAGAAATTATACCTGGAAGGTACTTAATTGAGCCAAAAATAAAAAAAGTCACCCCTTCCCCATCAAAATCGAGAAAAACACCTAAAAAATTAAAAAAATTGTCAACTTAAAATTACGATGCTCTATAACTTTTTTAAAAATAGTCAAAAATGTTCCAAATTTATATGAATTGTTCTTCAAACATAGTAGTATCGATAAACATTAACAAACCAAAAAAATATCATAAACCCTTTCCCTTAAAAGGGATAGATTTTTTTTCTTTATTTCACTTTTTCAAGCAAAGTTTTAAAGACTTAGATCTGAAAATTAGACCAAAGGTAAATCTAAAATGGAAATATAATATATACAATTTTCTCAAAAATCTATAGTCAAATTTTCTTTTTATTAAGGAAAAACTCCAAAAATAGGGTAAATTTACACTTTGGTCGTAGTCAGTTTCTAGGTTACTATGTGTGTGTGAATCAACAGTCAACAGGTAATGAAAATATGTTCATTTTATTGTTAATTACGATTTATAGGTAACTATGACAGTACATTTTTATAAACAGACGATCAACCCTTATCGTATCCACCCTGCACAAGACTAAATATTAAATTTTAAGTACATTATTGCTGGTCCCACGGTATCTTCTAAACCACTATAAGTAGTTTGACACATACTATCCACAGATTCGCATCGAAGCGTTTATTTAAAAGTGATTTTATCACTTTCAGTTATAATAAAATCCGTAGACCTGTGACCGCCCTGTCCCCACTATCCCCGAACCACTGTACTGGCTTTTTTTTTTAATATGATTCTAGCTAACGAGGAGTGCGTTACTAAAGGCTACAATGTGTTTCTTTATCGATTCTAGTGCAGAATTTTCAAGTTAAAAATAGGAAATTCAGTGATCTGGGTTTTGAGGTTATAACTTATGTATATGTATAAATACATTAATAGTTAATACAAAATAATAAAGAATAAATAAATCGCTCAGGTCTTCAAGATACAATAATTGTAGCTATTAATTCAAGTTTATTCTTTTATTTATTTATAAAAAAATAACCTTTAAATACAGATATTATAAAGTTTAACTAAATTATCATATCTTAATACCTTAGTATTTGAGTGTTTCATATTTATGTAATGTTCTTATAATTAAAATGAAAGAATATTTAAAACACCCTTAACCATAAAAAATACTGAGTCAGTCTGTCTTTTGAAGGTGACAACATTGTTGCCGAAATAGGTATACGCGGAGAGTGAATTATTTTATAGTTAAGGGTGTATTAAATACTATTTTATTATATATTGCTCAAGTTTTTTCTAGGTTTATTATAATTACTAAAAAGGATATATTTTACTATTATGTATACATTAATTTTATTATCAATAATTTTAGATTTTGTTTCTTAATTTTTCTTAGAGTTCTATTATCTTGTTTATGTGTTATTTAAACATAAGTTTTTATCTTCTTCTGGAGAATTTTAGTATAGTTTTTATACTTTTCCAAAATAAAATGTTTTTATATTGTTAATAAATTTGTTTAAAACGTTAAATAATACCGTATTATAAATAATAATAATTACTCATATCATATCATATCGTATTTCTTTTATCTGGACAATTGTTTATCAAACATTTCGCCTAGTAACCCGTTGTTACCATGATAATTTCAACACTGTACACCAGTTTACGATTAAAATCAGTGGATAATTTTTTTATAAAATGAGTAAAAGGAACTAGAAATATGCATTCTAAAGAATTTTATCTACAATTGTGAGTAATATAGTAGCAGCCGGCAGGTTAGGAAAGGTCAGTAGCCCCCACCCGAAAATTCAGAAAAACTTAATTACACGGCGCATAATGTTAAAATGTCTAATTAAGGTGGATAATGTTTTTTTTTTTTTAATAGATTTTTGTCATCAAAAATACAGATTTTTAATATAATAAGTATAAATTATTTGATAGACTAATAATAATTAATTATAGGCTATTTGCATCATACTTCAATAATCAGTATAATTGCTTATAACTGTGTTAGAGCTAGTTACTGTTTTCTTTAAAAGGCGCAGCGATGCGTTTTCTATTTACACAAAGACATACTTTGCAGTGATAACGCAAAGGATAAGCAATATTAGACAAAAATTCAACTAGTAGTCATTTTTAATAAGCCGATTAATTTTAAGGCGAAAACATCGTAAGTTCTTCTAGTTATAATACATTTATGGCTATTTTTCTTCGAGTTATGGCGAAAGTTTGATAAAAATGACTTTCGTCGAAGTCATTTAATGGCGTATCTATTTGACGAATTTCAATTTTTTTTTTTTTGTTATGTGAAGCTTACTATTTTTTCTATGGGGCTGAAAGGCCAATTTTTGTTGTAGCAATAAAAATTTAGTTCGATCCATTAAAACAAATTAGAATTATAAATGCTTATAAAATGTTTAGTCTCCACGTTAAACTTTATAACAAAAATAAAAAATTGTTTTATTTAACAATAATAACCTAGTTTTTGTATCTTATCACTCAAAAGCCAAATTTAAGAAGAGGAGTGGGGGAGGGGTTAACTTTTTTAACTTAAACGGAAACATAATATAATATATTTAATTCGTTTCTTTACATTAAGAATAATTTTCTGAAAACTTTAAATGGTCAATAAGCAGTTATGAGTCATTACTCAGACTTTAAAATTTATGACGATAGGAAGGAATTGGAGAGTACTATTATTTGTATCTGCGCGATTACTCAACCACACTCCACTTCCCATCCTACATTTTAAACTCTAATAACTTAATGACACAAAACTGGATTATCGACCAGTCAACAATTTAAGCTAATAATTCTTAATTTAAAAAACTAGTTGGTATGCATTACTTTTTAAGTTTCAAAATTTACCCTCCTCAATTCTCGCTTCTGATAAAAAAAAAAACTTTTATTGATTAATAAAAGTCAAAAACGTTTTCAAGTGTCACTTTCACAAAATTTTAGTATATCATCAAAAAATCAGGTGAAACATGAAACTATGAAAGCCTCGTACATAGTATATATTAATTTATATGAATACAACATATATATTATTATGTTAACGTTGATGTCGATAATCCTTTCTGTGTCAATAGTGACATCGGCTTTGTACGTAATCCATGTGTATTTCCAAAATTGACTTGACATGCTCGGCAATATCATATATTTTAGTATTAAATGAATGATTACACTAAATATATAGAAGTCGAAAGATATTTTAAAGAGTAGGTTACGGTAGGTCAAATAATGATTTAATACTTTTTTTGTGTTTAACTTTTTTAAAGGTGAGATAATTGAAAGTTGTTGTAACATATATATATTTTTTTTTAACACAAATTTAACTTTAAAAAAAAACATAATAATACAATTAATATAAGCATAAATAAACAAATTTATAAGAATATATAATATATTATATGCTTAGGATAGCACTTTATTAAACAATTTAAACTAATAAATTATATTTAAAAATGTATCCAATAAGATACGTTGCCTGAAGACCTTGTTTCTGTTAATATTAATAAAATATGCAATAAAGCAATTGCTGGGATAATTTTATGTAGTTTTAAATGCAATTTATAATTATTTAAAAAAAGGTTAACGTACAAAATGTACTGAAATACTATTTTATTTTGGTAATAAGCAATGAGAAAATTGCTTTGTAGATTTTGTAAAATTAATGACTTTAAATACTGTTTTTTAATAAAGGGAAATGTTGAAAACAGTTTTGGATAATTATTATATATTATAGGTATCTCTAGGTAAACATTAAAGTTCATAACCACAAATTATGACTAGGAAATAAGCCAGAAATTAAATTTAAAAAAAAAATAAATTGATAATAACCCCGTATTAAGTGCGATTACACTAATTATAGTAAATAAATGAACTTACTCGAATGGAGATATCTCTTGGATAAAATATTGTAGACCTTAAAAATAAATCAATGTATATAAATGCGCGCACAAATTAATTACACCTTAAAATAATGAAAATTATTTAAATATTTAATACAAAAGATAATACACGATGTCATTGGCAAAAACCAATTATGCAGTTTTTATTAAATTTATAACTAACGGAAATCGCGTAAAAATGCTGACACCGACCAAAATCGCACTGTTCCCTACTTGCTTAACACACGGACGCGTCCTGGAAACTGTGGTCTGTGGCTCACTGAAGAAAAATCAAAAAACCGAGGGCCGGCGCCGAATATTTTGAAATCGATTATCAGCAACCGCCATCTATCCTAGAATAGGCTAACCACGCCAAACAACCGTTGCATTCATGTTTACCACAGCTTTACCTGTTTATTGCAATTTAAATCGTTTTCCGTATATATACACAATCTAGCAAATTGTATAAGTTTTTTTTTTCTAAATTTGTAAAAATTAAGACGGCTCAGAAAACAGTTCTTATTGAAACCACGAAGTACAGTAAGGCGACATAAAACCAAAGGCGTATAGAAATATAATTTTTTATGGGGTAGTTAATTTCATTTGGCCAAATGACTTAACGAAACATTTGCAATACATTTTAATTTAAACACTTGAATAAACGCGAACTTTAAATAATGTACATACACGCATAAATAAGTCTTTTCTTATGTCTACATAAATTTATAAATGTAGGGTTTTCTCAATGTTTATGCTAAATTTTCAAAATTTAAATAACATAATATAGCTAAAATAAGGTTAAATAAACAAAACCCTAAATCAAATTTTGCTAAGCTTGTTTTTGAGACTGGGCATAATATTACTCATAGTAATAAATATTTAAATTCAGTTTTAGTAAGTTAACATTCACAAAGAAATAAAAAATAATGGATTTAATAATATTCTAAATGTACAAACCTATTAAAAACAGGTGGACTGTATTTACATTATAAAAATAACTCCCTACCTATTTACTTTCGTACACATTCAAAAGAATCAAGATAATAACAGGGATGATACAATTACAACTTCACTTAATGTTGAAAATTTATACTTCTTAATTAAAGTTATTTAAACTATTTATACGTGTATTTTACATTTTGTTGAGTAAGTTTGATATGTGTTAATTTTAATAATTTTTTCAATGTAAATGTTTTGTAACCTGGCGTTGACTAAACGCCGAATGTATAGTAGCTACCAATAAACGCTTTTAATACTCACGTCTATGTTTTTACATAATTATAATTTAAAAAAAAAATATTTTTGTACTAAAATAGGGCTTGTTTGCATTTTAAGTTGAACAATTTTTAAATTGCCTATACAATGCGCCTTAATAAATGTTAGTTAAGAAGCTTAAGAGGATGCCACTCAACCTATTTCTAAGGAGTAAAGTATAGGCAATTTTTTACAAAATCACTCATATTTACCCAAAAAATAAAGGTTTTTTATGTTATTTTTCACGAAAAATCGATTTCGACCCGTTTTAATATTCTGAAATTTTTATCATAAAATCAGAGACTTAAATCAATTATTTTCGTCTAACGGGAAAGGGTCTGTAGAAAAAAATGTATAATTTTATTTTTAATTTTATACACCCAAATTATGCAAAAAATCAAATTTTACCAAGATATGTTTTATTTTTTAAATAAAAAAACTGAAATTATACAATTTTTTTTAGTTAAAAAAAAAAAATTTCAATACCAAAATATAATGTAATTAAATCTCGGCCCATTCCCGTTAATAGAAAAAAAGATTTTATTTGAGTCTCTGATTTTTTGATACAAATTTCAGAATTTTAAAACGGGTCGAAATCGATTTTCTGTGAAAAATAAAATTTTAAAAAATGTAGATTATATCTCTTATATTAGACCAAAAAAAGTTTATAGAAAAAATGTCGAAACATGTTTTCAATGTTTTCCATAATACATTTTATGTATTATGTTACAATTACAACTATTTATCGATAAAAACATCGTTTGTGTTGTATTTATATATTTTTAATTTTAATTATTTAAGCAAATAAAATCTTATTAAATTTATGTTCTATGCGTTACATGTTTTCTAAATTAATTATAAGCTAATTAAATAAAAAACAAATTTGAATAAGCATTTATGTATTTGGACTAGTCAATCTAACCATATAATCCGTGTAGGCTAATAGACAATTAAACGTAAATGTGTAATATACCTGACTAAATTTATTCGAATAAGAATTTGAAACCCACCTTTTTTCAAAGATAAGCAATTCGGTTTAGGTATAATTAATAGAGCCTTGCTATTTTGCTAACATCAAACAGAATTATAATACCTTGATATAATGATACAAGAAGATACATCGTTTGTAGTTATGGTTACAATTTTAAGGTAACTAATTATATTAAAATTACAAGTACATAATATGTAATTACCGCGTATTATGTTATCCTTAGATAAGTTACAAATTTAAAATAGATATTTTTTTGATACTGTTATCTCTTAAATTATAATCGCACCTAGAAGTTTCTCTGAGTACCATTTTTATTGTTATTAAATATTACCAGATGATTAACTCGCATAACCACCATATGCATATCAATGTGTTGATTATAAAAGTATACATACATATTTTATACATTCAAGGTCGTTCTATAGTAACAAATGAACAAGTTTCACAAAATTACCATACATCATAATATTATTGCACATCGTTGTGAACGGGGTTATTTTTACTAGGTAATAAAACATCATAAACCTGTTCAACGATATGATGTTTCAATTTTTCATTTGCAGGTTCGCACAATATGAGTTGCATTGCAGTTAACGAACATTTACCTTAAACGTCTTATTAATAGGCAATAGTAGAAATCTGTAATTTATATCGCAAATATTATATTTTTAAACATGCAATTAACAACATCTACATTATATATTATGATTTATGAGTTTTAACTTATACAACTAAAAAATACTAAATGTTAAATAAAAATATTAAACATATTAATTCCACAAACAAAGTGTTTTTAATTGTTTTGTCAATAACAATATAACAATAATATAATATAAATCAGTCGTGATTTTGAGATAATGGCATACTATAAACTTTTATTGAGCAATAATATATACGTACTAGGAACAATAACAAAACATATCACTTATTTGTTTTACCAAACTCGCATTGTAAAACAGTCTTTATAGTACATGTATTATAAACATTTAAGTTAAATACATTCAACACGAATCAAAAATCGATGTGGCACTTTCTATTATCCTTAAAAAACAATAACATAATTAGGTTTCTACATGAATAATGATTACAAATATCCCTAAAACTTATAAAAAAGAAAGAAATCAAATTCTTTAAGCATTTAATTTAACACGTTATTGACATTTGCATTAGGGTGATTTGAGTACAGTTAATGTAGTAATTCACTTAACGTTATTGACATTTAATAACAAGTGTCTAATAACTTTTTGATTTTCTTCTACAACACCTCTCAGTTCTTTGACTTCTTTTAAAATTTCCTGCATACTTAATTTTTCGTCGATATCACAGCCATCTTGTTTTTTTCGTTTAACTAATGTGCGGGTGGCGTCAATGATTTCTCTGGGTAAGGCTTGTCTTTGATTCAGCGGCTTAACCGTCATGTACGCTCGATTCTTAGACGGATAAACTAGGGCTTTACGTTTGATACTTTTCGGCCAAAAACTCCTCAACATGAATAATTCAATGTAATAGATAAGTTTAATCTGACATCTGATTTTGGACATGCCCGCCGTCTTCTTTAACCCCTGTATATCGTGCACAGCAATACCGACTAGAAGGTTCATCAGTATGATCGACACAAAAACTAAAAGCGCTAAATAAACAATATAAGCGCTCAGCTTGGTTGTAACAGCGGACTCGTTGTGTATTTCCAACATGTCAATGTCCAGTTCACCTGCCATCATGACTAGTACTTTGACAAATCCGGTAATTGGATTGCCGAACCAAGGGGATGACGGGAACACAACGCAGAGGCTGACAGCAAATCCTACTAGAAGGCAAATGTAGGCCATTAGTAATTTGGCGAATTCTTTTTGAACTTTCGTGTACATGGCAACGTAGGTATCGAACCACGGCAGTTGGCCGACTTTTACCATTAAGTTAGTCCAAGCGCAAAGTACGGAAAATGCACCCACGTGGTTCTGCCAATGGTAGGTCCGGCCGCTGTGATAGAAAGATATGATCGGCACGCTCATTAGAACCAACCACTCGCTAAAATTGCTCAAGTTCAAAAAATATTCGTGCAAGTACATGTATCCAGCCATTTCGGATATTTTTAGGAAACCCTCGATCAGACTTACCAAGTACAACGCGTCGGCGATGACATCCATGATTTGGTAATTGTTGATCAAAAATTGGCCGACGCTCGAGTTTGTCGAGCAAGTCGAGTTCGTCTGATTGGGCAGATTAGCCGCGTTGTAGCAGTCATGGCTCAAAACGGTCAGCACGTACAATGTGTAGAACATAATAAAAATTGCCAAGCTTGCCAGCCGCATCAAATAGTATTTTCTGATTTTTCTCCATTTCAAAAATAGAAACGCTTGACATAGCGGGTGCTGTAGTAATTCGTATTGACCTTCTTCTTGAAAACATTTTAACAAGTCTATTTCGCCAAACGTATTACTGTTTAGCAGATATTTGAACCTCAGTTGGATTTCAGGGCCACGCTTGAACCCGTCGGCCCAATTGGACGTCACCGCACAATCCAACTGCTTAGCGACGGCCGGCACGCACGACGGAACTTTTCTCACGATCATGTTGAGCGCCGATATGCCGCCAAACGTTTGGATACCGACGTTGGCACCCTTGTTCAGCAGCGATTCAACGCACTCGGGCACTTCGTTTAATGCTGCAACATGTAGCGGCGTGAACCCAAAGTGATCTTGGACGTTAACTTTAGCCTGGTAGCCGAGCAACGTGTCCACGGCCTGCCAGACGTTCAAGGTCTTGACGGCAATGGCCGAGTGCAACGGAGTGCGGTCGTCTGCGTCTCTTGCGTTTATGTCAGCGCCGGCTTTGATCAACGCTTCGATGCACTCAACGCTCTGCGCCTTGGCGGCCATGTGCATTGGTACTTGAAACTTGTTGTTTTTGGCGTGCACGTTTGCACCGTGCTCGATCAACAGCTTCACGCATTCTGCTTGAGCCGACTCACAGGCCAAATGAAGAGCAGTGTATTCTTGGTAATCTTTGATATTGACTAGAATCTTATCTGAACTCAGTAGCATATACAAACAGTCTGAGAACCCTTGATCGGCGCATATATGTATGGGGGCGAATCCCGTCGAGTCCAACACGTTTATATCCATCGCGTAATTGGACACCAATAGCTTAATGCAGCCGACGGCCCTGGCTTTCACGGCGCTGTGCAACACGGTCGGTTCCAATCTACAGCCGGCGTCCAAGAGTAACAGCATGGCGTCCACCGAATCAGTGTAAGTGGAAAAATGCAACGCTGACATGTCATCGACGCGAGCATTGGGATCGCATCCGGCGTTCAACAACCGGCTTAGACAGCGCACGCAACCGTTCAAGGCGCTAATATGCACAGCGCCGTAGCCCCTGAACGGAAGTATGTAGTTTACGTTAGTACCGGCTTCCAATAGAGTGCCGACCATTTCGCACTGGTCAACGAAGCACGCCCACAACATGATTAAGTTTTTCAGCTGCTGGGGACACCGTTTCAGTGTGGTCAGATCCGCTCGGCCCGTCTCGATTTCCCGAAGAAACTGAAAGCCGTTAGTAAATATTTTCGACGAATCTAGTAGACACTGTTTTACCATTTCTTTGTAATTATTCACGCTCAGCTGGTTCGAATTCCTCTGACCGCCAGTGTCCGTCGTGGTCGTTTCCGCAGCGCTCGGGTCTTCCGTATCTTCGACCAAATCCGTATCTGGCTCCCTGAATGAAACCGGTCGGTCCCGATCGCGGTTTAGAGCTTTTTCGTGGAAACTGAAGTACCGCTTCTTTTTGGCCGTCAGGTCCATGCCCATTTCAAGATACTCGCGCGTACTCTCGTCCAAACTTAGGCGCCGGACCGCCGTTGATTTAAAACTCATGTTGGCCGCGATGTTCCCGGGTGTTCGAAATGCAAGCTAACAACTAACACAACACGCCGTACGACATCATGTTACGCACGAATCGCACTCACTAACGCATACAGAGTCAAGACGTGTCTTCATTTACAATGACCACAACATGCCCACCACTCTACTCGGTGACGACCGGTTTCACGAACAAACTGGTGGGAGACGTGTTGACTGGAGAAACAACGTAAAACTCATTCTGGTATTCCAGTGAGTCATAATAATTATGCTGTGATTTGGAATTTGCATCGTTACGCGCCGCCCAGCACGCTAAATAGAGGCCAGACTCGGGAAAAAACACATTTATAATATTGTGTGTTAATTAATAAAAACATACGCGTATATATACAAGGTATGAATAGGAAATCATATTAGGTTGTTAAATACAATATTAGAAGGTCAAACGAAGCGATAATATAATACATCACTTCACAAAATCGTTGGAATATTTATGTATAATTAAAAGGAAATAATTGTTATTATCAAACCACGATAAAACAAATGTAATAAAACAATTGACATGATTTTTATTTTTAATACATTGAGATAAAGTGGATATCATCTTTACAAATGTGTATATATATATATATTTATACATACATAATACATAACTAATCAATTTAACAAAAAATTGGTATTATACCATATTGGTGTTACCTATTAAATATGATTTTGTATTTGAATTAAATATAATTTTTAATTACTTTAGGTTATTTTAATATGTTTTTGTTAAAATATTTTGTGGTCAATATATTAATATTTTACATCAAACACTTGATATTATAATGCTCGAATACGTTTTGTATGGTTTACTTATAATTTGTTTTATTTAGTACAAAATAAGTACGTGTGTGATATTTGAAAATGGGGCTCCCCACCTTCCAACCTATGAAAAATAACACCGCAGTCAATGGAGATATCACTTTTTTATGTCTGTTAGCGGGAGGTCTATCTGAAATTCATAAGACGTTTTTATGCAACAATGACGGAGTGGCGAAAAAAATAAATTTCCGTTACACGAACATACAATTTTCTAACGGTATTTTTGGATTTTAAAGTTGCTAAATCATTAAGAAACCAAAAGAACGACTAAAACAGGTATTGCCTAGCTAAAATATATTTCAATCAATTTTAAATTTAAGTCAATGTTAATACTAACCGTAAGGCAATTTATTGTACATTTCATAGGGTGGCACCTTTTTCGAGCAAAATAGACCATAACTGATAAAAACCGATTCTGTTTCGGCCATTTAAATCAATATTAAAATATTTGGGAACAAATGATTAAAAATATATTTATAATATATCGACCCCGTTCATGCAAAACAAATTAAATCGAGAATTGTTGTCCATCCCAGATGGAATACATTTTTTCCCCTCCTTATTAGCTATCATTTCCTTTATAAAAACTATTGATTTTAGGAATAGCAAAATTGGTAAATGTAAGTACAAAACTAATTATTAAGTAGACTTGACGTTTTTATTTATCTCTTTGCTTCCTCTTTTGCCATGAACTTCAGACCAGATATAATAGTAAGCTTTATTGCAATTAAGGCAATGCTCCTTCATAAAGTGACAAGTTATTATTTATTAATATTATTTTGATTTTATTTAACATTTTTTGTTATACAATTTTAGTATGTTATTAATAAAGGTTAATATTGCTACTATAAATCCCCTAGTAAATTTAATTTATTGAATATCTTAGTTCTATAATCTAGCTTAAATAAAGCAGACCAACGAAAACGACTGAATATTGGTGGTCGGTGCTGCACAGCACACAAAAACTCAGTTAAAAATTAGAACAAAATATTCACTTAGAATTAAAAACTATAGAGTATACATTTTTAGGTCATTAGTTTCTAAATATTTTATCATTCGTTAGAGCTTAAATTGAAGTGGCCACTGATCGGAAAGGTTTAAGGGCCCCATACACTACGATAAAAAACGACGATGCTGAATCGTCACAATAAAACACATCATGTTTAAAATCATGATTTGACAGATATAAAAACTGTCGTGTTTTGCCTATACACTTTGGTTTTAACCTAAGCCGTCGTTTTTCATCGTAGTGTATGGACCCTTTAAGTGAATTTTGACACCATAGGTTTTCGTTCATTTTTTTCTTTTTCATGTAGTGACTAAAGTCTAGAGGCTTTGACTTAAAATTAACAATTACATTGATAAAAGTCCATAGACTAAGTAGTATTAACACATTACTTAATTATTCCTATGCTGACATGTGTACTTTTAAGATGTCAATTTTTAAAACGAATAAGTACCATTAAATATTACATTTCAGAAACTCAAAACAATTAAAGTTAAAAAAGTTTGATAAGTAAAAATGCAAAATAACTAAAAGTTTTGTTTTTAGGTTTCTTAAAACAGAGTTTCATTACTTATACAACACCTAATTAAACTAAAAATATATAAAATTTTTTTTTTTCATTGTTTAAACTTATATACAAATGGTAATACTTGTAGTTCTGATCATTTATTTATTAAATCATACAATATAGCTAACCCAAAATGGATTTTATTTAGATTGTGAACATTTTTGTTTTATTTCAATAAAAAGCAAAATCTAGCAATAAGTATATATAATTTTATTGAGCAGGATCTTCTCTATAAAGGAAATTATTTTAGCTTCGTTTTCAGTGTCGCTGACAAAAATTATTTCTCATTTGTTTTTTTTTCTTTCTTCTCCTTGCGTTATCTCATATGGTTAGGTTAAGCCAGCCAAATCCTCGGCACTACTTTCTATATTCATTAGCATTTCCTAATATCTACTTACTCCACACACCTCCATGTCTTTATTTAAAGCCGGATGCCGAATTCTTTTATGTTCTACATTTTCATTACAGCTCTGACGCTTCAACCTAGCCCCCAAGGAAAATTGTAAATGTACTCTACTGACACCCCTAGTTTTATTTAGTGAAATTACGCCCTAATAATTATTTATTATATTATTGTTATTTTCAAAAAAATGTAATGTAATTAAACAATTCAGTTACTATAAAGTCATTTTTATTCTTACTACTACAAGGTGTATTTTGTATTACTTCACTTCACATTATTTCTATATATTTGATGCAGGTGTCAACGCTATGCACAAAATACACTATTTTTTTATGAATGCAAGTATAATGTATTATTATTTACACAACAACTTCTATGGATGTTCAACTTAAATTAACGTTTCTTCCAAGTAAACTTTCTTCTTGCTCTTGCCTGTCCCGGCTTCTTTCTCTCTCTCCTCCTGTAGTCTTTTTGTAGTAGCCCGGCTGTAAAACAATAATTTTAAGGATAAGAATATAATTTATGATACTGATTGTTTCTAATTTTAAGCAAAAAGCCATCGCATGATTCGTATAGTTGCATAATTGACTGGATAATAATACTAACAAATGATGAATGAGAATGTTGAAGGGAAGAACAACTATTATCTATCATACAACATCGGGAAAATCAAATATAAAATAAAACACTAGGTCCTAGGAGCAACAATAATGCGACCGAGTACAGTAGAATCATGGCTTGGAAGAAATATCAAATGGATCCTACAAGGATTGCGGTGGACAGCATGAAGAGCAAATATAAATAGTATATTAGGTTAAGCAAGTGTGACAAAGATCTATAGATCATATTATATTAAGCTAGAAAAATATGTAGGTACAAATAGGTTCAACTAACCGACTCGCATGCGTTCTACCATTTCACTGTCTACAAAAGAACGCAATCCCCAGGATATTCCATAACGAATAGCACCAGCTTTGCCAGATATCCCTCCGCCACTAACGGTGGCTTCAATGTCCACATTCTCAACCATGTTCGTGAAAATCAATGGAAATAGAATCTAAAAAAAAAATACGCACAATATAATAACTATTCATGTATACAAAATAAAATAAATCTAAAATATTTGTTTTCTCATAACATTATTAATATAATTAGTTATACACACATTGTATTTAGAAAAAACTTAAAGCAACTTATGGTTATATATATATATATATATATATATATATATATATACTAAAGATAAAATATATCGGAGAAATTGTTCTAACGTCAGTGGTAAGGGTTTAAATTTTTCGATTTACACTTACTGGAAATATTCACAATTTACCATTTACATTTTGTTCCCTTACCACTCATGTTAGAACAATTTCTTCATAATCAAACTTTTACCAGGTGTTCTAGTTTCTACTCATTTATAATTAAGTTTTGCATGAATTTGGAAAATTTTTCGTTCAGTCATATTTGTGTTGTGGGTCATTAAATTAGGCAATTTTCAGCTTACCACATAAGTTTGAAACAGTAAATTAATAGAAAACAAGATTGTGAGTTCATAAAAACGTTATAAAAATAACTTAATTGGTTTAAAGATGATATGGGTCATAAACTCATAAGAACATAACTTGAATTTTATAAAAGCAAAATATTTTATTAAATCGTTTATTTTCTAACACCAAAATGAGGTTTTAAAAAAATTTTAAGTTTAAAAAAAAAAACAATTTCTCAGGGTTAAAAAATAAAAAAAAATTTCAAAATATGGTTAAAGTAGACTGCACTAGAATTTAAAGTGAGCAGGTTTCATGTCTATACCACTAGGCATTATCGGCGGTTAAATTACACAGTCGGGAACATGGGGTGTTTTTGGATAGTTTTTTTTAAAAATCAAACTACATAGGTCCAAAACAAAAAAAAAATTTTTTTAGTTTTTTTTTGTTATTAAGAACCAAAAAAAAAATGTATGATAAAAATTTAAAACATATTTTAACTATACTATCACACACATTAGGCGATTTCACGTGAAATGACCCTATATTGTTAACATGATTACATAAACTAAAAAATATTATTGAAACTCATAGTCGCTTTCTTATATTCATAATAACAATAAAAATGAAAAATCAACTACGTGACTCATCATGATTACGATCAGATCATATTGTGTTTATTCTACTACAGTTCATACACTGTAACTAATCATGGTACGCTTAAATAGTAAATACCACAAGTGAACTATATAAAAAATACTTTAAAAATCTTTCTTGGTAAGTATAAATAAATCTAATAAGTTCTAAGTGAAACCGTGTCTGATTGAAGATCAACGATGGGCTATTATTTATTGTTATTACACATCACAGTATAACATAGGAAGTAACACAATTAAATATGAATAATATATATGAGTATAAAGTCATATATTATAATTATTTATTTAATCACATGTTCAAAATAATAACATGTTGAATTTTTACCTTAAATAATAAATAATAATTTTATGTTAATGGGTTTTTTCTTGGAAATTAATAGGAAAGGAGTAGACTTTCTACAATTGTTTGCATTATAAAGAAAATTTGGTGAACTTTTTCTAATCTATTAACTACCCAGGGTTAACAATTTTATGTTACAATAATCGTTTTTCATTTAATAATAAATAATAATTGTTTAAGGTGGAACTAAATCGTTTTATTTCCAATACAATTGTTATTATGCTAACATATTAAAATAATTTTTTATGTAGTTAAAGTTTTTTCTTCGATGAGAAGCTGAAAACACCCAACAAATTACGGCACGCTATACATTAGTTTTTAATTAATTAAATTAGTTCTATATATTTTGTACAAAATATTCTTTAAATAAAGTACTATTTGATCAAGGGAAGGTTTCTTTTTTCTCTTTTTCGAGGGATGTTTTACGACTTATTATCTAGAAAGAAGGTAGATCCAGAGTAGATCTAGATCTATGGAATCTACGATTTTCTTAAAAATCGACTATTTATTAAGGAAAACCCTGAATAAAAGGGATAAATTACACTTTGGCCGTTGTAAATGTCTAGGTTGCTATGTGTGAGTGAATCAACAGTCAACAGGTATTTGCGAATATTTTAATTATATTGTTAATTACCATAAATAGATAACGATGGTAACAAATAATCCTAGATAGACAATCAACCCTAATTATACCCCCCCCCCCCAATACTCAAAACATAATTTAATAATAATAATAAAATTGCACACATAATCGTACCCTCCTAATACTCAAAATATAATTTTAAGCACATTATATCTTTTACACGCTTTTATCGATTTTTTATTTCTACCATCTACACATCCGCTCCGGAGCTTTTATTTAAAAATGATTTTTATCACTTTAGTTATAATAATTCCTGTAGAGTATAGACTATAAGCTCCCCCGTCACATTCCCCGATCCCACAGTACTAGCATTTTTTGTTTTGTTTAACACTTTTTTGACGGGTCTTAAACTATAAGTTGTTTAAGTCAAATAGTACCATAAAATTACCATAATAAAATAAATCTGATGATTGGCCGATAATCAGTTTTGAATAGTTAAAGTTTTTCGCATTTAAAATATAAGTGAGCGATTATTACGTATCAATAAAAATAACACTGCAGTCTACCTCTCCCCTAGCGCATATATTGTAACGTTAAAAACTTAAAGGGGTCGTTTGAAGACCAGTTTTCATTAAATATGCCTTACGGGAAAAACGATGACGCCTCGTAAGTCCATCGGATTTTGATAAAAAAACATTTCCACAGACCACAGTTCAATTTGTCTTCTAATAGATCTTCGAACAACTGATAGCATTTAAATTATTTAATAACCAAAAATAACAATTTATGGTGGAAATGGCTATAAAACTTCACTTTTTATTGTGGCTATAGAAATGAAATTTAAAAAATTAAAACTAGTAGATAAAACGTAATATATGGACAATGTCAGTAAATGGACTTGACGAACCTATTTTAATAGGTTCGTCAAGTCCATATTTAATAGCTTTAACACAGTAAAATCCATGAATGCAAATAAAAAAATTTGCCGGTTGACGTTGTCTATCTTTATTTATAATAATTATGTAGGCTATACTCTATATTATAGCTTCTTAATATATGCTTATACCCTAAGATAATAAAAATTAATTTAAACATGAGTTTACCAAATGAACATTTATTAAACTCCATTTAGCTTCGATGCGATAGATGAGAAGGTATTGTATTTACAATGATGTGTTTTTATTTTTAACACGCTTATTTATATTTTTGTGTCTGTACCCACGATTTCTTTTAAGCCACAGAACCGATTTCTTCGTGTAGCAGCTCTTAAGATCAGAAATCGTACCTGTAAGGTACTTTATTGCCCAACAATTTAAACAGTTCATCCCTTCCCCTTCAAAATCGAGAAAAACACCCGAAAAATTTACAATTTTTTCAACTTAAAATTACGGCGCCCCAGATCTTTTTTTCAAAATAGTCCAATTAGTTCTAAATTTGTATAGAATATTCTTAAGGCATAGTACTGCCGACAAACGTTGACAACCTAAACAATTATCGTACACCCTTCTTCCTAGAAGGGGTGACATTTTTTTCTATCTTTCGCTTTTTCCATCCCTACTATGCCCGACCCACCCCACTGTACTAGTTTTTTTAAAGTCGAGTTTTAAATTTTTTTATTATAAATTTAACACACTGACATATAATATATTATTTGACAAGTTCATTGTTAATACTAATAATAATTACACAATATTGTTTTCTACTCAAGTAAACTAAAAGGGGGTATAATAATTACGTGTTGTTTTGTTGTCGACACATGTTCGTCGCAATGTTATTTAGATACAATGTAATAATACTCGAAAGTCAAAACTGATGAAGTGATCTACGCCCCATGGACAGACCGGATACTAGTCAGATATGCTCATTATCACGAGTAGAATTATTAATTGTCCGATATTCGCCATCGGTCAACGTGTGCGCAGAATTTCATATTGTTTTTTATTTTAAGACTAGAATATTCGGGAATACAGTCACGGTGTGTTTATTTATTATGCTGTATGCACCTATCATACCACGTGCGGTATCCGTAACGAAATATCAAGTAGGAGGGGAGCACTATCGGGAGATACGCTCATAGTTCCGACAGTGGCCACGGTCCTCTCACTCTCCGCTCTCGGCGTGTACCTATCAACCACTACGGCGGTGTTGCTAGTCAATGACACGTGATCCATCAATGACTTCGGAACGTCGTAACTACGGTGATGTCCGGCCGGGCATGTCCGTCTTATCCGTCTAACTCGGGCGAATAAATAGTTTTAACAAAACATAAGTTCGTCGCGTATGTCGTACTAAATTGGCGACCGTTCGGTAAAAACGTTAATAATAAAATAGTATTATGGACAAACAACACTTGGACGTGGCGACAATGCCGCTGGACAGAACGATCAGTCTAAATGTGGACAATCGACACTTGACGTCCAAGTCGAAATCGAGTTCGCCGTCGGTAAAAGACCGGTGGTATAGCTTTCGCGGGCGTCCGCGAGATGAGCGCCCGTCCAACGTGGAAGAGTTTCTATTCATGGAGAGCTTGCCAGACGCAGTGGCCGAAAACCGAGAAATCGAACTATCTGTAATAATCTGCAAGGATACAATCCGACAGGACCTAATGAACTCGATGAGGACGTGCAACGGGCGGCTGCCACTCTTGCAACAAGTAGAGCAAGGCACGTTCGATCCGGAGGAACAGCAACCCCAACCGCCACTCAACCAGGTTGAGCTGGACAGGCTGTTATGTTGGGCTGTATATGTCGGTGCGACCCAGTATCTTGAATACTTATACGAAAAAGGAGCCAACATCGGGTGCACACACTGCGGTAGCTTTACCGCCATACATCTAGCAGCTTTCATGAACAACGTCGATGCTTTGAGGTATGAAACGCCGCTGTACATCCAATCTGTCGCGTTCTTAGATTAGAAATAATATAAACTAATGGTGATTACACCGAATAAATTTATCGATCATATTATTATCAGAAATGTCCACATATGTGTTAAAAATTAAAGTAAGCCGGGGGGGGGGGCTTTCGATAAGAAGGAGGGTCCCAACCAAAAATAAAATAATTTCTGATTGTTTTTTTAAACACAATTTTGACAATTATATATCTAACATTGTATATTTACATTTAGTTAAGTAACAATAAAAAGATTATATAAATTCCATGAGTTTTACGTTTTTTACTACTTGAATCAATATTTTTCGAAATTACCGATTTAGTTACTTTATGTGTATGGTCGACATGGAATTTGTCATAATTAAGACGGGGTTGATTTGAATTGAATTTAATTAAACAGTTTATAGTAGTTGACAAGGTTTAAGAAAAATACAGCAGGTTGGTCAATGGTCATACTGTACTTAATATTCTATATTTATCAACTACTAGATATAAATAGTTTAATTAAATCCAATAAAGGCCACCAAAAACGTATTATTTACATATTATAGATATGTTATCATAATATCTTTTTCAAGAGGCGGACAATCACATTTCTAGGAAGATTTAAAAGACTTGGGTAAATTTTGCGTGTACAAATAAGGTAAACCAATTTTTTACGAAATCTGTAGTATAACTTTTTTCTTTAAAAATTAACAACCCGTTTATAAATACAATTTCGCCTTTTTAAGATTCTACCGATGTTGAAGCATTTTATGATATTACCAAACTCGCTTCGTAACGTTTCTTCGAGAAAACATCACTTCAATCATAATTTCTATACAGACCCTCGACCACCCCGACTCTACTATGTTCAATTCCTACGCCATCTTTTTTGTATTATTTATTCTTTAAATCTAATTTTAAAAGCATAAAACGATATGCCCCATTAAAAAACAAATGTCAAACTAATGGTGTGATAAATGGTTATATATACATACTAAAATTTAAGAAATAAAAACAAATTAACAGGCAATTGGCCAAGTATGAACAAGGCCATAGGCCAGTTAAAATAAATAATTCCAGTCGTCAGCTGGAATAATAATTGAAATCTTAGAAGTCGATTTTTTGTACAACATAATTTTAAATCTCTATTATAATGAAATTATCTTAGCTATTGTAATTAAAATTAGTTTGACGAGATAATTTATGATGAGATATTTACCCGAGAAAATCGATTGACGAACTTTAAGACTAATCCTATTATAGACAAACCATTCTCTATACATTTTTTTTAACCATTTATTTTTTTTATAAAACAAAAACTGTTTGTTTAATGGCAAATAATTTTATAAGAAAACCACACTATTTATTAACACACAACCTATTTTCTAAGTTCCAACCTAATTGGACCGATTTCTACGGTTGAAAATCCTTGGTCTCAAAATGTCGGGGAAAATTAAATTATTTTTTAAAAAAATTAGTTAGTCATAAATCGGCGAGATTTATTAGTAATTAATTGGCTTCCTAGCAATTCTTAAAAACACTTTACAATAATACACAGTTTTAATGAAATGACAGGTTGGTAACTAAATACATTTTCGAAATTTATTGGTAATATACTAGATTGGATCATTTGTTGCTCTAATATGCCACTAATATTATATTATGTAAATATATAAATTTATCAGGGTATGTGCGTATGATACATACATGTATAATTCGTGTATTATACCTATAACACATTACGTACTATACATCTATATTTTATACATCATTGATCCAATTATAATATTCAATACGATTACTATTAAAATTTTAAAGTACCATTTTGTTATGATAACTGGTCACCGTAGGCATGAGCAGATACTTGGTCTGGGGTGTGTTCTTAAGTAAATTGGACCCTATAATAGGTTGACCAATAAACAAAAAATGAGTTAACTACGTAAATTTTACCCAAAAATCGAGAAATCTTCAAAAAAAAAAAATCTCGTCCTAAATGGCACGTATACATTCTATTTTAGCTTCGATAAGGAGCTGAAAACGTATTGTCTTTACAATGATGTATTTTTTTTGTCGTAACTACTACCGTTCTTCCCCTGTACCCTTCATATACATGAGCCAATGTATCCGCTTGTAGTGTGGATACTTTGAATTTGTTTTGTTCCTCCTTCTGGCGTTACTCAAGGTGCTGTCCCGTCCCCTCTTCTCTTCTCACTTTTCATCAACGCTATCTATTCTCCATCATGCAAAGCTGCTCATCTTCGCCGACAACATGAAGCTATTTCTTCGTATTTCTCCCATATCCGACTGCTTCTTTTTCTAAGGCCTAAGGTGATCTTCAACGCTTAGTTACTTAGGGTGAGTCCCTTGGACTTTTCCTTAACATTTCAAAGTGTGCTTCTATGACCTTTTCACGTCTTCGTTCTCATATTGTACTCCCCTACTCTATCCATGGCATTACCCTTTCATCCGCTGATGACTCGGTTCGTGACTTGGGCACTACCCTCATCGAACACTTTGTCCCCATAAGCATGTCGAAGAGATAAGCTGCAAGGCATTTAAACTTCTCGGGTTCTTAAATCGTACGTCTCTTGAGTTTCGCCTTACTACCCCTTTCAAAACCTTATACTGTGCTCTCCTGCGTCTCATTCTTGAATATAGTTCTGTCCTCTTGAACCCTGCTTCATCAGAGGCCAGAGTTATGATTGAACGAGTTCAGAGGCGCTTTTTACGAGCGGCAGCATTTCGTATTCTCATCCCTTGTCCACCTCACGATTACTCTCCTATCCAAAACTTTCTTAACCTTCCTTCCTTGTCTGATCGTAGGCATGCTCGCCCGGATGCTCCGTCTAGTAGTACAAGATCTATGGTAACAATAAGTAATAACGAGCGCGCGAATCAGCCTTATCAATCCTGATAAATCCTAATAAATAATAATAATAATAATAATAATAGTTTGATATAACATCCATGTGAGTTTGTGAATGCAATTATTTGAACAAAGTTCCTTATGGCAGGTTGCGCGGTGGGGCTAACGCGTGAAAAATGTAGCGTCACGAAAAACCCGACACGAAAATATACATACGAACAAATCCTCCGACGCACGAGAGAGAAAGCGGCGTAGGCGTTTAGTCCCTTCGCCGTTGGCATCGGTAGTTGGGGTGGCGGAGGCGGTGACGTCTGCGTCTAGTCCTTCCACCGTCGGTGTCCGTTGCAATAATCGAATGCAACGGGCAACCATATGATACGTGAACTTCGTTCCTACCGAAGGTCCCGTGATCCACTAATTTTTTTTTTTTTTTGTATCAGTTCAAATATCGGTTTCCAATAAAAACCGATACCACTAATATCGGCCGATATCGAGTATCGGTTCTGGTATCAACCCACCCCTAATAATTATATAAATATTGAAAAACAAAATGCTGAGTAAGATTTCGTAAATTTATAATCAACATATTATAATTACAACCATCTTACACACGTTAGTACTGATAAGTATACTGTATCTTAAGGTAACCCATACATTGGACAGTTTGCTTGATTTGTATAAAAAAGCTGTTTCTCTCTATTCATAATAGTTAGTTTTAATCCATCATTAATTTCACAGTTTTTTATGTTGTATTTAAAATATTTTGTTATAGATGGTTAATTAACAAAAAATGCAATATCAACTCAATTCAAAATGGATTCACTCCACTCCACTCTGCAGTAATGGGGAATGCTTTAGAAACCACAAAAATCCTAATTGATCAACGATGTGATGTAGATAACACAGTGCTTCATTGTGCTGTTCAAGCGAATTCTTTAGAATGCGTTAAGTATATTTTGCAAATAGGCGTCGATGATCCAAATGCTTTTGATGCCCATGGCAACACACCTCTTCATTTAGCTGCAGATAAAGGATACACTGAATGTCTGAAACTTCTCTTGGCTGGCAGCAACAAATCGATAAATCAGAAGTCCAGGACCAGACAGTCGACAGCGCTGCATATGGCAGCTGAAAACGGTAACACGGAATGTGTTCAAATTCTTCTCAACAACGGATCTAGTCATGGCATATTGAACGATAAATACCAAACTGCACTGCACCTTGCCGCAAAAGCTCAGTGTGCCGAATCCGTAGGAATATTATTGGAATTGGGAGCCGAGGTGAACGCGTTAGATATTGACAAGCGAACTCCACTACATTCAGCGGTATGTAAAGCTTTTCTATCGTTCCATGTGGTTGAAGTATTGGTGAAATGGGGTGCGGACGTCAATATTCAAGATAGATACGGCTACGCACCGCTCCACATAGCTGCGCTGAATGAACTATCACAGTGTGTCGACTTTTTAATCATTAAAGGAGCGGACATAAGTTCTAGAACAATTGGTGGAATGAGCGCTCTAAGCATTATTAACCGAAAGACTCCTTCGAGTATTAATACGATCAAAAAAAAGTTGGACCAAGCCATTTCCCTTAATGATCCTGAAGCTTCTATCAAGGAGGTCGAATTGAAAATGGATTTTCGATATTTATTACAGAATCCAAGTCATGGCGAAATTATACTGCTACACACTCTAGAGGAATGTGGTCAGAAGTTAATGCTCGAACACCCATTGTGCAAAGCGTTTTTATATTTAAAATGGCAAAAGATCCGTCGTTTTTACTTTGTGCGTCTTATTTTCGATGCTATATTCATCCTATTATTAACAGCCTATGTAATTACAGCTCTAGCTCACGACTGCTATAATAGAGCTAAAAACATAACTGTCCAAAACCCGGACGTTTGTATACAAAGCAATTTATTTGGTTTGCATCTCATATCAAATATTTGGATCATGGAATTTATTTGGTACATTTTGTTGGTGTTCACGTGCATAGTAATTGCCAGGAAGTTAATTGGATTTGCAGGATTCGTATCGGCCAAACAATATTTTTCAAACATCACAAACGTGATCGATTGGTTTGTCGCGGCTAGCGTTTTTCTAACGTCATTTGTGTACAATAACAGGACTTATCATTGGCAAAACCACGTGGGAGCATTTTCCGTGCTGTTTGGATGGTCAAATTTAATGTTGATGGTTGGGCAATTACCTATATTTGGCACATACATTGCAATGTTCACTAAAGTTCAAGCGGAATTTGCCAAATTATTATTAGCATACTCGTGCTTGCTCATTGGCTTCACGATAAGTTTTTGTGTTATATTTCCCACGTCCTCGGCCTTCAACAATCCTTTAATAGGCATTGTTAAAGTCCTCGTAATGATGACAGGAGAACTCGACTTAGATTTACTACTTGGAAAGGATGAAAAATCCTCCGTTATACTTAATATAAGTGCTCACATTACGTTTGTATTGTTCCTTATATTCGTCACAGTAGTGCTAATGAATTTGCTGGTAGGAATAGCAGTGCACGATATTCAAGGCTTACACAAAACTGCCGGTCTTTCGAAATTAGTCAGACAAACTCAACTTATTTATTTACAAGAACAGGCGTTATTTCAAGGGTTTTTACCAAGACGCGTAACAGACTTCTTTAACTGGAGCGCACGGGTTTCACCGCTCGCGTACCGGGTGGTGCTCTACGTGAAACCATTAAACCCTAGGGAAAAAAGGCTGCCAAAAGAAATAATGGAAGGTGCGCTAAACATAGCTAAACAAAAACGACTCAATATTGTAGATTGCAAACAATCGGTTTTAGAAAATAAAATAGAAAATAAAGTATTGGTCGAAGAAATAAAACAGCTTAAAGAAATAGTGCAACATCAACAAAAACTATTACTAGAATTAATTAAGAAGTCTGAATAGATGCCATAGTATACTACACGTTTATACACATTAATGTATATTATATAAATAAATATATACCATATTATATACTAAAAGTTTCATGTGATATAATAACATATTTTTAAACAAATATCGCCTTATTTTACGCAAGAGACAAAAAAGTAAAATGATACCTTGTTATTTTATAACAAATTACACCACACATTTTTCCATAAATTATAGATATCTCATTTCTCATGCAAGGTCACAGTTCCGTGTAATATATAATATTATGGCAATCCATACATTTGTGAACTACACAAATATGATGTTAATTTATATACTGAAAAAAGAAAAATGAGGAGAGATTTGGTCTGCTAGATAATCGGAAAATTCCTGTTAACCCATTGGTTTTGTTATCTGTATGGGTAAGGGTACATTATGTTTATCAAGAAACATAACCTCCATAGTTAAAGAAATATTCAAATTGCTTTATAACACTAATTTCTTTTATTCTAATAAACAATATCTATTCCCTAATACTAAATCCGGATTAAGTCCAGGAAACCCGAATAAAGTTCTAATAAAAAATCACATCTTACACGCTAACTAAAAAGTTGAAAAAAAATTGCAATATTAATATAATTTTAATATGTTTTGAACTTTAAATGTGTCGATTGTTTGATTATGGAAAAAACAAATTCAACGATTAAAGTACGATTTTTGTCGACAACTTCATCCGTGATCCGGTCCTTTACCTAGTAATATCACAATGACTACTCTATTTATAATACTTTGTATTTTATAATCATTCATAAATTTCATTAAGTAAATACCGCAACAAGTTGAAAATTGTAGACGTAATAAAGTTTTGTTAAATAATAATAATTTGAACATGCTAAAGCTTTCATGGATTGACATCATTATTATGTGAATAATTTTCAGATGTATACATGTTTTCAGTTTTTGGCTGACGCGACATTTCAAACTTGGTTCCGAGTCCATTTTCAGAGCGATAATCACTGTTCCAAAATGGTGAAACTGAAACTGTTTTTGGAACAGTAACTATCGCTCTGAAGATGGATTCTGCAACGACTACAATAGTAAATTTCACACAATTAATAAACAAATATTATAATATAAATAATACTTGTATTTTTCAATATAAGTAATAAATATATTGGAATATTCGTAAATATACGAGCAATTAAAACCCCTTAAATTCATATGTTTCTGTATACTCCTAAGACCAAGACAAAAGTAATCGACAACTTTTACTATTTTTTTAATTCTAATTTTACAATTTTAAGAACTTTACTGATACTCTATTACATTGATTTTTATCTTAATCGCAAGACTAGGCCCATAATCAAACCCAATTATAAATAATTTAAGGGGTAGTTTACCAGTTCGTTATGTTACCCTCCTTGGAGAATGTACCAACTCAATCTGAAAACTGAATAATTACCTTTTTATTTTAAAAAAATTCTGTATAATTAAAGTGTATCAACTTATGCTACTAAACTATTGTCAGCATGTGCATAAAGTAAGGTTCTATTTTAAGACAATAGTTATACATGACGATGTGTTGTATATTTAAATTCTTAGAATTTGATGCAGTATGTTTTTTTTTTGTAATTGTATAAACATAAACCAGACAGATTTCAGATACACTGTTACGTGTTTATAAAATTCACGTATACAAAAAGTGATCAATAAACTATTTTAAGACTACTTAAAACAATAAAAATATACTCTAAACCGCACGTTTCTATTATAATTATAAACGTGCCACAATAAAAAATACTCATTCTTCACAGTTCCAAAAACAGTAATTCCTTATTACGTTTTCGAAAAAGCTGTTTAAGTTTTAAGCTAAAAGATAACAGATATAATTACAAAATACAGGTTTGCGTATAGGATAAAAAAAAATATGTGATAGTGACAATACTGTCCACAGAGGCGACTGAGAAATATCCCCCCTCCTCCATTGCCTTTTTTCTTTATTTTTCTTATTCGAGCAAAGTTTTAAAACATAAGGTATGAAAATGAGATCTAAGGTAGATATAGAGTAGGGTTATTAGTTAACATAGAAACTTTTCTTAGAAATCTGTAGTCACTTTTTTTTTATCAAGAAAAAAATATGAAAATTACACTGACCTAGTTATTTAAAAATATTTTGATTTAAATATATATATATATATATATATATATATATATATATATATATATATATAATTAATTACGATAAATAAGTACAAATGGCAACAAATAATCATAGACAAACAATCAACTATAATCGTACCCTCCCTTTCTCTCTTACGTTTAACGTTCATTATTCCCATCGATCAGGGCTTAGACGGTTTAGATTTGGCATTTTTGGACTTTTAGATGGCTGCTGACCTAACACTTCAAAACAATTTTGGTCCCAGAGAGAGGTGCAGGTGGCCATTTCACCCTCAAGACAGTTACACGCCCGGAGGAGGAATAAACTGCCAGTGATTAAGATTTGAACCAGCGACCGTGCGTTGATACACTGCCAGATTATCTCACTCCATCATGCGCCTGCACTCATAATCATACCCTCCTAATGCTCAAAAAATAATTTTAAGCACATTAAATCTTTTAAAATTCTTTATCAATATCTGTATTTTCATCATCTACAGACTCACTTCGAAGCATTTATTTTTAAGTGATTTTTATCATTTTCGTTATAACAGTTCCAAATCACACAGTACTAGCTTTTTTTGTTTTGTTAAACACAGGGTTTTGAAAGGTCTTAAAGTATAAGTTCTTTAAGTCAAGTACCTAGTAACCTAAAATTAACTTATAAAAATCAAACTGTAGTTTTTAGCATTTTAGGATATGCAAGGGAATATTACGTGTACATAAAAATAACATAAACCGTATGTGACCTTCATCGCTCCAATATGCTCTCTATCCTATTTATTTGAATTATTACTTATATACTTTTCTGCTATATAAAGCTACATATTATACATAAGACAAAGTTACCTGTTCCCTAGGTTGGATGTCTTCAAAAAATTCTATTCCTTTTCCATTAATTGAAAGTTTGCCAGTTCCCGGATAGTAAACAGTTACATTAGCCCTGGCATCCTTCCTAGGACAATCTAATGAAAAAATAATAAGATTATTTTCTATATTTGCTTGATAATAATTTAGCTATATTATACAATATACATTTTTAAAAGGGAGTTATATACCCCATCTTCTAGCATTAAAACATATTTACGCAGAATGTGGTTTACTCGCTCTTGATGATTTTAAAGCAAAATTACTAATAACAAAAATGAAAAATGCCAAGATTTTGGTGACTATGTCATATCCTCTTTTTAATAAACCTAATATTTAAAATCATATGTTTTATAAATAACTATAATTTTATTACATGCTTTTCTTTAAATCGTTAACACGTACGTACGTGTATTTTTCAAATCTTGCAAAATTTAACCCACTTCCCGATATCGTATAAGGCTGAAACTTGGCACAGACACTCATCTTAAATGACAATACAATATCATTTAATCATATTGGGACTTGGACACCCAGGTCGCCCTTCACTGGGTCAAATGTAGGGGTCATTTCACTAAAATTTCATTTTTTTCCAAATCTTCTAAAATTAATTAAGTAATCTATTCAGCAATTATTAAATACCTTTAATAGGACTAAAAAGTAAAAAAATAAAATAAATAAATGTAAAAAAAACCTTTTTTAAAAACATGCTTTTCTAAAAAAAAAAAATAGTAAAAAGTGAACTGAAAGGTAAAAAATAATTTTATTACAAGAACAATTTACCAATCAATAGTAGCACATTTTATTTAATATGTCTATTACTTACTAAAATTTTAAATAATGTTAAACATCTTTAATTTTTGACTAAAAAGAAAATAGTGGGCCCTATTCAACAAAGTTCCTAATAAATTTATCAGATAATGTTTTATATTGTAAGTTCTTTTGTAATTTAAATTTAGTTTAATAATTGTGTGTGACACATACATTTCATAATACTTAACTCAAAGAATTTGGACTTTGTTAAATGGAGCCCACGCTTATTATTTTAGTCAAAAATTAAAGATTTTTAACATTATTTAAAATTTTAGTTAATTTTCGGTTGTTTTCAAGGTAACTGACATTTTAAATAAAATATCCTACAATTTATTGGTAAACTGTTCTTGTAGTAAAATTATTTTTTAATTTTTAGTTCACTTTTTTACTATTTTTTAGAAAAGCATGTTATTAAAAAAAGTTTTTTTTTATTTATTTATTTTATTTTTTACTTTTTAATCCTGTTAAAGGTACTTAATAATTGGTGTATAGACTACTAAATTCATTATGGAAGATTTGAAAAAAATATGAAATTTTAGTGAAATGACCCCCTCGACATTTGCGACCTGGATTATTATTGTTATATGATGACCACGTCATCAATATAGGTTACGTGATTTTAAATAAATGCGGGCAGTGCTTCCGGCAACTTGAGACTGATGACCAAACGATTAAATTAACAATAACGCTGAATTGCAAATTGTCAAACAATATAAAAGACAATCAGATTCAATGATATTTTGTCAGTCAACTTTACCGTAGCTATATGTCATCAGTTAAGAGTACTCGGTTGTGGCTGTCCGTCTACAAGGTTTAAGTTTGAGAGTTCGTTCATTAACACCTAGTAATCTATCCACTTTCCTTGTGCACTTGTCTTGCGATTCGTTCGCACAGTGTACATTCCTTTCTTAAAGTACCCGTGTCTTGCGATTCGTTCGCACCGTGTGTGCTTACATTTCCTTAGGTACTCGTGTCTTGCGATTTGTTCGCACCTTGTATCTATCCTTTCTCATTCTCTAATTCTTTTTAATCCAGTATAAACAACGGCTCTTCAACATCCGCGAAGAACCCGGACAGCAATCCGTTTCACTCTTGTATCAGTGTTCACTAGTGTCAATCAAGAGTCTAGCATTCTCATTTATTTTTTGTCTTATGACATTATTATGACAGAACATTGTATTGTCATCCTAAAAGAGTGTCTGGGTTAAATTTCAGCCTTCTACGATATTGGGAAGTGGGTTAAATTCATTTTTAAAGATTTAAAAAAACTTGAAATTTTAGTGAAATTACCCTGTGTAGGGCGACCTGGATGTCCGAGTCCCAATATTATTACAGGATATTGTATTATCATTTGAGATGAGTGTCTGTGCCAAGTTTCAGCCCTCTACGGGATGTGGGTTAAATTAATTTTTGCAAGATTTGAAAAACACCAGTACGAACGTACGTACGTGTTAGCGAGTTAAAGAAAAGCTTGTAAAAAAAAAGATTCCTCATTACTAAACTAATGATTACACATTCTGAATGTATATAATGTGGGGCAAATCCGATTAAATGGTTTTGATTGGTTACAGGCCCTATCGTGGAGAAATACTGCCACACACCCTAGAAGACCTAAGGAAACTAATTTTTGTAGTATTGAACGCCATACCCCTCATAATGTGCCAACAAGTTGCAAAAACTTTAAACAATATCACCAACGATAAGTTTCTGCTAACGGCCGCCATCTGAAGACATTATTTTCAAAACTTAATTTAAATCAAATATTACGTAAAAATTAATTTTCTCTGTATTACTCCATTAATTTTTAATACCTATGATGAGTTCATCGAGAATATTATAGAATTGAGCTAGGGATCTGAAATTTTAGGAATCTGTTACATGATTAAGCTACTATCAATAAAAAGTCATAGGAAAAATGAAAAAAAAAAAGTAATATAAAGGCGTCATGAGTTAAGTAAAAAAAATTATTAGCACCCAAAATATTATCCAATATTAAATATTTTGGGAACGCATTATCAGTAGGATGTCGATGTACTTATTTAAAAATTACCTTTAACAGTAACATAAGCCCTTCCATCTTTTGTATATTCCACCTGAAAAATTGAATTTCAATTCAATATGTATAGTTTAATACAAATTATAAGTATATAATTACTAACTGGTAGTGGTTCAATTAGAGTTTTAGTCGACATCATTGGTTTTTGATATTGAGAAATAAACTCAACAAATTTGTAAGAACAAGGATGTTTTAATAATCTTTCTATCGCAACCACAAAACTATTGTACTAAAAAAAAATTGCATCAATCATTCACCTTAATTTTGTAAAATAATTAATATATATTTTTAATACAATTACTTCATGATCAGAAAGTTTTTCAACTGTTATTTTTTCTAAATCTTCTTTAGTAAGCCACTGTGATCCTGTATTTGACCTACCAAAACAATTAACAGTATTTTTAAACACAAATAAGTTGTGAACAATGAATAATTAATTTTTAAATTTATCGTACAATTGTTTATGAGCTTCTGGGATTATATTATTTTTCATCAAATTATCTTCAAATGAATTTAATTCCACCAAATTGGTAGCAATTTTCTAAAAATATAATATTTAAATACATTAATGCATGAAAAAATGTTTGATGCGATGCTACATGATTTGATTTTTTTTTTACGTGTAAAATTAAATAAAAGTTCGGTTTTCCTGTATAAAAAAAAACGTGATGTGGACGTCCTGATTCATCAAATTCTGCTTCTTTCCTAGATGGAAAAACTTCAATCGGTGGCTTCATAGCTGGTCTTGCTTTTGGATCATACAAGCCCGAAGGAAAAAGATATTCAATTGCTGCCTAAAATGTATCATTTTTTGTACTTAAGTTATTTTACTTTGTCATGTTACTTACATCAATATCTTTTTGAGTAAAAGTTTCTGGGTCAACTCCCATCATGTTGGCTAAATGGCGTCTACCAACATTATACTCATGAGACTGTTGTTCCATGAATTGATCTAAAATAAATTTGAATACATATTTATTATTAGTACAGAAAATAATATTAGTAGGTAATATAGTTATCATGGACAGGGCTTAAAGCATCAGGTTCCAGAGAGGTTTTTTCCTAAAAAAAAATGTACATTATGAAAAAAATAGTAAGGTCTCTTAGAGTTAACAGAATTGCAGTTTTTTTTTTTTTTTAAGGAAGACTTGCACTAAGAACATAAGTCACTTAAGTCAACAAGTTTTTAATTTTTGAAATTGTATATATTGTGATATTGGACTTGTACATGTATAAGTGATAATAAATAGTTTTAATAGCCTTTTATTTTGATCATTTTGCTTTGTTTATATTGCTAATGTAATAAAAAAATTGAAGCTCTATGTCTACTGTAGTTGTCCTCTTTCAAACAAAAAAAAAAGTTATCAAAACCCAATTACTTTATGACTAGGACCCTTAAATCTTTAATTAGTAATATGATTTTACACTGTAATGTATATATGTAGACTAGTGACAGGCAATAAGGCATACCTCAAAATTTTTAACTTGCCAGTTTCTGAATTTTTTCAGTAAACCCATTTTTATTAAATACAAAACACACTAAGTATCTCAAAAAAAAAATTTATGATTTACATAAAATCTGAAAAATGACACTTTTAATATGGTTAGAATACATTACCAGATTATCTTACTTATATTTTACAACACATTTTTTTTATAAATAAACTTACTATACTGTGTAGCTCTTTGAAGATAAGCACGCATAGCCAAACTGGTTTTTTCTTCTTTTATTTCACTTTGAATAATTTCAACGCCCGGATCATCACTACCAACATTATTCAAGCCATAATTGCATCGTAATTCCTAAATACAAATCTTATTAAGACATAGGTACATAATAAAATAACTTTAATTTATAGTGTTATAATATGATCTTACAATATTTGTTAATGTTTTAACAATAGTAGTTTTCCAATTTTTGGGACATGAGTTACTTAATATCTGTCGCATTAGCAACATAATGAACATATAACAAAAACCGTTTTATTAAAAATACTTTACGACATCTAACGATTGAACTAATAATTAAAAACTCAAAATAGTAAATACTAAGTACTCAGTATGTTTTATAAGACTCAATTAAGTCTAAAGAAAGAGACGGATGGTTTGAAGTTACATACGTCTACTAAAAGTTTAAAACCATGATAACTATTAAGCTTCGACTAAAATAAGAAAAATAAAACTAGTAACTACCAAACATAGCAATACAGATCTGGAATGAATAAAAAACTTATCAGAAACTAATCTACAGCCGGGCTTATAATTATTTTTAGGTTATATATTAAACCAATAGACACAGACTATTTGAAAATAATCTGTGGGTATTACTCTATTGCCTACTCCCCTAATGGTCTGTTGTATTCAGTCGCGTTGTATATACTTATCTATCTTCGCGTTTATGATAACAGCCGGTTTAAAAGTTTTACAAATTACAATTTTTTTTTTTTTTGCGTATATTACATATACAATATTTTATTAAGCATCACTTTTGAAAAATGTCACAGGGTAATATTGAAGACTCAAAAGGGAAAAAATCCCCTATTAAGAAAGTATAATTTGCAATATTCTAAATTATGATTACTTACTTAAAAATAAATTGCATATATTTTGTAGTTAAAAGATGATCGTAAACATTTTGGATCCAAACGGTTACCAATTGTTTTAGCAAAACGTGATGGTTCTATTGAGCGAATTCAAGAGCCAGAAAAATCACTTATTCAGCCAACGATACTTCTCAAGTCACGTGATCCAGAAAACAGGCCTCTGTCACCTACACAAAAGTTAATGCCACAAATGATGTAAGAGCTTATGATGAACTTTTGATGGAATTTCATTTGAACTAAAATAGTTCAGGTAGCCAACCCATCTTAAAACCAGACAATAAGCTTAAATAGATTATGTAAATCTATGGTAAAATAATTCTCAGTTTTGTTACAGATTATATTAAAACAAGTATTTAGTATACAAATAATAAATTAATCTTTTGTATGCTTTATATTGATTCTAATATCAAAATACTTTTAAAATATGTATATTTTTCTAATTTATATATTAAAAGATAAAGTTTTAAATCACAGTGAGTACTTTATGATACTCTTTAATAATTTTGTGGTTGGAAATGTTTTTATTACACTCAAAACTATTACTAGTTGCTATCTCCAAATCATTGATCCCACAACTCACCTGTGCCAACTTTTTATTTTATGGCTTCATTTAAAGCATAGAATAAATATTATGTATGTTTAAACAATGTTGAAAGTAACTTGGCCATCTTTAAAAGTAATCAATCCTATTAACTACAAACAGGATCAATTCTAGGACTTCAATTTTGTATGGGAAAGTATACTTTTTAAGTGAGCTGTAGGCGCTGTAAGTTCCCAATTTTTTTTTTTTTTTTTTATTACCTACAATAAAAAAATTTAGTTCGGGCAACTGCCCACTCTGCCTATACGCTAGCTGACTATAAAGCAATTTAATCAATGCTTACTAATAGTTAAAACTATTAATACAAAATAAATCTAAAATACAAATAAATAATCATATTTTATTTTTATTATCTAATAGCAAATTATATAATAGTTTAAATAGAACTAGATGTATGAAAAGAGTTTGAGATAATCATTAGTAGTCCCATTAATAGAACAATACCTTACTTATAAGATAATTTTCACAAAAGGTAAAAATCAATTTAAACTAGATGAGATATTCTTAAATTTAAGTTCAAATAGACATTTTAAAGTATAACAAAAAATTAAACACTGGTAGAAATTAAAATAACATGTTGACTAGAAACTATATAGTACTAAATAAATTACATTATATATTTCAGAATAAAAAAAGAAGAACCACATCTACAATCTACTCAAAAATATTCAAGTGATGGTAAAATATATTTTTTTAAATTTAATTAAAAATATATTTTGTAAATATGTTTTATGTGTAAATACAGATCAAGTTTTTTCGCCACTTGAAATGAAAACACCAGTTAAAATAATTGATGATTATATGCAATTTATCAATGAAGGTTTAAGTAATTATCTACTTGAACAACCAGATTTCTTAGTTATTGGTTGTTTGGGACTGCAAGGAGTAGGAAAATCAACGCTAATGTCTAATATTGCCAATAAGTAAGTTGTCTCTGTTATATACCTATATTAAATAAAATTAAATAAATTATTGATATATCTTACGTCATGACATTAGGGTTGGAACCTTAAATCTTCACATAAAACATTATTTTAGCCTTATAGAAGTCTTAAGGTAGGGACACACTATTCACATGCCACGTAGTAACACGCCCTTACTTGCCACCCCATGTTAAGATGCGTGTGATAATATTGTGCACACTAATACAACGCGACGTATACCACGTATAATGAAATCAGTTAAATTTTTTATTACAATAATAAAATTAAAATATTAAAACATTTTAAAATTTTCTGTCAAAAAAAATGTAATACATTATAAATACAATATTTTTCGAGCCAAGCCAGCATGCAAATCTAAATACCTTTAAATTAATTTTATTATTTTTTTGGTTGGAGGAGTTTTAATGTCAATTAAATTATTTTTGCAAAATGTGTTCTAAATACTGAATCTAGGAAACAAAATCTGGTGAAATATGACCTAGGAAATAAAATTAACAAATTACCTATTTTTTAAAACATTAAAATGTTTGTTCTGATGGAGGAGGGGAATTAGCTCGTTGTAATGAGGGAAAAAGAAACACCGAAACTTTTTCATATAATCACTCTGTTCGTCATCACACGTAACACATTCTTCAAAATATTTTGAAACGCGTGGCATGGAATTGAGTGGGAATACGTGGCATGTTTAAATTATGATCACAAAACCGAATAATGTATACAAATCAATGGCATAACACGAGATTAAAAATTTGCGGCATGTAAAGGCGTGTTACCATGTGGCGTGTGAATAGTGTGTCCCTACCTTTATAAATACTTATTACAGTTGTAATATGAAGATATATATTTTCATTTATTAATCATTATTTATTATGTATGTTGTTAAAAATATTAATATACCTTGTTAATTTTTAGGCCTAATTTATTTTCATCTACAACTACTGAATATATAGAAACCGCTCAAAACTGTACTAGTGGAATTCATGCATATGTAATGAAAAATAGAGTTATATTGTTGGATTGCCAGCCTATATTATCATCTTCAGTAGCATATTCAACCAGTCAAAAACGAATAGGTCAATCAATGGACACATCGATTGACAATGAAATGGTGTCATTACAATTAACTGCATTTTTGTTATCAGTCTGTCATGTAGTATTGATTGTTCAGGATTGGTTTTTTGATCCTAACATCTTCAAGTAATATATTTTGACGTTTTTATGTTTTTGCTTTGGCACACAACCGGAAAAAACGACTGTTACCTTTTAACTACAATTAACAGTTACCTTTGGTAAAGAAAGTTACCTAAAAACCTCACGGTCCTTATATATATATCCTTATTAGGGTGGTCGTTAATTTCGATTTTGAGAAGTGAAGTATAGAAATAGGTTTGAAATGTCGAAAAAAAATGCCCTAATTTTTTTAGATTTTTCCCTTGAGAATAACAGGTGCTGCATAGGGCCTCAAGATTTATATTGAAATAACATTGTTATTATTTATTTTCCAATAATTATTTTATTACAACAGCTTTTATTTAACTGCAAAAAGATTTTCAACTATGAAGAATTGTCGGGAATTAGTGCTGGTACAAATGAGAATGTAGATAAAAGACAATCCAATTAATTTTCAATTTATACTAGCCACCTATATAACATTTTTTGCATACTCTATAATTATAATGAATACTTCTAAATCCAGTGTTTACATATTATTGTATATAATTCATACGACTCAAGAGCAGTGTATATAGTAAAGCTAAACAAAAATGTCACTAAAAATTAAAAATAAAACAAAAACCCTACCATCGATATTAATTTATTTCTACTAAAATCTATAATTAACATACAATATGAATTGTTTTTTTTTTATTTCGTTATATAAGTGGATTCAGGCTTGTATAAAATGAAAATTAATTGGATTATCTTTTATCTACATTCTCGTTTGTACCAACACCAATTCCCGACAATTCTTCATAGTTGAAAATCTTTTTGCAGTTAATTAGCCGTTGTAATAAAACAATTATTGGAAAATATATAATAACAATGTTATTTCAATACAAACTTGAAGCCTGTGCGGCACCTGTTATTCTTAACCCTTCACTGCATAATGTTCCATACATGGAACAATTATATTTATTGTTTATATCTGCTCATGCTATACATCTTTGATGCACAATGTTCCATATTTGGTACAATTCTTTAATTAGCGTTTTCCATGAAACCAAAACTTAAAAAAAATTTATTTTTATATTTTTAAGTAGTATTAAGTACATTTATAGCATATGGTTAAAAAAAAAATTCATGCAGTGAAGGGTCCTTTCATGATTTTATTTTTTATGCAGTTGAGAATTATCAAACAAATTAGGCTAGGGTAAAATGTTAAGGCTCATTAAAATCCTATAATGTTCATACCATTGTATGTATTAAGTCATAATTATGTTTTTGTAAGACCTAAGTAATAAGTGTGTATATAAATAAAATAACTAAACTGTTTTGTTTTAGAATACTTCAAACAGCAGAAATGTTAAAGCCTCCAATGCCTACTTCACATCGCAATGAAGAACTAGTAGAATATTTTCCACATGTGGTATTTGTTCAAAATAAATCATTTTATTCAGATTTTAGTATTGAAAACATAAAAACAATTCAGGTAAAATTTGTATGAAATGTTAAAAAATTACAAGTATAACAATTTTAATTATAATATTGGTTTAAATTCAGCAAGTTTACACTCAACTATTTGCCCGGTCTCGGCTTCATATACAAAGTGGTATTAGTATAGCAAATGGCAGTATAATAAATGAATTGAATCCAACAAATTGTGGTGATCCCATTAATATATTTTTACTAGCGAATATCAATAAAGATAAACAATTTGGTAAGTTCTTATATTATTTTTAATGTTTTTCCCTAAATTTACTTTGTGAAGTTTAACTAAAGGAGTTAAATAGTTACAATACCAGTAGCAAGTGTATTAAAATAATGTTTGGTGTTAATCAACATTTTTATTGTTGTACCAAACTACCAATATTGACAATGACCAAATAAATATGTTTGCCAACAACATGTGATGAACATGCTGAATTTTCTGCATCATAAAAGTCAATATTATAAGTTAACGTACATTAATGCAATATGTATAAATATGTTGTATAATATTTCTATTTCCTGGAAATTTGGAAATAGAAATAATTATTTTATTTTGGTACCAATATAGTAAATGGTCTGCCCTGTCGTACATGAAGCATTTTGTGTATACTATTTTCACTTGAGTTATTGGTAATTAAACAATGTAATACTGGAAAGTAGTAAGGGCAGAAACAAGGCCAAATGTGTCTACAAAATGTTGTATTATTGTTATATTTTTTGTCGATTTTGCCAAATGCTGCATATGTACAATACTTTATCCTTGAGATAAGGTACATGTGCAGAAAACAATATGCATTGCTTCTGTCTGGGTAATATGGATTGTTCTATAAGTTGACAAAAAAAAAGTGACCTAAAATAAGTACATTACAATTGTTTATAATGTATTCCTTTTTTTTTTTATTAACGGCCATGCCAAATGTATCTAGTAAGTCATAGCAGCTTCTTTAAGTGTTTATAATATATGCAATTGGTGTGTGACATAAGCTTTGCAGGATAGACACTCTAGGTCTTCTCTTAGATCTTCACATAAAAGTTTCCCTATTAAAATGCCATTTAAAAATTCATTATGTCTTATCAAATATCCAAAAAAACTTGTTTTTCTGGAATTAATGATTTTATTATTATACAGGGTGTTTCACAATGATTCGTCTATTTTACTTGTGTCTAATGAATATTTTAAAATTTTTTTTTTTTAACCCTTCACTGCATGAATTTTTTTATTTTTATGAGAAAATTAGGAATGATTAATATTATAATAAAAGTATAGATGCCATTTTTATGTGTATATTTTTTGGCTTTGCACATGTGAATCAAAAGTTAAAAAATTCCTACAAAAAGTTACACTAATTTCTAATGATTCCCAACACTTATATTTTATAAATGTTTTATCATACTTTGAAAAAAAAAACTTCTGATACATGCAAAATCGCAATGTATATTACATTTCAAGTTTGAACCTGTCGGTAACACGGGATGTAATTTAGATACGGTAAAAAAATGTAGAGGGGATTTTTTTTTCAAATACTAACATTTTAACCCCTGGGAGTAAAGTAATCGGATCAATTTACCGGACAGCAGTCTAATATATATTTTATTAGGTATAGGTGTTGATAATTATTAAAAATGTACATTAACAATATTAACTATTTAGATGTAAATGGTTTTCACAAGATGCATCCAGACCAAACAGTTTTAATTCAAGAGTTCAGAAAACAAATTCTAAGTTTACCAATACTTCCTATTACTCATACCAATCTCACAGAAAAAGGATGGTAAGCTGTATTTAATTTATAATAATTATTAAAATTATGTTTGAATACTTTTTAAACTAAACTACTTTACTAAAAAAATATGATTACTTATTGATTTTAAATAAAATAAGTATACAGATTAAGCAATTATATGTTAAAAATTTAAATTATATAATAATATCCAATTGGTAACTTTTTGGGATGCATATGAATAATTAAACTTCCCTCAGGAAAATCTACTTAATTTTTTATTTTATAAAAATCTTAATACATAAAAAAAGTTGTATTCTTAATGTAACTGAATTAGCACTTTTTCTTGACTGGGCAATTTTTAATAAACAATTTAACTCATTAGAAACTTTTAAAATTTAATGTCCAATAATTCGCTTTCTAACAACTTCATTAATAAGTCATTTGAGGGTTGCCAATTATGTACTTTTAAAAAAAAGATATCCCAAATAACAATTACTACCTATAAAATTAAGCTCAATTATAAACAAAGCCCTCACCAATTTAAGTAGTAACCCATCACACATGACTATCAACTTGGAATTTATGTACTGTTTGCTGTAGCGATTACTTTCAGGGGACAGTAAAGTGCAATTTTGTACTTATTAGAAGTCATAAAAGTGTCAATTTTAGTAATAGATCATCTATTATATAGTATCTTTTAGGAAATTTTAGCTAACAAAAAAACAATAAATGCAAACAAACTAAATAAACAATGTTTTTTTCCAGGTTTCATTATTGCATCAAAGTTTGGGATTCGATAAAGAAGAGCCAGTTTTTTAATGAATATAATAGACTTCAAGCATAACAAGTTATTATTAAATACTAAGCGACTGTATAATTTTAAATATAATCAGAATTGTAAAGTAAATGATATCTTATTGTTTAGATGTAACAAAATGTGTATAAATATTTATAACTAAAAATGTTATCATATTTTAATAGATTTAAGCTTGCGATTCAACTCTTCAAATTTTAATACTTTTCTTATGAAAAAATCCCCGTAGCGATGTGCTACTTTTGTATCAGCAATATGTATCATATCACGATCAATATAAAAGTCCAACTAAAACAAAAATAAATATTCAAAGGTTTAATAATATTTAAAATCATAGTTATAACGGTGTTCAAAAATGTACTATACCTCAGATCCAGAATGAAAGTAACCATCCAAACCTGATGCACCTTTGTTCCAAACAATATTTTTCATTTTATGCTTAAAACACAGTAAATGCTTGGTCAAGTTTTCCTTATCGTCTGTCGGTTCATTATTCTCTCTTTGACTTTGTCCTTGAGCCATGAAAGTTACCAATTTATTAATTGGCAAAGTTGTGTATAGTTTCAAATAACTATAACATAATTAATTTACTTAAACAAAAATTTTAACAGTGGATATATATAAATTGAATCTAAGTTTAATATCTTATACCTGCGAATTGTAGGCAACATTTTTTGTTGTTTTACTTCAGCCATAAATACTGAAGTCTGATATTTTACTGCTTCTTTTACAGAATCTTCTGCTGGATCCATTGATAAGAATTTAGGGCATGCCATTTGGAAACAGTTTTCAAATTCTTGCAAATCACCATATTGCATTTTAAACATTCTGTCAGTGTAATTTTTTTCTCTTAAAACTTGTTGAATAGATTCATCAACACATTGTGGGTGCAAAACTAAACACATAGCCAATAATGTATACATCTGATCTGTTTGCTTGTTAATCTAAACAAACAACATAACAAATTCATGAATTTTAAATACATTTTTATTATTATTATTATTTTTTATTATACGCCCAAATCGGGCTCAGAACAGTTTTTGACAATTACAAACACGTTTGATACAAATATAGTAGAGATACAATTAATTATATATATATATATAATACAATTATATATAATATATATATATATTATATATATATATACATATTAATGAGTTTCAAAAAAAAAAAAAAAAATTGAATAAGTGGCATTTACTGCTTTAGTCTAACTGACAACATCACAAAATTACGTTACTTGGAATTTAAATTATGGTGTTTAGGTTGAAATTAAGATCTAACACAAATAACAAAATTTAGAGAGGAACGTTTTTTTCGAAAGCACCGTGTTACTTTTTCTCTAAAATATTGCCAAACAAAAAAGTAACAACTATTTAAAAAAATCAAAAGCTAAGAAATATGTTGAGTTGTGCTTTTAATAAGGTGGAAATTAATAAATTTATACATGCTCATTGCTCAGTAATAAGTCAATTTTTCAAAAACATCATGAACTTAAAACTATAGAATAATACTGTTTTAACAGAAAATATTCCAAAAGAAAAACTATTGAAGAAATAATAAAAATATCCTTTGAATACAAGTTAAAAATATTATTTATAAGGTTAAACTTTTAAGTTAAATAGCAAACCACATACATAAATTATGCATGTTTTGTTAATATCTTGAATAGAGTAAAAATCCTACATTGAATTAATAATCCTATAATATAATGTGAGCACTAATTGCACTATTATAACAATAACAGCACTATCTATCAGTATGGAATTTAATTACTAATAAATAAAGTATTTTTTTATATTGACTAAAAATAATTTTAACACATAGCAAAAGCTCAGTCTCCTGGTACTATTTATTATTTAATTACTTGATCATTTTGATAAGAACGAGTTTGGAATAGTTGTTTAGTTCTTTGTATGTACAGCAAGATTGAACTAAATGTCCTGATTGCATCAGAATAACGACGCATCATCATATATGCAAATCCAACGTAGTATGCTGTAGAAATATGACAAGCTGGAACTGAGCTGTATGCGTTCTAAAAATAAATGTTAAATATACAATTCCGCTTATACTAAGGTCTAAGGTAAAGAAAAATTGTTCAACATACCTTTTTGTGCATGTCAATATTTTCTAACACTTTGATGGCTAAATAATAATCTCCAAATAAACTATGCAATCGTAAAAGTCCAATCATAGAATAATAACCCAACATTTTATATAATGAATGACGTCCAAATTCTCCAGCTACCGAATCTGGATCACCACCACTAGCAGTAACTTCTAACTGAAGTTTTATGTTAGACTTGTTTATAAATGAATGTAATACATTTAACACAAGCAAAACATTCCACACTTCATTGTTTGAAGCTAACATATCAATTTCTTCTTGAGTCTTACGACTACGTGAACGAAACTGAGTAAAAGATTGAAACTGATAAACAAACTCATCAACTAATTCCCATAACCACTGTTCAGGTAATTCTAGTGGAACTGGAGTTTCACAGGCTATAATATTATGTAATAATTAATATAAAACAGTAAGTATAATAAATATGTTGTACAGCTATAAACGTTTACATACTGAAGATATAATTGAAAAGATCACAATAGTTATAAAATGATCCAAAACGTTGTTTTGTTGAAGGACCATTGGGTACACGAGCAAATATATGACGATAATATAATTCTTTGTACAGCATCAAGAAAGTCTAAAATCAATTTATTTAAATTTAATTATGCCATTTTTAAATTAAAAGATTATTATTTATACTTTATCATCATCCATTATCGTGCGAACTTCATTCTCACTTGGCCAAGGAGCTTTATCAAAAAATTGATCAGATAACTTAGGAAACCTTTAAAAGGTAATTAATTATATAAAACTATTGAACTACACAATAAATATTTCTAAAAACTACTTTCTAGTTCTTACGTATTTTCATATAAATTTTGCATTTCGTAAACCATTCCTTCATTAATAGCATTTCTGAAGTACAACAAAAACTTTTTGATGATTTCAGGCATTTTCGGCTCATATGGATCCACATCATAGTACCTGTCTTCGTAATTGTTATAATAAGAGTCACCATCATACTCAGCCTGAACAAAATATGCAATATTCGTGTACATAGAGTTATGATTAGCATGCCCAACTTAAAAAAAATTATACCAAAATTACCTGTTCGTAATCCATTGTTAAGTTGTAAATTAAAGTTATCAAAATTTAATTATTAAAATTTCTTAATTTTACTATACAAATAATATTGTACTCAAAAATACTCAATTCAAATTTCCTTCGATCGTAAATCGCAAGCCGTTCAGTGGCAAATTCTGTAAAATTGACAACAAGTAACAACTAAAGAACCCAAGTCCAAACCGAACTATCCTGGCGAGATGTGAAGCAGAAAGCTAACCTATAAATTATTTTTTGTATGAATTATTTAGTACGTTATACGTATATCATTTACAAAAATGGAACGACAGTCCGTCGTAAAATGTAACCAATATAACCCCCCACTATTTACTAATTTTCAAGTAACACATTTCTAGTACGCATGTCCTAAAACCATTGGCCAATCAGAGTTGGTCATGTGCCACTAAAGCATGCGCAGTTTTCCAATATTATCTGAAATTTGTCGGTGGCGGGAGTTTATATAGGACACAGATCAGCATTCAAGCAATACCATGTATCGTTACGCTACTGTAGTATATGACGGCAAGGAAGATATAGAACCATGGTTAGTATGACCTAACTTTAGTAATGTTGGCTGTTACCATTGTTGTTGCTTGATTAAACCACAAGCGGCAACTAGCAAGCAAAGCAATCCCAATTACTGAATTCTAATTTCTATCATCATTCACAATTCACGTATTACAAATCAATATTGTGTGTAAAATTTTAAATGTGTGTGAAAAAACTATATTTTATGGTGGAACGTATTGTGAAATTTACCTTTTTAAGTAAAAAGTAAGTCAACATTATAATAAGTAACAATTAGTGCTAACAATATGAAATATCGTCGTCACTTATCTTTGACGTACTTATACCTAAATTAAGTAATTGGTGTTTTGTTCGTCAGAATACGAGTTGTTTTTACCAACTAGGTAACTTCTATGTATAATACGTAATAGATGGGTAATTACATGAGTAAAACTAATGGTGTTAGAGATAATTAAGTATTCATTAGAAATTAAAACTTCAGTTGTTTTTTAAATGTAATCTTTGTTTCCTTTTTTCATTGGATACATCTCCTACAGCTTGATAAACTATTTTTTCTAATTTTTATTTATTTTGCAAACATTTAGATACCTAGTTTCTAATTTGAACCTTTTCGATTTGTCAGTGGTTTTTTTTTTTATTAGTAAAATATACAATCTGTGCAGTTAAAAATTAGTGCAATAAGTATAAGGTATTATTTAAAGTCATTATGGGTATTACATAATGTCTTTCTTATTATAATATAAGAAGGATATATTAGCTGTGTATGACATGTTTAAAGATACCAACCAATGATGGAACTGCAATAGTTGGTGTTAGTTAGGTTAGCGGTCACTATACCATTTCCTTTTTAAAAGACTGGGTGGATTTTCAGGGAGATTATTAGAAGCAAGGTGAGTGATCAGAGTATTAGGATGTCCCTAAGACGTTTTCTGAACCTTTTGTAGTGAAGTTTTTAAACTAACCAAATAAACCAAATAAGTAAGAAGTTAAGTAGATTCAAAAATATATTTTTAACCTTCATGCGCTCGCGCGGACGGCAAATCGGCCGTCCTTATAAATTTTCGTAAATATTATTGTCCAAAGTGCCAAGGAAGTGGTGAGAAGGGTATGTATTCTCTAGTTATACATCTCTCCGTTATAATATGATCGAATTTGGTCAAACCAGTCCACCCCAGCAGTTCAGTATAGCCACAAACTTAGTAGTGTCAGTATGACGGCCAACTTGCCGTCCACGCGAGCGAAAACGAGAATTTTTGCCTGTATTTTTTTTATTTACGATCTGGATTTATATTATGAAAAAGGAGGCATATAGGAAAGGCAAGTGTCAATAGAAATTACAAGAACCTTTTACCACTCCCTCGGTGCTCTGAAGAAAATTTTTCTCAAAAATTTAAAAGGACGGCCAATTTGCCGTCCATGCGAGCGGATAAAGGATATTTCTATTATTTTTTAAATAAACATTTTTGGTCAACATTTTTTATGTTCCAATGTTGTGTTAGAGGTAATTGACTCTAAATATTTCGAAACATCCACCTTAAATAAAGAATAACTCACGAAAATGATAAAAAATAAGGACGGCCAAATTGCCGTCCTCGCGAGCGGCAGTGTAACTTTAGGAGGCGCGAGCGCATGAACGTTAATTATGAGTTATATATTTTTCTTTCCTGTAAAATTTACATATTGTGACGTAATACAATTGCTCTGGGGTTCAAATATATTTCAGTCGTCATTTTGATTAACAAAAAACATGTCTTTTAAATAAAATGTAATTTAACCAAATTATTGTGTTTTTTAATTTTTGCAATCACTGGAAAAGGCAAATTCTACTTCCAAATTTTAGTTGTGCTCTATTATTTACCTACCTTGTTTTCAATTTTAACTCTTTTTTTTTTTTTTTTTTTTTACCAATTTTTTAGTCAATAAAATAGTATGAATTTGCAGGCAAATAATATAATATTGGTTCACATTTTTATTAGTAGATTAATGCATATGTTAAATATAGTATGTAAGTATCAATAAAATCGTACAACTTCACATATGTTAACAATTGAAATTGTATACACACTACTAAAAATTGTATATAACAGAGAAGTTGGTATACGGTATATAATCTCACTACACAACCTACTGCTTTTTGTCACATTTATTCTTACATTTATGTACAATATAGATAAAATATTTTAATTTCAATGTAGAGCTGAGGAGTTATTTTTTTTTTCTTTAAAATTGTATTAATTCTGTTGCTTTAAAATTATTTACAATATTAATTGTTTTTATAGGATTGCTTAATAATATTTAAATTAATATTCAAAATGGCACTTCCACCTACCTACAAGCAAATTGCGATCAATCAACAATCACCTGCACGTAAGTATTTATGCTTAAATTAGAGAAAATATTATTTCTGTATAAGAAAATTATAATATTGTTATTAAATAATTACTTTCTGTTTTATTAATAATTATGTGTACGTTAAGTAACATAATAATCTGTTATAATCATCAGGAAAACAAATATAACATAAAACATTATTAATAAAGTTATCATATTATTTACATTATTTAAATTGTTTAATAAATTACCAACAATAGGCATGATATATGTCTATTTAAAGTATTACTAAAATATTTTTTAAACAATGTTCTCACACATACTGACTTTCCAAAGATAATTAATTGCTATTCGTTTTAGTTGGTAATAGTTAATAAGGCTCCTACATATTTTAAAAATGATTGCTTGCTTCCTACCTTGGCACAAGCTCTTGATTATTTATGAAAAAGGTGTTAAAATATAAATTTATAAAAAAATGTATTTGATGAGTTTTGAAAATACCTTTTTCTTAGTTAATACAATAATTTATAAGAAATTATAGTATGTTTTTACTTTATTTTTGTGTTGTATTTTAGATTTTCTTTTGGCTATTTACATATTTTCTGTTGTATTTAATAAGCTAAAAAAAATTTTAGTCATTTTACATAAAGCATTTAAAAAAAATCTTAATTAGTTTTAATTTTGCATGATTTCTATTTTCTTCTCTTTATTTTAATTTTTAAATTTGCTAAATTTGATTTGTTTGTGTGTAAAAATATATTTTGGTTTTGAGCTTATTACCGTGTGCCCACAGGTGCTCCAGTCACATTCAACATCTTAAAAGGTAATTTTGTAATAATTATTTAACTTAGATTTATTTGAAAACTCTTGTAATTTGTAAATGCACTAATTTTTGCACACATCACAATTCACATTCAACTTTCATATATCTACTAATTAAATTATAATTTGCACTTGGAAATATGTTAAACATCATTATATAATAATAAGTAACTACTCTAATTAAATAGCAGTTTTCAGCCTTGTTAAATAACCAAAGAAATTTATAAAATATAAAAAAAAGTTTTCCTTCTTTTTTAAGAGGACGCCATATGTCTGATAATTTAGTTCTAAGACTAGCTTTTCTCAAACGGTTGTATTTATTTGTTGTTGACGTAAACGTCGAACATATTGAAAACAATATCACACAGTGTTTGTTAAGTATTTTTTTTTTTGGCGTGAGTCGAACAACACATTCTATCCACATACACGTGAACAGATCCGCTTTTGATTAGGCCGTCCCTTTTTTTATTAAAAAAAATTATATTCGACCATGTTAACATTCTATCTTACGATTATTTGATCATGTGTCCTCACCCCACCAATACTTATGAATTTTAATTGGATAGTATCAATTGCAATAGCCAAACTAGTGCAAGAGCAAATGTATGCATACTATATGAAATATAATAACGTATTAGTTATTATGATATGCTCAAACACCTTGAGATGGTTTTTCATTGCAATTGGAGCAAAAAAACTGATAGAGTGCAATGATAAAGTGAAACATAAGAAAAAGATCACTAAGTGTGCATCAATATTCCAAGTGAAGTATAAAAACTTACACCAGTGAGGTATGATGAAAAATGCTATTAAATTGTCTTTATCAAATCCTTTAAATAAATATAAAAATACAGCAGGTGTGGCGTACTCTTTAATTAAACAAGTTATGTATTTAAATAGTAAATAATGGTATTAAAAAAATTAAAATTCATTATAAATACAAATAAGTAAATTACTAAGAGGATCTAATAATAAAAATACAAATTTTAAAATTATTATCACCCAAATTTATTTGTTTACATTTAAGCTATCATTATGTTTATTGTATTATATTAGGTTGAACAAAATTGCTGTGAAAAATATTACTTATGCTCTAAATTTTTTAACTATTTTTTATTTTTAGGGTTATTAAATAACAAAATATTTCTTTAAAAATTTCTAGATATGTAGCCCATTTGCAATTTTAAAAAGAAAAATGTAAATTATTTTACTGGTGAAGGGTTACTACCAATGCACGACCACAAATTATAATTTATTTTAGAAAAATGTGCTTCATCATTAATCTTGACTAGTTAGTTAACTAGACAGTTAACTAACTATCTAGTTTCACTTGTTTGGTATAATATGGATTCAAATTCTTTGAAACATATTTTAGTTTTTTATTGTTTCTGAGCTATATTTAATCTCCTTACATTTCTTATTATATCCCTTTTAATTTATAAAAATGTGAGCAAAAATATCTGTCTTACTTACATTTTCGCTTCAAAATCTAAGAAAATGATACAGTGTGTGAATAGTTTCCTAATTTTTTCAGCCACTAAAACAGGATCCTATCAAAATGGTTAGTAAGTCTTATATACTTTATATATACTGTGTCTTGCATGTGGTGTCTGTATTTTAAATAATTTAATAATTTTAAATAAGTCTTAGTATAATCATTGGGAATACAAAATATAAATAAACCAATAAATAGTACTTTTTTTTGTAAAAGAAGTAGTTAGTCTTGGCAAATTAGAAAACATTTTGGAAAGCTGAATTTTGGTATATACTTTAAGTGAAGGGTCCTTAGTAACATACTAGAAGTCCCCTAAGATTGGATGCCAGCTAGCTCTGCTAGAGCAAGTTTTATGTCAAGAAAATAAGTTTTTTTGCAAATAACTCGTTATTTTTTAAGATTAGACGATAAATACCTTAACTATTAATACTTAAGCTTTTTTTTATTAAGAATTGTATTTATTTTTTATTAAATGGTTAGTGTACCATCTTTACTGGGATGTACCTATTAGAAGTGTTTAAAAAGTATTTTTATATAGAATTATATAAATCTATAACTTTTTGTATTATTTTTAAAAATAGATGTTTTTTTAGAGTTTTCTTCAGCTTTTTCTATTTTCGAGAAATTATAATTTTTATAGTCATGATTCAATGACATCTTCGTAAGTTTAGAGTATCCACACTTTGTGCAGATACATCAATACATGGATATGTCCTGATAATTATATGATTATTTCCGACCTATAATCTCTTTTTGTTTTTGGGGGTTTTTAGCCGTAATTTTAGGGTGTTTAAGTTGAAAATTTGTCAAGAGTTATAACTCATATGTATCCATAACATATTAAACGAAGAAAAATTCGGGTCTACAGTGTTTCTTTAATTGCTGGAAAACTGTGTTTTTTGCAGATTTTGTATATTTTAACATAAAAATCTTAAAATCTTTAACACTTAAATCTTAAAAAAAAGTTATCAAATTATTACAAAAATGTTATGGACATCTATTTAGAACAATACTATTAAGTTTCGTACTCTAGTACCAGTTTAAGGTTTTTATTTTATTTTTATTTTCACTTCATTAACGATGATTTTGTTCTGTTTGGCGTTAGCATCATCGTGTACTCGAACGCCATGTTGTCGCACGCTTTTAACAGCTCCGAAATGCTCTTTCTACAATAAAGTATAAGGTATTTATCGTCTAATCTTAAAAAATAACGAGTTATTTGCAAAAAAACTTATTTTCTTGACATAAAACTTGCTCTAGCAGAGCTAGCTGGCATCTAATCTTAGGGGACTTTTAGTTTGTTACTAAAGACCCATCACTTAAGGTGTATACCAAAATTCAGCTTTCCAAGATTTTTTTCCGCTACTTAACAAATTGGGTCTAATTTTTTGCCTGGACTAAGTATATTTATTTTAATATTATCTAGTTATACTAATTATAAACTAACTTGTATGATTTGTTGTTATAATATATATACAGGGTGTAATGTAAAGTTCTACCGAGCTTCAAATGAGACAGTCAGGATGCTCTATGGGTACAATAAATGGTATTCATTTTTTTTTTAATTAAAAAAATTATTTAAAATACAGAATGTAGAATCGTATCACATTTAAAAATTGTCTTACGAAAAAAAAATTCAGATTTGAAATCTAAAGAAAAAATCTTGTTGAATTGATATGTAACATGATTTTATGGTATCTGATTTGACATGTAATGATGTGACACATCATTTTATGTTGTAATTTTATTCTCAATTTAGTGGTGTCCATAGAATTATTTTATATTAAATAATGTGTCGCATGCCATATGTTGGTTTTAGTCACATGCCGACCACCATGTGTATGTTTCGGGAGAAAAAATCTTGTTGAATAGATATGTAACATGATTTTTTGGTAACTGGCCACACATACATCCACAGGGTGGTCGGCATGTGACTAAAACCATCATATGGCATGCAACACATTATTTAATATAAAATAATTCTATGGACACCACTAAATTGAGAATAAAATTATAACATAAAATTATGTGTCACATCATTTAAATGTCAAATCTATTCAACAAGATTTTTTCTCCCGATTTCAAATCTGAATTTTTTTTTCGTAAGACAATTTTTTAATGAGACGAGTTCTATTTTAAATAATTATTACATTAAAAAAAAATTAATACCATTTATTTGTACTCTTAGAGCATCCTGACTGTCTCATTTGAAGTATATATATTCACACACTCGGCCACGTGCTCTGCCAGGCCGGATCGACCGAGTAATAGTTTAGATTTAATGTGCAAGCAGAAAGACCCCAAGGGAATGAATAAAAATCTGAAAATATTAGAGAAATATTTTTTCAAAATTTGGAGCCATATGACAGTCATTCAACGCAATGTCAAACTTAAGGACCCCCTTATTTTTATTTTTATTTTTTTAACAACGCACAATCTAGACAACTCTTAGTTTATACTAGAATATAGATTTTCTTTATGTTTAAGATAAATTATTAGAAAATTGTTATTCTAAGTTAATTGTTGAGGTATCCCTTCTGATTTTCTTGTGATATTAACAGCATTATGATACATGTATAGTTACTAGTGATGTCCAGAAAAAATCTGGATTTACCGAAGTTTGAGTTCAAAATATGAAATTTATTGTAAATCCTGATACCGTATTTTAAAACTTATTTTTGGCAAAATGTAACTAGACATTTTATTTTAGAAACCATAAAACAAAGGAAAATGTCAAAACCAACTTGTATACAATATAAACTTAATTTATTTACTATATTATGTGAAATTAATCAAAATCTATAAATATCAACATTAGTGTTTACCTTATAAGGACTGTGGGCGTATGATAAGTCATATTTCCTATTACACTCACAGTCCAGGAGGTTAAAATTGAAACAAAAATACAATTCTAAAAGTGTTAAGTACGAATTATTGAAAAATAAACAAAATATAATCATATTATACAATATTTATTGTAAAATTAACAGTAAAAAGTAGATATTAAAGAACTTATGTTTTGTAAAACTTAAAATTCCAATTAAGATTTTATTACTTTAAAATTTAAAATTTTAATATTTGGATTTCAGAATTTGAAATACAGTTTTATGTTGTATCATTAATAGTTAGGTATAAGTTACAACTATTCTAATTGATATCTTCACGTTGGAACTTATTTATGTTAACAATTTTAATTTCAAATTAACTCGATAGGAACTAGATATAGCAATTTTTAGAGGGGAAAAAATAATGAATATACACATTTCTAAAATTCAGTGTAGTGTTGTGAATGTAACATTTAGTAGTAATTTAAAAAAGCATTAGACAATTCGCTTTTAGTCAAAATTTGATTGTATACTAATTTCATCAGGGCCTAATTAAGAAAAAAAAAGACAAGTACTTAACCCTTTCATTACTAAAATCCTCGTACGAGGATTTAACTTTAAAAATCGAATAAAATATTAATAACGTACTATCATTATCAAAAATGTCTTAAAACACAAGTTCTAGTATAGATTGATGATAAAAAAATCGACACAGCTATATTGATAATTAATATCAGTCCAATACGTAAAAAAAATGTTGATTTTTTTTTTTTTAAGGAAAACCTAGGAACGAAAGGGTTAAAAAAAATAGTTATTGAACTACACACGTAGTATGTATGACTCATAAAAAATACATTTGGTCATAATTTTGGCTGGAAAATTTTGTTTTAATAAAGTAGGAAATATATACTTTATTTTTATGTGGATACATTATTTATAGGAAAACTGTAGTTAAACAAAAAAAAACTGTATAATTAACGCACATTCAAAATGCTTTTTTTTTAATTTTTAGGATAAAAAAAAAATGATACATCATCTATCAGCATATTGTTATCTTTTTTGTTCTAATTTATGCTTTCATTATTTTTATTTAAGCATAAAAACTATATTATTAATTATTCGCATGGTTTTAGTTTACTAATACATAATGATGGGGTTTTAATGGAGAAAAAATGAACATTTTGTATTTGCAAACTGGACTCTTGTTGTTTGTATAGGTCCACGAAACCCAGTCACCACAATATTTTTGGTGATTTAATTGTGTTGAACAAAATTTGATCAAAGTAGTTTATAATTCTTCATTAATAATAGCCTAACAATGTGGTATATTCATACTATTTATTTTTAAGTACAATTTAACTCGTTTTTTTTGGAGTAATGATGTTTGTCTTTTTTTTTATATCCAAGCAATTTTTTTTGCCTGTTGAGCTTCAATTACTAACAAACATTTTCAAAATTGTGAATGGACGAGTTTTATTTTCCTTCATTGGAGTAAATAAAAACTTTCCAACCATAAAAAAACGAAGCAGGCAATTATGTACAGTAACACTACAGCTTTTTGCCCCTATTAAAAATATTGCTATAATATAATACTATTTCATTAATTTAAAGTTTAAGTAAATTTTACTGTATAAGTGGTGTTAGTTATTTATATCAATCAATAAAATTGGTATTTAGATTTATAATTTAATGGATTATATAATTATATTTTATTACAGAACGCTTAAGACCTGGAGGAAGTTCCAGTCAACTATCTAGTTCAGTATGTATTTAGTTTAAAATGTTATAACTATAGTTCAATTGTTTTTTATTTGGCCTGTAACTACCGTGGGTGCAGGAGGCAGCTGCCCCTGGGCGGATTCTATTTTATGGTGTTCTGCAACTCATCAATTTATCATGTAATATAGGGTGCAAAAAAAAGTCTCGCTCCTGGGGGCTTTAGTCTTCTCTAGTTACGCCACTGCCACATTTATATATATTATAGGCCATATATATACATATACAGTACTTGAATTAGAAAGGGAAGATTACAAAAGAACTAAACTCTTTTACAAACTTTAAACAATAAAGAACTTTTCTACTATAATTTATTATACAAGCGAGCAAGGAGATGTAAAAGACAGTATACTAATTTCAAATCTTAGTGTGAATTTATCTTATACTTGCATAATAGTTTTTATCTTTTATAAATATTGGACACGCATTGAATATTTTATTGTATTTCTCAATTCAAGCTCAGAATGTATGTACATATTAGTAGTTAGTTACAATAGCTGTCACAAACTAAATTTTAAATGTACATTTTCAGTATTAAGTTTTGTAATAAATAATATTTTGATTTTAGAAAGATCAAAATCAGAGCCCATTTATACCGAACAGTCATGGAAATCCAGCATTTCATCCTCAAAAAATTTCAAAATCTGCAGTATGAAAATAAATATTTATACTATTTAATATATTTTAAATGTTAAAATATTGACAAATTAATATGTTTAAAGGCTGATGCTCGTGGTCTTAAACCTCCTAAACCTCCTGAAAAACCTCTTATGCCATACATGCGTTATAGTAGAAAAGTGTGGGATCAAGTTAAAGCTAACAATCCAGATTTAAAATTATGGGAGATTGGTAAAATTATTGGACAAATGTGGAGAGATCTCCCTGAAGAAAATAAACAGGAGTACATTGATGATTATGACTCTGAAAAAGTAATATTGAAACTGTATGCTTAAGATAAACTCCTAAATTACAATTATTTTTAGATAACTTATGAAAAAGCAATGAAGTTATATCACAGTTCACCAGCTTATTTAGCATATTTGCAAGCCAAAAATAAAGGAAAATTAAACCAAGTAGAAGATAGAGAACCCCATGAAAGATCATCAAGTGGAGGTAAACAAACTGCAGCAGACAGAAGAATTGAAATACAACCTGCCGAAGACGAAGATGGTAGGTTTTACTTCATTATTAATTCATAATAATATAATTCCAGGTGTATTATTTTATTCAAGTTGTTAACAGATACAAAAGTGAATATGTGGTTTTTTTTTCTCACAAAATTACCCTAAAACCACAAGCAGTATCTCTAATAATAACAAATTGTATGCTGTTCGTACTTATGTGCAGGCGCGTAACGAGTGAGATAAGGTGGCAGTGTATCAACGCAAGGTCGCTGGTTCAAATCTTAGCCACTGGTAGTTTGTTCCTCCGGGTGTGTAACTGTCTGGAGGAAGAAATGGCCACCTGCACCTCTCTCTGGGGGGGCCAACTTATTTGGTAGCTTTTGGTCGGCAACCAGCTATAAACCCAAAAATGCCATATTTTAATCTGTCAAAGCCCCGATCAGTGGGAATAAAAGACGTTAAATGTAAGAGAGAGTATGCTGTTCGTACTTAGGGTGGCCAAAGGTTCACTTCTTACCTCTTAAAATTTGGAAAACTATTTTGTGATTGTTGCAAACAAGAATATGTCCACTCATGATTTGTCCACTAATATCAAATAGTATAGTTATAAATTTTTAATTATCTACTAACTACAAGAATCCAGGGGGATGCATTTTTACAACACCATGTCTTCTTCCGTTTTTCATCTTGCACAATATATCCTTAAAGATTTTAACAACAAATTGTGAATATAGTGTGTAAAATATTATATCAAAAAAGACAGTTATTAGTATTCTCTTTTCCTAAATACATTGTTTGGAAAATTCCCTTATGTCAATTATTGGTTATCTTTTTTTTATAATTTTCTTATTTAATGTTTTGATATTACCATGTTTTAGATCAAGATGATGGTTTCAGTGTAAAACATGTGGCTTATGCTAGATATCTTCGAAACCATAGGCTTATAAATGAAATATTTTCCGACAGTGTTGTACCTGATGTACGTTCTGTAGTTACAACAGCTCGAATGCAAGTGCTTAAAAGACAAGTGCAAAGTTTAACTATGCATCAGGTTAATATCTATGTTTATTACTTTTAAGAAAATTTTAATTATTATATTATATTATTATTAATTAATATTTTTTGTAGAAAAAACTAGAAGCAGAACTGCAACAAATTGAAGAAAAATTTGATACTAAAAAAAGAAAGTTTATTGAATGTAGTGATGCTTTTCAACAAGAATTAAAAAAAGTAATTTAATTTAATACAATTAAACTATTTTATATTAATAAATATACTTAATTATTTTAGCACTGTGTCCAAGCAGTTTCTGAAGAGGCTTTTCAGAAAATGGTTGAACGCCAAGTAGAATTGTTACAAAAAGAACGCTCTAAAAGTCTATGCTCGGCAGCTACACCAAGTGAAGAATTTTCAAAAGTGCATTGTGAACAACTATTAGAACCTAGTGAAGGAGTACCTCCTGTTGAAGAAGACCCTCCCTCATCTCTTGTTCCTTCTAGTACAACAGATACTAACACTGATTCAGAGGTAAAGTTGTATAAAATTAAGAAACAATTTTTACAATCAATAATTGGATCAATTCACCTAATGTATGTGCGAGTAAGGCTATAAAAAAATTATCATACATTCTTTATAGGTCCTGAATAATACAAAATTAAAAAAAAAAAAGTTTGGTTAGGTGGTTCGATTTTTAGAAAAAGTTATCCGAAAAAAACCTCATGTTCCTGACTATGTAATTTAACCGCCAATGGTGGTTTGAACATGAAACCTGCACAGTTAAAATTCCAATTAAGAGTATTTTAACCATATTTTGAAAAAAATAAATTTTTTTTTTTTAAATTTTAACACTGAAATTTTTTTTCTCTAATGAATTTTTCACTTTTTTGGGGGGTCAAAAAAAAATGTTGCTTTTATAAAATTCAAGTTATGTTCTTAGAACCCATGTCATATCTTTGAATCAAACAAGGTTTTTTTTTTGCTTTTAATTTACGGTTTTAAACATAAGTGGTTTGCTGAAAACTATTTTGTCATAAAATACCTGTAAAAAAATTGTATGATAAAATTTTCAAACATTTTTTAACTATAGTCGCACACAAATTAGGTGATTTCACGTGAGCTGACTCAATTATGTTAAAATTTCAAAAGAAAAATAATTGAATAATAATAGATAAGAATTATAATAGATAAGAAAGATTGAATTATAATAGATAAGAAAAATTGAATTATAATAGATAAGAAAAAAAAGAAAACAGTTGAACGCTGCAACAAGTATCCTTTCTAGAAATGTTGGAAAATATTTAAAAATTATTAATTGTGTTCTTCTTCCACTACACTCTTCACTTTTATATTTTCCCTTTTATTTTATATTTATAGGATTATTTAATTTTAGTAACTACTAAAAACTGAATAAAATTAATTTTTGTGGACCTAAAGATATAAGCTTAGTGGGCAGGAAGAAATTATAATATATTAATATTTTAGGGATTTTATTAATAAAATATGATTACATATTTTACAATAAACATTATATTTTTCTAGTCAATGCTGGCAAAACCTGATACTTTGAAGCCTGATATTTCATCTATAATTAAAGAAAATGGAGAAATGGCCACATCTCTACCACAGGCTCCTTTAGAGCAGCTACAGTTTTCACAGCAAGATTCTGTTCAACAACCACCACAACATCAAGAGCAGTCTTCATTTCCACCTACACAGTTAGCACTTCAGACTCAAGAACAACAACAGCAAGCAACCCAACATATTCCTGCTGTTCAGCAACCTCTTCAGCAGCCAATTTCTGTACAACAACCATTACAAATAATTCCTACACAGCAACAGCTTCCTGTACACCAACCACTTCAACAGCAAATACCTGCTCAACAACTTCCAGCACAGCAAATACTGTCTGTTCAACAACCTCTACAACAACAAATCCAACCACCACCACTACAACAACCATTGTCTGTTCAACAACAAATTCTTGTCCAACAGCCTTCAATGCAGCAATCATTACCTAATCAACAGGCACCACAACAGACAATTCCTGTTCCGCAGTCTCCACCCAATCAACGGTCCCTACAGGAACACCAGCCATCACCTCAACAAGTGCCTACCCAACAACAACAACAAGTCTCTATTCAACAACTTCCTCCCCAACAACTATCTATCCAACAGCAACATTCTGTCCCCTTACCACCACAACAACAACTTTCTACTCCACAAGCTATTCAACTGACACCATCCCAAACACAACCACCACAGTCTACTCAACCAGCAACACAACCCCCATCGTCTTCTCTGCCGCAGTTAGCAATACCTCCTGAAACACAAACGCAAACAACTTCTCAACCACTTCCATCTCCAGTTGTGGTTCAATCAGCAGCACCATCTAGTGAAGCAGTAATTGGGTCAGATTCGCCATCTAATATTGTTTCATCTACAACTGAATCGCCACCAAAACTTTCTGAAACTCAGACCTACCCATTACCAACACCTAATGCTCCAGCTCATTCATATCAACCTCCTGTATCTCAACCACTAACGCAATTGCCTTCGTTTCAAACTACACAAAATTCTCAAATTTCAATGCCTAACACATATTCATCAAATCAAATGTCCCATAATGGAACTCAACCAATTCATCCCCATCCTGGTGTAATGCAACCGCCACAAATACCTCAATCCCCACAATCCTCTCAATCGCCTACTGTTGGACCATCTACTTTCACTCCATATCCACAGTCGTATTCAACGCAAACTCCACGACCACAATATGGTTATCCACCACAAGCATATCCACAATACTCTCCACATCCGTACTACCATCAACCACCTTACCAACAATATGCCCCACCACCTCCAAGAGTGGCTTACTCTCAACAAATAGGTTCTATTACTAACCAGGATGCTAATCAACAATCTCTCGAAAATGGTATATACAGTGCACCGCCAGTAACAGCTAATACATCATCAGAAAAACCAAGTGATGAAAATGAACCAAAAATTGAAGAAGTAAAACCTCCAGAAACTATTAATACTACAGGTATATGAAAAATATTTTGTTATCAAATAATTTTACAATATTCTTCATAGTTAATTTCAATGTTATTTATGCAAATCGGTTTATTTTAGCTACAGTATGGATCTAAAAAAGTTTTTTTCAATGATTTTTTTTTTAACGAGATAAGGGAAAAATACAAAAAAAATTTGGATAAATACAAAATACATTAAAAAATATATGTCTTAAAAAACCTTACGTCTTTGTGTTGTAACCTTATGTTATGTGTTACGACAAACATGAATTGTTGTATGATTTGGCAAATATTTTTTCAATAACGAATAATTTCAAAATATGTGTTCTTTTATGGGTGATGGCTAAATAGTTCTCTTCAATAATTCTTTCAAGTATGAATGGACAAATGTAAAATGGATAGAAAATGTTCATTAAAAAAAATTGTATGTTCAAAAATTTGTTTTTGAAAAAAAGGTCACTTGTACTATTTTGGTTCATAATCACTTAATTTGCGGAGGTTGTGCAAGTTGGTTAAGGGAGACATGGAGGTTATGGATTTACATTATACATATATCGTAATAGAGAGTTAATAATTTAGAAGGTGTTAAAATATTGTGAAGACACAAAAAAACTGTGGGATGAAAAAATTTGAATACTACTGTCCTTGCTAATTAAAGGAATAGAAAAAATGTAAGATACTAATGTATAATCCACCCTTCAGGACGCTCTTGCTAAAAAATTATCTTTTATTTCATGATTTTTCGTTCAATTAATTTGTATTATTTGTCAGCATAGTTTTTTTTATTTATTCGTTATTTCAAAAAAATACATTTTTAAATTTTAGATTTAGTTATAATTTTAAAATTATCCAAGATAAATAAAAACGTAGCTGAAATAATTTTTTACATTAATATTAAATAAACTAATACTTCATAAAACTAATTTCATTCATCGATAAATTACATCTCTGTAGACACCTAATGGCCTTGCTACGCATGTATATACTTATAATTTTAAGAAATACATTAATATATTATTTCAATTTTGCTCAACTCTGCTCCTGCTCAGCTTTCCTCAATAATAAATTGTTGCTTAATGTACCATATAACTAATTGTGTTGCGTCTTAACATAAAGACTCTTTCTTAAAAAAGACAACCCCTAAATTGTAAAACAATGTACACCTCCGACTAGTCCCGAATATTGTATACAATTATAATTAAATCAATTTATTAATATTATTATTAATTGTGGCATTTTAATTTTAAAGCTTCTGAAAAACCAACATTGGAAGAACAATCTACCGTAACTCCTCAACAACCTGTCAAGAATGATGAAACTTTGTAATATTTTATATATTTTCTAACTTTCACAAAATTATTGTAATTAGTATATTATGCAATGAATATTTGTTTTGCTATATTTCATCATATTACAGTTAACACAACAATATAATACAACATTATTATTTGAATCGTTTATTATAACTTTAAGCTTACATTATTTGTATCGAATATTATTAGTGCTTTAAATTATATAATGACCAACATGTTTTAAAAATAAACATATTATTTTTTAATTTATAATACCTGTGGTGCGTGTGCATTAATATGAACTAACTAATTTAATATAGAAATACATAAAAAATGTTTAGCAGGAATATATCAAATTTAAAGTACATAGAAAAATTAGATAATTAGTATATTACATAACATTACATTTTTCTAGCGTATTATATAAATCAAATTTATGGAACCATGTTAACAACATTAAATATACCATAATTTGGACAGTGAATATTTATAATAAAAAAAATCTTTACAACTAAACAAATATATGTTTCTCAATAGTTATAAAATACTGTCAATTCCATATTTACACATTTTTTTCAGTCCTTCTATCACATAAAATCAATTTAATTATACATCAAATCTTGTTTTAATCAGTTTAAAAGTAACAATGATTTACGACATTTTTTAAGGCAGTTGCAATTTAGTTATTCATTAATTTTGTGTTAACAGTTATAAAACATAGTAATATTACAAGAAAATAGTTTTACTATTTTACTTATTGAATAGTGTAAAGTATCCATTAGAACAGATATTAAAGGAAGCCTCTTTGCTTATTTTATAAAATTAAAGTTAAATAATTTATTAGTTTTCAAGAAATTTATAATTTAATATATGGAAGGGGAGATTGTTTTGTAATAAATAATAGTTATATACTTACATCATTAAATCAAACAATACAAATATGCATATTTAAAAATCAAAAATACATTAACAATAAACTTATTACTTAATAAAAATTAAGGAGCAGCATGAAACAGAAACATTTTTACTTCATATTGTAAACAAATTAATATTATAACAATATTCAAATAAAAAATTGTTTTACAGTGCTAACATTATTTAGTAATTTGCTAAACCAGATTCTGTGGAAGTATAAGCTAAAATAGTTTGTCATAGGCTAAAAATTATTAATTAGGAATGATGCAGTACCGCAATACAAAATTACATTAGTTGCTTACAAAATCTTAAATAATACGTAGGACTAGCTCAATATTTTAAGAAAATAAATACTTATATTATAAAATTACAATCCGAGCTTAGCTTTACACTAGCACTTGCACAATTAAGCGATCTTAATTTTACTATGGTAGTAATAACTTATTGGCCATAAATTATTGAATTTCGTTTACTTGATATCCAACGCATGAATATACAGAACACTAAGATCATTGTAATAGTTAATAACAATAAAAGACTTGCAATGATTGATATCTCAAAGAAGCCTAAACTGTCATTAGGAGGCGCACCAACTCCCACCAAAAATGTCCTAAAAAAAATAAAGTATATAAAATTAAAAAAACATAATAAATATATTTACAAATAATAATAACAGATCTAGGCTAAAATAGTAATAATAATAACTAAAAATTAACAAACAAAAATTTTAGTTGGTATAGAATAAAAGTAAATGATAAAAACAGCTAATCAATAGCAACAACATTGGACTCCAGATGGGATATTTTGACTATGAAGTAAAATAACATTTTCTACACAAATATAATTCTAGAAACCCGAACTTAATAACTTAAAATTTTTTAAAAATGTACTAAAAAAGGTTTAAAGTATAGCCTGGATAGATTTCTGTAAAAAATGCAAAATAGAAGTGGCAATTTTGAATTTTGTATTTCATAAATCAAATTTTTCTTTAGATGAGCATTGTATAAACATTAGAAAAAAAGTATTTACATCACTTTAACTATTCTTAGAAAGTCAACATTTGTATAGGTGTAATATTTAGGTGTCTATCAAAGTTGACAAAATTACTCGAAACTGACCAGAAAATTATTGAATTTGTAGCCAACACTTAAGAATTTGATTCATTTATTAACTGTAGTACATCTAAATGTATATTTTGGTTAACTCACATGGCAGAATAAATGTATGACATAATTTAACATGTATATTATTATTTTACTATGTAGTACACTATTTTAAAATTTCGTTTTTTTACTGTTTTAGCTGGAACCCTAAAAAATGTATGTGCATACTTACCAATAAAGATAGTTGGACTTCAAATAAAATTCATCACCAGTTTCTCCAAATGACACATTTGTAGCTTTCATTAGATATGATTGAGTGTTAAATAATTCATTACCAAATAAATTAAATAGAGGTGTACTAATCCAATCAACTGCATTTGAATGACTTTGAATACTATACTGAGCTGTAGATGATGCATTCAAAGCATGTGTGTCGGGTGCTTTAAAGACAACAGGTTTCCACGTTAAATAACCTCCTCCTTCTTCAAAATCTTCACCTATTGCGTTTACTAAGATACTCTAAAAAAAATTGAATTAATTAATATCACTACTTATAAGACAAAAGAATGATACTAAAAACTATTGACATAATCTAGCATAACAGGCCTTAAATGCTGCTATCATAAGGTTTCTTGACAATTATGCTTTCAGGACAGGATGTCAGTCCGTCGCCATTGAGGGGGCGGCTCGTTTTCACTAGAAAATTTTCTGCTCAGCAACAGAACCGCCAGACTGAGTGTCAAAAAGGTAATAGGGGGGGGGGGAACCTAACACGCTGCCTCTTTTTACCCACTCTGCTATTCATTCTCCTCTAACTAAAAACTTTTTTACTATGTAAATACTAAATATATACACTAATGTTATCCTATTAATACAAATAAAAAATTATTTCCAAAAATTAAGCAATAATCAGTGATGGAACCCTTCTAACAGGCAACAAAGAAATCGCATGCGAATTGAAAGATATGTTTGCAAAGCTTTTAAACCAGCCAAGAATTAATATTACTCTGTAAACGAGCTAACGACAGTAGAACAGCTACTCGAAAAACCATCCAAAAGTGAAGTAGAAACGGGATTAAATATGCTTAAGAATAGTAAAGCACCAGGTGAAGATGAAATAGCATCGGAATGTCTAAAGATGAGTAGAAGGGTGGTCTATGCTTACTGAACCAGCTTCATAAATTAATAAACATAATCTGGGAACAAGAGAAAATACCTGAATCGTGGCGAATATCTGTCCTATGTCCGGTTTTTAAAAAGGGAGATATCATGGAGTGTAGAAATTATAAGATTCTGTCTAATATATTTCTGATCAGAATCAAACCATATATTAGGAATAATAGGAGAATATCAAGCTGGATTCATGATAGGGAGATCAACAGTTGATCAAATTCATATAGTTAAACAATTAGGTGAGAAAAGTCAAGAGTTCAACAAAGATGTACACCTTATGTTCATAGATTACAAAGCAGCATACGATTCGATTAACAGAGAAAAACTATGGAATGTCATGAGCCATATGGGAATACCAGCAAAATTAGTCAGAATGATAAAAGCATGTACATATGAATCCAAAAGTAAAGTAAGTTTTGGAGAAGAGGTATCAAATGAGTTCCCAGTGACGACAGGACTCAGACAGGGAGAAATCCCTGACTGGATCCCAAAAGGAGTCCAAAGAGAAATAATGATGGAGAGTATAAAATGAGAAACAACGAAGAATTGGATAATCTCTATAAGGAACCTACCATTATTGGGTCCCTGAAGAGCACTAGAATAAGTTGGGCGGGGCACGTATGGAGATCAGAGGGAATGATTAGATCAATAACTAAATGGAAACCCGACACTAAGACACCTAGAGGAGGCCCTAGACAAAGATGGATGGATAGAGTACAAGAAGACTTGAAACTTCTGAACTAAAGGAACGCAGAAGAATGTGCAAATGATAGAGAGGGTTGGAGACAATATGCTGTTGCGGCAATGGGCCTTAAAGGCCTGTAAAAGCCCAATAGAAGAAGAAGCAATTATCAGTAAAAAAAAACCTGACAAATGACATCTTTTTTAGTAAAGAAATGAATATGACAGACTAGTGCTAAGTCAGTGCTAATGACAGACTCAGGTTAGGATAGGTCTGTAGTTAAGGCTCATGATGACAACATTTTTGCCGAAATATGTACACGAATAGTGTATTATTTTTATGGTTAAGGGTTTAAATATAAATTTCTTATATATATATATATATTATATCCATAAGTTGCTTAATGTTTTTCTAGATCGACATCTTTTTTAGTCAAAAGAAATACTGTCTAATTCCAACCAAGCGTTATTGAATGTCAAAATATTGTTTTATATAACTGTATAATAATAGTGTGTGTATCTTAAAAGAAACGGATTCCTTCCCTAGAGGAACTAAGAAATAAACTGAAAAGTCTTTTAGCCAACATTGGCTAAACATAAGAATAATACCATACGGTTTGAACGAACAGATTATATCAAGTTTTCATTTAAACAACACTAAAGTACTTTAAAACGATGATACATAAATAACCGTTAATATGATGAGCACATTTATTTGTGTTAACTGTAAATACTACATTATCATGAAGAATAATTTCACTATGGAAAACCCATACATATATTAAGCAACATTCCATAATTTAATAGTATATTATTAAAAAGATAATCATATATAAATTAAAATAGAAGTAAAGAAAATTTAATTAAGTATGACTTACAGAAAATACACCACCAGAAGCACTGTCATCGCTGAATGTTTTCTTTGTTATTTTTTCAGAAAAATTATAGGGGTAGGAACTAAGTGTAAGAATTTCAACTGCAAATCTTGATTTTGGATTGGCTGTTTTTAGATGATCAAGTGTTAGAGTTATTTCTCCAGATTCAGGTGTATGCACTAAATGTGGAAATGCAAATCCTTTGTCTTCTTTTCCAAAAACTTTCAGCTAAATTTAAATTAAGATAAGTCATTTACAAATTGGTATTTATAACTATGCTTATAATTAGAATAATATATAACACAATTTATAGTTGGAGAAAAATATCAACTAAAAATACATTTTTCAAAAAATATAAAATAGTTTCCTTAATAAATGTGTTTGTTATAGGTATTATTATATGTTCAAACACAAACTATTATTTAAATGATATCAACCATGTATAATTAATACCTTAAGTGTGTAACATAAATTATATTAATTATTATATTTTGAATAAACTTAAAATAAAGTTACCTCTGGTGAAAAATTACTGTTGGGTTAAATTTAAATACCTTACATTATTTTGTAAAATCCATAATTTATGTATGCTAAAAATTATAGTTTCTACAATTTTATAGCAACAATAGTCATTGCTGAAATTTTTGGAGACTTCAATATCAATCAGATATAGGTATTTGATTAAACTATAAACTAGTTCATGCACCAATAATGTAAATTCTTACCGTAACAGAAACATTTCCCGTTTTATTAATGCCAACTGATCGATATGAATTGGCAGATATGGTAACTTGTACAAAATCTTCTTCATTTTGTAATTTAGTCAGATTCCAATTATTAAACCTTTTAAAATCCATACCAATGATATCTGAGTTATTACTCAGACATGCTGTATCATTTATATCATTAAATTCGTATAACTAAAAAAAAAAATCAAGTGAGAATTTGTATAGTGTGTATAGGTAGTTATTGTTATATTTTTCATCTCTCATCTGTTTTTTTTACTTTAATGCTAAATTTTCAAATTGAAATTACATATCTTAGTATAAGTTTCTTAGATAACTAATGTGAAAAATATTAAATCATAATATTGTCTCTTCTAGTTAACAACTTGCATTTGTAGGGCTCTTTCAGTTATATAAGGATTCAAAAATGACTTTATTATAAATTAAAATTTTTAGAGTACAATAATTATTTATTTCAAACTCAAAAATTAAAAATATCTAGTTAAAATTTTTAGCTTAAAAAACTGAAGTATCTATTTATCTTGAAAATAATTTTTTGGTTTTAAAACCAGAAAAATATTTTGAAGTATTTTATATGTATGAGAATAAGAGAGTATATCTGAGACTATACAACCAAACATTTTTGAGATAAAAAAAATTGGAATGGGCATTTGGCAAGCACATCACAAACTTGATTCTTATGCAATGTATGCTCGTTAATAACCCAAACAAAAAACCGCAATAGTGGTAATAGAACAATGTGAATAAAATTCTCAAAGAAATACATTGAACTGGCCCTATACACTACAATGAAAAATGACGGTTTTCATCATCCGTTTTCAAAAACCGTTGTTTTTCATCGTAGTGTATGGGGCCAGTTTAATGTATTTCTTTGAGAATTTTATAAGTGTGGATTGATGATACTTATGACAGTGATCATAAAAATCTTTAGTAGAGTAACGGTCAGGTGAAATATGATCGTTACAGCTGCCCCTCCCCCGTAGAGGTCCGACCTCGGACCTAGTCATATAAAGTTAAGGGTTGTCAAAAAAAAAATTGAAAAGTAAAAGAAACGAAATGGTGGTATTTCATTTGACCGTTATTGTAGAAACTCCAAAAGCTTCACGACTTAACAGAAAATAATAATAATGACTACCTAAATATAATCTAAAAAATAAATGTCTAATATAATTTATATAATTTTTTATTACATTAATTAATCAAATAACTTATTCCTTATAAGCATAACATAGAATTCTAAATACTTACATAATTTAGTACCGTTCCAAACACATATATTGGTACATTTGAAAATGATATGGTATTATCTGGGCCTTTAGTCTTTAACTTTTCATAATCAATAGCAACAACAGAATCTTTAACTGATGTCACAACTACTAAAGATGGTTTCATGGTAAAATCGAAAAGATAATGTACAGTGTCATTATCACCTTCTGCTCGCACATAAGCCAGTTTCAATAAATTAGAACACTCGGATGTACATCCTGGATTATATTTGAAATTCAACTATATTTTAAAATAAAAATATTATATCAAAAAAAATCATAAAAATGTAACAAATTTAGTAAAATCATATAAGGTAAATACTTTTCTATCGGCATGCCCGGTAGAAATTATTATTGCCAAAATCACAACTAAACGCTTCATCATAATTTTTGTTTAATATGGAACACTATTCACACAACAACGTTAGATTACACGAGCTGAGTAGTGAGTTCTTTAATTTAAAATATAACAGTTGGAACTTGGAAATGTAACTATACAAAAATAATGAGAAAAATGAAACATCAGACAACTCTAGTTTGAACTTTGTACTACGCTATTGTTCTATTTTTAATTGCATTGTGTTTACTCATTCAATTGGAATTGTAACCGTCATTGGACAGCGATAATAACAAAATGCATTCCGTATTTCCGTTCCTTTTTTGTCACGACTTGATAAATTACATTACACGGTCACTTCAATATCAACACCATTTATTGTCCATTTTTAAAAATTGTTATTGTACATTTGCCTACACTGCATTTTGTTTACTGTTGTTGTGTTCGAGTTTTATCAGTTGATGTTTGATAATCAGCGATTATATTGGTTATTCGGTATTTCATCATTTTTAAATTTTAAACACACGAAAAATGAAAATGTGATAGCGGTTTATAACTATCATAATATGTTTTGTCACTGCTGAAATCAAATAGCGAGGCAAGTATACTGTATATTATTATTCTTTAATCATGAGTTATTTACCTATTAGTCTGCTTCTTATTTTTGATTAATAATATAGTATATTGATTTTGATCTTTATTCGTTTTGTTAATTTAAAATTTTCATAGATATAATCAAATGCTTTAAATCTGGATGAATATAACGCTATGTTGGCCGCCACCAACCCACAAGTAAGTCAAAAATAAATTTCAGCATAAAAGTCGTGCAAATTACCATAACATAATCTATTGTTTTGTTTTTAACTTTGTCGTTTGTTACTCTCAAACTATTGGCAAGTTTAATGTTTCACTTATAGTTAGTTAAAAACATTCTGTAGTATTTTATTTTTATTTTTGTGCAATTGTTACTATGATTTACATTTCTATGAAAAATTACTTAGTATTCACTGTATGCTTAGATTGTTTTAAGATTTCGTTTAATTCCTAATGTATTATGTGTATAATATATTGTGTTGTTATAAAAAAAAAAAATACTAAGGTCTGATTTCACCAACAGTTTTAATCACGATTATCAGTTAACAGCCTGTTTAACGATCTAATTTTTGGCGGTTAACAACTAACCACAATCAAAATTGTTGGTGAAATCTAGGCGAAGTGATAAAACTATATTCTTGACATAAATGCACTTTAACAAGCACCCTTTTTTTATCAGCTTGTAGTGTTTTGTACCCTTATTATGAATCTGAAGTCTAAAATTGGCGAACTCCTCCTCCTCCTCTAGTTCCAAAGTTATAGCTGCTTGAAATTTGCATATTTCCCCGTGTTTAACAATAGACGGCAGTTACAGCCACACTGCACCTCTGTTTGCGACGCAAGGCTATGTCAGGCTAGGTTAGGTTTGGTCTCGTTAGGTCGCTGACGCTCCTCGAGCGGTAGGTTAAATTAGTTTAGTCGTTTAAGCAAGCTATTTTTCCTTCGGGGGGTTTGGGGGTGTTAGCTCCCATCTAACGAATAGTCCCTAAAGGGGCTTGATTCTGCTCACAAAACCAATTAATAATCCCAAATTTCTAGCGTTAAAACACACCTACATATAATTTGTTTTACACATGATTTTTGAGCAAAAATACTTAAAATGAAAACAAAAAGATTTTAGAGACAATATCCTATTTTTTTTTTTTTTAAACCTAGTATTTATAAATCACATTTATTTTTACTTTCTTAAAATAACCACAATTTTTTTTATGGTATTATTTCTACACTCAGATCTCTGAAATGTTTTTGTCATACAATTTTATAATAGATGTTTTTGCTCTAAATCCACTGTGGACCGAGTGAAACACGTTTTAGTTTCATTACACTATTTATTATAAAATGTGGTTTTTTTTTTACTTGACAAAACTATTAGTGTAATGACATTACACTAATATTATTATAATAACATAGTCAAGAAACCATCTCATGATGGCAGCGTTGGGCCTTCATGGCCCGTTAAGCTACATGATGATGATGATGAATATCATAGTATATAAACTATTACAGGTGTTCATACCATTTGGGCGGCAACATGTGAAAAACCGATTCATTGGCGAGGTAACTACTCCATCAGTTGGTTACTATGATCGGCCAGAACTTCATTCCGATGACTTTTTATTAAAGAAAAAAAAATCCAAATCTTTGAAATTGGAAGAATTGGACAATCAAAGAGTACGTATACTTCCTGCTATTGTGGTTACTTTTTTTATTGAAAGTTTTGTTTTCAGGCTTTAAAATTAAAAAATTTTAAAATCTGACTTGGTACACCAAATAATAATTTCAGTATTTTGATAAATATTATTATTTGTTTCTTTAAAATACCTTTTATAATTTTCCTATAATTATACCTACATCAATTTGTTTGTATATTTTATTACACTCGACGAGGAGGAGTGGATGAGTGGAAAAGGTGGCACTCAAAGGTTCCATTCAATTTAAAAATATTTACAAATATTTAGGTGAAAATAAAAATTGTTAGAAAAATGTCAAAAAAATAATGGTTTCATTAAGCTTACACAAAAAATAGTGATTTAAACTCGTCACCAGATGATCTCATGTTTTGGTCATATATCATATTTTATCAAATACAATAAAAATAAAGGGTTGAAGTTTAAAAGGGATTTAAGTTTTAACATAGGAATTTGATACTTGTGCACAAACCAATGCATAACTTTTTTCCTACTCCTTAGTTTGAGCTGAAGGTTTGATGGTTTTATAGCTTGGAGTCTGCTGAATACATACCAAATACACATACACCAAAAAACGCCTATTTTTGTTAAATTTTTCATTTTCTGTTACTATTTTGACAGTTCTGAACTTTTAGGTATAGTGTATGTGTTCAGCAAACTCCAAGCTATAAAACCATCAAACCTTCAGCTCAAACTAAGGAGTAGGAAAAAAGTTATGCATTGATTTGTGCACAAGTGTCAATTTCCTATTTTAAAGCCCATTTAAACTTCAACACTTGTAAGACACATGTTAAAATTAATATTTTTCAAATTTTTTTTTTTTATTGTATTTAAAAACTTTTTAGGGGGCGTCAAGGTTGAAATTCGAAAATCGACTTTTTAAGAACCACCCTAATACATATATAGACAATCTTTTTCATCTTAAACAAGTTTGCTACTACATTAAGCAACATGGGAGCATTAAAACAGAGAGTAACTCAGGTTTTGGAAATGGGATATGGTTTCACTAATAGTTTTCTCATTCTAAATGGAACTCTATAAAGGTGATTTCCTATACTTGGGCCATTAGTCCTATTATTGGTTATTGGATTATTGGCAATTTGAATAATAGATCCTTAATCCTACTTATTCTAACACAAATTTTAATTTAATTCATTCTTAAATTTATTTGACATCTATTTGTTGTGTTAACAGAAAGAAAATTTTGTTCTAAGAGAAAAAGATGGCGCTGAAGAAGAATTATACGTGAATGGTAAAATAGTGGTACATAGTAGAGGAAATGCTATTAAATCTATTGCAGATAAAGATGATTATGCAACAAGTAGCAGATCACTTATTAGTACCTATACATTGGAGACTAATATTAGTCATGCATTATGGAGTAAATTTAATATATCTCCAGAAGATAAATTGAATGAAAAAGAATCCAGAGGTTTGTATTTGTTTAATTTTTCCTTATGTAAAACTTCATAAAGTATGAGGAATGCGTTAAAGCATTCGTGGATTGATATATCGGATATAACATATTGGCGTAGATATATCCAAAACTCTTCCAAATGGGTCATAAAGTATAACTACATAGTCTACATACATTTTTATTCATCATTTTTAATGACATTTATATATGTTAATAGATTAGAAAATATTAATCTGTATAAATATTTTAAAAGTTTAAATATTAATAAATATATTATGTACTTTATTTTTAATATTTATTTATACAAATGTTGATCTGTTAATAATTAATTACTTACTTAGGTTTTTGAAAAACTATATACCACATTTACAAAACTATGACTTACTGATTAAAGGATAATAAGATAGCTTATTCAATATCCCCTTAATAAACCTGTTTGTGTGTTTTGATGCTAATCTGGGAAGATTTCATTCCATAATTATATCTTTTTGTGTGTCTATGTTTACACCCACTGACATTCTGGAAAAGCTAAACTGATTTCCTTAAGTAGCATACTAATCAATTAGAAAACATATTTAGGTGGTACCATAATGGTCACAAGATAAAATATAACTCGAGTCCACTACATTAAGAAGAAATTTGATTGTTATATTTAATATACATTTTAAACCCAGCACAGTTAAAATAATAGTATGAACTATAACTATAAAAGCTCGCATAGTAATAGGTTAACAACATTTGTGAGAAATAAAATTAATATCATTATTTTTTATGCAAATTTGTGTATAATTGGAGATAAGAATAGGTGTATAGTGGTTAGTGACCTTTGGCCACCTTCTGGCTGTACTGGCTTTTATTATTAAAATGGATATTAAAAATAAAATAAAACAACAAAATAATTTTTCCACCCTATATTACATGTTAACGTGATATTTCTTAGTTACCTGTACAAAAACACCCTAAAATGGAATGCGCTGAGGGGTGGCTGCCCTCCCTGCACCCACGGTAGCTACGCCACTGAGCTGATAATACCTAATTACTATTAAACAGAGATGGGCAAAATGGATTACAATCCGTGATCGATATTAGATGGATTACAGATTACTCGAAATCCACGATTAATAAAAAAATTGGATTACATTTATTTCAGTAATCCTAAATTTTTGGATTAAGGATTAAATTTAATCCAGTAATCCCTAGTTAACGGATACGGATTACATTATTAATCCTGTAATCCCTAGCATACGGATTACGGATTAAATTATTAATTTAAGATTTTTGTTTTATTCCAATTTAAGGATTATTGTTTTTTTTTCATTCCAGTTATCCAAAACATTGTACTTAAATAATAATTTTTTTTAATTAAAATGTATTTAATTCATTTTTTTCTTTTATGCGGAGCTGGGAGGTATTGTTATTACAATAATGCTTTTTATTTTTACCCAGAGAAAACCTAAACCGCTGAGCCGATTTCTGAATATAAAAAGTCTAAAGATTTAAAAATTTTAAATGTAAATTGTTTACTTGATTATGTTATGATATGATAGTTTTCAGATTATAAAATTAAACAATAATAACAAAATAATTTATTTAAAAAATTTAACAAATTGACAAAAAAGGGTTGTTGTATAAAATGTGTTTAAGCTAGATAAACTTTGTTAAAGTACCTAGTAGGGCAGAGTATACTAATTAATTATTATTTGTAATCCATTAACCAGTCATATTTGAATAACGAATTACTTGGATTAATTAAAAAATAATCCGGGATTACAGGATTACTTTTAATCCTTGATGGAATAATTTTAATCCGTATTGGATTATTTGTAATCCATAATTCTGACGTATTGGAATAACGGATTATTTAAAAAATAACCCAGTAATCCGGGGTTAATAATTCTGTCCTTCTCTGCTATTAAATAATACTCTACATCTATTATTAGTAAAATAAATTTGCAAATTTATCAGTAAAAGTTTTAGCATAATTTTATAAATAAATTTAAATGACAATACTAGAATTCTTCAAATGTTAGATATTTTATTTTAAGTGTTAAAAATTTTATTAATATATTTTTTAATTACTTAGAAAAACTTGTGCCATGTATATGTGTAATTGATGCAAAAAAAATTAGTTTATTTTCTGAAGAAGGAGATGTTTGGCATACGCCACTCTATTTTAAAGTAAGTCAATGTTTATAAATATTTTCTTATTCTTATATTTTTTTTGATTCTTAAATTACCATATTTATTAAAATTGGTGTTCATTAATGTAAAGATAAATGTTTTTAAGGTGACGTCAGTTTGGAATACAAGTTTTGGTATATTAATAGAAAGAGATTCAGGAAATGTATCTATTGATATGACTGGAAAATCATTACCATTGCCTACAATATATTCTTTGAGCAAACCTTTAAAAGAAGTTTTACCTTTGTTTTTATTAAAACAAGGTTGTTAAATTGTATAGTATGCTTAATTTTAAATAATTATTTGTTTACAAATTTTGTTTTTATGTTTAGGAAGTGTATTGCAATATGCTAGAGATTGTTTAACAACTATTGTCTTTACTAGTTCTGAACTGAATATCTGTATGATGTATGACATTATAAGTGGTTTACACAGTGTATGGAAAATTAGAAAACCAACAAATGAAGTAATAAAAAAAATAAGATTATATTAAAAACTGTGCCATTTTTTTTTTTTAAGCATAAGTGTTGTACATGAATTTTTTTCAGGAATTTAATATTATGTGTGGTCAAGATTCAATATGTTCTACTGCAACAAACCCATCATACATTCCTAGCAACAGTAATCAAGTTCATGTTTTATCAAATTCATTAGTTGCTGGGTCTGGATTTCTAGCAGATAGGTAATAAAATTGAAATATATTAATTAAAACTAATTTATTTTTAAATTTAAAATGAATAACGAAACTGAAAAAACAATTTTGAAACAAAAGCATTAATTTTAATTTGTCTTGTGAATTCAAATTTAACTTCATACAGGATCCGGCAAAATACCTCCTGTATTTAGAGATGGCGCTGTGTGAGTTGTGGTGGTGGTACAACGATGTAGGGGGTATCGATCGATAGTGGTATACATGCCATTTCCTCCAACCTAACCTAAACCAGTTTGCTAGGAACCATGATGAAGGGGAAGTCTGGTTCCAACAAATTGGAGCCACAGCTCACACTTCGCGGCGTTCACTTTTAACTTTCGTAAAAGGCTATAACTCTGCGTTTCATTTGCGGTGTAATGGCAGCCACTGCCTGGGTAATTGTTTTCTTAAGTCGACAAAAAAAAAATCACACAGTGATGAATTGGGTAACCTTGGCGGTCAGGTGATGTCCCCTCTCAATAAGAGAAGACGTCCAGGAAACAAAACAATTCTCTCAAGATTGCTAGTGAGTGCTGCGCCGCGCTGCAAAGTGTAAGCTGTGGCTCCGTCTAGTTGGAACCAGACTAAGATCTCAATTTTCTAAAGAAAACATAATTATCGACTATTTAAGTACATTTTGTATAATTATTCAAATGTATGTAACACACAAAATACCACAACACAATGATTTTAACAGCTTTGATAGCAACTTCAAAAATAACAAAAGGAAATTCTCAGGCCTAATAAATATAATTTGATTCTTAGTCTATAAAAAAAAAGTCAAATTTTGTTTTACAGTTTAATTAGTATGTATAAATTTAATTTAGGGTATCTCATGGTCATCCTGTAAATTCAAGTCCGTTCACTTTTAACAGTAGACGTAGTACACCTAACATAATGTCACCATTTAATACGTTAAGTCCTATGACTGGAGTCAGGTAATATTACATTCTAGTATAGTTTACCCAATATAATAAATAATTATTCTAATTATTATGAAATAAATGTACATGTTTAGCCATTATAACTCACTAATTTGGAATAGTCCTTCAAATACATCCAGAAGGAGCTGGCGCCCAAATGCTACAATAACAGCTAATAGCCAAACATACAACACTCCATCATCTATGTCTCGCATAGTAAATGCTAGACTTGGCCATGGTAGTATGTATATTGCAGACAATAACTCAAAGCCTGTTAGTCCCGATATTTGTTTAGAATACATGTGGACCGAAAACCAGGGCACAAATGGGTAAGTATTGTTTAAAAATATATTCCTACTAAATGGTGTGATTCTAATTAATATTTATTTATGATTAGAAATCAAGAAATGAGTGCTGCTACAAAAGTATTTGTTGCCTCTAATTTTGTTAAACAACATTTTCTGTGTTATCTTATAACTTCTAAAAACCAGTTGATGTTAGTTGAATTGAATGGTCTTGAAAATAATGATATTATATTAGGAAATTCAACAGCTATATCTGCTAAAGATGCTGAATACCTTCCAGTAAAAATTAATTTTTATTATTTAAATAAATATAATGTTATAATACAAATTTTTATGTTTTTTTTTAAATTTTAGTTATTAAATTTAACTGTGATAATGGATTGTCAAAATAGTGTAACATTGTATTCTGGTATATCAATTATTGGATCTGTTCAGTTGGGAAGTATGGCTTCAGTATTTGATGAGAATACTTCATATTTTACAGCAACCAATCGATCGGCAGCTGAAACCCCTCTTGTAAGGTAAATGTCCTGTCAGTCTCTTGATTATAAATTTTAATTAAAATCCAAAAAATATTCATTTAGTTTGCTTTTCCAAAGATTTTAATACAATAATACATCACACTATACTTTTTAATAATACTTTAAAAGGAAAAATTACAGAAACTAAATATAATAAATAAATTTTAAATAGTTTATATATATCGATCATGAAATAAGTCAAAATCAACTGTATTATTACATCAACTGTATTACTTTACAAAGTAATTATTATTTCATTCCACTTTGGAGGGGTAAAGCATAACCATAATTAGCGAAATGCTGGGCATCCCTTCACATTTTAATAAATACCAAAAAGTTTAAAAAATTTATAATTATACATATTGCTATTTATCGAATCACAAATAAATTACAACTATGTTCCGTCTTTTTAAATAATGCCAAATCACAGACTACACTAAGTTTTTGAAATTGAAAATACCTAATTAACCAAATGATAATATAATATAATATACTCTATCCCATGTATGAACTATAGTGAGCAGAGACAAAAACACATTATTTTCGTATGTGTCTGCGCAGCCAGGAGTATGACGCGTTTTGATTTTGTCTAGTCTAGCTCTTATATGGGAAGAGTATAAAAATGTTTATAAATTGATCAATTTAAATCAGAGTCACTTGTGGTTTTACTATATAATTATAAGAAACCGTGTTCACAATAAAAAAGAACACTTATAAACGTACTCACATATTTCGGCGACTAAGTTGACATCTTCAGAGCTAACCGCAGACCCTGTTTATAAGTACATTTATAAGTATTTTTTGTTCCTCAATAGAAGGGTTACCTGATAATTTTATGTTTATAAACTGGATGCATAAACAAATAATAATGGCCCATTGAAATAAAATCTGTTGATACATATTCGTGTCAGCAACACTGAAAATATCAAATTAAAAACTTATTCTTTAAATATAATAGATATAATTTTTTATTATTGTTATTATTATTATGTATGAAGTCGGAAAAGTTTACTGTCATCAACAAGAAATGAAGATATGCAAACTAACCTAAATATGAATCATTTCATTTCATATTGTGAAAATGAAACACAATTCATGATACCTAGTGAAACACCTTATTCAGAATCGGCTATTAATTCATTCAAATCAAAAGTAGATATTAAAGGTTTAAGAGATCCAATAGGATCACGTATTACATTGGTATGTATAATAGTAAACCTGTATACTAGTGAGAGCTTAAAATTGTAAATTAAAGTACAAATCAAAATATTTACCAATAAATCATTCAAGAGTGCTTAATTGTGTACATTACAAAAATAATAATATGTATATTTATAAACAAATAGTTACCTACACTTAAACACAAAACTGAGTTTTAAAAATATATTTAAACATTGTATTGTTGTGTTTGTTGATTAACTTTTACATGATTTATGTAATGGCTATAAAATATAATATTAATTTTCATTTTAAGAAACAGTAATGATAAAAAATAAGTTGTCTTTATTATACTTCTAGTAATTAAAATATATATTTTTTTTTTTATTGGGGCAAACTTAACGTCTAGCGAAGTATTATTATATAGAGTATGCTATTTACTAAACTAAAAGCTATGTATGCTATGTATAAACTAAAATTAAAATGAATCATTTATCGTATCAACAACTGTATTTTAGCTAAACCGAAAAAAAATAGCCTTAATTGATAAATAGTTCTTAATTTTAAAGTCCTCAAGTTTATAATGAAAAAAAATGTATTTTTTAATAAAACAAACAATTTGTTTAAAGTTATGATACATAATTGTTATAATGTTAATACCACATTTACACTTTCGTGCTTGTGTTTCGCCTTGTCACTTACCTTGTCATTCCTTTGACTTATCCCCAATAAAGTGCTACTGGTACAAGCCACGAGCAAATGTCGAGTGAACCGATTAAATGTGTAGATGCGGTATAAAATATTGTTAGGAACAATCAAGAGTTATTTGATTTGGGTTTTGATGTTAATATTTTATCAAAGACGACCTATTTTATAACATAATTTTAACAATTTAACTATCTACTTACAAAAAAAATAAAATGTTTATTACTGTATTTATTTTTTACATTAAGAAAAGCTAATTTCCCTTTTTGATTAAGATAATCCAGAATTGTGGGGTTGGGGCATAGTGGGTAAAAACCATATTGAGATCAAAAAGGTCAAATGTTTTTAAGTATTATTATAACTGTAAGTTATAAAACCACTTATAAATAAATGTTTTGATGTGAATCTGTAGATGGTAGAAATATTAATTATTGATAAAAGCTTTGTCAACAATAAAAATACGTTCAACATTGTAATTTTAGTATTAGCATGGATACAATAAGTGTTATTTACCTATCATTTTTACTCTATGGTCATTCCTAATAATTTGATGACATTCGTACCCATATATCGTATTTAACATCTCATAACATTTCTTAAATTAAAAAAAATGTTAACTATAGGTATTTCAATAAATTATATGTGCTGTAACTCCATTCTAGTTCTATCTTCAGTCTAATTTTCAGACCTTGAGTCCTAAAACTATAATAAAAAAAAGTGAAATAAAAAACAAGTTGCCCCGCCTTCTGAAGGAAATTGTTTATGATATAGTTTTGCTTTATGTTGATAGTACCATTGATTACAAATATTAATATTTAAAACCAATGATGGTACTATATCTAAATAATATTCCCTATAAATTAGAAGCTAATACAACTATTTAAAAAAAAAGTAATGGCATGCCGTAGTTTTAAGATAAAAATGTAAACTTTTTGAGTGTTTTCTTGACTTTGAAAGGGAAGGGGTGAACTTTTTAAATTTTTTGCTCAAAAAAGTACATGGTACGATTCCTGATATATACTACTTTCTACTTGAAAAAATTGATTCAAATGTAATTGTATCCTCCTTAATACTAATAAAAGTACAATTTAAAAACACATTATTGCCTTTAAAAACATTTTTATTGATATTTAATATAATTACCATCTACAGATTTGTCTCAAAGCATTTATTTAAAAACAATTTTATCACTTTCAGTTATAATAGTTCTAGAAAACCTTTTCCACACCAAAAAGCCCTGACTTCACTGTTCTGTTTTTTTTTTATTAGTTTATTTTTATAGAAAAAACTTTAGCAACTTATGGTTATATATATATATATATATCTAAAGAAATAAACATTAACCCTTAACCATAAAAATAATATACTATGTGTATACGTATTTCGGCGCTTATGTTGTCATCTTCAGCACAAATGCCAGATGTATAGGTAGTTTTATGGTTTAAATATTCATTTCTTTACTTAGTTTATTTTACTTTTATATAATAACACCTCTTATAGCTGCATACTACTTGCAACCCGATTAATTAATTATTAAGAGTAATGTGACAAAATGTGTCCCAACAAATAAGAAAGACTCGCAATCTGTTTTACTTGCTTTCTGTTTTCCTTTTTACACCATCTAGTAAAAATTGAAAACCTTTTAAAAAAGACATTAATAATTAGGTAAATATAAAAACAAAAATTTAATAATACATCTACAAATTAAAATTTTTTAAATATATTAGTTAGATACCCATTAATAATTAATATTATTTTATATTTTATTTAAACCATAAACAACTAAAAAACATTAAAAATTTAATTCACACCAAAATAATTGTTCTTTGAAATTTCAATGAATGTTTTTGAAAAATAAAAAAGGGAAAACTTTATTTCTTTATCTATAAATACTCTTTTTAATAATATTTTCAAAATTAAGTTTAATATTATATAATATAAAGCTACATTTTTTCTTCTCTTGTACAATGTACATAGTTATAATAAATACTTACAAAATCTGCCTATTGTGTTCCAATATTTTAGTAAAGTAGTATGCAACCCCTCTAAAAGGCTTCGTACAGGAAGTAACTTAAGTTTTAAATGTAAGAATATTTTTATAAAAGTATAATCAATAGTATAATGTTATATTGGCCAAAAATAAGTTATAATATTTAAGTATCTTATTAATAGTCATTATGGAAGAATAGTAAAAAAAGTTTTTTTTTTAGATACATCTTGATGGAAGTATGATTCGAGTTGAATTTCCAATCATAAGTTCTTCTCCATTAGGTTTGTTTAAAATGTATTTATCGTTTGTAATATATGATTGAAATAATACTTGTATGATGCTAATTTTTTTATTTTAGTTACCAAATGTTTAAACGCTTTGAAAACTATTCTTAAAAAATCTGTTGTTATGGATTTAATGACAAAATGGTACACAGTAAGAAATGCTCCAGGAACACAAAAAATATCAAGTAGAGAGGAATGGAACCTGTTTCTCCAGATGATGCTTAGATTACTAGGGTATAATTTGGAAGCATTATCATTAACTCAAGAATCATTAAACACAAATAATGATACTCCAGCTAAATCAAAAAAACAGAGAATCTTGGATGTTGGCAGTGATGAAGATTGGACTTATATGCTTAAATCACCATTTAGTCTCACTCAGGGAAACAAAATAGCAGTTACATTGGGATTAAAAAATACGTTTAAGAATTTTCAATTGAATGAGAATTCCTTCGCCAATATTAATATTGATACTAATGCTCTACTTTTTCCATACATCTATGACATCATATTTTCACTACATTTAGTATATGAAGTATGTATATTTAATTTTTTTTAGCAAGCTATTAGGTCAACTCTTAAATAATTGAATTACGTTTTGCGAAAATATTGGGGGGGGGGATAAAAAGGATGTCATTTTTAATGTTTTGGGTTATAACTTAGAATTAAACCTAACCCTACAGTAAAGTTTTGGTAAAATATAAATGATATCTAATAACATAGGAAAACTTAAGGGTTTGCTGTTTTTCAAAACATCATTTAATAATATTTATTTTATGTCTTCATAAATTTACTTAATAAAGATTATGCTTATAACTATTTGTTATAAATTGAAAAAAATCACCGACACTGTTAATTATTAGTCTGGCCGACATCCCTGTCATTTCAACCCTTTCCCACCTTGTCACAAATAAAAATGTCACAAATTTTCAAGAGCAGGAGTAGTAGAATATTTACTTGAGTGTTTGACACAATGATCATGAAAGCCTATACATTTTTTGGATGTAAAATGAAATTGCTTAAACATGTACGTGTTGAACATGTAATCTATTTTTTTATACATTATTTTTATAATTGTTTGTTAGAATAAATAAATTAGCATTATTCGTTTTAATATTTCTAGTTGTCATATGAATAAAAAAAAATATATTTCTAGTCTGCACATTCATTTTTATTTTAACCATTCTTATAAGTAGATACTTATTTTTTATTTTAAAAACACAACTCTTAAATAAGGCACATGGTTACCTCAGATATCACTTGACACCTAGTATTAAGTTATATCCCTCGCTACTTGATTCCAAGTAAGTGTAACCCCGGGAGTTTTAGTTGCAACCAATCATATCTTTTATCACATGTACAAAAAAAATCTTGTTTATAAATAATGGTTATAATATATTTTTTTTTTTAGGATCTTAAACTTAACACAATGAAAGCTGACTCATTGCCAATGATTGTAAAATTTTTACATCAATTGGCCACTGACTTAAAATTAGAGGAATATGTATATCATTATTGGAAGGATTTTCCCCTACTTTGTTACAGAAACAAATTATTTAATGGAGTAAATAACTATAAACATTTTTGTCTTACGCTCGAGCTACTCAATAACAACATTTTATTTTCAGTTCAGTCAGATAAGTGATATGGACCTTAAAATACTTAACCTGCCAACATACTTTAAAAAAAAGCCCCCTAATATTTTTAGACTGTGTTACTTGTTGATGAAATATTACAAAGCTGACCCATATCCTTGTATTCACAATATAAATAAAAGATCAATGAATATAATTCAGGTAAGAAATTTAGTAATGCTTAAATATTTTAACATGAATAAGTGGCTTGCGCTATTGTAGGGATATAACTGTTAACTATTTTTTTATATAAATTGTTTTAACTTAAAATATGTTTATATAAATATATATTTTATAATATTAACCTCGTATATGCAAAACACATTAAGTCCAAAATAATTGTTTTTTCTTTCTAAATTATTACTATTACAAAAACCTATAGAAAAATAGTACAGTGCTTCTTATCACCTAATAATATAAAAGAGGTTTTAACAATGATTTCCAAAGAATTTTTAATTCCAACTTAGTCAACTTTACAATATTCTCTACATGGGTTGATGTTTAGATCTTAGTATGTAATATCTGTTTGTAGTATAATATATAATTTTATTTACAGATATATGGTTTATTATGTTTAAAGAAAAAATCTCATTTAGAGGCTCTGATTAACTTTATAAATCCTATAGGCCTAACTTTATACAATCAAAACACAGTTACATTAGACAAAATGAATATGAAATGTACAGTATCGAAGTGTTACCAAGCTACTTTATTTATGTCTAAAATTGGTAATATTTTATATTATTATAGTATTTATTTATATTTTAATATTTTATTGACTATTACTATTTTTTTTATCATTATAGGAATCAATCAACAAACTTTATTAACTTTTCCAACTGGCATTGCAATATTATTATATGAAATTATCGATAAATGTAGAGAAAATCCACCAACAAATTGGCCAAAACCTGCTTACGACCTAATTATGCGTGAAGATTTGGCATCTCAAACATCAAACCAGTTGACTAATAACGATAAGAAAAAACACATTAACATTGAAAAATTAATAGATTTCAGTGATATTAATGAAGGTGAAAGTGGTGATATTAAAGATGGCATGGAAAACCTCGATGACGAAGTATATATTTAAAAACATATATTAAATTAATTTTTATTTGACTTTTGGAAATATTTAAAAACAGTTGTAAATTCTTTATCAACTTAATACCAGTATTTTATCATTTAGAACGGTTTAATGATTTACAAAGGGTTTGGAACTGTTTACTTTGATTAAACCATTTTCAAAATCAAAACTGTTTAGTTTTAATTGTTTCATATTAACATAATATGTAAAAGACTATTTTTAAATGTATGCTTTAAAATACAAATTTTAATAATTTTGTATATTTTCGGACAGATTAAGGTTAAACCATAATTTATTAATTTGTATGAATATGAATTATTCATCTATGATTCTGAAAATATTCATGAAAAAACCTTCACATAATCATCAATGTAATGAAAAATTTTTCAGATACCAATTGACTGTTGATTCACTCAAGCTTAGCAACCTATGTTCGCTTCTTATTTTGTACAGAGTTTAGTAATTTACCAAGGTCAAAGTTTTTTTTTCCTCAAAGTAAACATCTATATTCTATATATTAAACGACTGTAGGAATAAAAAAAATAATAGTACTAAAAATATATAGTATTTTTTTTCTTTCTTTTTTTCTTTTCTTTTAGATTGTTAAACAAAAAATGTATAATAGTAAACACTATACGTTATCTTGCTAGACAATGTAAATCCAACTACATAGTCTGTAAGTCTAGCGCGGTGGTACCGAAAAGGCGTCCCCCGGTACCAACCGCGTTTTAAGATTTTCGTTCTGGTCAAGTGCCCTATTTGAAGTCGAACTATTTTTCCCACTTATATCACGATTTTAGTATATAGATTACAAGAATATTTTTAATATTTTGAGAGAATTTATACTTGCTCTCTATTCATATATATGAAGGGCATAAACCTAGGTTTAATTCACTTAAAAATAACCTTTACAGTAATAATCTTAAAGTTGTTTTTTTTTTTACACTAAACACTATGAATTGTTAAAGTGTGTCTTGTCTGAAAATTGATATGGGTTCTTTTAATTTTAATTATTAATGTGTTTAACAAGTATGTAATAAAACAAAAACTTAATTGTGTTTATAGGTTATGAAACTTTTGTGGAACAAAGATCATCGTTTAACTGATGTGAGAAATTTTCTGCAGTCCTGTCATCCTGTGACTATTGGTATCAAACAACCTCCAGAAGCTAGTGATCATGATTTCATTGAAGAGCAAGAAAAATATTTATATTCAATATGCTCAAGAACAATGGCTTTACCTATTGGGCGGTAATAGTAATAATAATATAATTACAATAAAAAAATAGTTTCTGTTATATTTTGGGACATAATAATTATGTAATTACTATGTTATCAATTTTTCGATTAGCGCATTAACTTAATAGGAAATGTGAATTCCCGCAAAATTTAAAAAAAAAACACTGTTGCTAACTCAATTTGGTCAAAATGTGGGATAGGTAGTTTTGCTTCTTAGCAACAATATAGATGTATGGAAACTGGCAATGAAGGGCAATTTCTGCGTCTTTTAGGAAAGAGGTTTCCTAATGAGAATTTGCTATCTGGGATGGAAAACTACGTGCCCATCAAACAAAACAGCCTGACTAAGTGTTGAACCCGTGACAGTGAGCGAAAACATTGCTACTTTATTCACTTGGCCACTTGCCTGTTTATATTTATAAATTTTATTTAGCCTAAAAAAATCAAGATTTTTTTTCTATATAAATTACTTTTTACATTACTTTAAATTTAAATCTCCATTATTTAGTTTTAGCTAAAAGTGTATTGTGAAATCTCAAGTAATAGTATAAGCATTAGTTTTTGTATTTTATAAAAAAACAATTCATACTCTTAAAAAATATTGATTTATTCTTCCATAGGATCATGGTGTATTCTTCATTTATAACTTGGTTATTTTTTTATGCTTTCATATTTTTAGAGGTATGTTTACTATGAGATCTATTCAACCCGTTGTTACTGAACCTCTTCCGTTGCCAAAACTTTGCTTGTCTGGAAGAACTCCCCGCGGAGCCGCTGTTGAACTCAGTCATATTGATGTTGTTCCCAATATGAACCTTTGGCCATTATTTCACAATGGTGTAGCTGCAGGTCTACGTATTATGCCCTCAGCTGATAATATTGATTCTACTTGGATTCTATATAACAAACCAAGAGTGAGATATTTTTTACATTGAACATATTATGTTCATTATAACATTTGTAAATATGTGTTACTGTATGTGATATTATTAAATATATAATTAGAGTGGAGCTGATGCATTACCAGAACATGCTGGATTTCTTATGGCACTTGGTTTAAATGGCCATATTACCAACTTAGCTACGATGAATACTTATGATTACTTAAGCAGGCCACATGAAATGATAAGTATAGCTCTACTCATCGGATTAGCAGCAGCCAAAAGAGGTAATTATGAGTTACTTTAATTTATGAATTTTTATTTTTAAACTGTATTTCATATAACTTTTTATGTATATATTTATATATAAGGAACTATGGACACAGAATTAACGCGTATGCTGTGTATTTTCATTGAATCGTTGCTGCCTCCTACCACTATTGAGTTGGATACAAGTCAAAATCTTCAAATAGCAGCGTTATTGAGTATTGGTCTCTTATACCAAAAGACTGCCCATCGACACATAGCAGAGGCTCTTTTGTCTGAAATTGGCCGCCCACCTGGACCAGAAATGGATAATAGTATTGATAGAGAATCATACTCCTTAGCTGCTTCACTTGGTCTTGGTTTAGTTGTTTTAGGAAAAGGATCCGATGTAGTTGGTCTTAGTGATTTATCTATTGCCGATATGTTACATTATTATATGGTAGGAGGACATAAGAAACCTTTAACTGGTAAGTTAAACAAAACTATATTTTTAAATCTCTTAGACAAATTGAATTCTTAAAATGTAAATACATTTGAAATTTGTATTTATTAATATACAAAGGAGTATGAAATGCATTTCAGCTATAATTTACATTTTTTTTAACCAAAAAAGGCCCAGTAGGGATGTTGAAAAATAACATGTTTTGATCTCCGAAAAGCTTGCTATACTTGTATAAGATTTAATAAAAATTTATATTTTGTCCATTTCTTTTATTTGTGGGTACCTAACAATACACAATAAATTACCAATAAAAGCACTGTTTCTAGTAAAGTGATTAAAAATTAAATATGAATATTTTGTTTTACCCAATAGCATATAGTTTATTTTAGTGTATATTTATGACATGATGTATGGAACCACATACATCCATTGATCAAGTGTGTGCACAGTTGCAGCTACTACTGCACCTGAACGTGTTCAAATGGACAATTAAAAGCGCCACTATACATTTTTTTGTTATATATCAATAAATATAATACATCTATATTAAATATTATTAAGGCGAAAAAAAATTAATTGTTACTTAAAGAATTAGAACATTTTTTTTTAGTTAGAAGAAAAAAGTAAATTAATTAATTCAACAAAATTTGTCTTTGTAAAAGACAACTATTTATTAGTACCGACTCGTATTGAATCTTATGCTGCATCTGAAACTTAAGTGTGCGCATGTCATAAACAGTTGGAATATATGTCTCACTTTTACTGTATACTTAGTTTTCAACATAAGTAACTGCAAAATTAGTTGTTATTGTAGCTATTATGTATAACTATACATCATTAAATTCAAGTGATATCATAGTTTAATAGTATTGTTTTTATGTATTTAGGAGCACAAAAAGATAAGTATATTAACCCAAGCTATCAAATCAAAGAAGGTGAGATGGTAAATGTTGATGTTACTTCAAGAGGAGCTACATTAGCATTAGGAATGATGTACTTTAAAACAGGCAATTTGTAAGAAATTATATTTTATTGTAATTAATTTTAAAAAATATTTATGTAAATTGATTACTATTTTAGAGCCATAGCAAATTGGATGAGTATACCTGATTCACCATACTTATTAGATTTCATTAATCCTGAATTTATATTGCTAAAAATGTTAGCTAGAGGCTTAATCATGTGGGATAGTATTATGCCAACCAAAAAGTGGATTGAACAATTTGTACCTCAATCTATTCAACAATATTGTTTGGTGAAACCAAAGCCAGGGATGGCCAATCCTGATTTAGAAACTATTAAGTAAAATTAAAATTAAAATGTATACAAATAATATACTAAAATTGGTTTGTTTTTCAGTCAAACCTATTGCAACATTGTAGCTGGTTGTAGTATGGCAATGGGCTTACGTTTTGCAGGAACTGCTAATGAAGAAGCTTTTAAGACACTTTTATCATACTGTCAGATGTTCATATCATTATGTAGCAAATCAGTTGCCGAACTTTGTGGTAAATCAACCATCGAAACATGCATCAATGTTACTCTCTTATCGTTATCCATGGTAAATTGTTAATATTATTAATTTATCATATTCTGATAATCAACTAGCTGCCTAATGATAGAGATTTATTTTCTACTTTATAATAATATATATATATATATATATATATATGGGGCGGCATTCTGAGTCAAACCTCGCTGTCATCGGCCCGACCTTCTCAAAATTTTTCTGAGGAGGTCGGGCCGCGTGGTTTGACATATATATATATAATAGTCCTATGTGTGAGAGATACAGCAGGCTGTGACGTACACAAAAAAAGTATAAAGGACCAAAATAGTTAAATTAAAGATAGTGATGCTTAGATGGTGTAAGGTCAACTAATTAGTTTATCGGTGGACCCATGTGTAGTCCACCAATTGCCAGGCACGTCACTCTACTGTTATTACTATATAATTATTATTAATTAACACTCAGCTCCAAGTGGCTGTTCAACATGCACTCCAATGGGTTTAGACTCGGTATAGACTTAAAAAATTAATATTCTGAAAAATTCGGGGAACTCTGACAACAAATAACCAGGATAGCCCTTAAATAAAATTTACTGATTCAATCACTCACAATAGATCAGAGACTTAATTCTTTCTGGTCTGTAATATCCATTAACTTATATCTTCAAAAATGAAAAGAAAAAAGATCTACAGAACAGCGCGTATGATATTTTTAAAAACATTACCATAGGTACAGAAGTATACATATGTGTAATTCAATAGTATTATTTTCTTCACAGTGGGAAAAGTTTGTAATTTGAAGTCATTCTGCACCAAATAAGGTCTACTTTTTTTATAAATAAAGATGTTTATAAACTTAAAACCTCTTATTTAAGGAAATTTAAGGACACACCTATATTTACAAATTAACTTTCTTTCTGTCGTTTCAGTAGTCTTACACCTTCCATCCTCAAGGCTATGTTCTTGGTTTGATGTTTCTCGTACTATTGTTGTATGTAGGCTAAACCAAACATAAATGACAAATTTAGTATAAATCATATAATATTATATATATATTTACATAATTTCACAAATATTTGAATAATAATAAACACACAAATATTTGTGAAAATTCACAAATCGCTTAAATAATTTACATTAACTTCACAAATTTAACTTGTACCATTTGAATATTTGAATAATTGTATACACTTATATTTTCATACGAACATGAAATAAGAAGTTGTAGTTATTCTTTATTAGTATGTATTTAGAATTTTGTGTTAGGTGATGGCTGGTACAGGAGATTTAGAAGTATTGCGGATATGTAGATACTTAAGATCAAGAGTAAGTGCTTCACCGCTTAGTGTTATTACTTATGGATCCCACCTAGCTACACACATGGCATTAGGATTATTGTTTTTGGGTGGGGGAAAGTTCACTCTGTCTACATCCCCAGAATCCATAGCTGCACTCATCATAGCATTTTATCCGCAATTTCCAACCCACAGTAATGACAATAGGTATGAACTACAAAGATTTTTTTTATCTACTTTTTAAATATTATACTCTGTTAAAAACTGTTTATAGGTACCACTTACAGGCTTTTCGTCATCTTTATACACTAGCTGCTGAACCTAGAATACTAATACCTAGAGATATAGATTCTGGTGATTTATGTTATGTTCATTTAAAAGTTGTTTTCCTTGATACTAAATATTATAAAAATCAATTTTATACCATCAAAGCTCCATGTTTATTACCTGAATTATCTTTATTAAAAGAAGTGCGTGTTGAAGATGAAAGATATTGGTCAATAATATTTGAACGTGGACGTAACTGGGATACACTTAAGTAATAAAAAATTCAGGAAACAAATTAAAAGTTATTTCATATAAATTGTCATCATATATTTATCTAATTATTTTAGGAACATGTTAAATAATGTAAATAGTTTGAAAGTTAAACACAAAGCTGGTCATTTATCATACACGGAAGACCCAAATGGTTATAAATCATTAATGGCTCAATCTCATAGTTCAAATAATTTTACCTCTTGGTCAGTTTCTGTAAGTATATTTTATTGCATTATTTTGTTTTTATTACTATTATTACTAACAACAGCAGGATCATAGGCAAACCCTTTAATTACTGCTGTAGTAGTCCAAGAGTTAAGCAGTTCATATAATAAACATCTCTACAAAAAATGTTTTCCAATTGAATGCATTTCATCCAGGACAAACAGGTATAGTGTTTTACACTTAAATTTTTTGTAGTGTTAGTGTATAATAATAATTTTTAAAAATATATATATAATATATTAGGGTAGTTCAAATTTTCCCATTTTTGGTTTTTTGAAACTGGCACCCCCTTAATTTTTAAATTACCTATAAAAACGTGAGTATGCCATATTTTAACTGAATTGAACGATAGGAACACGTTTTTAAAGATATTAAAAAATTTAGGGTGTGCCAGTTTCCAAATGCCAAAAAAGTGAACATTTGCACCACTCTAATGTGTATATTTTTTAAAGACTATTGTTTTACACTGGCGCTACAAAATTTTAATTAAAATAAGTTTATTTCTAAAACACTATACTGGCTTACTGCATGAAATTCATTCAATTGGAAATAATATTTTGTAGAAAAAAGTTGGGGCTCGTGGTGATTTGACACAGGAATGCGATAAAACAATTTGAAATATTAATTAAATTTGGTAAAGGTCTACCCATATTTTTAATTTCTACCTATTTTCTAATGTGAGAAATGCAAATTTTAATTTTAAAATTTCTCGCACTGAGTTCATATTTGATATTAATATACTATTTATAAAAATAAACTAAACGTAAATAATATAATCAAAATAAAGAATAGTAAATAGTCATTCTTTGTAGCAGCATAGATTAAATATACTATAGATAAACAATGCATATGGAACAGTTGATTTCCTATTAATTTTAATAAAACAAAAAGCTTTTCTCCAAGTTTTGCTTTTGTAATTTATAGACCCTCAAAACTCATCAGTTGGCTCCGCTACACCCTGTGTTTTATACACCATATATTTTTTTTATACTAAAATTAAAAATTATGTTGTTTTTAGCCTGAAATGATTTTTGGATTTTCATCAGATCCAAAAATAATTCAAATGGTTCGTTACTTTTTGAATTTGCCTAAGGATGGGAAAAATAATTTACAAAACAAATCAGTTATACGACAGTATGCTCAGATATTGTTTAATTCTGTTATTCATGATAAAGTTTTTTTATTACCTCAATGGATGTCAATAATCAAAGTTAGTTCATAAAGATTCTGTTTTTTCCCTTATTATATTTACAATTTATTTTTTAGACCCTTAACACATTTCCTAACCCGCCAACTAGTTACTGTTGTTGGCAATTGAAATTATTTGTGGAGTCATCATTTACAACTGCATGTCGTGAACACCGATCAAATAATAGGCCAAAATTAATATCTTCTCTAATAGCCATGTCAATAGAAAATACCTGTGAATCTACTATTGCAGATTGGGAAACAGGTAAATTTAATATTCTAATATGCCTACAGTTTATATATATATATATATATGTTTAACTATTATTATTATTTTAACAGATAATGAAAATATACTAAAAGCCTGTTGGGACACAGATAAAATTAATGATTCAAAATTAGAATTAATTAAAAGTGCTTATTGTACATTATTGGATATTCCCCATAAATCACAAGTACCGGATTTAAGTAAGAATTAGCAATTTTCTTTAACATATGATGTATTTATCATTACTTAACCCTATCCCTAAACAACAAGCACTTGCCTAAAGAATACAGTAGTATCAGGGAATAGTAAGGTCTGATCTAGAAATCTTTGTGACTTAGCGAATTTCGAAAAGATGTCATGTTTCCAAAATAGGACAGACCCGCTTTTACAGCTGATGAAGTGCAAAGGTAAACGGATCATAAAAGTTCAAAATAATACATGACAATTATTTAAAATTTACTATTCAATTAAAAAAGTTTCCACCACTTCTAAAAAATGGCCTGGTATAAATAAATTAGCTTAAAAAGTTATTTTCCTGCTATATTTGGTACAAAATCACAGTTACTATAAAAAGTTAATATGAATTAATTATTAAATTATTTATTACTAAATAAATAATTTATTTTATTCTGTAAATTTCAGAGTGCTCATCTCCTCTGGAAATGTATATTACCGTAAAGAATTTACCACTACCTGCAGAAACTATTAGTAAATTATACTTTAAATAATTATTATTTGTGTAAATAATTATAGTGTGTATGTATTTTATTATTAACTAAATAATAATTTATAATTGCATAGACCTTAGACTATTTCTAGTATATAGTAATCAAATTAAGTGTTCCCATCAAATTAATTTTTGAATGTCGGCTCAAAGAATTCACAACAATTAATGTATTAAATAATATAAAAATTACATGTATTTTTTTTTTTTTTTTTTAAGTATGATAAGTAAGTTTAATGAATTTTACAATTTTTTTTAAAAAATATTAAACACACCTTAAAAAAACTAAGCAACTCTTGTTATATATAGTAAAAAATTTAAATAATGAAATATTTAAATAAACCCTTAACCACAAAAATTACACTCTTTAACATATACAAATTATTTTTGTAGTTACAGGTTAAGGGTTTATTTAAATATGTTATTAGTTTATTTATTTACTATTAAATACATTTTAAATCGAATTATGGTAACTTATAAAATATAATTGTTTAGTACCTATTTCATTGTTTCAAACTCTTATACTTTATTATTGTTATAATATACCATGTTATAACCATTACCCACATCATATACCGGACTAGGCCCGAATAAGGCCTACTCCCAGTCACATACTCCATATGCTAGAATATAATAGAAGAATGGTTAATGCAATTTGACAAATTGAAGGTACATTTATATGCATCTAACTGCCGAATTAACTTAATCCATCTTCATTTAATGGGCATTGACGACTGTATATAAACGTGGGACTTAAAAAAATTTACCATAAGATTAAGTTAAATATAATTTTTAATTTTTATTATTTGATCAACTCATCTTTGTATTTGATTTGATATTATTAAACGACCTTAAGTTTTCAAATATATTTGAAATAATGCAAGATATTTAAAATGTGAATTAGAGCTATATTCCAGTGATAATATTTACTTTAATGCCGTTAAAAAACACAGTTTTTGCAATTAAAAAGTTAACAAAATAATAACATATTATTAAATAAGACAATAAAAATAATAAATTCTCCAAATAAAGAATAATTAACATAAAAATAAAAAATAAAACGTTTATTGTTCATAAGCCGCATAGAAAATATCGGCCTCCGGGCGAATGGCGGCGCCGCCTGTACAGCGAAGCTCAACTACCAAAATGCCTGAAGCATTCGACCCCAGATTTTTACTGATAAGAAGTTGAGTGGTGTCACCTTATCTTCTCTACATCGTGTTCGGACGGTTACACCTCAAAGAGCCACTCGACAAACAACCACCGAAAATCGACACGGAGCCACTCGACAAACAGCCACTCCAAGGGGTACCAACATATACAATATTTATAAAAAATGCACGATTATTATTCGTGTATGTTGTGCGGCTAGTATTGTTTATTTAAAGGAGAAAACTTGTACATTTCATAATTAATGCAATAAGGCTTGGGATATTTTTAATTCACTGTGTGACCTGTCTCCTGTGTTAGTTTCTTTCTCTTAAATATCAACTTATATTTGACTTAATTTACTTATAATGATAATGATAATTAATATCCAACAAAATATTGTAAGACCACTATCAAATATAATGACTTATCAGATATTCCCGATATAATGGCCGTATATCATAGACTTATAAAAAATATAACATATTTATTTAAGTACATTGTCGAGTTTCTTTCGAATTAAACATTTAAAAATACAGTTTTGAGTTTTTTTATTTAAGTTATAATCAAATCAGTTTTTATTATTGAAATTTATATAAAACAAAAACTTAAAGTATATGAAACAATACTTACAATATTATATTATAGTGATAATTAACCAACAATAAATTGTCTCTTGAGTTTGTAAAAAAAAAAATGTTTTTCAAAACATACTTACACGTTTTATAATAAGTAAAACAGAATGTTCATTGATAAAATTTCAATGAAATTATACTTTTTTTTTAAATTATTGAATACCGATGTATTATACCTATCTATTTAAAACAATACATCGTGAATACCTCATACGAAACCATTCGATACCCGACAATAAAATTAAACACATTTACTTAAATACTTTACAACTTCCAATAACACAATAATAAATTATAGTTAAATATTATTTAATTTTGTATTATGTATTTTCATATCTGTGTATTAGTTATCATGTTATATATATGCCGAAAATAATAATTCCGAAAAAAATTAGAACCAAAAATATAATATCCAAAAAATATTTAAGTCGAAAATAATATTTTCGAAAACTAGGTCGAACGTATTTTAGCTGACACTTATTATTTGAACCTTATAAGTTATAAATTATAATAGTATACGAAAACAGTGTTACGCGCGCCGTGTGACCGCGTTGTGTCTACTGTCTACACTATTTTTATAACATCTGTGATAAGTTCCATTTGTTATTGAAATATACAGCTATTTTTTATTTTGTGGTTGACATTTTTTTTCCATATACACTACCAATGCTTAATTGTTAGTATTTGTTTATACTTAGCTACACAATAGTAAATTCAAACAGGGACAACCTATGGTAGACTGGCGCCTTGCCGATGCTGAATAAAATGTTTATACATTAATGTATATTATTAAGCCGGCAGTAGTTTTTTGGGGTCTAAAATAACCGGTATGGTTCTTTTGGATCTAGATATGATACACTCATCAGACTTATCACTAATGTCCAGCTAATATATAAAATAGATAACTCCAGTTTATGTGTAAACAAGGGCAGATACAAGGGGAAGGCTGGAGTTAATAGTTTATAATACAATCTATATTAAAATATAAACCAAGTCAAACTATAACAATAATTTATGAGTAGTAAATTCATATGACTTCTTAAAAACAATCCAAATTAACTCAGGTGCTATAATATAGTATACATACTATTATCATTGATTATCATTAATCAAAGATATTATGTATAAATGCACTAACAACAAAAAAGTTCAAATGTATTAAATTTATATTTATAAACACAGATTTTCTTATTTCACACTATTATAATATACAAGTTCATAATTAGCTATAACTCAAATTTAAGTGACATGTGTATTGGCGTTATCGATTGCATTATCTAGATGTTTATATACGTGTACTTAGAGTACACAAGGGTTTCACAAAATGATTGATACTTACAATTAGTGTGTGATATTATAATTATCGTGAAGTGCGTCTCATACGGTTAAAAAGTTATTAACGAAAAGTTAATATTACTAAGTTTACTATGGTCAAGTTTATACAAACTAACGGTTGGTTTCCAACTGCGGCCATCCATCACTGATCTTAAATAATTATAAGATTCGAGCTATCAAAAAATAAATGAAATGGTTCAACACGTTGGCGGTGGCCGGTACTTAACAAAAGACTGCAAGGAAATAGTTTTTACTAAAAAAATTGATGATTTTACTGTTTTATCTATTTTTAATGTTATAAATATTAAAATTTATTTTATTATTGACCACGATTTAATAAAAAAAAAAAATTGTTTGGCTTAAGTATTCTAACAGCTTTGACAAAAATGTATTTTATAAAATGATTATATACAATTATTAAGTTTATTTTTAAAAGTTATTATCAGCAGTAATAAACATATAATATTAATCATTTGTTGAATAAAAACTAATAGTGTACATATTATTAACACAACGGATTTCATACAAGTTATTTTAATATTAAAGTTAAAAACAATTGTACATTATTAAAGAAAAATACTAAATTAATATAATCAAGTTTATAAAAAATGTTTACTAAATTATTTCCACTTGGCTTATAGTTTTTAAATTTTGAACATAGTTGGAAAAATAACAAAATATAGGTAGAACATTACAAATAATTATGGTATAAATCTACTTTACCGGGCACCTTTTTTTCCGATTTTTCTTTTAAATCGACAGTACTTTTAATGTGATTACGAATATGTAAAAAAATTTGCGCCGCTCGCACTTAGTTTGGAAGTTACAGACTTTTAAAGTTCGCCGAAATCGACATACGTGCGCGCCCGGCACCGCACGTCTACCCGCGCCCGCTGGGTACTTCGTCCGTCGATCGCCGCTCGATTATCATCGGATTCCTCGTCTACCTGCCTCTCGCCCGTCGTGGCCCTTTTTTTTTGCAAACATAATTTCATCACGCTAATATTTGACTTGGTTGGGATTTTGCTATAGCGAATAATGAACAATTTTTGACTCGCCTATGCACATTTTTGAGACTTGAGGATGACTTAGTAGTAAATATTAATGTTTTATCGCGCCCCGCTAATATTATAAAGTATTACGGGCTAATACATGTTAATAATTTTTTATAATTTGGTTATTCATTTATATTTTATAATTCTACCTAATACATATTAATACAAAATAAATATATAATGCTGTTTTTCTACAAATTCTAATGAAAATTGTAGGACACACACACATACATGGTTTTATTTATATATATAGATAATAAAAATAGAAATAATTAATCAGATAAAAAAATCCAATTTATATAGATGGCCTATGGGATATAACATAAGCTTAATGGGTGGAAAATATACACATTTGCCAATAAGCTAAAATTGTACTTTTTTTTAATTTTTATATCGGTATTTTTCTCATTCTAACACTCTTCTTCTGAGTTTTTAATAACAAATTCTAAGTCAATAAAAAGTAAAAACCTTTATCAAATACTTTTTAATTTTATATATAATATATACATGGATCATTCATTCCGATACTCATGAAAATGCACACAAAGTAACAATGTTTAATAACTTTATTTGTTTTATATTTAAAATATATTTGTAATTTAATTGAAATACATGAAAGCAAGTTACAATATTATTCAATTAATATCGTTGCAACATAAATATTTTTTTTACCTATGTATTATATTAATAAATAAGTATCAAAAATATAAAAATGTATAATTATTTATAATAATAGAGTAAAAGTATTTAGAAACATAATAATTATTAATAATAGCATGAGTTAACAATAAATCCTGTGAGTAAATTGAAATGTTTACAATGAACATAGTAACAGTGTTTACTATACAATAGGAGTTTTAATAAAAATATATTATTTTCTACAAAGTTACTCTGTTTTTATTTTTATTGACATACAATTTGGAAATTACATTTTTTGCTATTACTCCGTTAGAATACGTGGTGTCGGCCGCACAACATACACAATATAATCGTACATTTTACATAAATATTGTACATGTTGGTATCTCTTCGGGTGGCTGTTTGTCGAGTGGCGGCTCCGTGTCGATTTTCGGTGGCTGTTTGTCGAGTGGCTCCGTGTCGTGCTCCCGTTCGGACCCTCTCTACTATTAGTCCATTTATTTAAAGGTCTATGGGCGGAAGTATCCAGTTTCCAATTGCGTATCACTATTATGCTAGCATACCTATATATTACTTTGTCATGATTCGTGGATCGAGCTCCCAACGCTTAACGTTTCAATAATCAGTTTTGACATATGTTTGATAACGGGAACGGTTCTTTATTTGGGTTTTAATCTTCTAAGTTCCTAGTCAATGCTAATTCTAAATATTAATTATTATTACATTTTTACTTTATCGATTGTTTTGAGTTTGACTTCTTTCTCCCAAAAAATACAATTATTAATTGTATTTTATATACGCCAAGTTAAATATATACTTCGAGTTTTAGATATCGTTGTATGCATGTCGTATGAGTAAAACTAAAAACAATTTTAATTGTAAGCAAATTTTTTTATTTTTTTTAATAATTATTCTATAATTATTTAAATAATCTAACTCAATTTTGGTGTTAATAGAATATCGAATCTTTCTAATAACTATGGAGTGCAGTTTAGCTTCATCATATACTAATGGCAACAGCAAACCATCAAGTCAGATACAGGAAAATAGAAGTCCAACAAAATCAGGTCTACATGTAAACTTTACTGAAAAAGTTGAAGTAAAGGAAAAGCGAGAAAAATTTTTGACAGCAAAGTACGGTGCCCACCAAATGAGCTTGATTAGGAAACGATTAAACGTTGAAATGTGGCTGTTAGAAGAGCTTCAAAATCTTTATGATATGCCAAAAGTAAGTAAATATTAATCTTCAATTAACAATACACAATATGCCCTTCGTGGTCCATTTTTTTCCCGGACTTCCAGAGCCTGCTACCACAGTGCTACGTGGCAGATATCTCGCGCTACAATTTTGACGAAATCGCTAACCGGGATGGGTATGCTGTCGCCAAAGAGAAGGTATGACCGACTTCTTCTTCAGATGATTTCTCGACCGGCAAGTGGCAAACTAATTGAATAGTGAATCAGCGACAGTGAGCGCTAAACAAGCTGACGCTTTACCCACTCGACCACCCGACCTCTTATTTCTAATATTAAGTGAACGTTACACCCCCGAATTTCTAGCGTAAAACTTATAACTTCAAAAATAAGTCCGACCCCCAAAATGTCAAAAATGTTGAAAAAAGCAACGGAACTAAATTGCATTTGTTCCGCGATTTTAAATATTTTTAGCTAGCTTTTATTTTCATTGTGTATGATTTTGCTTTAAAACCTTCACAGGCTGAGTAGAATACATTATGCGTTGCCAAGTTTCACTTAATATTAGAAATAAAAGGATGGGTGGCCGAGTGGGTAAAATGTCAGCTTGTTTAGTGCTCACTGTCGCTGATTCGCCATTTGACATTCAATTATATTTGCCACTTGCCGGTCGAGAAATCATCTGGAGAAAAAGAGCTGTTATTCCCCTTTTCGGCGACGGCCAACCCGTCACGGTTAGCGATTTCGTCAAAATACAATCTCACTGTTGCAGGCGGCAGTGATTGTCGTTTGGGGGCTTCAAGTCCTGCTAAGCTACATGATATTGAATATTATAAAATATAAATATAGAACTCGAGCGTAATTTAATATTCCGTATTGTACAAAAATAGTGGTAATAGAAAAACACCACTCCAATTGCCTAAACCATAATTTAATATCTCTCTTTTGCAAATTTAATTAACAAACCTACACAATACATATTAAAAATTTGTCTGCAAATTATTTATGTGGGTAAATGAGGACTGAAGTACTAATATTTTTTCTATTATATAGACATTTATTTTGTTATTTGAAAAATTTATTTTTACAAAAAATAGTTCTTGATGAAATTAATTTTATTACACATTGTGTAAATCAAGTGACCTCTGTGAGTTCTTCATATAATTCATATGTACAATGTTAATGAAATGTGTTGTATATAGTGCATATATGATGTAGCTTGTATGATTCATCAACAAATTTAAACAAAGCAAATAAATTTTGTTCAAGCTATTTTCGTAACTTAGTATCGCAGTTTACATTTCATTCTAGACTGTAATAAAATTGTTTTGTACTTTTTGTAACCCAAGGAACTCAAAATATTTTTGGACATTTTTTTACTTGTGTTTCATGCATATTGACTTAAGTTCATAGTTTTTTGAAGACGTGTTTTTATTCATATCATTGTTTAATTCCTATTTTAAAGTTTTGTATCTGTGTGTGACTTATAGACGCAACTAGACCTACATTTTAGAGGGTGCTAAAATTATGTATACCTGACTAAACATAATTATTATCTTCAAACCATTAGATATAAAATAATATTTTTGAAAACAAAAGTATTCTAAAATAAAAAAAATTGAACAGTTATGTACTTATAAAAATTTTATGAGTAAAATTGAAGGATTGGGTTTTGAATTTTTATTTGTGCTAATTTTGAGTCTGGGGATGCCCCTTAGCACCCCACTACTCACTAGTTGCGCCTATGGTGTATGTCCATATATCACCATATTTCAATAAAAATTTAAACCCAGAATAATATTTCCCAAATAAATGACATACCATTATTTTATTTTATTGCTATGGCGGCGAACTTCTGACCCTCTTTTCCAAAAAATGTTTGGCTATTTTCGCGAATAATAATGCATTTTATCTTTATACAAATAAATTATTTAGACTTAATATAATTCATTACTTTAAAGATTTTGGTACTTTGCAATAGCAAATAAAGAATGTATAGCTTATATTATTTTGTCACCTTTAGAAATTATATGGCATTGGTTTGATTTTATTATGAGTTCATTTTTAACAATAGTTTTATGGTCTTGAGCATTGTAGCGTTGTAGATTTTAATATTTCTTTGTACACGCTCAATGACAAAGTCATAAAATACATTAAAATAAGAAGCATAGCTTCAAAAGAATATGGTGCTGATTATAACTATACCATATCGATATCTGGTTTAGTATCATTATATTTTATCAATGTCAATACAATTTACACTTAATTTCTACCTAACCATATATGCATTACATAACAATTTTTACGAAAAAATGTATAATGGTGTTTTTAGGAGAAAAGCTACAGCCCTCCCCAAATTTAGTATATAATATTTATATACTAATATAAATCATTAATGACAATTCAGTATGTCACTTATTGATTTTTAGTAAATCAAAGGTTCAAGGACTCAGAAATGAAATCCTGGCCATGCTGTTAAATAACTCGTCATTTTGCCCTAGGCAATAACTAGTATAGTTTAAAATATAGTATAGATTACTGTTTTTAGCTTTAACGATTTTTAAAATGTTTTAATATTAAATTGTTTATTGATCGTACCGAAAACTTAATGTATATAACAGATAAAGTGTTCATGAAAAACATAGTAATTAATAACATTTGGTATTTAATGAGTGGTTTCTCTATATTACGCACAAAAGTTCTAAGTAATGTGTAAATATAGCTATGGCAAGTAACACAGTTTTTTTTAAGAAGAATATATGGCAGATAGGCAAAAGTGTAAAAATACATAATAATAATAATAGGCTAACGATGTACGTCGTCTGATATATTTTGTCTCTGACTATTTTGTATCTGACTTATGAGCATGTTATGTTTAGTCAAAAATTATATTATTAAAAATAAAATAAAGCCTCGCGCATTAATGTTATATTTTTAAAACTAGAAGTAGGACCATAAAAATAAAATACAAATTCACAAAACTGCTATTCTAGCTATAGTTAAAGTCTTAATTCTTAACTATCATTTTTGATATATCTTGTAGACATTTAATATATTTGTTATAAAATGTATTGATAGGTCAAAACTAAATAAGAAAATTTAAAACATTAAACAACTTTAATGAATTTAATTACAAGGAACGAACTTTTTTTAATGAAAATCGGCTTTCTACATAACATAGTAAAGTAGCCGAAGAACTCGAATCCCTTTATAGAATTGAAATTAGACCATCCTACTATTTGTTCGAAATTTTGTCCTGATTTTTGGTCCAAAGTAAACCGAAATGGCATTTAATTACACCAAAAATTATTAAAATTAAAAGTAATACCTCGAAGTTTATAAAAATTAATCGGTAAATTAATTAATATGGACGAAATTTATTATAAACCTGTTTTGTTTTTAAATATTGGCCCTACTCTAGGCCACTATGTCGGTACTTTTCAAAAGTAAGTAAGTTTAATTTCTGAATCTTGATTGATTTTTGAACAACTAGAGACCATGTATATCTTTGAAGCTAAAAAAATGACTTTTGTTTTTACATTTTAAAGTTAGTAATTTTGACGTTTTTCTCGAAATCGACTTTTCTGACAAGAAGCCCTTTTCGAGATGCTTTCCACGTCATTTTTAGTGTTACTCATTTCCACGATTTATGATAATATTGTCTTATTTTGTGCTTATTACATGTCAATTATGAGAGCAGGTTGTTAAAATACAATTTTTATACATAAAATGTATTTATGTCTATGAGCAAACTACAAAATTGTGGTATATTGTCGTGCCAATGTGGAAATACAGGCGATATAAGGAAAGACTCCTCCAAATTTCATTTATTGCCCCATGTCTCTACCCCCCACGTGGCCATGTAAACACATAACTTGCCTTCGCATTCTACGCGCAGTTAGGTGAAATAATTTTAAGGAAAACAATAAAAATTCTAGTAATGAAACTTTGCTACATTTATGGAAGTATCAGTGTGCTTAGCGACCGTAATAATTGTTCTTATTTTTTGGACGATTTTGGTGAGAAAGGGTATAAGTCAAATTTTACGAGTTTCCAGGAGACAAAAAAAACTTAATAATTATTGCTCAGAAGTAAATATATTATCAAAAATAATTTTTATAATTTATATTAAATGTAATATTTTTACTTATAAAATTACAATGTCAAATATACTAAGAATTGACCTCTAGACATTTTATTCATTTTTTTTACTCTTGAGTTCTTAAACAATTTTGAACTTCTGTTAAACCGCCAGACCTTTAATTTTCATATTTAATGCATTATGCTGATAGTTACATTCTAAACGTAGACTACAGTACGTTATTATCAAATAATGGCATAGTCGGTGATTTCTGAACAAATTAAAATTCAACCAATATCAAGACATAAAACATACTACGTTTGATAAAGTTTTTTTATAGCCTATAGGTATCTACACTACAACAGACATTCGATATTTTAGCCTACTGACCTCTAGACATACGTTCTCTTTTAAACCATTGCTTACTAAACCCTTAAGTAAGCAACACCGGACACTTGATTTTTAACCGTCTGATTTTATACATTTCTTTTAATCTAATTAATCTAATGGTGCAAGGAGCACCAGCCACTCGAATTTTTATAGGTACATAGATCGTTTCTGATCTGACTGATAGCTAGACACACTACAGTTAATCAGCTAGCTTGGAAAATATTTTCTTAAACCTAGGTATGAATTCTGATAGCTAGATATAACTAGGTACTATGAATTATAACGACATTACTTTAAGACACAATGCGTTGGCCCAACACCCCCCTCGGAACCGCTGTGCACTGACTTCCACAGACTTACACTACAGTTAATCAGCACTTAGCATGCAAAATACTTTTTCGAAACTAGGTATGAATTCTGATTACTAGATACAACCTATGGGTACCATAAATTATAACGACAGTACAGGGAATCTGTGACCTACCCGCCCGACTCAGGGGCCTGGGGGCGGAGCCCCCAACTGTAGCGAAGCTCTAGTATTTTTAAGGCGATTGGGTACCGGCCTTAATTAAGAAGTTGTACGTAGGCAATTTCTGGTTTTTCTCTGTTACGCGCTATCGTTGTGTGCGTAGTAAATGAACATTAGTGTGAGTGTTGTTATCTTACACCTCCCGTTCATTGTTGAAGGTGACTCGTACGCACACGCACAAGTCGGTTTAAACGGCTACTGTTAAGGATTCGTACAATTTTATGCTGCAAAACTACTAATTTTCCTTCAATCAGTCCGATCGTTGTATTAATGCGATAAAACTTCTGAAAATAAACTTAAGTTCAGCGTGAAGTCTACTTAAGATCGGCCAGGCCACTTTTTCAGTTTCATTTAATAGTATTTTTTAAACACTACTACAAGATTTAACATTTTTCAAGAAATTTGATTAATTTTTGTTAATGATTTGTTCATTTAAGTGATATCAATATCACCGATGTAAGACGGAGTGGCTCGTTGGTCTAGGGGTATGATTTTCGCTTAGGGTGCGAGAGGTCCCGGGTTCAAATCCCGGACGAGCCCGTTTTTTTTGCTTATAATTATTATTTTGTAGTTCTTTTAAAATATATGATCATCGATCTACCAATAAATAAAAAAAAAATAAGTAGGCGGTATCAAAAATACAGCCATACGTTTTTAACGTAAATATGTCAGAACTCAGAAATAATAATTGGGAGCGTTAAAAAAAACTCAACTGTCAGCTTAAGTTATCTATTGTAAGATATAGTTATTTTACTTATAATGTACCGGCTTTAAACCTCCCTCTAAAAGATACGGAAAATTATCTTATTTTTTTACATTATGATTTCAACTATTTTTATTACTGTAGTCGTTTTTTCGACTTTTCTATGAAATGTTACCTCTTGTTTTGTTTTTCTAAGCGTTTTTACGAAGAACCCAATTTGAAATTTACATATTTTATGTAAATTTGTTCAGCTTTCTGAAAAAAATATTAGAAAAATTCCGAAATTTTGGGCAACACGATAAAACTAACTTTTTATATTATAAATTCAATTTTAATGCCTTTCTATTATTTTTTTCAATATATTCGTAATTAAATGGAGAATATGCTATGATTTTTTTATTCTTTTAAAAATGATTTAGGATAGTTTTTTTAACAATGTATCAAATATTTTCATCTATTTTAGTCCATAGAACTAGCAATTTCTTAATTTTTATCTAGTGAGTATCAACATTTATTTGTTTTTTGTATGCTGATAATTTTCGTATAAAAGATTTTGTTTTTTTAAGACATTTTTATTGAACCAAAAATACCTAAAATATTAAACTATATGATCTAAAATCTAAAATCCCTTATAGTTATACATAGCTATATATATATATATATAAATTTTAAATCTGAAATCATAATCATATTCTATTTTTGATTTTAGAGAGATCCAGCAGTTGAAGGGATCGAATGTGAAGTTGAAGTTGATATTGATGATTTATTAGATATGGAAGATGATTGTCAACGAACAAAATTCCTTGAAGTATTTCAGTTTAACTATTAAATTACATAATTTGTAATATCAATATTATTATACTAAATTTTTTTTTTCTAGGAGTTATTATCAGCAGCAAAGTCAAAGGATAATATCAAAGTATGTTATTAATTATTATAAATTTCAAACAATGTTTATTTTGTTTTTTAAGCAAAATAACTGATTGACCACTTAACATTTTTCATAAAATTAAACGTACACAAAACATAATAATTTTTATTATCAACTATCCTAATTTGTTGTATGTATGTCTTTATCAGTTACATGTTTAATTGTACTTCATTAACAAGAATATAACAATTTATTATAAGTAATAAGTTTTTGTTATATATTATAACTTATAAGTAATTAAACATTCTTGCACATTTTTTTTCTTTTTAAAGATCTTCATTAACAACTTGTTGGAGAAAATCAAGACTTTATAAATGATTTTAGACGGAATTCAAATAATTAATCCGTCCACTCCTAGCTTATAACTGCCAAGCAAGATTTGTCGCAACTACCATTAAAACTGCATAGCATACATTTTAAAAAATAATCTTATTAGTCATAAGTTAGTTTAAGTATTCAAATTTTTCCTATTTAAATATTTTATGTAAGATATATATAACTGTAGTTTATACACTTGGATTTTAGGATTTACTCTTAAATTAATTATTGTTTAACAAATATTTTGTAATTTGTAATTATAGGATTAATTTGTTTTTAATACGTTTAATTTTTAAAGTACCACATAATGATTCTGCTTCATAATTTAGTATTTATTATCTTGATAAATTATTACTATAGTCACAACGTACCACATTATCAGTTTAAAGGCTGACTCTTTTAAGAAGTTTTTTAATTAAATTTCTTACCAATAAATAAAATGTACTATAGAATAGAAAAACAAATGTATACCAATTAGGAGTACTATTTTGCCAACATAAAGCCTGCATGTTTAATTTTCAGTAAAATAAAATATTTATTCACATAACAACAACAAGTGTTGCCTATCTATATAATATATAACTTAATTTATGATGTCTCTATTTACTAAAAATGAATTAGCTTACGTATTAGAAATAAATATTATATGTATAGTTTATATGAATCACAAGTACAAACGCTAATACTAATATATATACTCTGGAAACTTTAAGAAGTTACCTGCGCGTCGGACCAAAACTCATCAGCTGCCACCTAGGTCGTATTTGTATGTACAGTAGGCATTGCCAAACTATGACAATGTTGCAAGGTGGAAACCAGTCGTCGCAGACTCAATGAGGCACCTTCTTAAAGTGTCCGGAGTATATATATATATGCAAGGTGATCAACTTATCATGAACCACTCAATATCTCATAGGGTTTAATAAGAAATTACAATAGAAAGTAAATACAAAATGTGCAAAAAAATGTGAAAAATTGAGATCACATTGTATAAAAAAAATATGAAAACAAAAAATTGTATTTCTTGTTAAACCCAGTGAGATATTGAGTGGATCACCCTGTATATATATATATATATATATATATATTATATACATATTTGTTTTTTTTATTATTATTTCAATATTATGTCTAAGCATTTTAAATGTGAATTTAAAAGCCCCAATGATACAAAAAGAATGTAAGTCCTAATGAATTTTCAGGGCTGTGTCTATTAGCTACCTTGAACAGTTATGGGAACTACCATTATTTTAATGCTGTACATGAAAGTAAATATAAAATATTTTTAGATTATTTTCACAATAGTTCAAATTTAAGTTGTATTAAAGTTTTAAATTAAAACTGCTTTTTATTTTGATAGAATTGTATTATTTTAAATGTACAAGACGTTATTTAGTAATCTGCAAATATAATAACAAAAAGAAAATTTTTTTTGTAATTGGTTGAAATTAATTTTAATGAATCGTGTAATTTACACTACATTTTTAGTTATTTTAGTAAAATTAATTGGATTTGTTCTTAATATATTTACAATGTTATTTAAATTCCAAAATGTACAGACTTAATTGATTTTGGTGTCATAATTAAAAAATTTTAGCTTTTAAGTAAGATCTTACTTAAGGTGTACTTAAATAGTCCGTGTCAAAACAGTGACATAACAAGATAATAATATATTCTCTTTCTCCAATAATAATGTGTTTTTCTTTGTTATTCAAAGTACATAAAAAGGTGCTTTATTGAAATACCTTAAACAATAATTGAATTTGAAGCTCAATGATGTTGATATTACTCTTGAATTATTATATCAACATAATTTATAGGGTTTTCAGCTGTTATCAAAAATTATATAATTAAGTTAGAACTTAAAAAATGTACAAGATAATATTAAAATATGTTATTTATTAATTAATGAATATGGCATAATAATTTTGATTAGTAAATAATATATAATAAAAAATAAGTACTCATACAAATATAATAAATATATAGTAAAATAATAGAGAATGGTAGTTAGAAAAAAGAATAATACTCAATACGATCAGTCATTTTAAATGCATACGCAAGGTAATTATTAAGTTAAATAATAATAAAAAAATTGTTAAAAAGTTTAAGCATAATATGTTTGTTGGTTTGTTTTAAATAGTATCACAATTATAGTTCTTTTTTTATTAACTAAATATTGAATACATAATTAATAAGCATTTAAATCCAGAAATTATCCAGACATAACCATATTGACAAATTCTTCATAAGACACATTGCCTTGGGAATCTTCCTGTCCAGCCAATAATTGTTCTACTTCATCATCTGTTAACTTTTCACCTAATAAATAATATATTATTAATATGTTATCTAAATTATGTTATTACAATGAGTTAATTAATTTAAACATTGAAATTACCTAAACTAGTGAGTAGGTGTCGCAATTCGGCCGATGAAATGTATCCATTCCCATCTTTATCGAAATGACGTAATCCTTCGTTAAAATCATCAGCAGTGTTTGATGAACGATTTTTGGAAATTGCTTGGTAAATGGGTAAAAACACTTCAAATGTTATTCTTTCATCTGAAAACAAAGATGTTTTTATGAATTTCCAGTTTATACATTTTGAAACACAACTGCTTAATGAGGATATGCCCGATTAGTTTTATTTTTTATTTTAATGTGCTATCATTAAACAATATTACAGCACAACAATTATACAACTATTAACAATAAATAATAATACAATTTACATGATTTTAAAACAAAACATAATTAAATAGAAAAAGTAGCTTTAGAAAGGAAGGATATTAAGAGGATGATAACGGAAGGACAACGAGAGTTTAAAAGAAAAGAGGGATCAAGGGAGGAATAGCCGAGAGTACAGAAATAGGAAAGTTCACTTTTTCTGTTGGAGTATAGAGTAGGACAGCCAAGGGAATAAGGTTAAATTTTAACCTGATTAGTTAAAGATGTTAGAAACTAAATTCAAGATGAGCGTAAACATTTTAGATTCAAACAAAATATGTTTTATGATCAAAACTTATATATTGTCTGAAAATTAATTTGTAATCTTTCACTAACTTGGCGTATTTAAAAATAAAAGGACTAAAGCTAGTTGCTGTTCTTTAACAAAATATAAAATATTTATGCTTGATTCATTAAATTTTAATTAACCCTATATCATTAACTTAAATTTCTCTTTTATAAATTATTATGTTTTTAAAATTTTAATTAAACACTTAAATTGGTTTATACAAATAAATAGCTTTTAAACATTGCAATAACTGAGATGTATTTTCAAATTATAGTATATAGATGAGTCATTGTCATGTCTGATTAAATTTATTTTTGTGCCTAGCTGAGGTGTTCACATAGAATGTGTTTAACCGTTAGGGATCTTTGCAGTGTTTACACTTTCAATGGTTTTTTTCTTCCTAATATGGTTATGTCTTTATTTTTAATTTAGTGTGTTAAATTTGTAGGTATAATGTAGTATCCAGTGATAAAAAAAATATATAAACAACACCTATTAAATATTTATATTTAATATACTTCAAGTCAAGTCTAACATGAAAAAGAAAAAAAAAACCATGTCAGTAAAAAACTAGAAACAAGTGGCCTACAATGTCAAAGTGCTCAACATCCAGGCCACTTAAGACCAGCTAATACTAATTGAATTTTTCTTAGACATACATTTTGAAAAATTAATATACCATAATGTTCTAGTAGGTAAATTATTAATACATACCTGCTTTATGCTGTTGTGTAAATTTATTAACATCCGATTCAGTTGGATTTTGACCAAGAGCTCGTAAAGCATTTCCAATTTGTGATATATGTATTTTGTTGTCTCCTCGTATATCAAACAACTGGAATGCTTCTTGCATTTCTATAATAAAGAAAAGTAACCATTAAAAAGTCATACTAATTTAAAGGAATTTATGTTACCTTCCATAGAAGTGATAACTTTTACAGCATCATAGTTATAAGAATACATTTTTATAAATTTATATCATAAAATAATAATTTTTCCTTTATTACAAGAATAAGATTGAACAAAAGCAATTGCTTGTTGCAACCTTGTTTATAAATATTTTTTCCCTTTTCCTATCACGAGGACAGGTTCTTTAATAGAGCCAAATAAGGTTATGAGATTGTAAATTTTGCAACTGCAAGTAATGTCCCCAGACACTAATATGTATTTACTCACCTGATAAATGTTCATCTGAATATGTTGCCTAGAAAAAGACAAAAGTTACGAATATTTCAAAGGATATACATAAATCTATCAAATATAATTATGTATGTAATTAATTAAAAAGTGCTTTTTAATGTATTTTTTAAATAAATATATATGTTTTGTTAATAAGTTATATAAATATTTGACACTTACTGTTTTACTCATTATGAAATACTCTATCTGTTATTCTTTCATAAACTAAATTTCAATTTATATGGCACGAGTTGATTAAAACTTAAAAGTAATTTGGTTATTACTATATATTGTTGTAGTGTTCCACCTATTACTAATGAGTAATGAATGTGACTCGTCACGACTCACGAGTGTTGCCTTTATTTTATGTTATTCTCATGAGTTATGACCTGTGAATTCTGTGATAACAATGATAACATGTTTCGCGTACGTTAAATCCACCTTGGTCATTGGTGCGTCATTATTCTATGGTGCACACTTGCTACTTGTTCGTACTTCGTGACACGCGACTTATATCTATATCCATCCTCAATACCAATATTATTTATTTACTCATATTCAAAACGGGCCATACCCCAAGGTACACTTGTATAATTTAAGAAATGCCACGTAATAAAAACTTTATAACTCAATAATTAATAAAACAACATATTTGTAGAAGGGAGGAATTTTAAACTTTCGAAATATTTAGTAGCCATAGAGGGCGTAGATAAATATAAATTTAATAATAGAGAGAATCAATATTTACCTATAAACCCTTTTAAGGCCTATATAATTTGATCAAATATCAGGTCAATTTTACCTATTATGAAGACCAAAAACTATTAATATTTTATGAATATGCAAGGTCTACTGTCTATGGTAGATGTATTTCTATAGGAAAGCTATATACCTACTATTATAAATTAGTGACAGGAAAACAATATAATAAGTATCTTATAATAAGTACTAATGTTTAACTGTTTACATCAATTGTACTACTGTTTTTTTTTTTGTAAAATAGTTAAGTTTGTTTTATTAAATTATTATGTGGGCTAAAAATGCACAATAAATTCACCAACATATTATAAAAAAAATGTATACTACAAAATATAAAAATATTTATAAATCTTAAATAGCTATCAGGTACTATTTGATGACAAGATTAAAATGTATGCGTATTTACTTTAGTTGCTCATGAATTAAGAATTAATAAAATCTACTTAACTAAGTTTAAATTAAAATATTTAATTTTGATTTAAAGTGTGTATAAGCAGTTTAACATATACACCAAATTTTAAAAAAATGATCTCCTAAATGGTAAAATCTGATGGTTTTAAAACATTTTTACAGGACAAAACAATAATATTAATTGCTAAAATTTATAAACGATGCTTAACACTAATTCACTTCCATTACATTGTAAAAAATCATTTATCAACTTTAATATGTAATAAAATATTGTAGCTTTTGATAAGTAAATAAACACGTTTAAAAATAATGTCTTATAATTTTAATCATTTGATTTTTTTTTTTTAATTTTCATATAAAATAATGAATATTAAAATAATATCCTGTAATCTAGCTATCAAGTATACAAAAAAAAAAAAATTATATAATAATATTAATCAAAAAATTTCACCACATAAATATTAGTTAATTTATTTACTTATATTAGTAATTTAAAAATAAAAAATGTTATTTAAAGTTTTGTTTTAAAATAAATTACTCATTATTTATAAAGTTGTTTGCTTCTGGTCGAATAATAGTTTACATTTATAATAACTTATGGTAAATCATTTAAAATAACAATATATTAATAACATACTACATCTTGGTCCAGATACTCGTACAGTTACCAAGTTGATAATCATTGTGAAAAATAGAGTTTTGTGAAAGTGATGTCTAACTTATCATTCTGGTTGCGTCAATTTATAGTTGTCTTGTGTAACAGTTCATACATTTCTTGATTCCCAATCTTGGATGCCGTGTGTAATAATATATTACTTATGTCGTTGGTGCACTCCATATCTGAACCTCGATCTATTAAATTACGTACTAATTCTACATTACCTTTTTCAATAGCATAATGAAGTGTTGTATAACCTTCTTCATCAATCAAATCTTCCCATTTGTCTATATAATTCAATAAGTATTGGGCAATGTCACAGAAGCCTAGACGTGTTGCATATCCAACTAAACTTATTAAAGACGAAGTAGGTGGGGTATTATGTTTCACAAACAGTTTTAAAACATCTAAAGATCCAGAAAAACCAATTACCTTGAACCAAAACACCTGATCATTTAATATTTCACTGCTGGTTTTTTCAATTATTAATTGAAGGATATCAATGTTACCAGAACGTAAAGCCACATGATAGACATCACTATCAACACTGTATTTACATGTATCTAGAAGATACTTGACAAGTTCTGTATTAGAACTAAGAATAGCATTATGTATAGGTAACATATTATTTTTGTTTCGACAATTCATGTTTAATCTATTGGAATATAATAATTTTACAACTTTAACTGCACCACGTAAACAGGCAAGGTGAATGGGTAAATCATTATCTTTATTTGGAATATTTATATCAGCTCCATTTTTAAGTAAAACATCTACCATTTCTTCATTTCCATTGCATGCTGCATAATGCAATGGTGTATTACATTGCATAGTTAAAGCATTAACGTCAACAAAATACTTCAATAACTCTTTTACAACTGAATGACGATCATGTTTGGCTGCGAAGTGTAATGGTGTTACTTTGCTATTAGTTTTTTTATTTGGTCTAGAACCAGCAATTAACAAAATTTTCACCATTTCGCAATGACCTTGGTATGCAGCATAATGTAAAGCAGTTAGTCCATTTTCATCACTCCTATGGACATCCGATTCCAATTGAACAAATATGTTAACAGCATTTATACTTCCAGAAATTACTGCATGATGTAAAGGAGTCATTCCTTCACGAGTTACACCATTTTTATCCACACCGATATTTACCAGCTTCTTAATAAGCTCCACAGAACCTTTAAATAAAGCAGCGTAATGTAAAGCATTCCATTTCTTAATATCTGTATGTGAAGGGCAAATACCACTTTCGGCCAATAGCCAACTTTGTTCTGTTTTGTTGTTATGAATAGCTAACATCAGAGGACTTAAACAATCTGTAGTAAATGTTTTATTAACATCAGCACCATAATTAATTAACGTTTTCAAAATTATTGGAGTAGCTATTAGTGTGGCATAAACTAATGGTGTACCTAATGAATTGGATGTTGCTTCCAAGTCAATAAAAGGATGTTCACACAAGGACTTAACAATATTTAAGTTATTTGACTTAATGGCCATATGAAGTGCTGTAAAACCAGTATTAGTGAACACATTGACATTGATCGTTGGAAGTTTTAGCAAAAATTGTGCCAAATGAAGATTGCCTGTTTCAATTGATAGATGTAAGGGTGTATAACCTTTTTGTAGTTTATTCACTTTACTATATAATGACATATAGTCATCAACTTTACTATTAGAACACTTTTCATTATTAAAATGTATTTCAAATAATGAATCAAACGCAGGTGATTTTTTTTCACTATTTCGCTTTTGGGACATTTTGAAATACCTTTGTTTGGACTTCTTAGTACTGAAATTTGTTGATGCTACATTAAAATATTCATAGTTATGTACTGACATATTCACCTGCAATTCAAATATTATTTATTTGTAATGTACATATGTTAATAAACTTCACATTTTAACTTACTACAATTTTTTCTCTTCATAATACATTTTAAATGAGTAAAAGATAAAGATATTTTTATTAGGTAGTAATGATCAGATATAACAAAACTAACTGAGTAAGGACCAATATATTTTCTGTTATATATTTTGTAAAAAAGAAATTTTTCAACCAAATTCTTTTATTTAATTTTCTAAGCTAGTACTTAAATTTTATTTTCATTAATTGGCCATTATACATAAAATATACATATTTTTTAACTCTTTTCAAAATTTAAAAATTTAGTTGATTTAATCCTGCTGCTCACACTAAACTAAAGAATTACTACTTATTAAGCCTTTTTTTGCATTAAAGCCCCATTGTTGCCTCAGAAGAGGAATATCTGTATACTTATATTTATAATTAAATAGTTTGTACAATTCATTGTGTTTGGATCAATCACATTGCTCTAAAAAAAGGGTTCATAGAACCAATAATAAGTTATTATACGAATATACTCGAAAAATCTACTCATCCAATTAAAACGTCCCTTATTTAATGTTCTCAAATAAGTGGCATACATAATATACTTATTATACTTAAAATTGACCAAAATAACATATATTATACTAAAATAAATATAGATAATAAAATAATTATGCATACTAATATCATAAAATGGCGTTGTTTTATATTATACTTACTTTAGTATTGACTATACGAGACATTGTCATTAGTTATAATATTAAATGTAGATATATATATAATACGATATTTGAGTAATTTATAAACAAAAATACATTAATACATAACTATTTACCGAATTTTAAATTTCGTTTTCAATTAAGTGATTGTTAAACATAAAAATAACTATTGCGTAATAAATAAATTAAATAATGAATCCACTCGATGTCTTTTAGACTTGTAACGGTATCCCGATTCGACAGATTTTACTGTTTGAGTCAAGGCCGTTATTGTTATTATTTTTTTTTTATTAATCTTGGATTTTCCAATATTGATAATATGTTTGATATTTTTATATGCGTGTATAATAATAAACTAATGATAATGATACCGTAATAATAATACCTAATCAAAATATTTTTATTTATATATTTATTATATATAATTTATAAACGCCCAAAAGAGCTCAGTACAATGACCAATAATGAATATTTAAAAACAATTAGTTATTAGTACTACAAATTATAAATAGTAAGGAGTAAAATTAAATTTATATATATATGTATTGCAAAAACTACCTATCTATGATTAACTTTTAACACAGGTTTTAGCCAAGTTGAGCTACCATTATAATAAATTTAACTTTTTCAAACAAAAAAACTCAAAAGTAAAAAACATAATGAACATATCACAAAACAACGTTCGTTACAACATTGTTGATTATTTCAAAAATAACTAGACATGCTAGACAAAATGCCTGATTAAAATTCAATGTAAAATCATAAAATAAGATGAATTATAGTTGTATTTAAAAAAAATAGTTGAGTGTTGTTTTATAGTGGAATTTTTTATTTTTTTTAATTCTACTTAAACATATTATACGTTCATAGTTTCAAAAAAGATCGGGGGGGGGACCTATCTCCCCATATTATTCTATGCAATTACGCCACTGATAAAGACGGATAATTAATCCTAGACTATTTTTAGAGATTCTTGCACTATTTTGACACTAGAATAACTGCTACCCGGATAACAATATAACGAATTTTATTGAATTTTATATGCAGTAACAATATAAAGTATATAGTAATATAGCTCTATGAGACAATGCATTTTTTTTTATGGTTATTTTTATAAAATAATAAGAAAGAAACGTTATTCCTGATTAGTTATTGTATAATATTATTTGTTATTTTTAGTTTTGTAATTTATTATAATTCGTGATAACCATCTTTTAGAATATTCATAAAATAATATTGAGATTCATCATCAGTTTCTAAAGACAAGGCCTTGTCGTTGTAACCAAAGAGTTCATTATTTGGTTACATGGTAGTTAGGAAATCCGTGGATCTTTAATGCAGTGGTTTCCCTGTTGCCTTCTGCATCCTCCAGCCGTTGACCATGACCATCTGATGTGGTTCATCCGCCTTTTCAAGGTAGTTTCCTACCTTGAGGACAAGAGATTGCCCCACTCTACGCAGCTCATCCGCCCCTAAGGCCGTTGGCTTTGTAGAGGTGTCTCCTTATCCCGGGAGACTTTCGGTGTTCCTATTAATCGCTTTTTACGATAGGGGGAACAGCCCGTGGCCTTATTCTAACCCGAGAGCCACACAGGCATATTGAGATTCTATAATAATTATTTATAATAAGTCTTATTAAGAATATTTTAAAGTAAAATAACTGTTTTATAATAATAATAAAATGTTTTTTTTAAACAGATTTTTATTTAAGTTTAAATTTGGTAGTTATTTCCCGCTTAATATAATATACCGTGGTACTACTATCAATAATTATAAACCATGGCAAACAAAATGACGCTTGGTATCTCTATCTCTCTCTTTCTAGTTTTTACATTCTGTCGACTGTCTAGTGTCTAATCCAAATCAAACCAAACATTACAATTTACATTCAATTTTCAAGTCGGGTCAGTCTCAGTTTGTTATGTTTTGGATAACAAACTTTTGAAATAATTAAATTATTTCGTTGGCGAATTTTTTTATGTTAATTGTAATTTCTTTGTAATTTCAAATTATTTAAATCATTCTGTAAGTTTTATACCAATTTGAAAAATAATAATTTGTACCTATCTAACATGTTTTTGTGTACACACCTAAATATACATAAAAATACATTGTGATCATACATTTTTATATTTATTATGGAAGTCTTTTAATTAATATATTCAATTATGTTGAATTTCTGTTTTTGTAGTTAATGATGAGATTGGGAGATAGAAACCGCGATCGGAGTCGTAGCCCACTTCGATCAAGAAAAAGTGGGTGTAAAAAAGTGTTTGTATCTAACATACCATATGAATTTAAATGGAAAGAATTAAAAGAACTCTTCAGAAAAGAAGGTAATTAATTAATTTTAAGTAAAAACTTTGGTCTATATTTACTTAATCAGACCTCCCTTTTTTTTAACCAAATTTTGATGTTTTTACGCTGAATAGGTATGGTAATAGTTTAGAAGTTATAATAGCTTCTGGAATTTAAGAAATTTTCATTGCACAGTTAAGGTACACATTGCAGTGTACCTAAAAGGTTTATCTGCACGCATTTCTCTACCGCACTCCACCTTCCATCCTACTCTTTAACTTTTAGTTTAAAAAGTAATTGTCTAAATCTGGTTATCAACTAGTCAACATTTTCAGCAAATTATTCTTAACAAAATGGCTATCTTTAATTAAAAAAAAAAAAAATTTTAAAAAGTAAAATAGTTTTGCAAAAAAAAACTTGGTGCTTTTAGCGCAAATTAATATAAATTAATTTTAAAAACAAATTCTTAAAATTATTCACTATAACAAAAGTTATTTCATTTGTCAAATCATTGTGGCCCTGTATACATATTTTTATTTGACAGGTTTACTATAAAAAAAAAAATTACTCGTTTAAAAATTTATCGAATTATTGATACTATCGTGTGTTCGTAATATTTCTTATTCGTGCTTCTTCCCTCATAGTGGTATAGTATGAATTATACTATACTTTACTAATTAAAATAATAGTTATTATAATAGTGTTTATTGTTTTTACTATAAAAACACACAGTATGATTTGGTAATGTAGCTGACTCTGTATGCAGTTGGAGAGTTGTGACGGTCACTCAAAGGCCTAGGCGCAGGCCTCTAGAGGTAAAGGGATGCGCAGAGGTGACGAGTTTTCGTCAACTTAGCAGAATTATCTTAAACCGAATATCTTGTACCGATTATAATCTATTTCGTATAGTGTTTTATTTTTACATTTTCATCAAAATTATTTTACTTAGGGTACATAGCTTTATAGTGTAGAAATATTTAATGCTTCTAAGATTTTGAAGTGGCTTAAATAGTATTTCTTTTTTTTTGTCAAAATTTGGATTTTCGGATTTCCATCACTAATAAATATTTTGAAACTTAAGTGCGTAATTGATTTTATTTTTATAAATATTTAAGTTGGTGACGTTTCCTTTGTGGTGGTTTACACGGATGAAAAGGACAAATCTAGAGGCTGTGGTACAGTTGAATTTGACAGGGCAGATTCTGCTCAAAAGGCAATAGATAAAATGCATCGATTTGATATAAATGGAAGAAAACTAGTTGTTAAAGAGGTTATTTCTTAAAGCATAAATTTGATTTATTTAATAGTAAGACAAATGAATAAAAAAATGTTTTTAATATAGGATGATATTGAACGAGATAAAAGTGGAAGACCTTTACCAAACGGACCCCGAAGTGGTGTAGGTGGAGGCGGTGGTGGTGGAGGAACTAGTGGTGACAGCAGGGTTAATAACAGAATGTTGTCAGCACCTGATGATTTTCAATGGGATAATACATACGGACTATCACCACAATTTTTAGAATCGCTCAATATTCGTGGACCATTGATTAATCGAATATTTGTTGCAAATGTAAGTATTTATAAATACTTAAGTATCCTATATTTTATTCAAATTACTTAAAATTATCTAGTCAAAAGTTAAATTAAAAAAAAAAAGTAAAAATAAACCTATAAATTTAGTTAACCCTCCGGTGGACGCGCTTTTTTTATTATCATAAAAAAACAATGGGATAACAAGCACTCGGTGTTGCCACGCGCCCGCCGAATGGTTAAGTATTTTAATCGGGGCTCATCAGTTATTGCTTGACTTCTATTCTATTTCAACTCTTACCTATACATGACATGGATTTAGATAGCTCTATACAACATTTATTTTAAAGTATAACGTACATTAAATATACCAAAGATTAGTTTAGTAGTCTAAGCATTGAACTGGCAATTAGGAGGTTCATTACATTTATTTTTTTAAGTGTAATTTCATTAAAATAAATTGAAAAGTAATTCAGGCAGTAATTATTGGTTCAACGATTCTAATACTTTATTTAAGTTGCTTGAAGTATGTGTTTAGGTCTGATGTGGCCCCAAACCTATAATTTTATAATGATATATATATAATACTTTATCTGTATTACATAAAATAGGGTTGTATGGGTACTTTGGGGATTTTAAGTACAAATGACGTGTGATATCTTATTTTTTTCACTTCTTAAAATTCTTTTATCTACTCCAGACTATTTTTTATTATTTGCTGATTATAATAAATTACACTACATGAATTTGTTTAAACTTATTTTTAGCTTGACTTCAAGGTTGATGAAAAAAAATTAAAAGAAATATTTAAGTTAGCTGGGCGTGTATTAGAGGTTGAGATATTTTCTGATAAAGAAGGAAAAAGTAAAGGTTATGGAATAGTCGAATATAACCATCCAGTTGAAGCTGTTCAAGCAATTTGTATCCTATTTTATTACTTAAAATTAATAATTTATGCATAATTATAGTTAATATTTGTAAAAGTGTTTTATTATTTCTTAACTATTGAGTACAAAGCTATGTTTAACAATCAGTTTTTGTATGACCGACCAATGTCTATACGACTTGATCGTACAGACAAAGATCCATTGGCACGACTTCCAGAAGGCCTTAAGTCAATAGGAATGGGTTTGGGCGCTGGAGGAACACCATTACATGATGTTGAAAGTAAGAAATTAACAAGTTCATTTTTTTATTTTTACATGATAATTATTTAATAATAATTAAGAGTATACCTTACTTAATTAAAAAATGGTGATAATGTTATTCTTTAATAATAGAGTCTGTCATTAGCGCTGACGGTGACGAAATTGTTGCCAAAATACAAATACTCATAGAGTGTATTATTTTATGGTTAAGGATTTAAATATTAATTTCTTTAATAAGGTTATTATTTGTATTATGATGAACCTTACTAATATTTCGAGACTTATGTATCTAGATAAACCCAAGGTATTTAGGGTTGTCGCTGTGTTGTATTATTCTTTATTCCAGTTTATGTGCAGACTTCTTTCTGCTTCACGATTCTTCAGGTAAAATGTGTATACTTGCATTTTCGACGGGTTTGGTGTTAGTCAGTTCTTTTGGTTGTGTATTGTATTGTGTAAGATCTTTTAGGGTCTTTCTTCAAACATCTTGCCTTGCGCTGTTAATGCCAAGTCGTCTGCATATATGCTATGTCATGTTGCTGTTCCTATAGGTTGGTCGTTGGTGTAGACATTAAACAACATTGGTGCCAGTAGGCTCCCCTGAGAGAGACCATTTTTGTTTTCTCCATTTGCTCTTACCATTTAGTGACACGTAATACCGTTATCCTTCAGCAACATTTCTATAATTTCTGTTATAGTCATTTGTCTTTTCGTAGATTTTCTTTCAAAAGATAGCATGGTTTACCACATCTTATGCAGCAGTGAGATCGACAAAAACTGCTCTGGTTATTTCCCCTTTTTAAATCCGTCCTCTATATATTGCGTAATATTCAGTTCTTGGCTGGTGCATGATAGCCCACTCTGAAACTAGCTTGTTCATGGATAATTTGTCATTCTGTTCATGACATGTCTTTCAAACAGTTTGTATAGTTGGCAAATAAGTGAAATAGGCCAGTAACTTTTGCTTCTGCAGGATCTTTACCAGGTTTAAGCAATGCCATATAACCTATGCTTCTCTCCATTTTTTCGGTATTCTTCGCATTTTATAGTATGTCATCCACACCAGCCTTCTTCTATTAAGGTTTGTAATTACATTTTCTACTTTAGTATCAAATTTAGTCATTAATGTGTTCATTTCATCAGACAGGTTTCTCTTATCTAATCTTTTTTGATTCTTTAATTGTGTGTTTTGTCTTCCCATAATAGTAATAAATAATAATGTTACTTTTGTATTATAAATAATATTATATACAGCAGTAACATTCCCATGTTTTTGTTGATAAAATATTAATGGTTGCAGTAGTCTGCGAAAAGGTGAACCGCTGTTAAACAACCACCACCTATTCCTATACCATCAAGGCACTGCTGCAACCGTTTATACTATAGTCTTAAGCACATCATGCGCGGAATCTATCATATTTCTTCTATGCTTAATTCACGTTGGAAATCGAATCGCCTTGCCTGCTAGCGTTACATACTATATATACGTTGCATACCTTGTCTGCATACCATAAATGCTAGGTGACAACTTTAAGTACGATATTATAACAATAAAACATTATGTGACAAAGCAAAAACTGTAAAGATTTAATCAATATCTTTCATTGTATACCATTAAACCTAATGTGCTAATTATAAGTTAAAATTTAACATATTTATGTTTTTAGGAAATCTTCCATCAAATAACAATTCTCCAGTTCAACCTCAGTCTATAAATACACCAGTAAATACGTCTGCGTTGGCTATGCTTAGTGGTTTAAGTGCTGATAGACTTGGAATTGAAACACAAAATCGACGATCTTGTAAGTCTAAGGACGTTAATCAAATAAAGTTATAATACCCCCTTTTTTTTATAATATATAGTTGGTGGCGTGAACGGACTGGGTTCTTTGAGTGCCAATGATTTAGGTATTGGAACAGGATCCCTAGGGACACCTTTTGGACCTGCCCTCAACACAAGTGGAACTGGACCTTTAAATAGCTCTTCTTTACATCAAAGTGACTATATTATATCAGTTATATATTATATTAAAAATATAATTTAATTGACAAACTTTTAATGTATTGAAAGTAATATAATATTGAAAAATAAACAGTAGTATCAAACTATTTGATCTGGATCATATTTTTATAAGACAGTATTTTTAATACACTGCTGAGTTGTTCAATAAAAAAATTAGATGAATTTGATGAACATATTTTTATCAAAAAGTATTAATACAAACTTTAGTGTTCCTGAAGAGGATCTTGCAGATTTAATTATACACTTTCGTAAATTTAAAGTTTATTGTTAAATAAATATATTTACAATATTGAAACCTTCACAAAATGAGTCAATATTATTAAAAATGATTAAAATTTTATTTTTTACTTTTAATTATTAAAAACTCAAATGTTGGTATTAAGATTTATTAGTTCCAATATAAAATAAATTAACTTATTCCTTTTTTAATATGATAATTGTAATATTTTTGCTTAGGTGCTCTAGGAGGTCGTGATTATGATTCTCTATCAGTATCACTAGGTGTTAGAGGTTCAGGTGGTGGAGGTGGTTCTTATGGTGCAGATTTCCGGTCTGGATTAGGTGAAGTATTATTTTTGAAAAATATATTAAATTTAAAATTTGCATGTAATTAGGTAAATTGAAGGTTTTTATATTAAAGCCAAATATGTTTTATGTTTGCTTAATGAGTTTTATTTTTTCTGTTCTGCATCTGACCCTTAAAAGTACACAAAAACTAACTAAGTATAATGTGATTTTTTTTTTCCAGGAGGAGGAGACATTGGAATGGGGCCAAAAAAATCTGACACCATTATGGTAAAAAATTTACCACCAAATACAACATGGCAAAATTTAAAAGATTATTTCCGGGACTGTGGAGACATCAAATTTGCTGAAGTTGGCAGCAAAGGGTTTGGAATTATCCGGTTTGCTTCTGAGTGGGATGCTGAAAGAGCTATAAGTATCCTTTTATGAACAGAAAATTCAAGTATTTATTAGGAAATTAAATTTTACTATATAGCTCTGCTTTAGTTTTCAAATTATACAAATAATTAAATAATTCTTTATATAAATAAAAAAATGTTAAATCTATAATTACACTATAAAATTAGTACTAAATAATATACCCGGTTCGGCTTTAGCCATCTTCAGATTATATACAAATTTAAACCTTTTTTTTTTTTAAGTCTAATTTTACGTATCGCAGTATTAATTTTTTTATTTTTATGCAGCATAACCTGAAGATAGCTTAAACTCAAACTGGTAGTTACAATATGATAAATACTTTAGGCTAATAGTGATTTTATTTAATAATTTTACATTGAACTTTTATTTATATATTCAAAAAGAATAATTTTATAAATAAAAATAACCAAATAAAAGTAATAAATATGTATGGTGCTGGCACTATACATTTTAGAACTCTGTGCCAACCTTACATTGAAAGTCAACTAATATAAACACTAAAAGTTATGAGTACTGTTTCCAGTTTTGCTTATAACACTGCGATTTACAGGAATTCACTAAGTTTTTCTGTTAACACTAAATTGGTTTATGTACAATCCAAAACCCGTACAAAATCGTAGGTGATAACTTGTTATATCTGTGACTTGTGTCTAAAAGGGCCAATCTCACTTTTTGCAACTTTCGGAAAATGAGCTTTGAAGTTTTTATTTTTCATTAGGCTCTATGTTAATTTTTTTACCAAACTCTTCATGAGTAATTCATTTTTTGGCCTCAGAGTGATTTTTTCACAGTATATAAAGGATGTTTCAATTTTTGCATTTAGCGGACTAACTCGCGTTTATGCCCAAAATTGACATTGGCCCTTTTGACCCAAGCCATAGATATATGCAGTGTATAGTTAGTTAAGATTTATACACCATAACTTACAGACTACTGTTATTCTAAATAAGGAGTATGTATATTACTGTTGTGGAAATACAATAGTAATTTTAGTAGCATTTAGATGCTATCATAAAAAAGGCAGGAAATATAGTAGAAGGACACTAATAATTTGTTTTTATTTCTAATAACTGGCATTATCATAACCAACAGTTTAATGAAATTATTTTTTTAAATATTAGCTGTTGGCTGATTTGTTTACACATAGCTACTTGAAAATTAAATATCAATGTGCAATTTTCTTTTAAAAATAAAATACAATTTGATTAATATATTTGATTGCCCCACTCTAAATCTACCTTCAGTCCAATTTTCAAATCTTAAGTCCTAACACTAGGTTTGTAAACGTTTTCAAGGGAACCTTTTTTCTAGTAAAAAAGATTTATGATATTTTTTTAGTCAATCAATTTTTATCAATATTTTTATTAATTTTTTATAATATCCCTTGCAATATTGGAACTCAATTTTTGGCTCAATAAGGTATCTCTAAAGTACTATTTCTGATTTATGCACATGTTACATGAAAAAATCGGTTTAACAGTTTAAGAGATATCCTGGGTATAGACACAAACCGCAAACATCATTATTTTTACAATACTAATTCAACTCTTTATCAAATCTAAAAATTATTAAATGTTACCTTTTCTTTTTGTAAGTAAAAATATAGTGTCTTTTATTTTTCTTTAACAAACTTTTCAGCTTTAAAACATTTGTCAAGATTTGATGGACATATTATTGAAGTAATATACTTCTAACTGCTAGTGTAAGTAACTTTTATTAAACTTCTTCGAATAAAGATACCACCATCATAATAGTGCAAAACATATTGTTTGTAGAATTGGTTTATTCAATATTTATTGTAACGTAATTATTGTTCATCCGTCAGTAATAAGAGTTAGGTAAACAAAATACTACTCCAGCAGCTTAATGACTGTGTGTTTGTGTTTTAGACCTCAGTACTAATAGTATTTGTATAACTTGCTCGGAGATTATAAGACACTTATTTGTCATTTTATTCTTGGTCTATTTTTTATAATTTGATTTTATTGTGTTTGAGAGTCAATATATTTTTCCATTGCACCTTCATAACTTGAGTTAATAATTGAAATAGTTTGTAACATTTATCTTTTTCTCATAGTGTGTACTCTTTTTTTTTCTTTTTTTTAGTGGTGTGAGAATAAATTACATGATCAGATTTTTTAAATCATTGCATTGTTGTTTTATATTTTGAATTATGTTCAACTTTCCTCTACCTTCTATTCTCTATTTCCAACAATAATTGTAGTTTAATGTGGCTTATGACTATGTCTGTATATTGTTAATAGGAATTAACTATATGGTATTATTAATTGTGTTATTAAACTATCACAAGGCAAATCGAAAACAAATATTTTTGTTGATATTCTGTTAAATATTTATAGGGCTGGTTAAAATTGAGCAGTTGTTATATAAGTGTTGAAAGTCAATGTCTTCAATATCTGTACTTGGATTTCAAAGATTGTTCAATTTTTATTATTTTTTTTTTTTGTTAATTTTCTCGCAAATACAAGATGTTTACATATATGGCTGTTGCTTAAGGGTGTTTTACAATATATTTTTATGAAAATAGTTATGGAAATTCTGTAATGTATTTGATCCAAGCTCGAAAGCACATATCTAAACTTATTCTAGTATATTGTAAATATTTGTGTTGATAATAAGTAATTAATAGTTTATTATATGTATATATTTATATCTACATTTTTACTTTATAACCTTAAATATTATTATTTAATTAACATTCATTTAAAAAGAATGCTTTATAATTTATTTCTGTACTACATCTTTAAAACGTTTGAACCAGTAAAAAGTTACACAACGACTTAAGAATTATCTTCAAAAGCCAACTTAAAAGTCCTCTTAGAATTTTTACTGATTTCAATACATTATCCAATAAAATCGCGGTTTTGTACAATATGTTAACTTTGAATACGCACTGTAAATAACTAGTTTGAAATAATGACTGGTTTTATGGGCGCCCTTCAACATCACGAACAGATGATACCATTGAACTTGTTCGAGAAAAAAATTTAAAACAGTGGACGACTGACTGTCAGAGAAATAGCCAATAACCTTGGCTATCAATTGGTTCTTGTCATTCGATTCTAACAGATGAAATGGGTATGAAAAGATTATATGCAAAATAGGTGTCAAAGCTGTTAACAGTTAACGGACTGAATGGAACATCACATTGAAATGTGTTTGGAACCAAAAATATCTAGTTGCTAATGAACCAAATTTGATCACACCACCATATTCACTTGACTTGGCCCTTTGCGCCTTTTTTGTTTTCTAGACTAAATATTACACTCAAAGGTCAAAGATTTGAAGACGTTAATGAGATACTTAAAGAATCGTGGTTTTTGTACATGTTATTTTTTAATACGTTATACGCGCTGTAAATAACTAGTTTGAGATAATAACTTTGGTTGTATACTAGAGTACTGGACATTATGTTTATTTTATTTCTATATAATTAGATCTGTTATAACATTAATAGTTAATCGGTTTGAATTTTAGTCTGGGTATTTTTTGAACACACCTCTTATACAAACTTTTGTCTATAAGAGCTATTTTCTTGTGTTAAAAATATATATTCACGCTTATAATTTTTGAAATATGCACATGGTATTTTTAAAAACTTAACCTATACTTAATTTATTCAAGTATTATAAAATACCTGAAAATACACATAATTTACTTACAATAAAAAACATTTTTTTATTTATTTCAATAAACAAAAAAAACCTTTGATACATGTTCAATATTTTAACTCACAATATCCCTGTCTCATTAATATTCTATACTGGTATGTGGAACAATAGATTTCTTATTTATACGTCAGAACCCTTTATAACATATAATTATGAATTGTGTTTATATTGATTGAAAGTTTAACACTTAAAAAAAAAAAAAGTATTGGTTGAACCATTAAATTCTACTGGCATTGTTTTATCTTAAAATGTCGAGTTGCTTCAGTGCTTTTTTTAAAAAGCAGTCATGGAATTTACATTTCTTGGTAGAATTCAAGTATTTATTTGTGTTAGGCCTTCTCTCGCTGTCTTCTAATTGTATTTTTTTGTTAATTTGGAGTTTACAAAAAGTAAGTTTTTCTATTCGTAAGGAGTGTTTTACAAGTACATTATTTTTTAAGTTTATTTTCAGAGTTATTTAGTTGAAGACTTATTAACAACTATCAAAGCAGTTTTAACAGCTGTCAGTTTGATGTTGTATTTTTTGTCTTGTGCCTACAACAGACACTCAATACATTCATGTTTTGGAAAATGTTCGGAAGTTTTGTCCTACAACAAAAACGCCTATTATTTGAAAATGTCATCTGTGTGGATCATAACTGCTATGCATATGTTTTGGTTGGTTGTGTTTTTTATATGGTCAATCACGACTCGAGGGCCTGTTCTTAATTTATTACTGCAGCTTCAAGACTTTATTTGCCTTGTCTTCGAAATGCAATTTTACGTAATATTGTTGCTGATAAAATCTTCACTTGAAATGATCATTCATAAGATATCTAACTTTTGTCGTATGATCAAGGTATGATTTTATGTATCAAATCAAAATTTTACAGTTTTTATATTAATTGCTAATTTAGTAATAACAATAATTGACATTATGTCATCAAAATAAGGTAAAAATGTGCAGAGTAATATTTTTACAAATAATACCAATTGTAAAAAATGTGAGTTTTTCAAACATTAAAATTAATTATACATTCTTATGGCTGATATAATTTCTAAGTTTGTTTTGAATTTAGCAAAAACGACATCATTTCTCATAGATATATAATTGATCGATATCACTTTCTTTTTAGCTACAATCGACTATTTGAATTATTGCTTAAGGGACATCAAATTGGTGGAACTATCAACGCGGGAAAATAACATTTTTTGAAAATATATTTATACTGGACAAAACGCCAAGTACGAACCAACCGCTATTTTATTTGAAAATTACACAGCATTTTTTTTACAATAAAAATAATGTTCTCAAATTTTTTAAGCTTTTTTTTCGATTATTTTGGTCATTGTTGTAAAAAGTATTTTTAGTTTCCTCTTGCCACTTTTTTTTATCATTGATTTATAGTATCTATTTATAGAAAAATTATCAAATTTCGGACAACACGAATAAACCAACTTTATAGATTACAAACTCAATTTTAATGACTTTCTGTTACGCGAAAAAAAAATTAACTTTTTCAGAAAGCTGAGATTATTTTACATAGGTAAGCAACTAATTTTTTTTATGGCCGAAGATACTATAAAAAAAATAATTAAAATGAACAGTAAAGAAAAAAACTATAAATACTTTATACGACAATGGATAAAATAATCCAAAAAAAATTGTGAATATTCTTTTCATTGTAACACATACGGGTAAGTTTAAAAAGTAGTGGGGGCGGGGGGGTATTCCAAACGTTCTTTCGGATTTGGCGTTTTGACCCATGCAATGGTATTCTTTTATAATATTGTACTATTTTACTACTGTGACCGGGGCTTAATAAATTGTCTATAATGTACATTTATTATAAGACTGGCCAATACCAATGCTCCTTTGTGAATTACTCCTATGATTGTTATATTTTTAATAAATTTACGTATTTTTGCTTGGTAGGATAAATTTACTTTAAATATCTTTATCCTCATATTCATATATCAGACTTATTTTCTGACATTTTTAATATTCTTGTATAGAGAATCGGAATTTGCTAATGTGGCAAATGTTAATACATTTTTTGAATGAAAAGCTTTCAAATTAAGTTAAAAGTGATTGATTGTATAATTTTTAGATCTACTTCATTTATTTACACTTACAATTTTCTACACTATTTTTTACCATATCCCTAAGTCTGTTTTGTTAATGATATTAGTTGTTTTTTTTGTTTTAATTATCTTTTTAAAAATCAAAATTAATAGATTTATTATGTTATACGCACATTCTATAAAAATATTACAGTCGCATAATATGGGCAACTTTTTTTATTGATTATGTCAGATTTTTTCACAAGCCATTAATTTTTTTAGCAAAAAACACTATACATTTTATTCATTTGCTAAATGACGGTATTTTTAATGTAACTAGTGAATTACCATATGTTAATTTTTTGAATGGGGAAATTTAATCCTTAGCGTATTTTTAAACCTTATTTAAATCTAACACCTATGTATAGATTATAATAATTATTATTTGTGTACATTATTTATGTAACGTTATGCAGGAAAACAAAATTGGTACAAAATATCTTTTGCCCAACTACTTTGCTAATTACTTAGAGGATGCCAGACTCTTGCATATGGAAATATTTGATATTATGATTAAAGCCAACCAAATTTATGGACTTCATTCTTTTGTCATTATTATTAAATCAAGAATTTTGTTTACAATGAATGTATACTTCTATATAACAAGTTCTAACTCAATGGAACTCATGGAGAGTATAGCAGCATTTCAGCGAATTGCATTGCTGTGTTATTGCAGTGAACTTATAAAAAGAAATGTAAGATACATTTTTATACATAATTATATAATAAAAAGTAAATACAAAAATAAATTTCAGGAAAAAAAAATCAAAAGTGGAATAAATGAAATGGACGTCTATTTTTCACACGGAAAGTATTATAATCATCAGGTAATAGAAGAGTACCTAGGAAGAAAACGCATTTTGTATTATTAATTTTTAGAAATTTAGTCAGTATTACTAAAGAAATATGTATGAAAACTAAAATAATAGTTGAAAAACAATTAAAATTTTTAAACAAACTGGCCTTGTTGACCATTAGCTATATAAGCTATATTTTAGTCTCCCTTTTTCTAAAACCTTTTTTTACTAACTTAATCTATAAGAATTCTGTTATAGACCGATTTGTTTTTGAGCCATTTTTCTCCATATTCTGCTTTCTTGCTTTAATTAACTCCTAACACTCTCATCCACTATAACTACATCATCAGCGAACAATAGGCGCTATGATAAATTTTTCTGGATGTCCTTACTAATTACAAAATTCATCTATTGCTAACGATAACAAGTATGGGTTTAACGCCGACACTTACTAAACACTTATTCTAATTTCTAACTGTAAATTCCTCCACACTCATAACACTAGTTTTCACTTCGTCATACATATTCTTTATTATTGAAAAAAAAAATTAATAAATGTATAATATATTCAATAAATTATATTCATATTATTAATAATTTTAGTACAACATTAAATAGTATTACTATTTACTAGTTAGGGGTATAAGAATAAATAATCTTAATTCAATATTTTCCGATAAACTTTGAGTCATATTTAATATCAATTAAATATCCACACATAATGACAATTGTCTTACAATTAATTTAGACGCGTAGCTAAAACGGAGCCTAGTGAGAAGTGGACCGTTCCTATGTGATATTATTCTTGCCAAATATCATAAATTATTAAAAAAAGGTAGAAAATTATTTTTTCATGTATGGGGGTTTTTGGTTTTTAAATATATAATTTGTATGTTTAGTCAAAACAAAGACTTTCAAATTCTGGCTTTCTCTCAAAACGATATATTTAAATTTGTTTTCAAAAATAAGTTAGATTGAGTGCACATTAACTGAAAGGACAAAAGGGTTTTGTTTTACTTTTTATGTGTTGTACGATATTTTATAGGTAACACATAATATGCATAATTAATAATTTCGCTAAAAAAAAAGCCCCATAACTAAACGCAATATTAAGGGTGGTAAGTTCTAACCTAGGTATTCATTTATGGATTTTATTCGTTTACTACTTTATGAAAATATTCTGGATTCGAATCTGAATTATAAAATAATTATAATGAGAACTGATGTTATATATGAATCAGTTTAAATTATACAGCCTATATATACTGTTATTTTTATCTATATATTTATAATCACAACATAATTTATTTATTTTCTATGGATTTTAACTTAATTTGCCATTTGGTTTTTCATTTAATCATGGGCTATCACTTGCGTGTAGGTTTAATTGTGTATTATATTTTAGAGGCTTTTGTTCAATTATCAAGTGGCTAAATTGAACTTTGATTTGGAAGCTTGTGAAATGTTTCCTATTAATTTAGAAACATTTTTATCTGTAAGTATACTTATATATTTTTACAACCTTCCCATCTTAGCATCAATACGAAGATGATATTTTTAGTATACATGGTATTTAAAATTATATTCCAGGTTAGTAGCGAGATAAATCGTTTTATTGAACTTTGTAGGTACATTTTATTGTTGCTATTTTGATTAATTTAAAATTTAACATAATCGCTCTACCCTTTAGGTTATAAATAAATATTTAATTTATTAATTTTAATTAAAAAAATTACATCATTTATTGAACTCGTAAACCATTAATATCGATATGTTACTTAAAATGTCCAAATTATAAGTTTTTTCAAAATTAGAAAATCAAATTTTTATACATATTCTTTGGTAGTTAAGGATAGTATTATGAACACTATTATATCCCCTATTTGTTAGATTAGGCAATCTTTTCGAAATTTGAATTTAAAGTAAAAAAATGATAGGTATGTTTTTATTAGTATAATCATGGCGATATAAGATTATCAGACCCTTACAATGCTCTTTTAACTTTTCTTCTATACTAAACAAAGCTTCATAGTATGGTAGTCTTAGAGCAAAAATATCTAGCTATTATTAAATCGAAGAAGATAACATTTTTATTAAAAATTCTTATACTTTTTTTAATATATTCATTATTTAGGTAACTTGATGCTGAAAAAGTTTTTTTTTCACATTTAACAGTGAAACATACTTCTAAGAAATATAAAAAAAAAAAATTATATTATTGTTTCTAAAAAATTGTTCCGTTTCGTATACATTATTAACACTACTCTATAGTAAAACGTATTCTGCGTACTCAGAATTTTACGCTACAAAATTGGAGATTCGATGGGTCGAGAAATATTATGGTAAGGTTATATTTGCAACTCAAATGACTTAGATAGCATCTTAGTACCCATCATTAAGTATCTACTCTTAAAACTTACAAAAAGGAATCTGACAAAACTTGAAACAGTAGATAACAAAAGAAATGTTTCCTTTCACGGGAGTTAATTGATTAAAGTAGGTACCTTTTGGTTTTATATGGCGAATCGTAAGAGGTATTGTCTGTTAAAAATTAAAAGGTATGTTTTATGTTATGAATCTTTAAATAAACTAAAACAATAGCTAATAGGTTGGATTATCATTTCTTAAATTTGGAAGTATTTTTTGATTAAAACGAATATATTAAATTAAGATAATTTCATATCTGATATCATTAATTTCAAAAACATTTTACTATGACTAATGTAAATTAAATTATATTAATAAAAAACCTAATAAATAGTAAACCCTTAGTTAATTGGGTGAACTACAGTTGTAGACCAGTCACATTGACCTGAGGGTAAGAAATGTACGACAGTTGCACTTTGTTAAAGCGTGACCGAAAATTACGCGACTAACAAAAGGTTAAAAGTAGTATGGACTTTTTTTAAGGGGCCTCTACACTAGCTTTTATTTTGATATATATATCTACGAGTATGTATATTTTTATATTTATAACCCATGTAGGATCTATTTTTGTACAAAAACATGTTTTTACTTAAAACCTACTGTTCCTAAGAATACTCTGATTTAAGTTTAGAAAAAATATTTGAATTGTTCAAAACATTTTCAACGTATCAATTGTGGTATAATTTGAAAAATTATTTTTTGTTAATTAATTATTTCAGTTTAAAAAATTTTTAAATTGCAGTTTTTTACATTGGAATAATTAATTAGTGTAACGGCCCTAGTGATTGGCACTACCCCAATTTTTGGCAATATTTTTTTTTATATGATATAAAATATCAAGATATTTTATACCATTAAAATACATTTTTTGTACAAAATGTATTGAAAAAAAATGTAAAATATGTAAAAAAATTCTGTAAAATTGCCAAAGACTGGATTATATAGTGCCAATCACTGGTGCCGTTACCCTAACTAAAAATAATTTTAAAATTGTGCCACGATCGATGCCTGAAAAATGTTCTGAAGAATTTAAATATTTTTTTCAACTTAATTCGAAGTATATTCTTAGGAACAGTGCGTAAAATGAGTGGTTTTCAACCAAAAATACGCAGGTGTAGAGGTCCCTTTACTGAAATAATATAGTCGTATGTACATAAAAATACCTGTTTTTTAGTTTCAATAAGTTAAAGCATAAAGACTAAAGCACAATTATTTAATATCATAACTTAATGTTGTTCTGTCATCCTTAGGGCTTAGACGATTGTGCAAAGTTTCAATTGGATCTTGACAACATAGCTATTTGTTGTATTATCCTAAATTTACAATAACCATTATATAAAATAGTATTTTTTAATTAAAATGCGCGTAGTTGTAAATGAATTCGTCTAATGTTGTTTTCATGGCTAAATTATTTTTATATATTTTTCAGATTTTAATTACTACTGCAAGTTATTTATTATTATTTAGTCAACTTAATTTAACTTTATAATTTAATGAATTGTTTATTTTTATGAAAAATTGTTCAAAGAATAATAAAACTTCAAGTACAATTTTTAGTTACTATTGTAAACCTGTTTTTGGATATTATATAATAAATATGCATAATAAACATGGGTACATGATGTTTTTCTTTGTTAGTTAACCAGTGGCGTAGATACGATTTTTTTTTTTGGGGGGAGGGTTAAAGTAGTGTTGGTGTTATTGAACACCGTTATCGCTGTTTTTGACGATTTTGTAATTGATTTTAGAAGTGTAAACACTCGGATAATTTCTATAATTATATTATATATGTAATTTATATTTGTATTATTTACCTATTGTCTTGCCTTAACCAATAAAAAAATGTATAATACAGGTACATGCGAGTCTATTTATACTATATAAGAGCGGTAATGTGTAAAAGACAAAACGCATTACTCTCAATAAGTTATGCTCCTATTAAAATAAAAATACCTTATTATAAAAAGGATTTTGGCTTCTATACGAAGAAAAAAAAATGGAACCAAAATTGCACCTCTGTAGTTAATTATTTACCTATGGCGGTGAGTAGTCGTTTTGCATTTAAATAACATTTGGTTTTCACTTTTCGTGACTGTTGATTTGTACGAGCGTGAAAAAAATCTAAAACTTATGAGAAACATTTGAGGAACACTTGGACTTTAAATAACATTCTAATTTATTATACAACAAATAGTCGTTTTAAAATAATATACATATAAGTGTAGAACTCGCATGCTTACTAGATGCAAGCTAATTCAAGTTTGATTCCCTCATGATGCATTTTATTTAAAAATGATCAGTGATTTTTAAGTTTTGAATCCGCATTATACATGGGCCTTATGTAATAAGGCCTTACGTAAGTAATTATACCAAATTAAACTACAAATAAATAAAAATATGTTTTTTCATTATTATTAGTAGGTACTAATTGTTTTTGGAAAAATCTGTATATATTATTATATCAATATTATAAGGTTATAATTCCTACCAAGATGGCGGAAAGTGGCTGCTTCAATCTTCTCTATTGGTGGCATGAACAGTTAGCAATCTAGTTTATTATATATATTGATGTGGAATATGGACTAATCTAATTGATAACAAATAATCAAAGTTACTATATCATAAATGATAATAAAAAATGTGTTTTCTCACTTATTGATATTGATGTAAAATCATTAGAATTATACTTTGTGTCCGTTAAAATTAATAACACAAAAAATTTTAATTGTAGGTTGTATCTACTTTTCACCAAATTTTCCATTTTCTCTGTATAGTAAATATTTTTCTATTTTAGATAATCTAATTTCTTCTCCCCCAAATGATGATTTTCTACTTTTCGGTGATTTTAAATGGCCAAATTTAAATAAAGCATCATTATAAATGCTAACTTAAACCTATCCTCTCCTGAATCTATTTTTTTTTGAAAATAGCATTACGTAATCTATTTTAAATAAATACAATCTTCAATAGCTATGGTTCAATACTTGATCTTATATTATCCGATATCTTATATTATCCAATTCTAATTCTCATTTTATATCTTTAAATAAGGATGCTATAGTTCCTGTAGATAATTATCATCCTTCTATTAATGTCAGTTTTACACACCCTCTCCCCTATCTTTTTCCGAAAAATCCTATGACTAGTATAAGGGTGATTATAATAATATTTTATCTTTCCTAGGTTCAATTAACTGGATCGAATTTTTCAAAATTACTAATAATATTACAATCATTGCTAATGAATTTTATTCGTTCCTATTCTATACTATTAACACTTTATACCTAAATAAAAAATACTTCCAATTTAAATTTCCTTGTTGGTTTTCTAAAATCTTAATAAATCTAATTAAATTACCAAAATTCTATCTTGAAGTTGTCAAACTTGTACGATGATTATTTAAAATTGTCTGCCACGCGTGATTTTGGTGTGAAATAAACAAGTCTAGACCGTAGAAAAACTAATTTTTCAAAAAAACTTTATTATTCACTTTAAAAATTAAATCAAAGTTAAAAAAAATATATTTTTAAATGTTAAATTTTATTTTTGGCAATAAAAAAAAAATAATAATAAAATTGTAAACATATAATATGCAGATTATAGTTTTCTACAAAATATTAGTTTTTACATTTTTTCAGTATTGAAACTTTTTGAGTTATGATAAGAAAATCTAAATACTTTTGCTGAATATTGGTTTTTTGACTTGGGTTGGGGGAAATATTTTAAAATTTTTTTTTCGGGGGTTGGCGAGGGGACCTAGCCGAGAAAAAATGTAACGCGTTTTGAAAACTATATGTGGTACGGTCGAGCGTGAGTGGTACCGGGTTCAAATCCGGCTCCCTCTCAACACTTTTTGGATTTTTTTCAACTTTTATGGTAATTTATATTGCAAGAAGTCTAAAAACTTATAAAATATTTATATTTTATTACTACAGAATACATTTTTACCCTTAAAAGTACTTGATAACCTACATTGCATTTGGTTTTTCGTCATTTATTATACTTCTCGTACTGATGATTGAATAACAATTTTGTTTGTATAATTGCACTATTTCAACAAACTGATGTTGTTTATACTGATTTTGGGAAAGCCTTTGATAGAGTAAACCACGCTTAATTAATCAATAAATTACAGATAATTGGCTTTGCCTATCCCCTGATATCATAGTTTAACTCTATCCTAGGTCATCGAACCCAATTTGTTAAATATAAAAATGTTATATCAACACCTATTTAATTTATTTATAAAGATGCCGTGTCCTCCATTACACACTCCAACATTCTATTATTTGCTGACGATGCAAAAATGTACAAATCTATTACTTTCCTTGATGATATTAAACTCCTTGAAAGTGATTTAGCTGCATTTAGCGAACGATGCATTTCAAATGGCCTTTCATTGAATATCGACACATGTCAAATTGTAACTTACTCTAAAAAGCACAATCCCTCACATTTTAATTATCTATGTGACATTAACTTACATCGTTCCGCCTTGATTAAAGATTTAGGGATTTTATTTCATTCTAAACTATTTTTCAATGCCCATGTATCAGCGATAAAAAATAATGCCTTAGTTGTATTTGGTATGATAAGAAGAAACTGTTCCGATTTTCAAATGTCTATATACCTCACTAGTCCGTTCCTTATTAGAATACGCTCCATCAATTTGGGACCACAACAATGCAGGACTTAATGATCAACTTGAAAAAGTACAAAATAAATTCCTTAGATTTATGTCATAAATGTAATATTCCAAGAACTCCTCACACTGGTTACGAAAACATTTTAAAATTGTGTTAAACTTAAAAACTTTAAAAATACATAGAAATGTATCATACATCACCTTTCTCTCCAAATTGCTGAATAACGAGATTGATGATTCATTTTTATTAAGTCAATTAAATTTAAAAGTTAATAACCACTACTTTCGCAACAATAATTTATTTTATATTCTTCATTCTTCTAAAAAGCATACGTCAAACAACCCAATTAATATTTTAATGTCTTCGGGAAATAGTAAATTATTTAAACAAACATTGTATGTATTATTATTGTTATATCTTATTATTTTAAATTATATTATATTATTGTTATTTATACAAATATATTGTGAATTGGACATTTGTCCGTATTAATAAATAAATTAATTAATATAATATCATCAATCTATCACTTTTATTTTATATTAATTTATAAATAATATACTGTACATACAAATTTACCATTTACACACAACTAAATTGTTGTGTAATTTTTCTTTAAATAAACTCTATTAAACATTTTTGTTTTAAATTAGTCTTTAAATTCACCAATAAAGATCATAAATTATATAAACATATGTCATATTAATTAAAATAACACCATAAGAAATGTTTTTGAAACTTTCCATAACAAAATTATAAAAATAAAAATCCCAATAACAAACATTAACCTCATTAATAAAACTTCAGTAGGAATTTTAACTTCTTTTACTAATTTGTTATTTAATAAATAAACCATTTTACTTTCTTTTAACAGCCTAAGTTTTGTTTCATCATCCAGTTTATCAGCCAATTCATTCATCGATTTTTTAAGTTCACATTTTGCTTCCTTTACATTAATATCAAAGTAAAATGCTTCTGATCCCTTTCCATCTGAAAAAGCCATTCTTTGTTTTGCCATTAACACTTGACCGCCAGACAATATTCCCATGTACATGTGGTAAATAAAAGGTGACAATAATGTGTGACTTTCTTTTTCTAACTGCTGCAAGTAGTTTAAATATTCTTCTGTAGCTTTAGTTTTTGTTAATGCTTTTAGCCATTTTTCACCTAAATAGTGGCGCAAACTGCTTTCAAATCGTTCAGTACGGAATAACCCATTAATTTTGGAAAATGTATGAAGATTGTGATTGTCTTCTTTTTTCATTGCAATTTCTAGGTAGCGATATACAACATAAAATCGACGTAATCCTTCCACCCATACCTTGCTATCTGTCATGCCTAAAAATTAAAAACATGACTACCATTTATATTTTAATACTTATTTTTAAAAAATAAATACACACATTATAAATGAATAAAGGTAAGGAACTATAAACTTAATACAATTTAGTGTTTTTATTTATAACGATGTGACAAACATAATTTTCAAAGTAGAATACATCTAATGTTTCAATTAACAAATTGGCCATTGAATACTAAAAAAATGAGTTAGATATTAATTTGTAATATACAAAGGACACAACAAACTACAGAAATGTATGATATCTCATTTTAAAGGGAACGCTGAATGTCTTTCATATCAATTGACACGTGTCATTTCCCAATAATCGATATTCTCAGTGGATGCTATGGCGCTACAAATTTTTACAAATAAATTGTGATTAGTTTAGACTTAAAAAGCTCTAGAAGATGAATGAAATAAAATCTAAAAACTAAGATTTTGGTGATGTTTTAAAGTCGATAAAATTATCAACAATTGCAGATGTTTAAATATTTATTATAAATAATTATTTTCTTTATCAAACAGCTCTAATGATGTGAAACGTAATTTTTTTTGTATACTATCTTATAGAATTTTTTACACCGATTACGAATCTGAATCTATAATAATATATCCTTAATCTATTTATATATACATGAATTTAAGTGATACAAGTAATGCAAGAAAATAATTATTTACCTATTGTCAATTTTGCATTAATTAAAGCATCACTAATGCGGTGTTCTTTTCTTGTTTCCCTCCTCATCCGTTCAGTAAAATTAACTTCTACAGAGTATGACTTATTTTTGTTGCAACTATTCTCTTCAACATTTGTTAAGGGCACCGACATGATTTTTCAATTATTTTTTTAAATTTTGGTAGCTAGGAAATAAAAAATTTACATAATTTATAATTTATTTGTGAGTAACTGACCATAATACGCATTGTATTATCAGTAATTCGATTAAAAAAAAAATCTTATTATCAGCTGTTATCATTGATGCATGGAATTTAAAAACGTGGGTTACCCCCTTTATAGCGGGCTTTTTAAATTCACCTTGGGGGCTATCTATCATAAAATAGTGAAAATAATTGTCACGTGCGCTACAAAGCGCTGCATAAATTATCATTTAAATATTTGATTGCTTCGCTAAAACTGCTATCTATTATTAATAATAACTATTAAAATAAATGCAATCGTTCTTGGATAGCGTATTCTACCACATTATAGATTCAAGGTTTCATTTATCCGTTTCAATTAGATACTTATAGATATTCTATTTTAAAATTATCATGGGGACTGAGGAGTGTAAATGTTGTTTGATGTTTTTTTGAACTTTGTCTTCAGAAATTGTGTAAATTAACACGTCATAGCCCATAACGATACACTTTATAGTTAATTTTGTCCGATTGTAAAAGAAACGGATTCTTAAAATTCGAAAAACTGAAGCCATAATTCCGGATGCGTTTTCTACCCCCTCTGGATAAAGGATAATTAAATGCACGTTCAATGGCGTTTTAACTTCTGTTCTCGGCAATTTATACCAGGAAAAGGTTTTATCGGATTTTATTTTAATGGAAACGTATCGACTATCGTCACATACAAAACCAATAAACAAATGGAGTTTAATTAATTTGCCGTGGCTTTGGGTGCGGGAAATTAAGACTACCGTGAACCGTCGAATAATTATTTAGTCAAAACTGTGTCCTTAAAAACTTCTTCATCAGTAATTCCTTCTTGATCGCCTGCGCAAATTAACACGAATCATGTCAGCGCCCCATAGGTCATAACGAGCCCATACCTGGCCGGACAAATTCCCGCAGGCCGCGTCCTACGGTCAACATGAGGAGGAAATAAGGGAAGTCCTCCTTGTTATATATATATATATTGCTATATATATATATATATTATATATATATATATTGCTATATATATATAGTAGCTACCCCATCTCAAACCGAGTTAAAAAAAAAAACTGCAATGATAACTGATAAAGCTGTATCGGGGAAACTCATACAAATCTACAACACCGCCTACGGGCTTATATACATTTTATAGACACCGAACCTAGTCACAAAGTAAATTAATTTAATAGAGATCACAATCATAATATTATAATTTATAAGCTATTAAAAACAGGCACTTGCTAACTTTAGCGGGGGCCTACATTTTGTTTAACCAAATGTGAAATTACTTATGTATGAGTCATAAATAATAAGAACAGTATAGTTATTTTAATCATAAGTTTAACTATAATAGTATTATAATTAATAGTATACTATTCTGAGTATTCTGTTCCAAAAGAGAATAATATACTATTATAGCGCAGAACTATAACGCATTCGGCGTTACTATCGGCAGCTCCGGGTAAAATAAATATACGTTGCTAGCTTCAAACTGACCTTCATTTTATTGATTATTTAGTTGATACTCGATAAAGGCGTTTTGATAAGAAAGTCCATAATAATATAACATACTACATTATAATAGTATTATTGAAATGATATCAAATAGGGTAGTACAAAATAGTATGTGTACTTTAAAGCTTACTAACTGCATTGTAGTTAAGTACAATACATGTTTATATCTAATGTCAGTATTGTCCTAGGTACCATTACAATATTTTTGATTTCATAATAGCAGAATATGCGCTGTTTGGCTTCAAGAAAATACAAATTATATTGTAAAAGCAAAATGTAAATTTAACATAAAAGCCTCTAATCTTAAGGATCAGTACACACTACAGGTATGACTTTTTTATAACCACTTATCTACTTATATTAATTATCTACTATTTTGTTTTAATACTAAGTATTTGTATTTGTTCAAGTTCTCTATTAGTATAAAAACATACAAACTTTGATTATTACTTATTCCAATCCCATATTCAGAGTTGGTAAAAAAATTCAGTGGGTATATTTAGTTTTGCGTTTAAAAAATGTTAGGTATTTGCCCAAAAATGTTTTATTGGATATTATGTGTATTTACAAAAAATCTTTACTAGGTTTAAAATATAACCATTTTGGTAACTGCTTACATTCGTAGTGTGAAATAGGGGCAAAGTGTGGTCAAGTAGAAAATAGTAGTAGTAGTCACATATAATTCCCAGCTCAACTTTCAGTTGCTAGTTTTTTTTTTTTTGGAGCATACAATGTACTTCATAAATATATTTCACCTACTCACAACAAAGTATATGTAAATTATTATCTAATATAAGAAATCAATATCAATATTTAAATATTTATATTCATTCAAAGTATTTAATTATTGAAAAAATGAACGTGATGACCGCTGTATAGCTGTTGGCCGCCTAAAATATGTGGCGATTAATCACTGAAATTTATGCCACCGGTTGCAGCAACTTATTATTTTTAGGAGGCCATACAACCGCTGGCGGCCGTGTATTATATCCCATTGTATTGTAATTTGATATCATTTTGATGGCGCTGTTGTAAAGATTTATACAACTGTACATAGGGGAGAAAAAAAATGTTGACTAAAACTATATGATAGTTATATAGCTGCTATATGATTATTGTTTCCCGTTATTAATGTCCAAATAATAAAAAATATTTGGGCTTTGGAACGGTATTTTTAGACCTCTTTTCAGATGATAACACTTTGTATGTTTCATGAAGTCAACCAAATATTATTGACAGCAGTGTAATAATAAACAACAGTACAGCTGGCTCTGGCTGTACAGTGGTCAATGTATTAAAATTATTATCTTTAGATTGTCAAATGTACAAACTGTGTGTTAAATGCAGTTTGCTTACTTTTATTATATTTTATTTAATAATTAAAATGCTGTTAACTTGGTAATTTTGGTTTTACTTAGGAAAATGAATATCATGCGAAAACTGCGTGGTAGCAATACTGCTCCTTCTGCAAGTAGTGATAATACTCATCCATTTGAAGATGATTCTAGTCAACATACAGCACTTGGTTTAATGCATTTAAAGAAACTATTTACAGATTATATTCATACATCACACATGCTTACTGATAAAGAACGTAATACTAAATTATATACTATGATTCCTTTATTTTGCAAGGTGAGTATACTAAATTGAAAATTACATTTTTTTTTTTATATATTATTTATTACATTTTTGTAGGTGTTTGGTAGAAGTCCTTGTGCAGAAATTATTGAAAAGTTTTGTGATATTAACAGTTGGTGTTCAGAAACATCTGCCCTAATGGTTGCAGAAATTCGCCATCGTGCATCAAATCAGTCAACAGAGACTGCTAGTAAAGCTATTGCAAGCTTTTTAGAAATTGAAAATTGTGAAGAATCTAGTAATGGATGGATGCTTTTATCTACATTAAATTTATTAGCAGCTGCTAACCAGCCGTCTATTATTAAAGTATCTATTGTTTTTTCTACAATATATTTTAGAGAATATATTTTAAAAAATTATTAAAATTTGAATGTAGTATTATATTTACACACCTTGCAGTTACTTCCATTTGATTATCTTGACTGGTTCACCAACGTTTTGGAACATTTGCATGTTCCATCTTCAGGGCTCTTGTTCAATGTAGCTTGTACCACGTTCTCTCGTTGACCGTTCAGTCTAAGATAATCAAATGAGAGTAACCGTTAGGTGAGTAAATAGTATAAATATTTATTTTAGTTACTTATCTCAATATAACTTTTTAGATAATGGTATCAGCTTCTCTGCCATCAACATTAGTCAAATGTTTGTATCTATTTTTTGATTTACCACCTCTTGAAAATGAAGATCAAAAAACTGAACAAAGTGATTTTACTCCAAAAGAACGGCGAATTTTGTTACAAAAAATATTTGTTCAAATATTGGTTAGATTATGTAGTAATCCTTTGCCAGCTGAAGAACTCGCAGCTAAAGATGATTTATCGTTATTATTTTCTGCTATTACAAGCTCTTGTCCAACTTATAACGCAACCTGGAGAAAGTCATCAGCTGAAGTTTTAATTACTATTTCACAACATGGACTTACACCTAAAGTGATACAATATATTCATGGTTTGTTTTGAAATATATTAATATAATTTAAATTTACATCGTCTTACATATTTAATTAATTATATTTTTAAAATACATTTCTCATTAGGTAAAAATTGTATTGAATTGTGTGTGGATAATTTAAGACAGAGTTCGGATTTGAGTCCATTAGAAATTGTTGATATGTTTGTAACTGTTTCTTATTTTTTAAAAGACTCATCTGATGTGGCTCAAGTGTTACTTGATGATTTCAACACAGCAAATGGTTATTCTTTTTTATCTGATTTTCTTTTAAGGTAATATATACACATATTTTAACTCATAAATATTTATAATAATTTAAACTGTTGTTAGTTAAAGTAGATTTTATATCTTTATTATAAACACAGCCGTAAATTTGAATAAATCTGATTGTTAGTAAATTATCAATACTTTAAATTTAACTATGTTTTCAAACCCAGCAACGGAAAAAATTTTAACTGCCTGGTTTTAAATTTCCAACTTTCATCTTGACTAGCTATTTTACTCTTTTTCTTCATGTTTATTATCTACTTCTCCTTATAAAATGAAAATGAGGCTTAAATAGTAACCCTTTCATTTTTTTTTTAATAAAATCCGTGATGGTTTATCCAAAATTGATACTATACCAATGACGGTGAATGCTAATAAACAAATGACACTCAATCATAAGCATTCTCTCTCTCTGTGTAGATGACTGTCTGAAAAGAAAAACTTTCATCATCTTCTGAAACTACTAAACTTAGGCATTTTAATCCTATTGCTGGACACAAAAAAACCCTATAATAATGATAATAGTTCTATCTAATGTTTAGTTCAGTACATATACTTAAAAAATTATGTTTTTATGGATTTAAGTTAACTATTTTTAGTTTTAAAATTTACCGTGTAGTTTAGAGAATGACGAAAGCAACGAAGCTCAAGAAGCAATGAGAAATTTAGTTTTAATTATCGCATCACTTTCAATGAGTGGCTATAGTGAATTAAAACCGGATCCAGATAACACAGATTCCAGGTTTCAACATTTAGGATTTACAATACCACAACCTAAGGGACCAGGTAAATTTTACCTAACAAATTTTTACCTATTATGTTATTAATTAACCTATAAATTATATTAATCTGAATTAGGTCAAAGTGTCCGTAACATAAGTGCATTTAGTGTTCTTCAAAATACATTCATTTGTTCAGAATCTAGTGTACTTTGTTGTACGATCCTTGATGCTATATCAAATGTGTATCATTCGGACAATGCTAACTATTTCATACTGGGACCACAGAATACATTACCCCAGTTTGCTGAGCACATCCATTTGAAAAACCAGCTAATACAAGAAAATTTTTTTAAATTGATAGAATTCATTGTTTTTCAATTGAATTTTGTGCCTGTTAAAGAACTAGTGTCAATGGCCCAAATTTTAAAAACATTTGGTTCTACAGAATGTACTAAAATCTGTTTGCAAACATTACTAAATATTTTAAAACATAATAGTTCATTTAAAGATGTGTACAGAGATGTTGGTATACTAGAAGGACTTTCAAATAATTTAAGAAACTACACCCAAGATTATATTTCTGACTGTGAAACAAAAGGTAGTAATCAAATCTTATTATATAATTAATTTTAGTTATAATATTGTTTAAATATTTAACATATAACATTTCAATATTCTTATTGTTATTTCTAGATGAAAAACATGATAGTGATTTGAAACGTGTTATCAATTTAACATCAGAGTGCCTAGTTAACATTATAATGTCTTCTCAAAAAAATTGTAAAGTTTTTAAGGAATGTGGAGGGGCCCATGTATTATATGTTATTCTTGAATATACATCTACTCGTCAATATGCTTTAGGTATTTTTTCAACAAATCTTCTTTTAATTTATTTATATATCTTTAATAAGTTATAAGAATAATAATACCTAGTTATCTCTATTTCTAATGTAAACTATAAAAAAAGATAAATAATGCAAATTAATTTTTAGCAATATTACGAGAAATGATACTGAGTACTGGCGGGGAAGAAGAAATTTCTTCTCTTTTGGGTATTCTACACTCAAGAAATAACTCGTGTATACCGTTGAAATCGAGTATTTTGAAGTTATTTTTAAACTGCATGAAAGAGAGCCATCGTACTAGAACAATATTTCGTAAGGTAGATGGTTTTGTCTATGCTATAAGTGCATTGGTATCAATGGAAGGATGGTTTATGGATGAAAACCCAGTTGACCAAGAAGCTTTAAAATTTGCTTTTACAATTTTCAATACAATCACTATTGCTATGCGATTCGAACCAGCAAATGCTAAGTACTTCCATCAAGAAGTAAGTTCCCTTATTATGATATAAAAAAAAATTTAACTAATTTATGAATTTTTAATTTTATTTGTGTAACTTAGATTTGTTTAACAAGCTTATGTGACACATTGCGTTTACTTGGATGTTTTTCTAATGAAACTCAGTTGGATGATTATATTGATGTTATAACCACGTCATTAGAAGATAATATTTTTCATAATATTTTCACAGGCAACATAAGTAATCCTGTGTAAGTTATTACAATGCTTATAAAATACAATTATATTGTTTTTGTAAAAACAATAATATTGAAGTAACTAATACACAAATAAACATTCTTTTCTTAATATACATATTTAATATACTGGGTGATTTTTTTAACGCCCTACACTAATTTACTCTTAAAATTGCAATTTGATAAAAGATTAAAATGTTAAAATTGTCTAATATTATATTATAGAGGAAGAGGAGTGGCCGAGTGGGTAAGGCGGCAGTGTGTTAGCGCTCACTGTCGCCGGTTCGAAACTCGGTCACGGGCGCTTTGTTTGCCGGGCGATCGTCCGGTGAAAAGGAACCGCCATCCCCCTCTCGGGTGACGGATTGACGACCCGTCCCGTATAGCATATTTGTCAAGAAACCATCTCATGATGGCAGCGATTAAGCTTTCATGGCCCGTTAAGCTACATGATGATGATTATATTATATCTGATATAATAAACAAAACTGGTGTAGATCATTAAAAGAATCGCCCAGTATTACCCAGTAGTAAACTAATAAAAAATTAAATATTTAAATGATATTTTATATTTACAAATATAATTAAAAGATTATAATCATAGCACTTCTATGCATATTATATTTTTCAGAATAACAGATCATGTTCCTAAGTTTTTATCTTATGCATGTTTAATGATGCGAATGCTTTATGATGTAGCACTTGATTTATATGATAAACCAAATATTACAACTATTGTATCATTCAAGTCACCAGCTCATAGGCGGTATAGTGAGGTAAGATTTGAATGCTAATATATTTATAAACTATATTTAACACATTAAAACTATTATTATAATTGTATTTGGATGTTAGTGTGGTCCTTATTTAAACTTATTTTTTGTACCCAACACTCAGTTTCTTTATTATATTTTAGAAGATGAGAATGTAAAATTTTAACTTAACTAAATTATGATAAAACATGCCCCAGGCCTCCAATATACCATGATTTATATTATATTTAGTGCTATAGTAGTTTAATAAAATTAAAATAAGTAATTAAAATTAAAATTTTGTTGGATATAACTTTATTATCACCTATATAAAACTTTAAAAAATATTCTAGGATTTCAAAATTTATCAGCTATTTTTATTTTATTGACGTCCCAATAAAATGATGTATCCAACAAAATTGTGTTATAAATACGGGTCATTCCATGCTAAATCACCTAATGTGGTGCGAGTGGATTTTTGAAATGCCTCAAATTTACATATTCTATGCAGATAGTTCCATAAAATCAGAAAAGTGAAGAAAAACATTTTTTTACATTTTTTTTGGACTTAGTTGATGTTATATTCCGAAAATTTGTTGTGAAAACATCTTAAGTTCACGATCAAGTTACTTAATGACTAATTATGATATCGTAATGGAACTTTCACTAAACAATTTTAATATTTTATAGAAGTGTCCTTTTTCATAATTTACTTGAACAATTTTTTTTTTAAATATTTAAGTACTTAAAACTGAAAAATAAATTCAAAATTTTATGAATTTCATTCAATTTTTTTACTGACTTCAGGTCAAAATTTCAAAACCTTTTTTTTTATTCTGATACATCATACTCTACTTGTTTGATCCTAAATTTATCCTCTAACCTGGCATCACTCGTCACATAAACCTTTTTAAACCATTAGGTTGGTTATGCAATTTATATTTTGATGTATTTGGTGATAGAGATGCTATATTCTGGCGCTAGCTAGATTTGCTACATTCGTCAAAACATAGTTGCTCTCCTGGGGAACTCTATGTATATTATGCTTTAATAAAAAAAAGCCAATTTATATATTGTCTTATAAACATAGTTAAATATGTAATATATTTTATTATCTACAGGTAGCAACAAAACCTTTAGATTGTCAAAATAATAATCGACGTGCAATACAACTTAATTTAGTTCCTTCAGCACCAGAACCAGTTATAGTTCATGCTGGTGTTATTATAGCTATGTTACAACTATTACCATCAATTTATAATCCATCAGTACCTAAGGTATAACATTATTAATAAATTTGTTTATATTTTAAAATAATACAAATTTTATTGTTATCTAGCTATCACTTACATTACAAGTTTATATTGGTGAAGTAATTCGATCTCTTGTACGTGGGGAAAGAAATCAACAACTATTATGTGATGCTGGATTTCCTACTACTGTACTTAAAGTAGGCCGCATAGCTTTATTGGAGGAAACACATCCACTTCATACAGTTTTTCAGTATATGCTTGAACGTTTGGCCATTCAACTATTAGAACCAAAAGATTTAAGAGAATTTTTGAGACTTGGAGAACCACTTTGTAGTGTACCACTTGATTTATTGGATTGTTGGATAAGTCATGGCAGTAAAAAACCAGGTGGTACAGTTCCTCTTAGTCGAGTAAAAACTCTTGTTTCTATGACAACCCCAAGAGATCCTTGTATGTTTACATTACCACCATTTTTTGAAATGGATTTATCTTCTGAGGGGTTTGGATGCTTATTTTTACCCAGTATAGCTCCTCAATCACCAATTAGTGGCCCTTCAGTTGTTAATGTTGCTACACTCACTACACCTGATATGAATGTAATCGGTGGGATTGGAACTGGTAAATGTTCTTCAATAACTTTTATTATATGATTTATGTTAAGTTTTTAATACTACAATATGTGTTATAATTATTATTATTTTTAGGTGATCGCATGTTTCCCCCACAGAGTGGGCTTAGTTACTCAGCATGGTTATGTGTAGAAAAGTTTTCAGAACCAAGAATGGATCCACATCCTGTTCGTCTACTTACATTAATACGAAATATTCAAAACACAAGGGATCACTTAGTTTGTTTGGCTATAGTATTATCAGCTCGTGATCGTGCACTTACTATATCCACTCAAGAGACTCCAATAACAATGAGTATAAATTTTAAAATACAATGCCAAATTTGAATTTAATAAAAAAAAAAAAAATTTCAGCCAATGCTGATTGGGAACCCGAAGTCATGGGTGATTCATGTGCCAGAATATGGTATCCAGATCTTGTACAAGAAGGTCAATGGCATCATATTGTGATAGTCTTAAATAGAGCCGTATTAAAAAACTCATCGTTTTCATTGTACATGGATGGTCAGCATATCCATACTCAGAAGGTACATACTTGTAAAATAAATTATGTAAACATTTAAAAATGTTTAATATAATATTAGTTCCTTTATAAAATAAATTTAAATCATTCTAAAACTTTATGTGTGTTGTTGTTTTCATTAGTTGCATTATATATCTCAAAATCCAGGAGGAGGAGCGGCTAACTTGACTATTGCATCATCTGTCTATGGTTACATTGGGACACCTCCAATTTGGCGAAAGTCTTCCAAGCTCACGTGGAAGCAAGGACCCTGTTGTTTATTAGAAGAAGTATTAAATCCGCATGCCATAAAAATTTTGTATCAGCTGGGCCCTCACTATTTTGGTAGCTTACAAGCACCAGATATTAAAGGTTAAAATATTCTCAATTTTATGTTTTTTGTATAATAATATCAATTTTTTAATTTAAAGACTTGGAACATGCTGGACCATTAGTATCTGAAGAAAAAATTATTTTTGGATTGAATGCAAGAGCAGTTTCTCAATTAACGTTGGCAAAAATACGTAAAATATATAGCAGAGTGGATAGCAAATCAATAGCTAAACAAGTAATTTAATATTATAACTTCATTTTTATCCAGTTTTTTATTTTTATTTTGTAAATTTGATCAAATAAAATATTGTATTTTAGCTTGGGATGTCAACTCATGAAAATGCAACTCCTATCCGTATTATGCATAACACTTCAGGCCATTTAGCTGGTTCTGCTAGAAGTTTAGGTGGTGTCGTTTTAGGTTATTTAGGGGTTCGCACATTTTATCCACGTCCAGTTTTGAAATTAATTGACAACATTGGAGGTTGTTCTGTATTATTAGGTAAAATGCATACTTATGTTTAAAATTTAGGTGTATAATTATATCATTACATCATTGGTGATTAGGACTTATTGCTATGGCAAGAGATATGGAAAGCTTATATGCTGCTGTAAAAGCTTTAAGTGGAGTTCTCCAGTTGAATGCAACAGCTAAAAAAGAGATGGAACGTAAACGTGGATATCAACTCTTAGCATTATGTTTGCGCAGACATAAGCATAATTTGAATGCTCACATCTTACACATCATATTAGATTTAGTTATAACAACACAAAATGTAGAAGCTCCTAGTATTCCAGATCCAATTGCATTCAATGATTTGATTTGTGAACTAAATGTTAGTGTAATGTAAATCAAAACTTAAATTAGAATTGTAATTATTTTATTGAATTTTACTTTTGTAGCTTTGGCAAGAAGTTCCATCTGGACTTCTAAGATCACTTCTTGAACAATTGTTTGAGTTAGTGTCAGATTCAAATGAGAAAAAAAATAATTTAGTAATTCTGAGAAACATGGAAATAGTACGTAAAATGGTAAATTTTTTACCAATTGTTTATAGTTCTTCACCTCCGTCTACTGTAGAAGTTCATTTTTCCTTTCTTGGAGCACTTCTGGAAAAACATCCTTTAACAGATGATTTATTGTGGTGAGTGCAAAATAATTAATAATTTATTGAGGCCTAAATCAATAGACACAAGTGGCACTAAAATTTGATTTTTTAATTTTTGAAGTCGTGCCTTATTAATCTAATCTAGTTTAATTTAGGTTATGTAAACTGTACTTGTACAGATAATTATTAAATTAAATTTGAATTATTTATAATACGAAGAAATAAAAATAAAAATTGATGTATTATAAATTTAAATACATTTTATCAATTTGCTCTCTAATTAAAATGTTTAGCGTATACGTAAAACGGAGTGCTTTTCATAGTACCTTGAAATAATGGTTGTATAATAATTGTGAAATATTAATTTACAGATGTATGAATAAACATTTAACTTTTAAAAGGGATTTAACGAAATACTTGCTTATTACAAAACGAATGTTTTTAATAATCTTTTAAAAAACACAGATATAACTAATATTAGTTTTTAATTTTAAGCTTTGGCCAATACATAGTGTTTACTTTAAACACTGGCTTGAATACTGAAACTAATCTTGAAGTAATACAATTTGAAGACAAATTTAAGACTATGGAAAACTTTGCTGATTTAACAAATGAAGAAAAAACTATAACTCTTATCTTATTAAGGAATCGATGTCTGCAGCTAATGCATTCTCTTTTATTTACAAATAAAAATCTAGTATGCACTGGGTATGTATTAATAAGATCATTGGTATTTATAGTTTACAATTTTACTTAGTTTTTAAGTTTCCTACAAACAGGGTTTTTATTTTGAAACTTATGTATTAACAACATTTTTTATTTTAGATTTTGTGAAGATTTTGTACGTATATTAGGATTTGATTGGGTGCTACTTTTTATGCAATCTAATATACACAGTTCATCAGTAATATGGGCTTATAAAATTCTTGCAACTTTGTGTTCTATTCCAACATTAATAATAAAATTTAGAGAAGCGTCTAGTAATGGAGGTTGGTTATTTAATACTGAAATCATACAAAATAACCGTGCAAATTTGATGCTAAGTAAGTATTACCATTTTAAAATATGTATAGAGATAAAGTTAGTCTTCAAATGCATTTTATAGTTGATATAAGTCTATAATTTGTTTATTAAACAACCCTGTGTTTTAGATTATCAACTTTCTCCTAGTATTCAGAAAAGTAATAAAGAGGTATTTAATAAAATGGAAGCTTTAAATATTCCTGGCTTTCAGCACTTATCTTGGTTTCTCATACATCATACTGAACTTCCAGAACTTTATTATTTTTTATTGGCTCTTATGTTAGGACAGCCTATTAAGATATTACCAAAAGAAAAAAAAGTATGTATTTTTGTAAAAAAAAAATTTGATTTCAGTTACAATATTTTAATTTATTTCCAGTTAAATTTGGATGGTATTTGGAATTTTATGTTTGGTGTACCTATGAGCCAATCACTTTCGGCAGTTAGTGATCGTATTATATTATGCCCTGAAGCTGTTACTGCAATATTGTTTACTGTAAGATTACTTTTAAATCAAGAAAACAGAGAGTAAGGTTTTTATTCATTGTAATGTATATATTTATTTTTAATGCATTGATTTTATTCAAATTTGTTTGTAGAATGAAATATGCATATTGGTTGGAAGATCATCCTGTTACTATAATCCAATTTCTTTTCTATCTTTACCACAACCTTTCAGATTGGATGCCAGCATTTATGACTTCTGAAATTTTACATTCATTAAGTGCAACACTTTTTCCATTTTCAAATCCAAATTTAAGCGAGCCAACTACACCAAATGATGACTGTTTTGTCAAAACACCAGAAGGATCACCATCTTCAACAGCCATAAAGGAACAACAGTCATTAACTTTGCACCCATCAAGGAAATTTGTAATTGACTTTTTAAGAGTTATTGTTGTTGATTCCTTATTATTACCAGTCAGTAGTAAATCATTACCTCCTTTAGATTTAGTACTTGATGTGAGTTAACATTTAGCTTACTTTATAACTTATATCATACAGATAATTAATTTAAATAGTAACTACCTTGTAGGCTTCTCCAGAAGGTGCTTCATCTTCACAAGTATCAAAGTATCAAACCGAACTCTTATCAACACTAATGGATCATTTATTAGCTGCTGATATAATGATTGGAGAACAAGCAGCAGTTTCTACAGTGCCTGGTGGTTGTACACAAAATATCCCTCAAAATGTATGCTACTTAACTTGTCGTGTTGTTGACAAACTTTGGCAGGGTGTTTTGATAAAAGACGCACATGAAGTATTCGATTTTATAATGAAATTGATTGTTCAAGCTAAACGACGACCGTGTTCTGTACCAATGGAAGGATTTTATCACTGTCTCAATAGAACAACATTGTTTTTATTGTCAAGAAATACTGATTCTATTGCATCACAAATGCCTGTATTAGAAGCTTTGCATAAACTTACTACCCACAGGTATGTTATAACTAGGACTTCCTATTTCACGTAAAATTAATCATGAGCTTTTGAGACCCATGACTGAAAATTGTCTGTGGATATATAATTTTATTCATGTGATCACGTGATCATGTTTTCATGTATTCGCGTATTTGTTTATAACAACATATAATAGACAAATAAAATATAATTTTTGTTTTCAAATAACTATATATATTTAAACAATAACAAGAAACAATTTTATTTTATTACAAAAAAATAATTTTTTATGTGATAAAGTATTCAAGTGAATAATATTAATATACGAGATCACGTGAATTTCATACAACAAATTCTCGTGAATGCTTCATACAAATTTGATTTTACTTTTATTCACGTGATCACGTTTGTATTAATTCATGTACATAACCGAGACCCCTAGTTATAACATATTATTCATGCATTTTAATAACTATTTTTATTTACAGAACTTTGGTATTTGGTGCTGGAAACCATGAACTGGATTTTGTTGGTTGTCTCATATATTGTTTACTACAGTTGACTTCTGATATGAAAATAATGTAAAAAAAAAATTTTTACTTTTATAGATAAATAATTAAATAAATAAAGAATATTAAGTTTAATTATTTTTTGAATAGTCTGGATACTAATGCAAAAACAACTTGGCATATAAATCCAAATCAAGCAGAAGTTGAAGAACAAACAACCAAACAAGGACAAAATTTAATGGCAGTAGCAGCCAAACGAGTTTGGGAGGAATTGTATATATCCAAAAAACCAGCTATTGAAGAAGTAATTTATTTCATTTCACGTGTGTATTAAGGGGATTGCATGTGGTCGGTTTTTCAGTCAAAACACATAATTTTTATCCCATTGGACAGGCCGAACCAGAGATCCGATAATCAATCTAAAAACAGATTTTAATTCACCATGAAGTTTACTTAAGATCGGTCAGGGTACTTTTTCCATTTTTTAATTTTAACCCTTTCCAAATTTGATTTTAAAATTTTATATAATGTTCAAACGTGTTTTATACAAAGTAGGAATAAGATATCAAAAAAGTACGCTGACCAATCTTAAGTAAACTTCATGACAAATTAAAATCTGTTTTCAGATTACTAATCGGATCACTGGTTCAGCCTGTGCGATGGAACAAAAAATGTATATTATATCAACTAAAATGGCTTTTACTCATAGACAAAATTATTTAAATTAAAAATAGTACCATGAAGCTTATAGAAATTAACCAAGAAATTAATTGATGTGGTCAAAATTTATTTAAACCACTGTTTTCTTAAATATTGCCTATATAAAACTCCTTAAAACCAACCGCATCAATCCCCTTAAATGACCATCATAATTAGGTCTATAATTTACACAATCCTACAATGAGTACTCAAAGACTATAAATTGTAGGGTATTAATCAGGGTTGGGGTGTATTATAATCAGATGTATAATTGATGTATTTCACATATTGTACTTTGTGTATTATACCTATGGAATTATAGTTTATACATTTTATACAGTAATATTTTAAGATATGCGGTAAAAACGTATTTTGGTTTTAACTTGGGTAGGATATAAATTGATATAATTTGATTGTTTTATTGATAAAATTAAAAAGAAAGTAGTGACTGGTTATAACATGGGATATCTGTAAAAAAAAAAAAAAGCCATTAAACATTATTATTAATTGATAGTTCATAATTGATAGTATCAATAAGTACATACAGCATCATACTTTTATAGAACTGCTATATTTTCTGTAGTTGGATTAAAAATTACTATAAAAAGCATGTCATGTTAATAAACATTGTTATTACCAATCCCCAACTCAAGCTTTGACTCTTTAGTCAGCCCAACTAGTAATGTTCCTAAGCATATAATATTGTTGTATTTTTTATGTCTTAAAAGTCTAATAAATGTTTCAGGTATTTAAAATTCCATTGCCCATGTCACCAAATAATAAAGCTCCAGATTTACATTCAGTCCGTGAGCTTATTTATGAAATTGCTCAAAAACATTGGTTGACTTATATAGATATGGAAAAAAAATCATTGTATAAAATGCCTTGGGAATTACAGACACAAATACAATCGGTATGTTAATTTAAAAAATAATAATTATTGATTTATTTTATTGCAACGTTTTTTTATAGAAAATACAAAAAGTCACTGGTGGTCTAACAAGATTAGCATCAAGGGGTAAAGTGCTTAAACGTGATGAAAGTCGTTGGCAAAGTGGAAGTCTTTCTAGTATTTCAACTCCTCTATCTAGAATTACAAAACAAGAATGGTCTACATGGGCTGGTCATGGGTTAAATGCAGTTTGTGATCTTGTCTCTATGCAAGTAGCCCGACAGAGTCAGCATCAATCTTTTACATTGCGTTATATTTTGGATCAGTGGTATTTAGTAGAACAAGAACTAACAAGAGAACGGGGTCTGTGGGGACCATTTACTCCTTGCAAGTAAGCTTATTTATTACTCTCCAATTGATTTTGTTGTAAAATTGAAAATGTATTCTTTTAGATTGGATAAATGGGTTTTAGACATGACAGAAGGTCCGTGTAGAATGCGTAAGAAAATGGTAAAAAACCAACAGTTTTATATTCATTATCCATATCGACCAGAGCTAGAGTCAGGAGACAATGTAATTAAAGTTTTTAAGCAAAAAATATGAATAAAAAATACTAAAATAATTATAATTTTAGAAAGGACTAAAGTATCGAGTAGCTACAAGTTATGATAGCAAGGAGTTTTGTCAAAAATATAAACTAACTACGCTTATAGACATGGAGAATTTAGCACCACAATTGAATGAGAACGATCAGCAAACCACACTGGATCAAGATATTTTTGACATTGATAAGAACTTGGACGATAATGGTAAATATAAAATAAATAGTTTTTTCCTTAACAGCTTAGTCATTGTTATAAAATAATTCATTATTTATGTAATATACATAATTTAAAAACATTTTAATTTGATTTTTATTAATTTGTAATTAACATTTTTAAAAACAAGTAAAAATGTTTATTAGTTAAATTTATTGACTTTTCTTGTATAGATTTACCATTTAAAGGACTCAAACGAGTTGTAAGACGATCAACATCTGAACCAGATGAAGGGATAGATGACAATGACATAGAAACTGGAAATGAGGATCAGTCACCTCCTGACGACAATCACACAATAATTCGACTTTTAGAACCAAATGAAAAAGTTTGTTTGATAATTTGTGTTTCAAATTTTATTTTTTTAAATTCTTATGTGAGTGATTTAAAATTATTCAGATAAGTCATATGTTCAGATGTGCAAGAATTCAAGGGTTAGATACTTACGAAGGAATGCTATTATTTGGCAAAGAACATGTATACATTGTAGATGGATTTACTTTACTTAAAACTAGAGAAATCAGAGATATTGATACTCTCTTACCAAATTCATATGAACCATTATTACCAAGCCCTGGAAATGGTAGTCCAACTCGTGTTCGAACGAAAAAACAAAGTTCTAAGTTTTCTTATGATGACATACGGTATACAATAATTTAAATTTTATAAAATTGAATTTTTATTTGTTTACTATTGTTGTTAAATATATGAATGTATATGTTACAGAGAAGTGCACAAACGAAGATATCTATTACAACCAATTGCAGTAGAACTGTTTTCTGCTGATGGACGTAATCATTTATTAGCTCTTCCTAGAAAACTGAGAAATAAAGTTTTTAATAGGTAACTAATACAGTTTGAGTATGAGTGGATACAGCGATAGTGTATTGTATTCACTGTCACTGGTTCGATACACAGACACGGGCAACTCTATTTCCTGATTAATAAGTCAGCTATAAAAAAAAGAGTCTTCTCTATGAGTACAGACTTGTTGTTACCTGTTCTAGGTAACAACAAAAAATGAGTCAAATGAGTAACATTTACCCTTCACTGCACAATAAATGGAACAATTGTATTTATTATTTATATCTGCTCATGCTATACATCTTTGATGCACAATGTTCCATATTTGGTACAATTCTTTAATTAGCATTTTCCATGAAGCCAAATTTAAAAAAAAATTTATTTTTATTTTTTTTAGTAGTATTAAGTACATTTATAGCATATGGTTAAAAAAAAAAATTCATGCAGTGAAGGGTTAAGAAATCTCCCGTGAAAGGAAAGTGATAATAGCCCTAAAAAAGTTGCTAAAGTTTAAAACAAAAAAAAATTAACTTTGAAATTTGTTAATTAATATTCCTTAAATAATTATTTAATTAATTAATTTATAGATTTATGGCATATTCAACATCAATAGCAGATAATGCTCATCAATCTGTTGCTGGACAAAAGAGAACAGCTAATGTTGAACAAAGTACAAGTCTTCTTTCAAATCTTATGGGAGAAACAACAGTTACTCAAAGATGGGTGGTAAGTTTATGTACTATAAATAATGTGAAGTTTTTTTATTATTATTTTTATTTGTTGAACTTCAAGAATTGGTCATTAACCCCTATAATCTATTCAACTTAAGAATGAACTAGTGCAAAAACTAAAACTCCTTACTTCTGGGTGCGTCAGCCAGTAGGTTTAGTTACTGCACTGGTTCATTCTTAAGTTCAATCGAGTATAGTTGTACTATAACAACTTTTAAACATATATGTACATTTTTAAGAATACCAATTTTTCATGCTAAATCAAGGGTTAGCATTTGTAATTTATAAATCTTTCTGAATATATAAACCATATAAATATGACATTACTTTGTCCATAATTTCATTTTATAATTGTTAAATATTTATATTTTATTAGTCGCTCAGTGGTAAAACATGGGGACAGTAGCGATATGCCAGGGTTTAAATCCCGTCCAAGCGCAAAAAGTTTTTAACACATTTTCAATTATTTTTTAAGATAAGTTATGTTTTTTGGGCTCAGTGTAGCATAAAAAATTGTAATATTAATTTGTTTTAGTTTTTTAAAAAAATGTAAGGTATTTGTTCAGTGATGACTGATAACAATCTTAATATTTTTCAGTCAACTAATAAAGTTCAGTATAGAATTTACTAAATGCCATGATTCAATACAATTAAATAGGATAAAATACATTTAATCCCGAAGGGCAAACGTCCTTAATATAAAGTACAAGATATAGTCTAATTATATGTTCTACTACCAATCTATCAAATTAATATCTATAAAATTTAAATTAGATTCAAATGAATCAAAATTAATTCAATTATTTTTTAAATTACTTATTTATTTAAAATTAAATACATTTTAATCACATATTTAATTTTTCTATTGGAACGGTATAGTTTTATCAAAAATCCTCCATCAACTAATCCTTTAAACACTGCTGCAAGAAAGTCTAAATATTCAACTTTAAATGATCTTCAAAGTCATCATTTTGTATATTATTTAAACAAAATAAATAAAAACTGTATTTATTTTTTGCTATATCTGTTACAGAAAGGTGAAATATCAAATTTTCAATACTTGATGCACTTGAATACATTGGCTGGCCGAAGTTATAATGATCTCATGCAATATCCAGTATTTCCATGGATACTCAATGACTATGAGTCTGATAATCTAGATTTTTCTAACCCATTCATTTTTAGAGACTTTTCTAAACCAATGGGTGCTCAGTGCCCTCAAAGACTTGAGCAATTTCTTAAAAGGTATTACAACATTAAAGATGATTAAGCTTTATAAGGCATTATAATAACTTGTTTTACAATTAAGGTGTTATTAGGGTCCTTTGATAATGAATCTATAACCAAAGATTCTGTTTAAAAATTGTATGCTAACATTATCTAATTACATGTTCTTACTATAAGATTAAAATTAACAAAAAATAGTGTAGAGAAGTGCAAAAGGTTAAAGTTTGGATGGTAGTATAAAAATACTACCATCTGCTTGACAAATAACCTAACCTGCATAAATGATGTATTTTCATTTATTTAAGAGGACATTGCAGTCAAATATTTCAAAATAGTAAACACTGATTCAGACTTCCTGTAGTACTCGGAAACTTTTAATCATTGAATAAATCTAAAGATACCCAAAGAAAGCTTAGAATGTCTATTATGTGTGTATAGAGTCATATTTTCAACAAAAACAAACTGTTACTTATAGTACATTCAACAAGAATTTTTACTTTTTTCAAAAGTTCATAGAACAAATGTCAATAAAGTTATTGAATAAAACTCGCTATAGGCACTTATAAAAAGTTCTATGACTAATAGCATTCAAGTATTATTAAAAGTTTGAAAAGATGAAAAAAAATTTAAATCACCGTCAAGGATGCTGTGATAATCTGAAAAATAAATTAACTACCAAAAAAAAATCCCAATTGCTAATAATTACATATCACAATTTAATCTTTAAAATAAGAATTTTAAAAAAATGTCTGGTACCGATGGCTGGCGGCCATCGCCGAGTGTATACATTTGATATGCAAACAGGAAAACCAAGGGAATGAAATAAAAATTTGAAAAAATTAGAGAAATATTTTTTCAACATTTGGAACCAAATGTTGGCCATTCAACCCCACGACAAACTTAAGGACCACCCTAATGTATACATTTATTTTCACTTATGATTAACCTCTCTCAAAAATTTATTGAAATCAGTGGCTCTGATATGATATAATCCCCTTGCTTAGATAAGAGACAAGTTCTTTTGTGAACAATTGAAATCAATAAAATTGACATAGGAATTAGAAAATAAACTATTTGTCTGTAATAAATTTAAAAAAAATTGCACTGTGTTAATGTTCAATAGAGTATTCTAAATATTTTCAACATAATCCACTTTACATGTTAATTACATAACTAAACATAAATGTTTGTCTGTATACATATGACATGTATAGAACGTTTATTAAACATAAATATTGCAAATATAGTACTATTATTAATAATTTTAATTTTCTTATGAACTCAAATAATAAAATTTAATTTTTATCTCGATAATATGAGTATAACAAATTAAATTTAACACATCTATAATTTCAGCAATTGACAAAAAAAAAAAATTCTAATAAATTCTTATTATATTTAATATTTAGTAACAAAATTTTATCTTAGAGGGTACTTGTTACATTCAAATAACAACATGCATATTTTAACTACCTATTTAATAGTTGCACTTAATGACAATTAAAATTGATCTTTACCAGTTTTGAATAAATGGTTTTAGAGGTATTGGCATTTAAAATTTAGGCGAGGAAGGAAGTGCTAGTGAGTAGAGCGTGGCTATAAATAACATTATAGTCATTCTCACCTCTTAATATTGCCTTTTAAAAAAACATTTTTAACTTAAATATTAAATATAATAAGAATTTTATTTGAAACTTTTTAGCTAAAACAGTTGTTTCAAAGAAAAAATTACCGTAACATGAAATTTAAATAACCCTGTATATAATATGTAGTGTGTTATTATGTGAGAAAATACTACCATATACTACAATTTTAGACTTAACAGTCTTGTTTTGTTAATTGTATTTATTTTTTTACTTTTAAGATATCGTGAATGGGATGATCCACATGGTGAAACTCCACCATACCATTACGGTACTCATTATTCATCAGCAATGATAGTGTGCTCATATTTAGTTCGAATGGAACCATTTACTCAGCATTTTCTCAGACTACAAGTATGTTTCATTACTATTTCTTGATTATATTTTTAAAATTCTTTTTATTACATGTTTATTTTGATACCAAGTACTAAAATTTTTTTTTTAGGGTGGACATTTTGATTTAGCTGATCGTATGTTCAATAGTGTTCGAGAAGCTTGGTTATCAGCTTCCAAAACTAACATGGCTGATGTTAAAGAACTCATACCAGAATTTTTTTACCTTCCAGAATTTTTCATTAACTACAATAACTTTGATCTCGGTATTATTGTTAAATTGTTGTTTTAGATTTTTTTTTTTTTTATTAGTTTATTAATATAATAATTTAACTAAACTATAAGGATGCAAACAAAATGGAGTACAGTTGAATGATGTAGTGTTACCACCATGGGCCAAAGATGATCCTCATGAGTTTATCAGAATACACAGAGCAGCACTTGAATCTGAATATGTTTCTCAGCACCTTCACGAATGGATTGATTTAATATTTGGGTATAAGCAATCAGGCCAGCCCGCTGTACAAGCTTGCAACTTATTTCATCATTTATTTTATGAAGGAAATGTTGATATCTATAGGTAAATTTTATTAAAAAATCTTAAGTTGACATATTTTATTAATAATTATAATTTTTTTTTTAGCATTGACGATCCATTAAAAAAGAATGCAACCATTGGCTTTATTAATAATTTTGGCCAGATTCCTAAGCAACTTTTTAAAAAACCTCATCCGAGCAAAAAACAACCAAACAACCGTTCATCAATGCTTGATGCTGCCAATCCTATTTTAAGTTCAAGCACTAATTTACCCATTGGAGATAAACTTTTCTTTTATCACTTGGACAATCTTAAACCTTCATTACAGCCAATTAAAGGTTATTTTTTGTTTACAAATATATTGACGCATATCATTTTATTTTTGATATTCTGTTTTGGGTTTTAGAACTTAAAGGCCCTGTTGGTCAAATTCTTCAAGCAGAGAAAAATATATTGGCTGTTGAGCAAAACAAAGCATTAATGCCACCAAGTTTTAATAAAACAGTCACGTGGGGTTTTGCAGATCATAGTTTAAGATTGGCTCAATATGAAACTGATAAACCAATTATAATTTGTGAAATTTCAAGTCAGTCACCTGGTGAAATCGTAACATGTGTTTGCCCTACAGCCAAGACTGTTATCACTGCTGGTACTAGTACTGTGAGTAATATATATATTTATATATAAAATTAAAAAAAAAAAATTTTTTTTTGAGATGGTTCATATATGGTCATATTATGAGAAGAGATGAGGCAGAGACAGTGAAAGGTGTTATGAAAATGAATGTAGAGAGAAAGAAAGGAAGAGGAAGATTGATGAAAAGATGGAAACTCTGAGTGAGTGATATAAAAATAGCTAAGGTAATTTAACGAAATTTAGAAGATTGAGCTCTTTGAAGGTGTAAAACTAGGGTGGCCCCTATGAAGTTGGGAGTGTAAAGCGAAGATAAAGAAGGAGAAAAAGATAATTATAAAATATAATTTTAATAGTTCATTATTTTCTAGGTATTAACTGTTTGGGAATTAGATTTGAATGGAAAGTCTTTAAAAATTGTTGATAATTTATATGGTCATACTGAAGCAGTAACTTGTTTGGCTGCAAGTGATACATATAATATTGTTGTTTCTGGTAGTAGAGATTGTACCGCAATAGTATGGGACCTGTCAACAAAAGCATTTGTTAGACAATTGAAAAAACACAGTGCTCCAGTCGCAGCTATTGCAATTAACAATTCTACAGTTAGTAAAAGTTATTCTTCTTAGTTTAATAAAATATTCTAAATTTAGTTTAATTTAATAACTATTGATTAAAATATAAGAAACAATTATAAGATTTATGTAAAATTAGGGCCAAATAGCTTCATGTGCTGGAACTATGCTTCATGTTTACACTATTAATGGTGAAGAATTAGCTAATGTTGATACAAGTGTAGGACGTGCTGATCGAATGCAGCAGATATTATGTGTAGCTTTTTCACAAGCTCTTGATTGGGATCCACAAAATGTTATAATTACAGGATCATCTGATGGTGTAGTTAGGGTAAATTTATAGTTTTAACTAATAAATTATTTTTAACCTTTTTTTATATATATAGTTTAAATTATTATATTATAACATTAATTATTACCTGAGTTTATTATTTAGATGTGGTCTATGGAATATGTACAAGTTCCTAAAACTACCTTTGACTCGTTATCAAAAGAATTATCAGCATCCAAAGAAAGTATTGGTGATAAGAGTAAAGATATAAGAGAAAGAGGAATTTTAAAAACGCGACCAATTGGTGTGCAAAGACTTGTTAAGCAAATGAGTGTATCTTCAGAAACCATTAATGAACAAGGATCTATTATAAAAAGTGGATCTGAAAGTAGTTTATCAGAACAAGAACCCAAAACTCCTATAAAAAAAATAGTAGAAAAAACTATTTTTGCTAATGAAAATGATTCAAAACCTCCAGTACCAGTAATGAGGAAAAAAAAGTAAGTTTTTAGTATGCATGGTAAATAAAAAAATTAAATTATCACCCAGATATTTATTTAGACAATTTGTAGCCTTGCAAATGCTGAGTATGCATATTGAATATAATATGTAAATACATATCTAAATAAATTAAGAATTTTATGAACAATACATTTTTATACAAACTTTAGACTAAAATAATATTAGTTACTGACAATATTAATTTTTTTAAATTTTAATTGTAATTTTCATACAACAATTTTCTTTCTGTTATTTACTCAATTTCAATATTGAACATTTTTAAGAACTAAAAATTGTATGGTTAATATTTTAGCAATACTTTGTTCCCTTTGTTGATACATAAGTGTTCCCAACTAACCGAACATATCTTTGTTACTAAATGTACAGTGCTCATCTAGGCACTAGCAGCTGCACTAGACGCAGTTTAAACACAACATAGTAAAAATAGGCTATCTGCATGGTTATTTGTGGGGATTGGGATGGACAATGTCTGTACACAATGTGCGGAAATTGAGCCCGATACCTGTTGTACAAAGTTTGGCGCCTTTTACACTGCAACATAATATTTGTTTTCCTTTAAATTTAGAGCATTAAAACCAAATCCACTACTCAGAAAATCTGAATGCAACCCATCAAGTTCATCTGATGAACCTAATGCACAGCAAAATTCTTTACCAATTAGTGACACTGCTTTAAGGTTAAGCAAGAGTGAGACTAATCTCATAGAATCTTTTGTTATTGTTGATCAAGATGATACAAGTCAAAAAGCTATTTCTGTCAGTCCATTATGTAGTCTCAGAGAGGGTAAAATAAAAATATCTTATTAAATGAACATTGCATTTAATTATAGTACATTGTATATATATTTTTATGTATAGGTTTTCAATGGCAGCGCCAACTAGTATTTCGCAGTAAATTAACTATGCATACTGCATATGATCGTAAAGACAACACAGAACCTGCTTCAATAACTTGCATTTCTATTTCTAAGTAAGTTCTCCATTGTTTCAAACTACTTATAATATCTGTTAATTATATTTTTGTTTAATACACTAGAGATCATCGAACAGTATATATTGGTGATGCAAGAGGGAGAGTGTTTACGTGGAATGTTGTAGAACAACCTGGCAAAGGTGTAGCAGATCATTGGCTTAAAGATGAAGGTTCAGAACAATGTAATTTATGTGAAGTTAAATTTTCACTGTATGAAAGACGACATCATTGCCGCAACTGTGGACAATTATTTTGCTCAAAGTAATTTAGGTGTTTATTAACTAAATATAAAACTAATTTTAAAAGTTAAAAATTAAATATGTTTAAAACAATAGATACATATATTATAACTTTATTTTGTTATAAATTTAAAAAACAATATTTTATATTTTTTAAGATGTAGCAAGTATGAATCTGAAATATCAAGATTGCGAATACTGAAACCCGTGCGAGTGTGCAAGCCATGTCACACCTCATTGCAGCCTGCCAAACACAGTTCCTAATGAGTAAGTTGTAATTTACATATAACCAAAAAAAACATTACCTTTTGTAAAAATGTTTAGCATAAGTGCTGCGATGTCATTCCAACAATTTAAAACATTATCTAAAATGTTTTAACCCACCCAACTTCTAGTCTATATTAATATTTCAGCTTAAAATATTGTATGAAATATATTTATTACTTAAGTGCATTATTAGTGTAGTTATAATTTAATAAGTGTTACCTTGTTTTTATCACAGCTTGACAATAATTTTAGTATTATAGTAAAAATCATTCAAATTAGGTACTCTAAAATATAGATACTCAATTAGTCTAATCCTTTATAGTGAATGTATCAAAAGTTAATCTTATTGTAAAATAGTATAATAATCGTAAACTGATTCTACCTTTTTTAAATAACGTACCGGTTACGGGAAGTATATTTATTTTTTTACATAACAATGTGTGTTGTGTGTAATAAATAAAAAAAATTATGTAATTAATTAACTAAACAAAAAGATATAAATAACTGATGTTTTGAAATATATTTAATTTCAGTGTATACTTTTTTATCCTAGTTTTTTATTATTTTTTGTACATTGTATTGTTAAATCATACACAAGTTCTTTTATAGACTACCTATAACAATTTTTATCAATTGTTTTACTCAAATTTTTTTTTTAAATAGAAAAATATTTTACTTATGATGTACCTATACATGTCAACACACCCTCGAAACTAGTATTATGAAATTTATAAAAATTGTATGTGTTGCTTTTTTATTTTTTTACCACTGTTCATTTAATATTAATGTTTTATCATTTTGATTCAATATTAATAACTTTAGTTTTTATTAGTAATATATTATATTATTTACCCTTCAAGTATTAAATGTAATATTTTGTTGTATTTAATATCAGATTTTGTTAATCTCTCTAAAGTCATTTTACTATTTCAAATGTTAAAATATTGTTATAGTAGTATATTACATAGTAAGGTAATAAATAATAGTGTGTGTACTCAGGTCAGATTGGCAACCCTTTCCATAATTAATATAAAATAAATTGTTCTTGTTCACTACCAAAATTATATCGGTTACAGTTCTTAGTTATACAAAATAAATATTTATTTTATGTTCATTTTCATGGGTGTCATATAAACATCTACTCAGTATTATTATTGATAGGTTACTTACTTGTTTTGTGTTAAAGTTAACTAATACATCAATTTATGTACCAACATCCAAATGTTCATTATTTATTTATAATGTATAGGTTTAATACTACATAATAGGGTTGTACTTATTTTAAACTTTTTTTTTCTTTTTTTTTTTTGCCTAGTACTCCCTATATTTTTTTTTATGAAATTTTGCATTTACAATTTATTTTGACAATTATATATATATATATATATCCCTATATTTTATTATTACATATAACAAATACATATTACAAAACTCAGCTATGCCAAATTTTAACTATTATAACACCTACCTTTATCATACCTATCATAGTACTTCATTAGCCAAATAACAGAAAATAAGAACTTTGTTGCATATAATTTTATAAGGACTTAAATAAAAGGTAAGAAAATCAATGTCATTGATATCATGATTTGTTTGAAAAATATAAAAGTAATATTAAATCCCAAAAATAAAAAATACAATTTTTGTTTATACTAATTTACTATTATTTTAATTCAGGATAAGTAATTTATTGATAACTCTTAATTCGGTGTTACGGTGCAGTGATGTCAGGCAAAAAGTCATCATTACACCGATCAAACGTATAAATTAATATCTATTATTTTATATTTTTACCTCGTGATTTAAACAAAATTCTTGTACTCTATGGTATTAATTAATATGAAGTTCCAGAAAAAATATTCCATTGTTTCTGTACAAAACCTGAAGCTTGTTGGGAATGATTAGTAAGAATCACTCATTTTTCCCTCTGCATTAAAAAAATGTAAATTTTTATAAATAATTTACAATACGCTCAAATTATCATAATGTCAAATTAATTATTTTGCCTTTAATTTTAGTACCAATAAAATAATATTTAATACAATTTAGGTGTTAAATAAATAAATGCGTTTTGCGTATTGACCGGGAGTGGCTATGGCTAATTTAATGCTAGTTCGGTCGCCGGGGTGCACGGAATTTCAGCCATGCATTCGGGGTTGATAGTATGGGTCGCCGCTAAAAATCCCGGGTGGTCATCCATCCGGGATCAAGCAGCAACGGACACAGCTTAACCTCAAGTGCCACGCGGCATCTGAGGTGTCCACTGCGTCACACCTCCCGATAGGTGTTAAAAAATTTTGCTGAACGTGTTCTTATCATTAAATTCTGCTAAAAGTTGGCGTACTCAAGTTTAAAAGGTAATAAAGAAATTAATAGAACACTATATAAAAAAAAAAGAGCACTCTAGCCGCCACTAAATTATACATAATTCAGTGTTCAAATTAGAAAAAATTAAAGCAGGGGAGGTTTCTATTTAAATAAAAAAGAGCCTACCCGACATTTTATATCCCTAAAAAACTACCACTTATAGTAGAGATATGCTACAATTTCTGAAAAAGTAGTTAGGGTACTTAATCCTCCCACAATTCGAGCACTATGTACATCTTTTAAATGTAAATATAAATAAATAAAATTAAGTTGGTTACTTTTTATTATATAACTTTAGATACAATTAGTTTAGACTTTAGTTTATTAAATTATGATCAAATATTTTTTTTTAACATTAAATTATTAATATGGTTATTAATCTGTATGGTTTATATTATATTACTTGTTAACATAATTGTTGTCTAAAGTATCTTCTTGCATACGTTTGATTGGATAAATATTGCGAATAAAAATATTAATTGTAATATAATTATTATAAACTATAGGTTGTGCATATTACTTCATTTTGTAGTTTCGGAAATGTATTAATTATTATATCCATATTGGAATTCAAATTATAAAAACATATTATTATTATTAGCTTAAAAATATGTTACAAAAACGTTTCATTTTTAGAATGAGATGTTGTGTCATTATATGTATAATGTATGTAAATGGTACATTTTATAGTTTAATCAGAATAGTTTTCATTGACTGACAATATAAAAAATAAAAGTATTAAATATTATTTGTCAACTGTGTACTCAGTTTTAGTCTAGATTTAAACTTATAATAAACAATTATGTAATTAAATAGCTGTCCGGTCTTTCTTGAGAAAATAATGATTGGGCAGCTATTTAAATATTTATATAACGTTTGGACAACTGTCACCGCCAGTAACAATAATTTTTCCAAGGGTCATAATTAAACGGCGGATTTTATGCACTTTGAAATGGTATTTTTAACAAAAATATCATACAGCAAATCTTAAAAAAAATTAAGGAATCGAATAAGCTCAGCATATCGAAACTTGCTTATTTTATGCACTTAATATGCAAATTGCATATTTCTAAAAAGACAGAATTACGCGTATTGGGTGTGAAAATAAGTGATCTAAACAATTAATAAGGATCTTATAAAACAATAGCATGTCCTGATTGGTGTTCTAGATAGCACGTGAGTGGCAAAAGTGGCTTTAATGTCATTTTCAGAAAATCACAATTTGACAGTGGTTTTCTATGTTTCTTTGTGTGCTGAATGTGGGGATAAAATGTTTTAAAATGGACGTGAATAAAAATAAAAATTTCTCAATATATTTTGTACAAAGTAAAATTTAGAGTGTAGACAAAGGCTATTGCGTTCAATTATTTTAATTTGTGGTCGACAATGTACTAATCTAATAATTTTTTCTAAACTTACGATGACTCATCAGTCATCACTGTTAACTGAAAGTCTAAACTCGATACTGTTTCTGTCATTCTCTCAATTTTCACTTATTTTTACGGTGCTAGGTACTTTTCGTAAGACGCGTCGTTGCATTCTTATGGGTACAAGTACAGACTTGTAACTTGTTTCGTGGCTGGCCTACTATTGCGTAACAAAGGGAATTGTCAAAATGTAAACTATGACTTGGCGTTAATGTAGATACATATTTTGCTCTTTCAAATTTTTAGTCCACTTAATTTAAGACTAGCCACTCTGTCGATGAGAGTATAAGCATCTGACGATTACAGTGAACCAAATCAATGTAGCGATTTGGATGTGTTGCGTTCTGACCAGTGATTGATAAGGAGTCAACAGTCTACACTCTCTGAATTCAACTGGGGGCTCGGTGAAAAACCAAAGAGTCGACGGCGAAGGAGCGCTGGGCTTTTGGTAGCCAGTAATCCAGGTCTATGACCTGGAACTCGACCGGAGGCGGCAGACTAGCAACTTCCTCACTTGGCAACGCCTGGTGGCTCGGGCGGTAAGATACCCTGAAAATCCAGGCCTCGTCCAGGATACGTGTGACGAGAGAAATCTCATAGGCGGAGTAGGAGTTAAACCCGCTTTAGAACGTGCCATACGATGCCCTTAATATCCACCAATTTACATTACTATTTCAAGAAGTTCTATACTTCATACGAAGTATCGAACACCCCAATAAACTGCAAACACTGTTGTCTTATTTAACATTTTGCCCCTAATGTGGGGTTACCTCCTTATGTACATATTTTATTGTAAATTGCTTTAAAAATACATATTGTAAAAAAAAATATAATCTTATTCTTATATCCTAGTATTCTCCAAGCAAAAAAAATATGATCAAATGATCTCCGTGTTATTCTTACAATAAACTAATTGAATACTTTTTTTTATAAATAGATCCTATTTTCCCCTACTTAGACTAAACTTTAAAAAACTAAAGAACAACCTTCTACACAGCATAGGTGATTATATAGTATATTCAGTGTTCAACTCAGCAATAATAATTGGGTATATACGTCATAGTTATAATTAAAATTAGGTATACAAATTTAAAACAAATATTATTACCTTTATTGCCCGTTTATGAATTTGACACAAATTTCTATCGTTTTTTGGATTTCATATTAGTTTTAACACAATGAAATGCAGAAATATAGGTAACTGCCAATTGTTACATTAGTGTTTACTATATATAGTATATTTTTAATCAACTTAAATAATAAACAATATGAATATTTAAATCATACAAATTTAATCAACTATACAATGTATTAATTAAATTTAATATAATATATTATTTAAATTGCAAATGGAAAAGTTGAATAGGTATTTTTAAAATTTAAATCAAGTACATAATTAGATATTTTTGTTACAAATTTTCCAATAAAATGTTGAACTAGTTAAAATTTAGATAGATTTATTCCTAAAAACCATTAATATCTTTAAGTTAATTTTATTCTATTATCACTTTATTTAAACAAATCTTGAAAAGCTGTAGGTATATGTTTAATAATATCTGTTGTTATCATATGTCTTTGTTTTAATTCAAACGTAACTTTATTAGAATGCTTAGTGAGTGAACTCGCTGCATAGGAAGCAAGTACTTCTGGACTTAAATTGTTGACATAATCATAATTTTCTACTTTTGTAGCCCAGTACGCAAAAGTACCCATGCTTCCAGCCAAAATGTCCCCTTGACCACCACATCGTCTTGCTGAACCTTGTTGACCATTAACTACGGCTCCTTTGTCATCAGCTATTATGTCTTTTTCACCTTTTAACACTATTACATATTTCCCATTTAGTTTGTTTATTATAGCTTTTACATTATCTTGGGTTGGTTTATATAATTCATGTCCAATTAATCTTTTTGATAATTTACTAAACTCTACTACATTGGGTGTAAGGTATATATGACCATTATAGTTTTTAAAACTTTCCGGTTCAACTAGGTTTAAAGATTCTGCATCAACTATAATAGGTAAATGTATGTCATTCATATCTGCATCACCACTTACATGTTGAAAAATTTGTCTTACTGACTCATGAGCAATAGGGTCATTGCCAAGCCCTGGGCCTACAACAAGTGAATGTAGTTTTTTTAGCCATGGTTTAATCTTTTCAACAGCATTTGGGCTGTCTAGATATGGTAAGACAATAAGCTCTGGTGAAAACGATTTAATGACAGGTGCTGCAGATTTATAACAAAATACATACACAAGGTCTGCTCCGGTTCGTAATGCACTAATAGCTGCATAGTAAGGAGCACCAGTATACTCTTCACATCCACCAATTATTCCTATTCGTCCATTTTGCCCTTTATGGAGATTTTGAGATAGAGGGGGTATCAAAGATTTGCATTTTTTAATAAGGTGTTCATGAATATTCATATCAGCAAATCTATCTAAGCGGCAAACACAAAATAGTAACAATAATTAGTTAATACAGGTAATAACTCTTACAAATTTATCTTATTTAAAAAAGTAATAATATATTCAAAAAAATTGTCATATCTAACTATTTCATGTCATTTAGCTATTTGATGTTCTATGTAAAGACTGTAATACTTTTAGTATGTAATCTATAAAGAAATATCAGAAAAATATTAAATAGGATTTTTATTATTACTACAATTCTTTGCAATATTCATTATTTAACTATAATTTGTATATAATCAATAACAACTCATCTATAGAACTACCTCTTTTTTAGTGTATTAAAATTTGCCCCTATACCATATCTTTTTAATACATAATATAAACCCTGAAGTAATGGATAGAATAAATAACAATTGTTGAATGTACATTTATGTGGTTATCTATGATAAAGCTCATTACTTAAGTTTAAAATTACCAATACACAAGAATTTAAGATTTACAAATTATAAGGGATAGATAAATGTAAATCTTCACACAAAAATGGTAGGAATAAAGGATAAAAATGCTTAAAAATTTGAGCAACATCTGTCTTGCTGATTTACACAAACATACGAATTTAGCAAATTACTATCGAGTAATTAAAACCAACACTTACATGGTATATTTTATTTAAAGAGTTGTAAAATAATCTCAATTTATAAATTATAAAAAATATAATTTACGAATAACGAATAACGATTAGCGACCATTTGGAAAGTGATTAGTGTTAATGTTATCATAGAAGGTACCACTACCGATGGTAGGAACTACCTACCATTCAATACAATAATTAATGGTTACACCGCAAAACGTCGCCCGACAAAACGTCGCCGGACAAAAAATCGACAAAACGTCGCCGGATAAAAAATCGACAAAACGCCGCCGGACTAAACGCTGCCCGTAAAAAGACCGCCTCCCAGTAATGCCAACACTAACAATATGTGTATATAATATACGATTATTAATGGTGCTAGTTGTGCTGCCAGCATGACATATTATTAAGGAGTAAATAGTAATCATCCATCTCATTTGACCATATTAATTTTTAAATATTTATTATTATGGTTAAATGACATTTTATAATTGAATTTTGAAAGAAAGAGCTTTTTGAAAATTAATGTGTAGCAAAAAAAAAAAAAAAAATAGAAAACACTGATCAAATACTTGTACCTCTTTTAATGTTTATTACAAATCAATGGTTATACAAATTTATAGTGACTTGGAAAATGAAACCAAAACTAATGCAATAAAATTAAACTTTTTTTCTTTTTTGAAGCCACACCACTTTTACAACGAACGAACCAATTTAGGTATACCTAATATAAAAACAATCTAATGTATTTTTCATAGACAATTTTTAATTAAAATAAACTGAAGAACTAAATTAATCCGTGCTCGCGACTTCCATCAGACTTTGTTTATTAAGAAAAAAAATACTTAAAAGTATACAAAAAACGGCAGGTCTTATGTGAATAATAACAACTATTAAAGTCTTATAAATAAAGTCTTCATCTGTTGTCTTTGCAGAACCACAAAGAATATGGACCGAAAGGTTAATAACAATTAAACGACGGCTATTATATTCCAATTCTCCATTGAAAAAAGAATATACGTTGAGATGCAGTGGCGCTAAAATCGTTTTAAGACGAAAACATCACATCTAAGTCACGTGTGTTGTCCGAAACGTTAAAGGATGATCGAATTAACCCCTTAGATAATTCCCTTTAGGGATACTATAGTCCCCTAAAAAACAAAATATTTATAAAATTGAAAATTTATAATAAGAGCTAAAACAAATTACGATTATATTCCAAATGTTTACTTATTAATACTTATTTTGACTTAATCTACCACAAACCAGGCAAATTTTACTACACTCGATAAAAAAATGCAATCATTTAAATAAAAATCGCGTTTGATTTAATACAATCATCATTTGGTATTGGCCCTATACATTTTTTCATTACTATCAACAAGTTTTAATAAACTGACACATTATTTATACACTTGATAAAACATTTAACATGTTAATTAATATTACATACCTACACTTTATAGTAATATACCTACTACTAATTTGTTTGCAAATCACTAATGCAATCATGTGAGATATTCCATATACCGATTACCGAGTACAATTAAATAGTACCTAACCAGTTGTACTGTAAGTATAAATGGCACTACTATACAACATATAAATAAGCATAATACAGGGTGATCCAACTAACGTAAGACACTCATTTTCCCTGAAAATATAAATATTTTGAAAACAATTTTTTTCCTAAACCCTTAGGTACATATTTTACTACATTTTTTAATATTTTAAAACATTTTATCGCCAATCCTTATAAGCCAAAAAAGGGGATTTTTGGTTTTTTTAAATGGCAACATATGTTTTTAATTACATAAGTTTGTAGACAAAAAATTTAAAAATGTGTTAGCGTTAATTTTTTTTATTTTTATTAAACTGTTCATTAGTTATGACTATGTTAAGATACTACATTTCCTCTTAATAATAATCATATTTCTTCGGTTTGTCCAAAACCGGTAGCACATCAAATTCATATTTATGTTCGCATTGTCCAATTGGCGATAACATTCTAACAACTAGGAATTCACTATAAAATATTTTGAAATAGACAAAGGTTCTTATCTACAGATTACTTAGATTATAGGTTATTTATTATATCTGATTATGGTACAGAGTACGGTAACATGTCAAATTATTTGTACGCAATGTAATAAAACTACTCGTCTTTGTAGTAACGATTGAAAATAATATGAAATACAGTCAAAAACTCAAATCTTTATAAAGTCATAACAAATGAACAAATAAATGAAAATTCAAAACTCAAACGCTAACATAATTTTTAATTTTTTGTCTACTAACTTATGTAATTAAAAACATATGTTGCCATTAAAAAAAACAAAAATCCCCCATTTTGGCTTATAAGGATTCGTGATAAAAATTTTCAAAATATTGAAAAATGTAGTAAAATATGTACCTAAAAGTTTAGGAAAAAAATTGTTTTCAAAATATTTATATTTTCAGAGAAAATGAGTGTCTTACGTTAGTTGGATCACCCTGTATAAAAACTTCTATGAAACTTTTGTGTGTATATTTTTTTTAAATTGCTCAATTTTACTGCCTTACCTTATAAAACAAAAATACTACACTTTACTATTATTGTCTTTGTTGTTTATTTACACGAATAAATAGGTAGCAAAGATGAGTATCAGTGATCCCTGGATTCAGAGTGACGGACAATCTCAATAAAGACTTTAGCCTAGTTACACTTAGCCTAAGTAATAGCATCATATTTTGATTTACAAATCGATCAAGTAGTGCAGGTATGTGTATAAATAAACACGGTTACTATATTTAACCCTTTTTTTTAATGACTTAAGTGGTACACTCTGAACTATGCAAAATATAACACCTAAATTATTCCATTTGAACGGCGCAATTTGTAGTGTTAATTACATATTCGAGATCATCTCGTCGATGATCTTTTCAATGGCAAAAACATATTGATAAATGAACCCCTTTCAGACAAGTTGGTTAATAGATGTAGTATTATACCTTGCCTGTCAAAGTGATTTTAAAACGCCTACAATAGAAAAGATAAAGGACAATATTACTTGTGAACAACTAGGCGTTGTTGTTATATTTCGGTGAGTATTGTGCAAACGATGAATCACCAACATTGTCCGATAGATTTTTTTTTCGCAAGCAATCCAAATGTGTGTTTAAAATATTGTCATAGCACGTCAAGTTTTTGAGAAAATAAATTTTTAAATCGACAAAAACCCCTAAAAACCCGCTATTTCAAAAATGAAAATTGTTCTCATCAAATTAAACCGCTATAAAAAAAAAAAAACATGAGATAATAAACACCCCATAAAACTTATAGCATGGATCCTTGACGGCTTACAACCCTGAAGTTACTAAAAAAATAAATATAAAATAAAATACATTGACAAAAGTAAATATTTTTTGGTTTTTTGAGTTGAGCCTTCTGTCTATTAGCGTTATCCAGGAGACAACACATGGAGTTTGACTGATTAGTCTCCCAAAACATGTGTGTGCTTGTGTACACTGTTTATAAATGGTCAAAAAAATGTTTTTCAATTTTAATAATTTTTAAAAATAATTAAAATAGTGTCAAAATTTAATAGTTGCTGGTAAAAATTAAAATTAAACCGATTTCACATAGTCAAATCTGCTAATTTTTTTTGTTGATGTTTGATAATCTGCTCCCGTAAAAAATGGTTCTTTTTCCAATGTTTTTTTTACATGGTTTTGTTGCATTGCTTCGTATTTTTATGTAGGTATCTGACTGTATGCCCAGAAGAGTGCCAACAAGAATAAAAATATTCGGATGTCCTGGGTGAAACAATGCATTTAATTTTGCATGAAAACTTTCACAACTGTTAGTTGTCCGATTAGTGTTTGCTGACAAATCACACCAAATTTTTAAGGGGAAACTGTCCAACTTCATTGTCAATGTAATTATCTAAAATGTAATCTGTGAAACTGTCAATTCAAATCACATCACATGGTTCACCATCAAATCTTCCGTGAAACATTCAACTATGTCATTTTCGTTTGAAAATGGAAACCCGAAAAAGTACTTGAGATATCTACTTTTCTCCGAATTAGACTTATGTTCTTTAGACAGACCCAACTTCTGAATTTTTCGCCACCAGCTTTATTTTACCAACACCATTTTTCGGGACTCAATTCAATATAGTCCGTCCAAATTCCCTACTAATAATAGCAAAGGACACTATGCTTACGATCTTATCTACGTAATAAAATCAAACATATTAAGATAATAAACAGGACTCAATTCAAATAACTAAAAGTAGGATGGACTCAATTTGATGTTATCCGTTTAGACGATCGTTTTTTCTCAAAAAAAAAATTGTTTTCCAAAAATTAAAATAAGTATTTTTTTAAGGTAAATAACGGCTATCACAGTGTGTCCGTTCTACAAATAATTTTCAATAATATACGGTAATTTTGCGTTCCCATAGGCGGCGGCACGTGACGGGACGCCCGGCTGGGACAACGGAACGGGGCAGGCGGTCGGCGCGACCAGGCCGCGGCGCGCGCGGAAAGCTCACCAGCCCGTCGCGGCGGCAATATACTATTATCAAAAGATTTCATCGATTATTTAAAAAAAAAATGATCTATACTTATTCTCCTAAGATATCTAATAACGACCGAAAAATAACTTTCATTTTCAAATCACATAATTTATTTTTTTACACAGCATGACAATATTAGATAGGTTATAACAATACAAATTCATTTAATACATATTAATAAATTTTACATTTTAACAAAGTTTGAAGTACAACATCACACAGTCACAAGTACAACATAATTAAATGATTGAAAATAATTATATACAAAACATAAAAACACAAAATTATTTATATCTTAAAATATTATACAAGGTTAACATGTGTACAAGAAAAAGGATTACACAATGAATTTATATTCAAAGTGTAATCCTTTTTACGATATTTACATATTAATGTATATAAATATCACTACAAAATAAATACATGGTTATCAAATATTTTACGTTTACCACCACGCCGTAAACAAATATAAAGTTGGTGGTAGCTACCCATATGGAATTTATTTCGCCTTGCCGCCGCACTTTCCACTCAGTTTGTGGTTGCTTTTGGTCAAAGCGTCAACTTCGTTTTGTAGTGTTTGGACTTTATTCGTTAACATTTCCGCTTTTCTGTTA